ACGTTTAAACTTTGTTTTTGATCGTTTGCGCAAAGCTAATCTATAATTAAAGCCTTCGAAATGTCGCTTTGCTAACAGGTCGGTCGCCTTTCTTGGATTTGTTGTGTCGTCAGATGGAATATTGCCTGACCCAGATAAACTCACTGCCGTAAAGTCTTTTCCAGCGCCTAAATATGATAAGGACGTCCGTAGTTTTCTTGGCCTATGCAACTATTACCACCGTTTTGTTAAAGGTTTTGCGGCTATTGCTTCTCCACTAAATCGTTTAACGCATAAAAATACTGTTTTCCATTGGACTGCTGGATGTCAGCAAGCTTTCGAAGATTTGAAATTTCGTTTGTGCTCTCCTCCAATTTTGCAATGCCCAAATTTTGCAGAACCATTCCATTTGTATACAGACGCTAGTCAATCAGCTTTAGGATACATTCTGGGTCAAGTCATACATTGGAAGGAACACGTTATTGCATATGGTGATAACATCAAATAACGAGTATCTCTTGTGTGCTATCTATTTGGGGCTTGAGCCCGTTGGCCTAGCCCATCGCTCCACTAACGAGCTTGGTTATTAACTGGTTCTTCACCGTCGTGACCCAGAACGTTACATTTGGTGACAGGAGTGGGGTTCGAGCCCACGCCACCGAAGTGACTGGTGAAGTAGAGAAGTATAGTCGGATGGCGGTGACGAAAAGAATCAATTGAAACTTTTTTGTTATTTGGTGTTCCTTTTTATATTTTGCGAGGAGGAGGATGGTCGACATGGCAATTTGGAATTGATCTATTCGTGTACTGCAGCAGAAGGATGACAGGATCCTTCGGATTTGACTTTTATTTCTGTGGATGTCATTATGAATTTGGAAATATCAAGCGATGTTGTATGAATTACCTTTGCTTGCCAGTTCATGCCTACGGGCCTCAATGACTCTATGGACCTTTTATGTTAAGTCACTTTTAAATTTTTAAGAAACTTTAATCGGCGTATTTACTTTAAAGAGAGGGGATGGTGTAACGTTTTAACATTAGTAAACTTCAGTAATTATTATTATTATTTTCAGCTAGATCTTTGATTATGTTGCGTGTTAATGTCACATGTTTGTTTGTCGCGCTGTTGTGTTAGTAACTCCCTTTCCGGGAAATGTGCGTCACTGTCATCGTGTTGTGTGATGTTTCACAGTGTTCCTTTGTTTGTGTTTTAATATAATGTAATCCAACTTAGAATAATTTAGTCTTACTGTTTTGACAATAGAGATAACATCAAATAACGAGTATCTCTTGTGTGCTATCTATTTGGGGCTTAGGCCCGTTGGCCTAGCCCATTGCTCCACTAACGAGCTTGGTTATTAACTGGTTCTTCACCGTCATGACAAGAACCCAGAACGTTACACTACTGCGAGGGAAGCTCTTGCTGTTGTAACGGGATAAAGAGGTACCAGCCTTATTTGTCCGCTAATCATTTCTATGTACATACAGATCACGGGAGCCTTTCTTGGCTTATGAATGTCAAGGATCCAACTGGTCGTTTAGCTCGTTGGGCACTACAGCTTCAGCAATATAATTTTGAAATTGTCCATAGGCCAGGACGCTTAAACGGTAATGCTGATGCTCTTTCTCGTCGTCTTTATGATGTTCCTTTGTCTTGGTTGCATGCTTTCTGTGTCTGTTGCTGTTCTTGTTCCACCTTGCCCACCTGCCGAGTCACTCAATTTTCTGTAGCGTCAGAATAAAGATCTTGCTATGATTATTGCATATCTCGAAACTTCGCAATTTCCTTCAAGTGACACGCAAGCTCGCAATTTGCTGCTTACTATTGATTCGTATTATCTTGATGAACGAGGCCTTCTTTGCCATTGGTGGACGCCTGGCAAACGCCATGTGCATTCTCTGGTCTCGCAGTTGGTGATTCCCGCTTCTCTACGACACGATATTCTCGTTGCATGTCACGATGATCCATCTGCTGGCCACTTAAGTACTGTCAAAACGTATGAGAAAGTTAGAAGTCGATATTATTGGCATGGCATGTACAAAGACATTGAGCATTGGTGCCACTCCTGTGTCGATTGCGCCATGAAGAAAATTCCGCGCCAATATGGTAAAGCGCCTCTTTTACCTATACCAGTTGAAGGAGCTTTTGATCGCGTTGCCATGGATATTTTGGGTCCTTTTCCGGCTACACATGATGGTAATCGATACATAATCGTGTTCTCCGATTATTATACAAGGTGGCCTGAAGCTTTTGCTTTACCATCTTTCGAGGCTTCTCGAATAGCCAACCTGCTTGTCGACGAAATCCTTGCTCGTCATGGTGCTCCTCGAACTCTCTTGTCGGATAGAGGTTCCAATTTTTTAGCAGCCGTCGTTAAAGAAACTTGCAGACTAATGAACACGCATCGCACGCATACTACAGCCTACCACCCACAAACTGGTGGCTTGGTTGAGCGTTTAAACGCTAATTCGCTGAAGGCCTTTCCATGTATGTGAGCAGTAACAAGAAAGACTGGGACAAGCATTTGCCGATGATTCTCTTCGCGTACCGTGTGTCACCACACGCAACTTGGAAGAGGAACCTGACATAACACGCCCAGAATACACCTGGACACAAGATATAATTCGAAACCTTGTCCCTGACGCCAACCAGGAGGTTTAATCTTAAGGGGGGAGGTATGTTACGCAATGGAGGCGCCGTTACGTTGGAAGTGACCTTTGAATTGATCACGTTTTAATCATTTCATTTTCATGTGTTCGCTTGATGCTTGCTTTGCTGCTTATTTGGTAATTTTTAACAGTTCTGTTGATCTTTGATCTTTGTCTTAATGTTCATTGGTTAACTTTATGTATATCGTCATTTTAGGACAATATTTGGACATTAGCTTAATCCGATTATACAGTCATATCTAGCGTGCCAGCTTTAGAGTGGAGTCAGTCTTGAGGGGCCAGCCGCTACGAGAGCAACTTTTATGGTGAAAGAGATTTGACGTTTTTGTCGAAGTAGAGGTCCAGAAACACTTGCCGCGCCCAAGGTTCAGACTCAAGTTCAAGATCCTTCAAGCATCCGCTTTAAAGCTCGCAAAGATAATCTCAAGGTCGTGAGTTACCTTACTTATTATATTTTAGTGATTTAGTGGTTTAATCTCTTGATGTTACTGGTCTTTTACCGAAGAACTCGCAGTTCTTTAGCCTTTTCAGGTCAGTGCGCTATTGCGTAGCTAAATGCTGGAACGACATTGCTGTGGATATAAAGAAATCACCCTCTGCTAATATTTTTCGACGAAAACTCAAAGCCTTCCTCTTTCAAAACCATTACCAAAATTGATTGTAAACTTATTGATATAGAAAGTCACCATCTGCCCATAGTTTCTTTTATGCATAAAATAATCAAATCTGTATGAGAAATTTCTGAAACAGGGGGTGCTCTCTCTTGATTAGTTTAACTACTGAGAGAGCTCCTCCTTTAAGTAAATCCCCCCATGCAATTTATCTTGTTCTTTGTTTGGTATTTGTATGTTGTATTAATTTTAGGTGCATTATTGTTATTATTGTAGTTTAGTAATTTGTTTGTATTAATTAGTTTTGTTATGATAAATTGTATGTGGAGAATTTAAAATATGAATCTGAACTGAACTGAACTTTTTCTGCTAGATTAAGCAAAAAGGTTAACACACGGGATGTCATAAAATCATTGGCTCGAATACGAATGACCGAAAGCAATTATTTAATCTTTAAAATGGACTATTAAAATTAAACGTCTTGAGGATCGAAAGTATGAAGACTAATTGAACCATGATTGAACGTGCTCAATTTATTGTCCTTTTTCCAGCGTCCCTTTTTGCAAAAAAATCACTAAAATATCACCTGTATTGGGGCTTATTATAGGTTTGCGGCTTCACGGCCTGGAACCTATTTTTACGCGCGGACTCCGGATTTAAACATGGTTTATCAACAAAAGGTGCGTCTTGAGTCTTTCGCTAGTAAGGGGGGGGGGGGCTCTGGAGAACTTTTTTGCACCACGCCCTTCAAACACTGAAACGGGGAAACGCCCATTTTGCAAAACTTTCCCACATTGTTTGATTCATTTTAGCTACGGTAAATAGCAAAGTATATTACAATTGTTATTGACACAAGCATACAGTATACTACCCCCTATGAGTTTTACATCGTTTTTGGACAAATCTCGAGAACCATACTTTAGAAAAGTGGGGGGGGGGTCCGGACCCCCCTATTCCCCCCCCCTTGGGTACGCCACTGATGGTTAGTCCCAATTAATTCATAATAATACGGGTTGACGTAATATTAATGACTAGGGAATTTTCAAAGAATAATTTTAAAGACAAGACAACTAGATCTCCGTTTGTAACAACTGAACTGGATATCATTAAAAATTCAAACAATGAATAAATCATCAATCCTAATGTTTCTGACACGGCCTTGCAAAGCGAGCTGGGCCAAGGTGGCAGTCAGCCCCAAGAAATTTTGAAGGCTGAGGTTTTATATGGTGTCAGGGCCGTAAATCTGTCATGTGAATTGGGGGGGTCAGCAGCGCGAATGAATATAAGGTATGCAGTAGGTCATGGCACCACAAGGTCATGGCACCACAAGGAATTTATGGTATGTGTTATGGAAACAGTTGAGGGGCAAATTACTTTAAAAACAAAAGTCAATATTTTTGGATTTCTCAAGACTTTCTGCTCTATAGAAGATATTTACAGATATTCCTTAGTACATTGACTTGTGTTGATAATTGAATGAATAACATTTTTCAGAGACGGCCCCAAGAAATTGAGCGTTGGGAGCTAAGAATCAAGATTACTGTCTTATGAGGACCCACCATGGTTGGGTCCGACGCGGAAGAAAATTTTTGAAATTTTACCTTCTAGAAAGGCTAAAAAAGCATCCCCCAGACTAAATTTAATAAAATACAACAATAAAACTAACGGTAGAAAACAGTAGAAAACGGTAAAAAACGGTAGAAAACGGTAAGTTTTTATCTTGTAAAAATTATAAAAACCACTCTGCTTACAAAAATAACCCTAGTGGCTGAGGTTTGTTGCAATAACACGTAGTTTGGTTCTAACCCGGCTACCAGGGATTTATTTCTTTCAAGGAAAATGATGGTAATTTCTCCAAAAAAATCGTTTTGCTCCAGATTTTTGGGGGGGTCCTGTCCCCCCCGTCCCCCCCGGGATTTACGGCCCTGTATGGTGTCATAATCTGCTCGTAAGCATAAGGGGCCGCGCAACATATTTAAAAAACTGAATACAACCAACTTGTGCTTTAACAGGTTTTGGAACCAAGCTTTACATTACTTATCACTGCGTGAATGATAAGTAATGATAAGTAAATATTTAATCTTCCTTTCTTTTTTATTGAATCTTCGGAATATTTGAACCCATTGGTAATTTTAATCCTTCAGCCAGAGGGGCGTATCTAGTACCTTACCTCTGTCCCCGTAATTGAACCTAAGAAGAATAATTTCTACAACAATTGAGCAAAAAATTCTAATTTTTCATATACAGAGCAATAAATGTATTTTTCGGATCATGTATTGGATTTTATCTAGCTACAGTGGCAAAGTTTTCAGCTTTCAAAAAATTTGTCAATAACTCATGAAATTGTTTCTATTTCTAAGAAGCGAGAAAAGTGATACAAGGACGGGGCGAATAGCAAGAGAGGCTATTTTCCTTGTTGGCTCAGGGTCAGAGCACAGTTTGGTTGCGCAGTGAGGTTCAATAACCGATTTATTCAGTAGAGCTTGAGTAGGGCTAGCTTTTTTTCGAATTTTGATCCGTTCATATGATTCAGGGTACACACTTTGTATAAGAAAATAGTCTATAAGAATATTAAGGCTCAAGATCGCTGAAATTTAAGAATAGTTTAAGAATAATGCAACGCTCAAGCTTCATCAAGAATCAAATTTTTGGTTTATTTGAGTTTTGTTTAAAGCAAGAAAGATGCGAGTTTCACGCTATCTGTCTTTAAGTTGACGTATTTGGCCTTGGAGTTATTTTGACACTATTATGCGACTCAGTGACACCTTGTATTTTTAAGAATGATTCAAGAATGTTGTGGCTCAGCAAAAATTAGCTATTCTAAAAAAAGGTGGGAATGTGAAAAATACTTGGGTACAAACACGTTGATGTGTCAATAGATGTTTAAAAATGTTTGGATTGATACAACAATAGCTTGCTGCGAAACATAGTGAGGATCAGTTACACCCGCTACGCGGGTACGCAATAGCCCTTATATTTGGAAAAAATTAACATTAGCCTCGGCGAAGACAAGATTTCTCTTGAACCCCAGAGGAATAATAGTAACATTAGCCTTGGTAAAAACAAGAATTCGGTCCAGCCTACCAATGAATTTCCCTCTGAAGAAAATACGACGAAAGACGATTAAAGAGCCTGGCCTCTATGTCTAATTGAACGAATAGAGAAGGGAGTTGGGATCAGGTGATGAAAAAGCAACTTGGTTTGCTACAACAAATTTTGGTAAACAATTTCACTTGCACTCCTGTGACTATCGCTAGGAAGGGGGGAGACCCTACTCCCTTCTATCTCAGGCGAACCCGTGTAAATAAATATAGGGGCTATTTCATGCCCACGTGGATGCCTATTACCACACCCTATATAAGGAACATTCATCTTCTCTAAAACAAAAAACAGGAAGTCATCAATACATTAATGTTCAGTGATCGAAAGTTACAATCGTTGTACAGTGCAATGATAATAAATAATATCAAAAGCTTCCAAGTACACTTTGGTTGAACAGGAGACTAGCCCCAGTTATGCCTGCTATGCGGGAATTTCCCTCAGCAAAGACAAGAATTCTGTTGAAGCGCCCAATGAATTATAGGAAAATTTGCCTCTGAAAGAAAAGACAAAAACGTCTAGCATCTTTGTCAAATTGAATGGACACGCCCATAGAAATGGACACGCTCATAGAAATGGACAAGCCCATTGAAATGGACACGCCCTGTAGGGTTCATGTGATAAAAAGCAGCTTGCTCTGCTGAAAAAAATTCGTAAGAAAAATTCACCCGCACTCATGTGACACCCATTTTCCCCTCTTTCCCCCTTCCTTCTCTCTCTTCCTTCCCTCCCTCCAACATTTCTTTTTTCTTGAATTTATTGTTTTTTCTTTGATTAATAACTGGGACTTCGGCAAGTCAAGTCTCCACCGAGGGTTTGGTTTGTCTTTTTGTCTTCCAGGAATTTGGCGCCCGGCCTCCCAGTCATGCGCCAGATTGAATCAGAGGCAATCAGGGGCTTGGTTCAGAGGGTTTGGTTATATCTTGCTTCTTCCGAACCCTACTAGGCCCAGGTGGTGAATTGCCGGTGTTTTTGTTCGGAAAAGGTGGCGGTATGAAAATAGATGTCCACAACCACATTCTGCCAGAGTCGTGGCCTAATCTAAAAGAGGTATTTTGCTCAGATATCCTTGAAATTAAATAACGATGTTCACGAATTTGCCAGACTGAAAAGTTTGGTCTTTGCGCGGGGGAACGCGTTATTAAGATTCATTCCGCCTGCGCATTATTAAGATTCCGCCGTAGATTCCACGCACAATATTTGTTTATCTGGTCATCTTCCCCGCGAATATTCCACCATTTAAACTTCTGTCTTCTGATAACAAGAAAAAACAAAGATAAATGGTTTTTTCGAAAGCCTTTGCTTCACATTCCGCGCACGATTTCGCGGGAAATGTTCGTTATGCGCAAATTTCAAAATTATTGTTCTTGCGTTCCCCGCACAAAAAAATTCCTACAGTGTGGCGAATTTGTAACTGTCAATGATGACTGACTCTGCAATATAAAGGAACCTTTACAGAAAACAAACCTAATACACATACAACAAATGCTTTAAGTGCCTGAACGTACCTAAAAGTGAGTTATCCAGGTAATAACTGCATTCTACCCTTCTCCTAATCTATGGATGTCAGGAACGTTCACTGTAAGTACGAAGAAACAGAAACAAGATAAAAGTACATTTTAAATATCTTTCCAGCTATGGCAAAAGTTATGAGCTTTTCTACCTTTTCTACCTTATGAGTTTTCCCACCCCCCCCCCCTTCACACTTACATAAAATTTTTCTTTCTGGCCCCCTCTAGAATTCATTCGCCACGAAACCACTGATTCTTGGTGGTCAAGAAGACTTCAGAAACATGTAGTCACTAAATCAAAAACCTTTATTCACCTACAAGTTGAAACGCTATGCAGTCTTCTTCATAAAGAAATTCCCATTTGTTATTTTAATGTGAAAAGCTGTTTTTATCAAACTACTTTTCCACACAATTTGCCAAAATTAAGCTGATTGCCAATATTTTGTTTGGCTGGCCAAATTAGACCATGAGCTGTGAGATTGTGAAATGTTTGGTTGCCAACCATTCCAAAAATCTGGAAACCATGATTAGAGTAAAAACCAATTATAAATGCATTATTAATTGCCAAATATCTGACCCATTTGTAAAGATTCTAAGGTGCTTAGTTTTGGGTTGTGCTTATCATTGAATGTTAAAAACTGTTTATCGATAACACAAACTGTAACCGTTAATCTTTTGTAGGGGTCTGCTGCAAGCACAGTCCTAGTGGTTCCATTCGTACTAATTTTTATTAAAATGGTACCCTTGGCTAGACCGACTTCTACAAAATGGATACCCTTGGCATAAATTAATATTGAAAAATGATACAATTGCAAAGATCCATTCCCAAGCAATTGGATTTGGCAGATACCTCAAAATTATTGGTTTAAACTCAGAAATATGCCAAACGTCGATTTGTTTCATTGAATAGTTTGCTATCAACAGATATTTTTGTTGGGAAGCAATTCCTGCTTTCAAAGGATGTTCCCTCTAGGCTTATATTGTCAAACATGTTTTTCTTGGCTATACCTTGGATTGGCTTGATCAGAATTGTAAAATGTATACCCTTGGCTTGCCAAGAAGTCCAAAAAATGAACCCTTGCTCCTAGCACATCGCCAGTTACCTTCACTATGGAACCCCCCCTCCCCTACCAGGTGGAAGAAATGCAATCATAGAAAGGTGAGAAAACAATGATCAAGTATCTGACTCACGGGTGTGATCAATCGCTTGCATTGTTCAGTCCATGCCTGTGGCAATGTGTGCCTGTGCAACTGCACACGTTAAATGAGGAAGACTGTTTTTAGCCATCTCTTAATGAATATTTTAAGCAAGCCATGATATTATTTATCTACATCTTTACATAAATTGAAATCAATTTTGAATGTAGTACATGATATTAACATCTTGATTTTTGACCACTTACAGTTTTAACATCAGGGCATGATCAGGGCAAATAATTTTATATTACATAAATTTACGTCTATTATTACATAATTTTTCTTTGGTTTTTTCTAATTAAAGGTAACTAAAAAATTGCTTTTGAATGAATTATTAGAATTTGTATTGACCCACTTGCACTAGTCACTCACCAGTTCAAATCTGCATCTGGGCCCAATTAACTTTATCTTCACTAAGGAAGTCTTACAAAATATTATACACCTTGCCTTATTGGCTCAAGCTGGTTATCTTTAGGCTTGAGCTGTGGTAAATTAAACTATTTGCCTGTTTATACAGAGGTACAAGATCTAGTAATCAGGTGTTGGGAAAAAAAGCAGAAATCATGCAGAGGCATATTTTGCTACTGCTCATATGAGATCATTTTATGAGTCATTCCGTGTACATTATACCCTTTCTGCCAAAAGGGGGCAATTTATATACTCCCAATTGACAGAGTATCCTAGGGACAACCCAGATAACAGCTGCCATGTCCCAATCATTGTATTTATTTACATTTGCCCTGAACTTGATGTCTATCTTTATGAATGCCAATGTTGAGCAGAAATGCCAAACAAGAAAAAATTTCCAAGAAATAGTATTGTAGAAATAATCTTTGTTTTTTAGGAAGTCTTTTTGTTTATAGAAAACTGTCTTCATATCTTTCTATTTTTCTTAGCGATATGGATATGGTAATTGGATTCAACTTCAAAAATGCACTGGAAGGAAGGTAAGATTATCAAATGTGGCTTCAAAATCATTTTATACCAAAATCAGCTACTCCATTGAAAGTTTAAATATTTTCAAAGAATAGATGGGTATGAGAAAGAAACATGCCAAAACCTTTTTAAAAAAAGCCTTTCACATTGGATATGATACAATTCACAGGCTATTTTTGTCCAGTGAACCATTAGCCATAGCCTGTAGATACCCTTTCTGGAATACTGCTATTTCGTTCATAATTTGCTGCAGTCAATGTTTCTTTCAATCTTTTGAAACTTTTATTTAATCTTGGGAACCCATCTACAGGATGTCATATATAGATATATGTGGGGTTAATAAGATTCATTTTAATCATTTAAACCAAAGATTTGTCTAGAAAAGTCTAGATCTACATGTTATGATGCAAATGTTATGATGAATATTTGTTTTTTATTCATAGGCACGTAGGCTGAGGTGGTCCTAGCCACTCTACATTTAAAACATGGCTCGTAGCATTTATGGTTATGAGACCTATGTTAGTATAGTTTGTGAAGATCAGTTCAATGGTTTTCTAAATTTGAATTTTTGTACTTTGTTTTTCAAGGATGCAGACATGATGATCGATGATAAGTTCTTTAGAAAAGTTCAGCCTAATTGCTGGTCCCCAGAAGAGAGACTGAAAGAAATGGATGAAACTGGTACCCTACCTGTATTGTCAATTTGGTTTATTTTTTCTTCATAAATTTAAACTAACTTCAACTAAAGCTACTCTAATATATGCCACCCATAGTGGTAAAAGACGCAAGGACACCTAACTAGTCTCCACTTTGAATGAAATTTTACAATTTTTAATTAGAACTTTATATAAACGCAAGAAAACTAAGCAAAAGAAAGCAAAAAGGCTATCTAGGTACCTCTAGAAGATTTGCACTCCAGCATTGTAAATGTTTTTTTAGTGGTTCCTTGAACTTAGTCATCTCATCTAATTTCTCAAAATTCGCAGAAAATTCGAGCTAGAGACTGTTTTCTGCAGGGGACCGACCAAATTCATTGAAAATTTGGTCGTGTTAGTAAAAGTTCGAATGACACGAGTGCAAATTATCCAGAGCTGAATGCTTTTTTAAAAAGAATCTTTTGAGCATGCTAATTTTCTGTTAGTTGCTACATGATATCCTATATGCATGCGCAAAGACCGAGATACAACTTTTTGTTTGGGGGGGGGGCAGCCCTGATAAATAAGTGTAAAAACAGCCATATTTTACAAAATAGAAGTACTTTACTTACACTACGTAAGTTTTTTGGGGGGTAAAGGCCCCCGGTTCTCAGTATCTCGGTCCTTGGGCACGCGGTACTGTTTGTACAACTATAGTACCGGTCATGTGCCTGCGTTTTTCTGATTGGCTTATTTCGACCCACAACTTATTCTGACATTTTATACCCTGAGGAATGTCAGAAGAAAAAGCTTTCAGTGTACTGCACAGTGTTTGCTTTTTTCAAATCCATTTTTAAATTTTGTACCGCCAAAATATTAAAAGTTCATACATGATATCATGAAATCTGCTTTGTGAAAATTTTCATTACTTTATTCTTCTCTATAATTTTTAAATGTTTTAAATAATTGAAGTAGTGCATGCACAAACAGTGATTAAACTTTATAATTAACTTCAAGCATCCAAAAATCAATAATATTTGGCTGCTGCACCCCTGTCATGTCAAGTTAGGTATGGCCACCTATTCTTTTGCGTCGCCGTTTAGCTATTGAGACACTTCCCTAAATTTTCCAAGCATTTTTAATCTCATTTATCTTGCAGGTGTTACTGTTCAAGTCTTGTCTACAGTTCCTGTGATGTTCAGTTACTGGGTAAATTATACTTTCCTATTCTAAATCGTCGTTGGTTGCAATACTAATTTATTCGCTTGAATAATACAATTGGAGTTCAACTCACCTTAGCCGATGCAAAATCATCAAAAATCTTTAAATGTTCTTCTCAGAAAAATAGGACAAGATTTTGTTGTCTTCTAGAGTTTTCCTACGTTACAGCTGTGTAATTCGTTTTGTATTTACAAGTTTTAGCTTTTCACAGTCTTTTTCAGTTTTAATTAACAAAAAATGGTACTACCTTTTTAAGTCTTTATAACAACGATTTTTTCTATAAGTTTCAAAGCACATGCGTACTCCTAACTTACTGTTACATCTTTTTCAATTAATCTTTTAATTTTCAGGCAAAACCAGAAGATACGTTAGACTTTTGCCAGCTCATCAATAATGATCTTAAAAACACAGTTGATAAATATCCAAAAAGGTTTTTGGCTCTGGGAACGCTACCTATGCAGGTACGCAAGTATGGACATGCTTTCTTTGCGTATTAAAATAAAACAGCTTGCCATTTTAAGACAGGTTGATAGAGAGGATGCCATAGATTTTGGAAGGCCACAGTTGGCTTGTGTTTCCCGTATTAAGACAGCGTATTGGTATTCTGACGAGGTATGCAGAATAAGAAGTGTTTTGAAATGTTAAACAAACTGGGCCAATCAAAGCTTCACTTTTTTGTGAGTCAACTTTAGCACGTAAGAAGAATTGGCATAATCAAAGAACTAGTGCAATATGAGCTCAGAAAGATTAAACTTGGAGTTTGTTCTTCCTATTTTTATTTCAAAGCTTCGAAGCCTACGATAAGTTGAGAGGAGCGCAAGAAACGGTTAAAAAACTTTTCAATATTGAAAATTAAGGTGACAATAGCATACTTCCTTTATCATAGTCTTTTTTATAGTAAAGAAGAGTAAAGAAAGTTACTATTGTAAAGAAAGGAACTTTTTTTATTTGATATTTATTTAATATTTTATTTTTAAAGGCTCCGGAATTGGCAGTGAAAGAATTAACGAGATGCATCAAGGTATTCCGATTTTGCAGTATCATAGACATTCTAAATGTGAAATACCCCCTACCCTAATGTGAATCTACCCTTTTGATTACCCTGAATGACAGACATAACCAATATACGATAAGCAATAATAAGTACTGAAGAATTATGAACCCAACTGCTAATGAACTACCACTTATTATAGGAGCTCAAATTCCCAGGCGTTGAAATCGGATCTCATATCGGCGATTGGAATCTTGATGCAGAGGAGCTGATGCCATTCTGGAAGGTCGAGTCTTTACTTCTATTTCATCTTCTTATATATTTCTTAATATTTTTCTGTTGGCTATGTTTATATGAACAAGAGATTTTTTATTTTATTAGAGTCAAGACTAAGTTCTCTTGTTGCAGCCTCTCCCAACAAATTCATTGAACACTATGTGTTATTCTGACGATTTTGTTGCCTGTTTAATGATTATGTGCCGTTACTACATTATTATCTATAACAGGCCTTAAAGGTATTTGACAAAGGTAATAGTAGCTTACAGGCCACGAGCGGTTGACCAATCAAATTGCGCACAGAAAAAAACACGTGAGCAGTTTTCGCCTTTCTGCAAATCGGTGAAACCCTAGCGTAGCGCGCAGTGATTTCACGTGAGCAGTTTCCAATTCCTTTCTTGTGCGCGTGCTCTGATCAATTTGGCCTAAGTTGTTTTTGCATTCACTGTACTTATGCATGTCAAATGCCTTTAAATTAACGAAAGGAACATTGATATAACGTTAATTTATCAGTTTTCTTATACTTATTACGATTATGTTATGTTTAGTTCCAAACCAGAGCGAATCAAATGGTGGGTGGGACGGGATGCTTTTCCTCCAACGACCGGTGAAATATTCGATTAAATGGTCAGATTGACGTATGGTTGTTTGGAAAAGAAAAGGATTGTCTGGTTGGCTGTAAACCTCTGAATTAATTTCGTCAGAATTAATTTCCCTTTTCTATCTCTATTGCCACGAGAGATGTTATATTCCAGGATATCACGTGCATGGCGCCGGAAAATTTTTACCTGTGGATGCTCAATGTGTCTCTGCACGTTGTAGATAGCTGTTCTTAACTGGCACGTCAGCATGAAATCAAAAGATATACTTGATATTCATAAATTGTGTTAGTTATCAAATAATCAGATAACCCTATGACTGCAAAAAGGTAAAAAGACTCCTAAGTGATATGGCCAGCACAACTGTTTTCAGATACCAGTTTAATAGATATTCGAACTACAGTTTAATAGAACTTTATGGCCATGAAAGTAACAAGACTCTGGTTAAAGAAGTTAATAGATATTCGAACTCAATCGAAAAATAAGTTTTCAGCCCTTCTGGTTGAAACATTTTTAACTGCTCTTCTCTACCCACAGTACCGTTTGCTCACTTCATAATCGTTTTTATTTTTAAAACTTCTTTCAGTGACTTCCAGTTATATTCTTATTTCAGTGACTTCAAGTGTCAATTTTAGCATCGTTGCTGTTTTTAACTTTCCATAACCCTTACTAGAGCAAAAAATGTTCCCATCTTGATATAATGTCTTGTGTCTTGTCATTGTATTTGTCAACTTTTCTGTCATCGCTCCTGCCATTTGTTAAACAGTTTCTTGATAACCATGAGACATTATTAAAGATCGTCTTGAAATCTACCTCGAAAAGGAAAAATTACTCTGAAGCATTATTAAATTTTTTGGTTGGAGCTTTAAATCCTTTAAGAAGTGATATTGAAATAGTCTGTGAAATTAATAAACAGAGGCTTTGGTCTAAGAAATGCCTGGGTAGGTTTTTTAAGTATTCTAAAACTGAAGGAAATCGTGAAATTTATGCTTCTGTCTTAAATTTTAGGCAGCTGAGGACCTTGGTGCTTGTGTATTCGTGCATCCTTGGGATATGCAGCAAGATGGTCGAATGAGCAAATACTGGCTGCCATGGCTGGTTGGTAAGAGCGAAGTGCAACTTGCTCTGAAGCTATATTCATGTTGTGTGCGCGTGCAGACTCTAAATTCCGACATAAAATCTTTATTGAAATAGCCCAAAACGAAATCTTGGTCAGATCTGTAACACAAGCCCTGTGACAAATACTGTGCAGGCAATACTGTGTGGGCAATTTGTTGAATTTTTTGGCATGCTGGACGAAATTTCTCATGGACAAGGCCTTTGGGATATGTCCAAAGTTCGAATATATCTATACCTACTAGGGCCACAAGATAATGCAATATCACAAAATATATAGAATTTTGAATGCGCAATCTACATCATGTTATCAAGGTGAATTCAATTTCTACAAAAGGAACTCATATTCGCCTCTCATCTGTTCACTTTCAGGAATGACTTCAGAGACATCCATTGCTATTTGCTCTATGATTTTTGGTGGCGTTTTGGAGAAATTTCCGAAACTCAAAGTCTGCTTTGCCCATGGAGGTATGAAATTCATACTAAGTAGTCTACTGCAACTTTGAGAAATTCATTATGAATCGTTTATTGGGGAAGCTATTAAAGTGTGTTTTTGTCTAGTATTTGAATATAAAGAAGTAGATCTAAATGAATCAAAATGAAAATATTCAGCACCCTAGCAGTTTTACTTATTTAAATGTCAGTTTAAAAGAAACTTTTTTTAAAAGCAAAAGCATGTTTTTAAAGGTCCACTGTTGGTTGATTCAGTACTAATATGTCAGTTTCATTACATTTTCTGAAATTTATATTTTTAGGTGGCTCTTTTCCTTTGATAATTGGGCGCGTTGAGCATGGATTCAATGTGCGGCCAGACCTCTGTGCAGTTAACAACAAAATCAATCCAAGGTAAGCGTGGACGAGTTCTAGATTTATTTTCAAATGTGGCAGAGGATTTTTATACCGTATAAATCGTTATGAGAAATAGCCTTATAAACCTACTGACTTCTTTGAAAAAACATTTGACTTGAATTACTTGAATTGCAGAAAGACTTGAACTAAGATTTGGATTCAGGACCATGTAACATAGTCTTAATGCAAGCGTTAACTATTGATGTTGAATCAACTCATGATCTTGAACTCATGGCAATAAAATTATGTTAAACATTCTATGATTAAAAACATTTTCGCTGCCTAATCCCTTATAAGTTGTCAAATTTTATATTTCTGTTTAGCCTACAATGGAAACATAAGCAAAATTGATTTTTTTTAGAACTGACAGTATGCTGGTAGATCATAATTTGTGCTTAAAAAGTCGCACAATGAAGTTCTGAATAGATCCCAAAACGAGGCTGTATTTCTAATTGTATTTAAATTCAAAACGAGGGTTTACTTTAATTCAAATAATTATTTCTTAAGTAATACCAGTTTCCATCGGTGATGCTGCAGATCTCAAACTATTTGCTGAGCAGATGTCAAGCTTTCATTTATAAAACATTTCGATTTGCATTGAATAATTCTCATCATGATAATTGTTCAGCATAACCTACCGATGCTAAATAAAAACACTTATCAGAATGCTCGTGAAATATATACGACAGTGATTAATAATTTCGATATATGTGACAAAGAAAGTGACCATCAATATTAATTCTTAGTAGATTTTATTCCGAAGCAAGTTATTTCTGATCAAGCATTGCCAAAGATACCAATGATCTCTTCTCCTTGCAAATTCTTGTGATAGCCAGTTCGACTATTCGGTTCTGAATATCGTTAGTTGCGTTTTTCTATCAGACAATATTTCAAATATCCCGTTCTCCAGCTATTTATTAATACACTTTTTTAATATCCCGTTCTACAACGGTTTAATCTTTATTTACTGCATCTTCATTGTCCATGTTTTAGCAAACGTGTAACAAGATTTGATGAAAATGTACTGAGAACAATTGTGAGATGGGGTTCACAGGCTCCAGCCCTGTCATGATCTTGTCACGCGCTCACATTTTCTCTCAGTGAGTATGAAATGTGATTGGCCATTTTCTCTTAGCGAACTGATTTCATGAGAAATATTTTCGCATTGTAGAAAATACATTGGGCAGATTTACACAGACTCATTAGTTCACGATGCAGATGCTCTGTCACATCTAGTAAGAACAATTGGCGAGGTAATAGCCTTTTTGCAGTCTTCAGTCGATCGAGCTTTTTGATTTTTACCTATCAAGCTTGAAGTAATCAACTGTACAATGCTAAACAGATATTTTTGGGATTATGTCCCTTCCCCTCTTTGTCTATTTTGATATCCTTGCTTTCAAAAATGCAATAAATTCCCGCAAATACAAACTCTTTTTATTGGGGCTATAGGCTGAAAAAGGTTCTTTATTAGAAGGTACTAAAGTTCATTCAGAGGTTTACAAGTTCTTTTTTCAAGCCTGCATAGAAAATATTGTCATCATTATAAAATTCACTGCATTGAGTATTGTCTTTAAAGACTTTTTGACCAATATTTAAACTTAAAATCATTGCAGAAGTTTAGGGCATTGCATAGTGTATATAACTTTGTTCATACTTGACCTTTTGTTTCAATTTCTAAGAAAAACTAAGGATCACCAAGGAATTGATTTTTTTTCCTCTTGTAATAAGAATCTAGTTTCTCATCAAGATGAACAGGTTCTTAATTACAGAATGTTTAACTCAAACTGTTGACATAGTATTTTTGCTTCTCGTAGAACCGCATTTATGGTGTTGTATTGTAGGTTTCTACGAATGGTAATGAAGAAATATTTTTTAAGTTTTTAGTACAATATTAAAAGTTTTGGTTGAACTTTGCAGAAACAGTTGAAGCTTCACAAAATACATCATAGCAAGATTTTTATTTTCTTTATAAAGCAAATTTCTGTTAATTATTGATTTTGATTTATCGTTTGATTTTTAATATATCATCTTAGGATAAAATAATGCTTGGTAGTGATTATCCATTTCCACTCGGGGAACACCACCCTGGACAGCTGATTCAATCCATGCCAGGATTTAGTGACGAGCTAAAGGTTAGTATAAATTTGGCAAAACTTTATATGCCTAAGGCCATAATAACTATCCTGAAATATTTCACAATAAGCAAAGGAAAATGACAGTTGGAAAGAGCGGCGTTCCGTTTTATTACTTCTTTTTGAGCGGTATTTCTCGTATATTTATGATATAGCAAATTATTCGCTGAACTTTATATTTCCCTTGTTCTGTACTGCTAGAAACGAATGCGTGCTTTTCTCATACTGTTTCCTTCATCTGCAAATCTCACTGTCACGTAGCACTACATTTATTTCATTTTAATTTTGTTTGACATTGGAAATTCACTTTCTTATTTGCAGGACAAACTTCTGGCTCAGAATGCCGTTGATTTTTTTGGTATTGACAGATCCTTCTATGAAGCCTAGTAGCAAAGACAAACGTCAAGCAATCAAATCCCATTGTAGTGCTCGAGGTTTTTGTCTTCATCGAACACTTGGTTTATTGTCGCTTGTACCTTGCATCTCAATGGTATGAACTTGTCTTTAGTGTGCGTGCGATTTGTTCTACTTTGTAGGCTACAACATTCCCCCTGGGTTTATTTTTATTTTTATTCGCCTTTACGTTGTTTCGCAAAATTTTTGCCAATTTTTGTTTCTTCCCTAATTAATTATGTTTCATGTTTTGTGAGTAAAACTAATGTTTTAAGGGGTGGCCAAACGAACACAACATTGTTGATCAAACATGAAAAAAAGAGATGTTTTACGAAACGTTTGATGGAAATCAAATTTTGCAAAACATCGTAAAACACCGTAAAACATCGTAAAACATTGTAAAACATCGTAAAACATCGTAAAACTTGGCTTCGTTAATTTTGCAATGAAAGAATATGTTTCTTTATCAGTGGGTGTAAACGGGTATGCGTTTTCGTGTAATTAGTTTCGTAATTGAAACCAAATCTTTTAGATAGCTGTCTACTTGTGAAATAGATTTTAACCAAATTGTAATAAATAATTTAGGTCGGTGACTGATCGTAGTATTTATGTGATATCCCAGGAATTCAGTACTTATCCTTGTTTCTCGCTTGCTGTCAATTTCCACTACTTTTGCGATGCTATGGTCAGGGATGCAATATTGGAAGGGGGGGTTGTAGAAGACGGAGCACATTCTAGGAGGATATGTGGACAAAAGAAGCCATGCCAGAGCCTATAGTTGATTCAAATGTGTGTTAAACTCGCGAAAGTTCTTTTCTAAGTGGACCATTGGCTACTCTAGATAGTGAATTGCCATTGATTGTATGTATACTCGGTAAGTCGGATTGGATAAAATCAATTTTTTCAAAGCGCTGAGACGAAAATCTAGAAGTTTTCCTTTATGCATTCATATTTTCACTGATGGTTTATTATAGATATGTCAGCAAATAGAGATTTTTGACCTTATTCCAATTTCAAGTCTGCTTTTCGAAAACTTTCTTCTTAAGTTTTTATTTATTTGGCAGCTTTCTTGACTGACACAAAGTCTTTAACAACCAGTCTAAGACTCTTTGCTCAAAAAGTACCCTGGGCTCCAGAGCGTCAAATGTAGCAAGTGGGCGTACTCAAAAAGTTACCAAAGCAAATTGACAAGTTGATTGGCAAATGATCAACCGAATTTTGGTACAGTCTTGAATTCTGCTTAAAAGGATCTCAAATGCAACTGCATTACATCTCTTTAAAAACAGATCTTTAATAAGCCCCCCTTTTCAGAGAGCCTTTGTTGGAAACTGCAGCATTTGACAAGACATTGCTGTGAAATGTGTTCTTTGCTTCAAAGTTTTTGATCCTCCAGAAAAATTTTTAAGCTTCTTAATTTTGTTCATCTTTTTTTCAGCTCTTCCCGTCAGTTTTTCACGCTTGTTACCTTGAAAGAGGAAGCAGAAGTTATAATAAGCGTAGCTTGAAAATCTCGTAAGAATTTCGTAAGGACTAGTAGACTAGGGCTTTATGCAGAATACTTGGAAACTGTCGGATTTGCGGTTTACTGCTATTGAAATTGAATGGAGTTTAAATGATTTACGTTATGTTAATAGTATCTTTGTTTTCTTTCCTATCAGATTACACATCACCTATCAGGTTAATACTTTGAGTTCTTTCGCTTTATGACGATGAAGTCATTTCCTACCCAACTTTTTCGTAAGCATTGACAGCGGTTTTGTTATGACGCAATCTTAAAAACCCTTTGCCCTTTTTTAATGTGCAGTTTAGTCACGGGGGTCATCAGTGAATCCGGATATTTAGGGATTTTTTGTTTTCAACTCAGGAAAGCTGGTCAGCAAACCCAAACAAACTAACTCATATTGAGTACTTCAGAAGGTTAACATTTATTCTTTCTCATTCAAGTGTCAATCAAATGGTTTGAAAAGTTTCACCCGTACGAGCTGTCTTTTCCCTCAGGAGTGCCAAGTTGTCAGAATCTATTTGAAAGAATAAAATAGTATTTTGCAGAATAAAATATCAGGATAAAATAAAATACCTTCCTTTGGGTATGTTAATAAATCAGATTTTCATAAATCAGATAAGTCTGCATTGTGGGTTTTGGTTTGAGAATGGTGAAAACTTCGATGTTTATCGAGGTTTCGAAAACAGCACATCGATCGCGGGACGAAAATAAAAATTTTGCGACTATGTCCTTCAAAATTTCGAAAAACATGGGCAATGCCATTTTAGATGTATCCAATACTTACAGAAATATTTTACGTGTCTTTTTTAAAGCAAATACTTCAAAAGATTTAGAAAATTTTCATTTATCGAATATAAAGAAAATGGTTTACTTACATAAATCGTTCCAAACTTGGAAAGGAGTATTTCCAGAATAACTGAACCGGGGAATACAGACAGTCTCTTCTTCTGCGAATAGTTACTGTAATGTGTAAGCCAGAGGGTATGGTAATGGGCGTGGAACACATTTCTTGCACATTTTACAACATATTCAATATGACAGATGGTTATGGTTAAAAATGACAGTTTTGTGTCTGATCTTACGGCCTGTCTCGTTGGGAAGGACACAAAGGCTCAAATGCTTTTCTGCTGGGGAGCCTTAGCGTCCTAAGAAAATTGGGCTTCTTCGTGGGGCAGGATTTAAAATGTGTGTATCGAATTCAGAAAGAGCCAGGTGCAGCATTTGAAGATCAATTCTTAGGAAAATCGTTGAAGGAGGTAGCCCTCGCCCCCCCCCCCCCTCAACCCTAGGCCTCAAAACATCATTTTTAAGAAATCCTATAATTAGTTGTTCTGATTTATTCAGATTTCCCTTCTATTTAAACTAGAAAAATATTTAAAGTATTAATGTGTGTATTTAAGCATGTATAGTGAACTGGATATTGTTAAAAACTGTCGCAAAGCTGTCCATATAATTTACTTATCGGCCACATTTGATATGATGCAGACAAAACGTTTTTTACCCTGTCATATGTTAATGGTCTCTCCATATCCCCCGTCGTAGTCTGCCAATGCGCAAGCGTACAAAAATGGCAACCATTTAAGGTGGGTGTCGGGGTTGCGAGGAACTTGCGGAAGAAGCTTTGAGAAAAAAATTGTGGCATTCATTACTTATATCCGCAGAGGTTAACGCAGAAGAACTCAAGACATCATGTAAGTAACATATTCGTTTTTTTCAAGTGAGTGAAATTTTTCTATGTATCGGAATGCAGCACAATTGGGATCCATTTTAGGACTTTTTGAGGTGGTGGCCTAAGACTAAACACGCCTCAAGGATACTTTTAAATGTGAATTTGATTCAAATGAATTTTATCATTTTATACCACTTTTTTAAAACTTTTGTGGTTTTGACTACGGATTATAATTGTGGAAACTACTCCTTCTTGACCAGACATAAACAATCAAATGCTTCATATTATGTGGCGACTGGCCCTTCCTGTTTGTGTTTTGAAAAACAGTTTGACCTGTTATTTGCAAAATAGCATCATTGAAGTGATGAGAACATTTTCATTAGAGAAGAGCAATCGAGGAACTAGTTGACCGTTTTAATTTATGCTACAAAATCATTAGGCTTTAATCCATTGAATTTGCTTTTAAATTATAATTTTAAATTTCGAAAGGATGTAAAGCTTTAGTTCAGTTTCTAAATGTCTAGTATGCCCAGCTTTATTTCAGCAAATGTTTCCATCTTATCTGAACTGCATTTTGGTGCATTTATAACCCACAATTTGTTAGAAAATCACATCTCATTCATATACTGGGGGACTACAGTGTGAATACATAGATTGAGGTTACTATTAAAATAAAGATAAGAAGTACAAAAATCTTTTGTGCCAAACTATTTTGTAGAAAAAGCAAATGTCTATCTTTTGCAAAGAATGGTCTTGCCCCCAAAATTCACTGTAAATTTATTCAGTTGTTCTTATTGCTGTAAATATTATTGCTGTAAATGTCAAGGATCTGATTGCAAAAATCTGTTTTTCATTTGCGGTCAATTTTCCTGGGTAGAGACCTGGAAGAAATTAGAACTTTTAATTCAAAACCACAAGGATTAGCAACAAAAACTTTTTGCAGCTAAATTATATTTTAAGTGGCTGAAATCAAGTTTGGGGTGCAAAATCAAAGAGTGAAATATCAGATATCTTATTTGTTTGTGCTTTGCATTCTTCCTATGATATTTCATCTTCTATTAACACTTTAGCTGACCAAACTAGGATTAGCTGAACTACACACTTTTTTTATAAGGAACCACTTTATAAGGAACCTGCATGTAGAAGGCCAAAATATTTAAAAAACTTATACTACTAAAAATGAAATTCCTAAGGAACTTTTTGATTTGAAAAATTTTTCTAACTGTAAGCATCAAGAACTAAAAAGCCGGTTCCATTCATTTGCAGCCAATACTCGCATAGATTGTTTGCTATTCGTGTTTCAAGTGCTTCATTAAGTAGTTTCAGTATATGCTGTCTCACCCTTCTCTCTATAAAGTGTTAAGGCTTATTATAGTCAAAACAAATTAAGGAGATTTCGGTACTACAATTTGATGATTTGAGGTCTACGAATAAGGAACTTTTGGAACTAGGCCTTGAGGTAGGTTCCTTGTAAAAAAGCGTGTACCTCTAGGGAAGATACAGTATTAATGATTTGTTCTATTCTGTTTGAAAATTCTAATGTATGTTTTGATGTTGTTCATTTTATAATCCCTGCAAATGGATAATTTGATTTATTGGATTATCCACCAGGTATAACAATTAGAGACACGACTAATTAACATTCAGCATTTAAATTATTTAGAAGCTTTTGATATATGGAATGGAAAAGTTCTAAGTTGCCAATCAAAGTTTGATACTTAATGCAATCAACAAACAGCTGTTCTTAATATGGTCATACACATATATACCTAATTTAGAATCTTTGATGATTTAACATTGATTTTTATAGCCATAATGTTGCATGATTTGATTGATTTCAATTTTTGAAATTGAATTGAAAGTCTTGATCTTATTTTAGCATGGAGAATCCTATCATTACCTCAATCAAAAGGTACCAGTGATTGCCAATTGATCTATGATTCTCAGAAATGATTCATCTAATCGATTAACTGAATCCAGATAAAAATTGATCTTTTTAATGAATTAGTACAATAATTTATTTGTGATTATCCTTTGATTGTGTTAAAAATTTTACAAGATTTGTTGTTATTAAGCTTCATACTTTTGCAGTGTTTTTATTTTTTAACTAATGTTTTTTAACTAATGTTAAAGTCATACTCACCTTATCCTTAGAATCACATTTCTCTTCAAGTAATAATTTATGATCTAATCAGAAACAAATCAAATTTTAGCTTAGTCATTAAATTAAAGCCTTTGGCTTTAAGTCTTTAAAAGGAATGGGGAACTTCAACTGTTCTTGTCACTGACATTTTAGCTTTTTCTATCTAAGACAGGTTTCTTATTATTGTTAAAGATAAAGAATCTGTTGGCATTTTGAATATCTCAACATTGTAAACACACATAAAAAATAAAATTGGTAAAGATAAATATGCCCTACAGAAAGTACATTTTGTAAACAGTCTGTAGCTGTTTGTTTTCAAACAAGATATTTTCAGCATCTCTTTCAAGTGTTTGGTGTTTTTATTACTGGTTACCCACTTTCTCTTCTTCATTTTCTTATACCAAGCTTTTATCCGATCTCTGTCTCTTACTATCATCTGCAAGATTATATGCTATTGTACCAGTGTTCTCAATTTGCCTTGTTGTGCATTAGATCAATGTCTGTTGCTGCTGAACTCATTTTAGGAACACATCAAATCTTGTCTGATTGTCATGCTTGATGGAAGGGAGTAAAATAACAAAAATAACTTAAATATGTCTTTCAAATAATTACTTTCTTTGGAAAAAATATTATTTCATTCATGTTTTGGTCTTTGATTAAGGGTTTTTTATGATTGGAGGTTTGAGCTACCCCCAAAACCCTCCTTAATGCATTACAGTGATATATAACAATACAGCCAGCTTGCATCAAAAAATTAATGCACTAAAATTAGAAATTTAAAACCTCTTGTTGAATTCCCTCCACAAAACCCCCCCTTTCTGGGCCCCTTCCAGCCACTTCAGTATGCCACTGATAATATGATCTATATATAGCTGTTTTTCTCACAGTAAAATACTATGCTGTCTTTTTCAATCTAGAACTTATTGAGACTATTATTGCTTGCCACTGTAAAAGCTTGTCAAATTTCCTTGTTCTTTTTTCCGTTCGTGCTCTAGTTTCCTAATAAATAAAGCATGCTGACTTCCTGACTTTATTTGTTTATATTTTCTTTTATTAAATCTAGCCTGAATATAACAAGCAAGATGAATTTTAAACTTGTCAATTATTCTTTTCACTGATAAGGTTTTGAAAATTAAAGGGTTTCAGATTTGAACTGAATTTTATCAAATTTTTATTAAATAAGTGTGAATCTTGTTTGTTTAATTTTAAAATATTATGAATTTGTAAATTAATTCAGCTCTAAATTTTTTGTTTCATTTTCTCCATTTGTAAACTGCATAAGAGCAAGTAGCAAAGATTTAAAATAAATTGATAAGTTTCCTTTAAACATTTTTTGAGAATTATTTGCTCTTTGATGGTATCTAGAATTGAATCTTTAAAACCTGAAACTGCTTGATGAGTGCTGCTTTTTTCCATGGGATATTAAAAAAGAATGAGAGTAAATAGATTCATCACCAACCATAAGTGTCAGGAAGGCAACTGGTTTTAGTCTGCTCCACCAAAAAGGCCTGAATGGGGCATGGGGGCATGGGGGAAAATAGTCGTAAATTTCTTAAAGAATGTTAACAATTGCAAGCCAAAATTGCTTTACCTTTGCCATCCCACTCTGAAATTCAAGGTGTGGCTCAAGTCCAGGGGTGCTTAGAGGCTTCAGAGGCCCTGGGGCAAAGCAAAATGTGGGGGCCCCCTTGCAAGCAAAGTGAGCAGAAACATTTGTAACCATGTCCTATAGATTAGCTTAAAGCACATTTCAGAATGTTTCTTGTGTTCATTTTTATATAATTGATTAAAACGTTTTGCTATTTTTTAGGCATACTTTTGTAATGTTTAATTAATTCAATTTTCTAAAATGAAATTATTTACTTTATGATGCCCACCTGCCCCCCTCTCAAAGGCCTTGCTCAAGTCAATGGTGAAAGAATAATTTCATATTGCAATTCTTTGTGGTACCCCTCGTCTTTTCTAAAAAATTTCAATAAACATATGCTGTGATTAATTATAAGGAAGTTTTTAATTGTTAACTATGGAGTAAATCAGCACTCATCTAAACATGTTAAAAATGAAGCCGTGCATTTAAGATTAAAATCTATTCAATGAATTTAATTCTATTCTTAAAAGAAATTACATTATTAATCATGCATTCTATTCAAAATATATTTAGGGTGCCCATGGCTTGATGTGCGTTGGGAAATGCATAGTCCTACATCAACAAATTCTCAACACATTTTTAAGCATTTTATTTTCCAATAATTTTGTAACACAGCATTTTTACATTACATGTAAAGTAGAAAACTCACTGATCTTTAACAGAAATTGAATTTTATCTTGTCACAGTGATAAACATTTAAATAGCCATGTCAGCATCGGAAAGTTCATGTATAGATTTTTCATGAACGAGCAGTAATTATTTATTAATTGTATCGAGCATAGCGACCAGAATTAAAGAGCATTTAAATCTTTGAATTTTTTTGGTGATTTTTGAAACAAATCGTGCTTTTAACCAGGAACTTTTGGTTCTATCTCGCCCAATAGTTCATACCATTAACCATGCACTGAATTTTATCTGCTATTATTTTGCCATAATCTAAAATGTTTAATCCCCTTCCCCGCCTAATCTATATGCGCCAAGATATTTGCTTAAAACGATTAAGAATAAATTTGATGTCAAATCCACAATCTTTATGATAAAAAGCAGCTAATTATGTGCTTTAAATATTGCTGTGATGTGGAAATGAGTGTTCATAGGATTTGAGCACGATAGTCTAGATTCATAGGCAATGATCTAGAATTTTGTTACAGTATTCTTTTGAAATTATTTTAAACTCTTTGCCCTTTGGTTGCTCTTTGGTTGGAGCTAAAGCATTGTTTTTTGCTGAAATGACGTCATTAGCAGGTCATTAGCAGTTCTCTACTCAAACAAAATTCTTCCCAATTTAACGTATCGTGTTAGTCATTGGCGTCTTTCTAGTATGATCGTTGACCATTATGATCGTTGGTGACTATGATAGGTGATGGTTGTGATCGTATATGATTATGTCTTTTGTGACCGCTGATAGATGTTTCATAAAACTTGGCAGGTCTGAGCTTGATGATATTGATTTTAACATGGATAGCAGTGGCAGTGCTGATGAGGACGATCATGACTTCACTGACGCCGATGCGGCTATTGATCGCATGCTGGATGAGCTTCAAGACTTCACATTTGTAAGTAATGTTTATTTTGATATAAAAAGCCTTACACCTGAACACCTTTGATCTACTCTCAGTTTCAATTGCGGTATTTGTGTCCCGGCCCACTTGCGTCCATATTTTCAAATTCCCAGGGTGTACCCTGACGTGTGCAAACGCTTAAGTGCTATATGCACCCTGACGAGGAAGATCTCCCACTAAACGATTAGGCCTAACAATAAATTTAGCTTTAGTGGTTTAGACATAATCAAGAATTTGTTGTTTGTCTACTGAAAGTACTAGTTTCTGTCCTAATTTGCGAAATTTTGTATTAATTTCGGTTTCTTCTCAGAGATTTGGTATAAACGTAGTAACTTCGATATGAGCAAAGTTTCTCTGTTCCTGTGCGGCACACTTTTGGTACAGATGCAGTTACATAGTATTAACTCACTTCCAGGAGTGACAGATAGACCAGGGGCCTTTAAAACAGTTAGTGAACAAATGTAACGAATAAAATGATTTTTTGAACTAGTCATCAAGTGGAAAGTTTAATATGTCATATATCTCCAAGCAATTTCAAGGCTGTGAAAGTCTCTTTTAAGAAATCTGCCTGAAGGTCTGATATACCACAGCACCAAGCGGAAACCTTGTTGGTCTTTAGCCACCAAACCTTGCAGCATTGTCAAATTGTTACATTTTAAAGTTAACCTGAGGCTTTCCCTCTTTCTATCGTGGTGATCTTAGGTAGAACAGCAAACTTTATTTGATTGTTTCCAAGGTAGACTTTTGTCTATTGAAAGGAACTCTTTGAAAGTTTAATTGTATTTGCTTTTTTGTCAAGTAGCCTGTCTACACTGACATCCCTCCAACTCGTCTTTCTAAAAATTCTCCTACCTAATTTTAAATATGTCCAAAATTCGAGACTTACCGTTCCGTTTCCAGTTGTTTTCGACATTCACCATTAAATGCTTGGCTCATTTTGCTCAACACATGATTCTAGTCTGACCCACAAGACAAGGGCTATCTTATACTTTTACTGGTCTTTCAAACAAAGGCAGGCAATTTGCCATTTGCACACGTGCTAAACAAGTGTATTCGTTCCAAGAAAATTTAGTTCCGGTATATATGATAAAAACCTGTACTTCTCTTATACGGTTTTAATGCAACAAGAAAGTTGTAATAATAACAGAGATGTCCTGTGGTAATTTGAAATATCTTTATTTTGCTACAGGAGCTTGAAGGTACCTCAAATGGAAATTCTGGCACCACTACGACATACGAGCCATTAAATTCGGAACCAAAAAGTCCCAAGAGCCCAAAGATACCCACAGTGACCTCCTCATTGGTATGTTACATTTTCTATTTGCGCTCAAGTTCAGCCTATTTCACTTCTCAATAATAAAACATTTAAAATTATTACTGTGTAGAAAGAATGTTCTTTGTGAAAAGGCACCTCTACGCGTATTATTGAAAAAGGTGATATAAGTTCTATCAAATATGTTTTGCACTCATTGCAAAACATTGCACTCATTGTTATACAAATAGATTGCAAATTAACGTAATCTATGTATAAATAGTTACTTGACTTTTCAGTTTGTTTGGGTGTGATGTACATTGTGCAGTAAACAAATCCAAATTTTGAACCAACATCTCACCTTCAACATTTATGAAGGTAATCGTTTCTACAAATCAAAGTTTTTAGTTAAAAAATGGTTTGGAAGAAAAGCAATTTCGAGCACAGCGTTTTCATTTCAACTTTACATCAGTGTGTTCTGCTAAATCTCTTCGTATAAAGATGTTCCCAACGAGTTTGTTTTTGTCAAGGGGAGAAACATGCTGTATAGAATGGTACACTGCGCCAGTGATGGTTAAGTCTTGTAGATTTTGATGTTTTCATTTTCTTTGTGTTTGTGTCTTTTGCAAAAGGATAAAAGACATTGCCTGCTTGATTGAAGTATATGAGTCACCTTGCGTTCAGCTTTGGTGAGGCCTTGAACACCCAGTTGATGCTTTCTGCTTTTGGTTTATGGTTCGTGTTGAGCTTATGTTCTGCTTTTGGTATTGATTGGTCTCTTGTTCCTTTTGGGCGTTACTATTAGTTACCAAAAGGGTGAGCTAGATATCTACAGGAGACCCATAATACAGTTACTAACACCACTTCCCTTCGTCCACTACGTTGATTCAAGTAACTACTGAGCCCCATTTATAAACTGAGCATATTCTTGCTTTCATGCACTTACGTACGGAGCGTGTCTATAAATTCCCTTTCGCCCTGTGCTGCAGATTCAATCGTCAAAAGATTCAATTATTTTCATAAGTGCCTCTGGTCTCAAAAAGTTGTCATTCCATATCGATATACATTTTTATAAGAGCGAGCTTTCTAAGAAGATTTGTGCTCCAAATTGTGGTTTTCGAAGACTTGATTAGGAATAATAGCCAGGCTCAAATTTAGTCGACAGTTCGACGTTTATATTTCCAAGTTTTTGGAGCAAGTGAATTTCTATGACATTTCTGGGTTTCTTGAGTCATTTTAAGAAGTTTCCCCTAGCGTTTTCTATCAAATGCCTGATTTAAATAGCATATAAGTGGTTACTTCCTGTGATGGCTGCATTGTAGTTTCCTCATTAATTTCTCTTGCTAATGATATTACTTATAATTTTTGCACGTCGTATGCGACAGCGTCTGTTCGATGTTTGAAAATGATCCTAAACCATATTTCTGCTTCTTGTCAAAAGCGAGTGACTTATCAATTTCTGGATTTTAGATTCAGTTGGCGTAGTTCTTGGCAGAACAATCGTAATTGTCAAATAGCCTTCTTTTGACATTTGTTGGGTGTTGGGTGTCCCCGTAGTGACGTCATCATTTCTGCCTAAAGAGTTTGCGGATGGTTTTGTTTTCTTGAAAGTCTGGGTTCTTTACTTCCTTGTTTATAACTTGACTGACTGTCCGTTTCAAATAGCCGTTGGTTGCCAGTTCGTGATTTGGCCGTATGATGATGATGTTGTGTGTCAGTCAAAACGTCAGGAAATGCTTGTGATGGCAGATGCTAGAACTAAAATTAGGCTACCTCGAGACACTTGAAAGACCTTAATGGCAAACGAGAAATTACAGATCCAGTAAAAGGTGGCTATTAGATCAAGGAATCGTTTATTATCCAATAAACACATTCCTTTTAAAGTTTTTGTAGGGTTTTTAAATTTCAGCCACGATTTGTAGTAAATTTCTCGCATGTATACCTATCAAAATTGACCTTTCCAAATTTATTATTTCGAAATTATCAAAATTTGTTTTCAGAAACATGATGAGAAGCGCTCACTGTAGTGTCACTGAGTCGCGATAGTTGAAAACAATGGAAATAAATTAACGAGAAAAAAATTAATTTTTCAGAATGTCTTATACTAGGAATGATATTGTTAAGAACGAAATCTAAATCTAAGATATTCAACTAGGACTGCAGAAACAGATATTTGAGTTCTAGTTAACGTACAGTTTAGTAATTTGTGTACTTAAAAGTGGTGGCTCTGCTATCAACTTTTTTGCGTTAAAAACGAGTGGCTGTTATTTGCCCCTGATCATGGCTCTCTGGTAAACTATGATACCTAAAGTACCAATCCACGTATTACGTCATAGTTTCTAATTACATGACTGTGTCAATGATGTCACAAATCGCTATTCTTGATATCGTGTTACCTGAAGTACAGGGTTTATTTTCGTGACATCACTATGGAAAGGGGGTGGCATATCAATGTTTCCTTTTTCCACCATCTCATTTATCCTCGTGAAATTGGAATGACTTTGAGGCCCCTTTATATTTGACTCCAATTTATGGCTTCAATATAGAGTGCACCATTTGGAAGGTTAGCTTCCAAAGCGATGATGCTCTTTGTGAAGTATCTTCTTTGTGAAGAATTTTGTGAAGTAAATTCTTTTCTATTTTGTTTACATGCACAAGCAGACAAGTACTGTTTAAATCTTCTTTGCAATTAACAGGGGCGGAAATTCAATTTTTAGGTAGGCGCCAAATCTCCAAAAACAAGCGTATTTGCCGACAAATGACAAATTTTACGGCCAAATGCACTTCAAACTGTGTTTTAACTGACGATTAAGCAAAATCTGGGTGGAGGCAATTTCCGCACCCTGGCAACTAAGGAAAGTGTCAGGACACCGTTTCGTTTCCAAGTTTTCTGGATTTAGAAATGCTATTATCTAGATACACACTGCCAGCAGTATTGAAAGCACCTAATAAAGTTCCTCCAAAGAAACAGTATTATTCCATTCACAGAATGGTTCTCTGTCCTGTGTTCCTATCTATGAGTTTTTGTTAGCTTACCCTGTTTTATTGCTTCTGATAACACAAATGCCTCGTGCCAAGACACAATGAAAACAGCAGCGGTGCTAGATTTGGTGATAATAATGATAACGACCATTGTCCTCGTATTGATGTAGACCACGTGGTCGGCTTCCATTTTGATCGAAGTGCTTTTTCGATTTGTTACCTGTTAAATAGTGCACCATTGTGCTTATGCACGCACAAATATAAACAAATATAAATCATGACGCTATTATATGGCATTCTAAGAACCACTGAGCCGATTTGCCCTTCTGAAATCCCGTACATCCTTTTTTGATTGCATACCTCTGCTGGAGTGAACGTATTCAGTGACAAATCCCTTTTCAATTGATCTCGCATGCCCAGCCTTTGTTTTTCCGTATCTTTTTAGAATCATTTATTTTTTGCTTAAGACCTTAGTTCATCCATTCATTATTTAAATGGATTATTCCCTTTACGTCCGACGTGGTTTCCATCATCGCTGCACTACTGAGCGGTGGAATTCTTATCCATCTCTTTTTAATTCTTCTCTTCTTTCATGACCTTTGATACTCAGATGAGAGTATTTGTAAAATCTCAATATAGCCTTTGATTAGTAATTCTACTGTGCTTCGTTATTGGAAACTTAACCATGAAATTGTTTGGCGTTCTTGTGTTCACCCGTGGTTGTCGCTGTGAGAGCATGTCACACCCAGTGTTTACGCTTTTTAACTATGTTTTTAGTAAACAATGAAAACATCTCCGATTGTTCCTCGTCTTTTCGTTCGTGGGAACCCATTGAACGGTTCTTTTGTACTAAAAAATTCTTCACAAGACGCGTAAAAAATCACATTCCAACTAGAAATGATATTGATCAACCCTTATGATAACCATCTGTCTTTAGCAAAACAATAACTTTCGATGGCGTGTTTGTACATAGGCTACACTACGTCCGTGTCTGGATTCAGTTTACGTGGGCAACCCGTGCCTATCCCACTAAAGGTTTACTTAAGTTTCAAGTCACTCTAATCTCCACTAGCGTCAACTCAATGATGACACAGTAGTCACGAATCACCTACCGTACAACTATCAGCAATGTATTTTACCTTCAACTGAACATTTCGCGCGTAAATCCGAAAGCAAGAGGACGCTTCACCATGGATCCTTTCAGTCATAGCATGGCTAATATTATTCTGCTTTGGTGGTATTTCAAAGATGTTCACAAATATTGTAAAAGTATTTCATCTTTGCAGGATCATTTGAGGTTTTCTACCATTGCTATTGAAGGTAGGTCTCATCTATTTCGATTTCCATTGTATTGTATATTTATTTCATTTGCTAACAACAAAGTGAAGGGTAGAAAGTACAGCTCCATCATAAGAAACATCAAAACCGTGTCAATTGGACAGTATGATTCTACGTTGTGTGTGTATACTATTGGAGTAATATGTCTTTTCACAAATGGCTTTGCGCAAGAATTTCACTAAAAATCACGGAATTGAGAAAATTTCCGTAAGAAGAAATCTCGAGGCAGTTTCCAAACTTATTTGAAATTAACGTTATTTGAAATAAACAAACTACCCCAAAGTTACATTGGAACACAGAATTTGAACAACAAATCTGCTAGGTTTTCACTACCGGGTTGTGGCTTCTGACAGATAGTATTGAATTTTGATTATAATGTAATCGCTGAATGAAAAGGTATGTACGCAATGGAGAATTATTATTTTACATGTAGTTTGAGGCGTATGGCGAAAATCTGAACTGTAAACAAAGCATTTTGCGAACATTTTTTGTTAAAAGCAAACAACACCATGGTCACACTTTACTTTTACAGGTGTTTTAAAGTCCTGATTAGTTCTGTTTTCCACAATAAAGTTAACAGGTAGATGTCAAAAATTCACCCAATGAGAAATGGGCCGAATATTTCAATACCTCGAACGACCTTCTAGAAATCTGATTTGTTAAATATTCCAATTGTTACCAGACTGGCATATATTTTATCACCTTGCTATTTTTCAATCTACCGGGTGCCATCGAAGTTTACTGGGATAACATTGCAGATTTAAAAAAGTATCAAAGGATTGCAAAAGTGTCCAGAGACGTTAGCGAAGCGAAAAAGCCAGGGGCAAATATTAGATTAAGGGAACCTTAAAATGATGGTTACCTTTATTGTAAAAAGATGAGATCTTTGAAAAATTCGATGAAATGGTCTGCTATGATTTAACAAGGCTGCATTCATATGTCGCTTTTTTTCTTTTTCATATTTTTTAAGCTTCCTTGGCTGTTTTTTGTTCCCAGCATTAACTGTGTTTTTAGGAAGCCAAATTTTTGTTCGTTGCCTGCTGTCCACTAAACCTGCACTTTAATAGATATATATGTCCTTTTACGTTCTGGTTTTGAAAATTTTAGCTCAAAGTCGGCTGATTTTTTAAGGGCAGGTGTTAATGATATTTTTTATGTTGGGAGCTTTTCGATATAATTTCAGATTTGGCAAGATTTGGACTCAAGCCTATAATTTTTCGATTCAACATGTAACCTTCGGAATGTGTAACCAAACTATACCTATCAGCTAGGAATATCAGGTTTTTAAAATGACCTTTGGCGCTTTATTATTGCAAAAATCTTTATGTAAACATTGAGAAATGGAGTCCATACAGAGCTCTCATTGGAATGATTTTCTTGCATAGCAATTCTTTTTCTGCTTCCTTACTTCCAGGATTGAGTTCACGCAAACTATTACTAAACTATTAAACAGGATTGAGACACTTGTGTTCAATTTGTTTTAAGAGTTACAAGAAAACAAATTCGTGTGTTTGCAAAGTTAAACACATAGAAAAAATGTTAAATACCTTGGAACTATGCGTGCTGAATTTTCATTTTACCATATGGTGCTAAAATCCGATATTATTCTATCGTGCAATTCTAGTATAAGTGCGTTAGTATCAATAATTCAAGCTAGGCGCCTGACAAAAGTCTGGTAGAATTCACCATTTTAATTTTCCTCCCAATGTTTCGCAATGCCCCCAACGTAATGTCCCAAAAGGGGCTAGGAGCCCTTAAAAACTCTAGCAACAGTGGATGCACCCGGGTTTACGTTTACAGAAGCGTTTAAGCAAAATTTAATAAAACTGTGAATTCATGAAAAAATTGGGCTTGAATGAAAATATTGTTGAGACTGTATTAGTTTATCGTACGGTATAGGTATAAAATTTATTTCATTTGATTATAACTATCATTCAATTTGATCCACCATCACAATCCCCCACACTGATACGTTGTTCCTAGGGTAGCTTGGCTGTTATTCCCATCGTCCTTCGTCAAAATTTTCAATGCACCAGGGTGTTTTTTGTTTATAGGTGACAATTGATTGATATAGACTGCCACAAATATGCTCTGAGAACAGACCGCGAAAGGGCATTGTTAAATGTGGATCTTTGGGGTTTTACTCTTTCCTCTAAGATACCGTAAAGTCTGTTAATCTGTCTGAGATATAGCTTTTGGAACAAACACATGAAAGGGTGTTGGATCGTCTCTTCAAGTAGTTTTGGAGCCCAGCCAGGTACATCGCAGACTAGAAATTGTAACTTGTGAACATTTTGTGATACAACGCGTTGAAATTTGAAATTTGTTCGATTCGGAACATGGGAAAAGAAATGTTGGACTGCTCGTGCTCGCATGATGGACTGAATGTTGTCACTCAAGCTGTCACTTATTACAACATATTGGTTTTTGTTGGTACTGGTTTAACGTTCCAGTTTTAAAAATTGAGGTTTGTGAATCGCTGAAAACTGAGTACATGAGGGAGGAATTGAAGAAAATGTGGGAGGAATTCTACCAGTGCCAAAAACACAATGTCAGTCTCCAATTTTACATAGTTGCCAATAATTGTTTAGATAAACTCATCAACTATATATGCAGAGGAAAAACATCAAAAAGCACCAAAATATACCTTTCTATTGTGAAGTGTCGTTTTTTGGCCAATTAGAAGATTTGTAAATGCTATTTTATGACTTATCTGGATTAGGATATTGGATGTTGCATTTTATTTATTACTTGTGTTCAGGTGGTCCGCTGTCTTCGCACTATTTTATTAATCATCAATGCTTGATTCATTGGGCAAAACCCTAGTTAACACTGCAAAGCTTTAAAACAGTGCTCCGTTGTTAGAAGTAAAGACAAACACCGTGATATCTCGCTGTATACTAGGGATCAGATAGAGAGAAGACACCAATTTGTTTGTGGTTTAAAAAGCCTTACAAACAAAACCATAACGGTAAGTCCAATATTTGCCTTGCAACGAAGCCGTTTCATTTAGACCAGTTTTTAATTGCAGGGATCATCCAGTTCTCCCGAAAGGCAAAGAATTTGACGAACTCTGCCTGGGTAGACGGTTTCTATTATCTTGAGCAGATTAAGAACATAATTTGCTTTTTTTGTTTAATATTCGGTAGAAAGTGTTTCTTTGAGATATGGCAGTCTTTTGAGCATGTTTTTGTTCATGTGTTACGATTGTTACCTGTTTTTTTGGGCAGTTTCATTGCAATTCGACAAATTTGACTTTTGCAACGGGCAAAAGAAGCAAATTAACGTAGCTATGGTATATTTAGCTATCTCGTCTTAAATCTGTCATGACCTTAGACTTGGCTATAGCATTTTAAGCCTGTCTTCTAGAAGGTCATAGCCTTGCAGAATTAGATCTGGGACAATGCCTTATTCCGAAAGAATTCAATAAGTTTTGGGACTAACTGTGGAGTGTTGGAAAATGTGGCGTGAGGACGGTCATTAAGAACAGCCCAGGTCAGGTCCTGTATCCGTTGTTTTTGTGAGAAAAGGTTTTCAAAGTTTTGTTAATTGGTCGAAGAGGTATATAAGCATGGTTTACAGTTAACAGAGTGTGAGTGAGGATGAATTTTGATTGGTCTTTAAAAGACATGTGACCAAGTTTGCAGATAAAAGCCTGTTTGTGTCACGAACGACACTCAAGGTGTCGCTGTCAGCCGTTTGTCGCAGGCTTTTCAGCTTTAAAATCGAACTAAGACCACATTTATAAACTTCTGCCTTGTACAGCGGTGAAAGAATGTTACATTTTGCGTTTAAAAAGGCTGTCGTTCTTTTTACACGATAAGGGTTGATGGTTCAGCATTCTATTATTTTCCTTCTTGAAACTTCAATATTGGCTCTTGCTGCATTACTTTTCCTGATCGGAATTTGGTTCACGTAGTTTTAAAATTCATTTGTTCACATTTCTTTGGAAAGAATTCGTTATGTACAAATAGAGTGTCATTTCTACGTCACTACGTTTTTTGTGGGGTTCGTCTTCATAGAATGAATGTCAATAATTTCGATGACATTGTCCTGTTCTGTCCACCATGATTTACATCCACATGAAGATCTTTTCCCAAATTGCCCTTAATCAAATCAATGTTTTTCTAATTACCCAATATCTTTATGTTTCCGTCGTTTTTTGGCCATTTGATTGTTTGACTGTCTACCATCCCACCCAGCCCACAAAAATCTTTGTCGTGTTTACCGATAACAATTCCTTTAGCACATCTTTTTCCATGCGTTATTTGTTCAAAAAGCTTGGTACCTATTGTTCCTTCCCAAGCTGTTACCATACGTCACTCTGGTGGATACTCTGGTTTTGAAGAGAGTGCTCTCCAACACTTTATTTTTTTCTATAACATTTTTACATCTTGTTGGACGTTTTGACGAATAGTATGTATTTGATTCAGACACTATCGGCTTTTGATAAGCGCGGTAGTAATAGTATTTGTCTAGAGGTTTATGGCTCTTTTTGTTATTTAATTATGTAGTTCAATTAGTACGTAGATTTGCCAGTTAGTACGTAGTAAGGAAATAACATCTTATAATTTTTAGAAAAGGAAAGGAATCAAAGAAGGGAATCTTAAAAGCAATCTTGCACCAATCCCTAGATGTTTCTGAGATGCTAGATTTAACTTCCTATACTTTTCGTTTCTAATCAAAAGTTATCTATCAAGAATCATTAATATCATGAAACTTATTAACACATACGAGTCTCTATAGTTTAGTGGGTTTGAAAAACCACTGTCGTTAAAGGTAACCGAAAAGCTGAAACCGAAAGATTTATGCCAAACCACGTGTGTTTAGGCGTGTTCCTTCAGCTGAAAGCGATAGGTAGTAAGATGAAAGATTTTTAGCAGGATAATTTTAAGCAACAAGAACAGTAGTGTCACGAAAAATTACACGGAAGAGTATGGATAACCTAAATGATATTCGATGTGCAATTTGGTTTTTTACAACCACATGCCACGGGACGTGCCTCTTTGGTCATCTCTTTTTCTGTTCATTATCTTGAAAATATTTAGCATGCCTCCCCGTACCCCCTTAACGCTATACCCATTTGCGCAAGACACCATTTGGAAAGGAACTGGACGCCTATGAAAGTGAAAGTTCATTTCCAATCATATTAATTGTGGTAACTTCATTTGTATTTCTTTGCTTCGTGCTCGCATCAGTTATTCAGGGACATCTAGTGACAGCTTGAATGACATTTTCCCGCGTTTGAAATCAACTGCAGGCATGAACAAGTCTTGGTTTTAATTCGTTTGCTTATCAATGTTTTCGCAAATGATATTGGATGTAAAACTGACGTCATTTTTCTATGACGCATCGTTAGCCATTGCTGAAGAAACATTATTTTCACGCGAAGCGGTAATTGTGGACAGCTAACTATGTTAAGCGTCAACACGTTTTCGCTGCATCAGGCTTTTATTAGAAATGCGACCATGTAGTTTCTAGTACATCGTGACTCATTGCTGGAAAACGCGAAGTGCTCGATGAGCGGCGGATAATGCCAACCGTATATGGTCAGCGTGTGCATGTAACCCGTCTTGACGCGCGCAGTTTGAACTAAACCTGATGGTAAACTTTCACTCTAGATACCCCAGATGTTGATCTCGATGCTTTACTGGAAGATCTTTGCAGCATGGAAAAGGACATGATGAACAGTGTAAACGACAGTGGTATCTCTTCGAATTCATCTATGACAATTTCGTCCTCAAGCACAACCTATTCCGAAAGTTTCTCCAATATTTCTCAACCAAGTGGAAGAGTTATGTCGCCAAAATCGCCAATGTCACCAAAATCGCCAGTTCCTGCAAATGTAAGTAACACCGCTGCACGTTGCTTATATTCAAACGTCCTTTCTAATCGTTTTCCGAAATTTATTTTTCCCAAATGGAAAAGGCTTTGGTCTTTGTCATTTTAATTATCCAAGTTTTGCGAGAGTTGCTGGTCCAATGCCAAAATTTCTCTGATGCAATTTTTCAGTGTTTGGTCATGAGGCCAACTCCTATGTCAGGGCAACTTAGAACCTTTCTGCTCTATTCATAAAAGCCTGTACAGCTGTGCCTATATGGTACAAGGACCGCGGTTCATTTTACGTAATGAGGAGGTTTAAAAAATATTTTGTTGGGGGGAGGGGAGCGGCTAACAGGCTAGAAGCCAAGAGCAAGACGATTTTTTGTTTGCTTTTAAGTACATTTTGGAAATAAATGGGGAAGGCTAAGCCCCCGCAGCCCTCGCTTCCGCGGTCCACGATATGACATCGAGTACCGTATGACAAATAGGTAAAGCAGTAATTGACAATCGAACTAAAATAAGATGTGTTCTACTGGGCTGCTCGTTGCAAAAATTATGACTCGGGAATGACCCTGACTGCGATTGGAAATCCCCTCCTCTTTTTAACCCACTCTGCGCCATCCCCTCTACATGAATGCTATTTGAGATTGTCATGGATGGATTGGTTTCCCCATTGCGCACTTTTTAGGGAGCAAGGCGGCATGACCCAGTTTTCGTTTCGCACTAATCCCATGACAGCATGCAGCATTTCGTTGTTAGGAAATTTATCATGATCATATATCATGTTTAAAGTATTTCATCTTAGGCCAGTCTTTAAGCCATGCGGTTAGCATTTGCGAGTTTGAAGATTTTTGATAAAACAGTTGGTTGTACTTCAAAGGAGTAGTTGGTTTTAATTTTTGCTTTCGTGTTTATACAGAGACAATTTGCAAAGATTAGGCTTAATTGTTATGGTTTGAGCGTAGTTCTTTGGAACATTAAAGAGAATCTCTAAAAGCCGGTGTGTTTTTATTGTTAAATTGAAGTTCTGTTTCGCTAAAGGTTACTTCCGATGTGAGAGATCGGCTGGAGAATCTGCAAGAAGAAACGAGGGAGTTAACACCAGAAGAACAAGAAGCAAGATTTAAGGCAGAAAAGATCAAGATTGCACTGGAAAAAATGAAAGCTGCAAGCGTACAGAAACTGGTCGTTAAAGTCTTTGACGATAACTTGGAGACATCGAAAACGATGTTAATAGACCAGACTTGGACTGTGAGAGACATCGTGACGAAAATGGTGAAAAAGAACGACGTAGAAGTTGACCCAAATTGGTCTTTGATTGAAAAACTTCCCGACATGCATTTAGGTATCTAGTTTTTCGAAAATGCATTTTCATAGCAAGTTTTTGTAAGAGAGAAATGAAATTTAATTACCCTGAGTAATTTGCCACCTTTCTTTTTCGGCCGAGATTTGAGTACCTATGTTTTCAAGAAAACTATAACACTATGCTATTGTTCGTTGTTAGTTAAGTAGGAAATTTTGACACGTAAGTAGGAAATCCTCCCCTCTCCCAAAGAGTTTTGCAGCTGTCTAGGACACTTTCTGCGTGTTTGCTTTAGGCAACCTCTTTGAAAATTTGAATCATCTTCCACAGTTTAGAAATTTGGATGTAAAATTGTTGGGGAAGGAGGCGAAAAATGAATTTTTCTATTGGGATCTAGATTTTTTTAACATATCACATTGAGAAATTGATTTGTTTCCAATATGATTCCCGACACTGTTCTGCAGTGCTGTATTGACATGTTTAGAGCAAGGCCCTACATGCTTCAAAATTGGGCTGAATATGCAATTCGACCTTTCTTCTTTGATGCAGTAAGGTACCTATTGTTTCTTTACGGATTACGTCTTTCGACGTTTTAGCTATCTACCCAAGAAATTATTATAAATCATTATAGTATAGTGATAAATATATTATAATTTTATCTTCTTTAATAACGAAAATGCATTTTGCTGTCTACTTGACCATTCACACTTGCTAAGAAAAATGCTTTCTGATGAGTGAAGTTATATGCTTGATGTCATATTTGCTCTTAATTTCAGAGAGAATAATGGAGGAGCATGAAAATGTCCTTCCTGTCGTGTTTGATTGGACGAGGGATACCACAAATATGCTTGTGTTTACAAAGAGGAGAGATAAATTCACCTTATTCCGTAATCCACAGGTTTGTGCATTTCAACATCCTCTGGCTATTTTTTCAGTCACTAGTAGTCAGAGAAACCTCGACGATTTGTCTCCTATACATTCTTTGAATATTGTGAAATAACCGACAGTTTTTCAGAATCTAAGTTTTTATCCTTTGCGGGAAATACGATTGTCTGTATCAGGCTGAAATGCTCTAAAATTGTTTGGAATTCTCTAATGATGATACTTTAATACGCTGGGTAATGAAATCGCATTGCTTCTATAACCATTACAAGAATTCCTCTGATGTCACTTCAACCTCGCGTTATGGTTCTCAATTGAAATTTTATACCCTTTACATTTCTTCCCAGGTACCTTTCATATTGAAAAGAGTTGCTTTCATCTCCATTTCTATTAAAGGAACACCCTTTTCTTAAAAGAAAGAAATAACTTTCGTCAGTTCATATTGTTTTGCCCTTCCTCTTTCTATTTCTATAATTAACCTTATTAAGTTTTTCTTTATCAACAAAACCTTCTTTCCTGCATCCTACAGAAGTTTTTTTGCTACGGAAGATGAAGAAATGTGAAAATATATAGAGATTTTTCGTTTTTTGATAGAATCGTACGGAGTAATACATACCTGACAACAGTATTTCAACACACAATGCAACTAATAATCCAACACGTTTTACTACATTTATCTTTCTGCCAAACAGTTTCCAAGAACTTTTTTTCGTTTTATCTGCAGAACTTTCTTTTGGCTTCGGGTACATCAGCTGGAGCAGCCCAGTTGGCTGAAGCAAGCAAAGATATTTTGTTAGAGGTAAACCCATCTTACTTCTTTGCGTATTTTACAGAATAAATTCATAAAGCATCTAGCTAGCCCCTTAATTCCAATCAAAATACAATGTTGTTTGTTGTCTAGATTAATTGAACCTAACTTCTCTTTTAAACAATCCTTTGTATTTGTCAATTTTAAAGATTATTGTCATCATTAACAATCGATAGAAATATGCAGTTCAGTATCCAAAGACTGTCATCCTTGGCAGTCTGGATCCACAAATCCGTTGGTTCTAAACTTGATTTTCAAGTCTACAGAAAGAGCAGTGTGTTTTTTCCAACGGTACTGCGTAAAGCTGACCAATTTTTCTAAAATTTAAAAAAATTCAAATTCTGTCTATATAAGCTTGAGATATCTTGCAGTTTAAGCATCTATACAACACGGCACCAGAGGTGTAAATCTCTGCACCAATGATGTCTTTGTGCGTTGAATTGCCTTTTAATAATGCATGAGCTACTTTGACCTACCACAACGAACTCGAAACATTGATAATATATATCAAACGCAGGTAATGATACTCTTGATTTCCAGCTTTTGAATGAGTGCATCTTCGCTCATATTCTCCTTCATATCTTTTATATAGGAATTCTTCACACGGGAGCATACAAGGATACCAGAAGTAGAAGGTGTTTTGTGGCTCAGAGAAGGCAAGAAAACATGGCAGAAGCATTATTTTGTTTTGAGAGCTTCAGGTGTTTACTACACCCCAAAAGGCAAAACCAAGGTAGTTTCTGGCATTAGATTTTGAAATATTTGTAAAATTTGAAATCGATATCATAAAGGAGAAATTGAGATGTCAGCCGTAATCTTTCTGGCTTCCCTGAAGCAAAGTAACCAATTATGATTATTTTTTACTATCTAAGATACTCTTGTAAATCATTCTGGTTATGATTCAGGTGAATATGGTTGTCTTCTATTACTATCAATTTAGGTAAAACTCCTTGCATTATATATTTTGTATTAATTGTCCTCCTTTGTTCTAGGCGTCACGTGACTTGATTTGCCTCGTAAAATTCGAATACGCAAATGTCTACTTAGGCGTTGGCATGAAGAAGAAGTATCGAGCGCCAACTGACCACGTGTTTTGCCTGAAGGTAGGTTCCTTAAATTCGAAAATTTTCTTGATCGTATTCTCTAGATAAAACAAGGTCTTTGTAGTATTGGAGAAATATTCTTGAATTATTCGGAGGACTTAAGAGTAACTTTGCCAGAAGCAGAACTCCTGACAAGTCACAAGGATCTCATTTTTCTCTAAATCTTATTTATCAATTAAACAGGAAATCGTTGCCTGATCGTTGAGAAGAATCATTTCTTTTCCATCTTTCAAAGAAGGATTTTAGCAGTTTCTTAATGTTGAGGGTCTTCAATTCTATTGTGTCTTAATGTTTTGTCAACTTATTGTTCTTATTTAATAAAAACAGAGTGTGTGACTATCTGTATCATTTATATTGTTTTGCAGCACCCAAAAGTGCAGACGACCAAAAGCAAGCATGTCTATTTCCTTTGCACTGAAGACCAAAAGACCATGCACCATTGGGTGATTTCGATCAAGATGGCCAAGGTAAGTGTGTTGTAAACAAATGAATTACAGTTGTCTAGTAAAGAGTATCAATTTACACTGTATTGCTCGTTGTCTCGAGAAGGACCAGCCAATCCATTTGATGATATTATACGCGTTTATTACTGTACGTGCATGTTGCCTGATCCATCCAGATGCTTTTAGAAAGTTTTTCACCAGTTAAAAGACCAGATTCTATTGAATTAGGCCTAGACCTCATGTGTTGTTAAAAACTGTTTCATTCTGCAAGTCCAATGATGAACGTTTTTTTCTACTTTCCAGTATGGCTATGCCATGTACGACAATTATTTGCAAACACAGCAAAATGTTGAGAAAGAGTTGATGTTGACGAATTTAGCCAACAGAGGCACTGCAAGTGTCAAGTTTCAGGATGAGGAGGAGGAATTCCAGGTTAACATTTTTTTTCTCTTCAGAAGATTCTCTTCAGAGACGATTTTTACTTATTACAATAGATCTCATTTTCTATTGCCAAGCAGGCTCTTTATATCACAACGATTCTTCTTGAACCTTATAAAGCTTAAAATGCCTTTGACACTGTCTCAAGCGTAGAATTTGTAGGTCTTTCCCTCCTGTTTTCTTTACTTCCTCCTTCTTCTACCCTCTGCAGAAGGCACTTGTGTAAACTGTTTCTTGGTGTCCTCATTTTTCTTTCATTCATTGTCTTTCGTTGTATTATAAGTATATCGTTAGAATATAAGTCAATATGATTTCGCAATTTGTAATTTGTGGTGAATTTTGTTTGCAGGAGAGACCGGGCAACATGATGAGAAGAGCATCAGCATCATACAAAGAAGGTTTGTATGACTAGTTACCTAATGTTTCTTTATTTAATCTCTCAATCACAAATACATTTACCATAAAGTAACTTTAATAGACATTATTCTTTAGCAATACAATTTTTAGAGACGTTTTTAACCTATATAAGTTCTATTTGTATTTTTCTGTAATGAGTTTCTATATTTTGTATATCAGCTGATATGTATAAGTCTTTTAAATTTGAATACAAATTGGGAATATTCTGTTACTAGTCCTGGAAACCTCGCGGTTTTAAAGGTAGTCTTTTTTAACTGGAAATAGTATTGTACGGTGTGCTATCAATGGTCAGCTGTGTTTGAATTCTTTCATAGGAACCCAGGGAAAATCGTCATCTCTGACGAGAGTGAAAGGCCAGGGAACTAGCAATCTGGGGTCTCTATTTTCTGACGCATGGAAGAAGGGAATTGATGAATCTGTGGTAAATTTTACAGTTTCTATATTTTTGTGAATTAATCCTTTCCTTTTGGAGCACGTCGTTTTTTAGGCTGTAATTTTCATTTCTCTAATTTACACGTTTTGACCCATCTCTCATGATAATTATGCAGCCTTTGTGAGAAACCTCTCTAGCTTCTTTGCTTGTCTTATATTATAACCATCTCCTTTTTTAACAACAGGAAAGTTTAGACAGGCGAGAAAGGGGAATAACATTAGAAAGGAACGAGCCTGTTCAGTCACCAGACGACCCACCCCAGACCTTTAGCGTCACCAACAGAGCAGCAAGCATTTCAAGCAAGAGCTCCTCTGGAAGGGGATCATTTGAGTCGTCATCAAGCAAAGCTTCGTTAAAGACTTCTTCAAGCAGGGGCTCATTGAAATCGACGGGATCGCTTGATGAACAACCCAAGCAGTTCATTCTCGATCCGGCACCAACCAATCGAGTTGACAGGAAAGACACAAATGATGCAGCTGTAATCGACACAAAACAACCAGCGGCTCCATCTCCTCCTCCTGTTATTACCTTCCCTCCCCCACCTCCGCCACCACTAAAACCAAACACCAACGCAAAAGCAGCTTCACCTCAACCGCCACCTCCGCCGCCAATCATTTCCTCGACGTCAACAAACGAACCATCCGTCGACGAGCTTCTGTCTGAAATGGCGGATTTTCTACCACCACCACCTCCATCTCTCACAAACCTCACCCCAAGCCCAACTTCAGGATCATCCCCTTCACCAACTTTTGATTTCCCCTCACCGCCCCCACCAATACCACCTCCTCGAAGATCGTCTATGAGTACTCGCTCCACGTCATCGACAAGCAGCACCACGTGATTTGCGGAAAAGGCAGAAAACTGGTAATGAATATGCTGAAGGACACATAATGACAGCAAATGGTCGTTTGAGATTTCAACTTGATTACTGATATGACAAAGTTTGCAGCGTTAATCATATCCCCTTTTTACGTATACTAGCCATAGAATTTTTTGCACTTAATTTTTCAAGAATTTAGTGGGGATGAAAATATATTATATGATATTATTGTATTTAAGATATTCTGTCGCAAAGATTTGATAATTAAGAGATTTATGGTAACTCTTAAAAAGAAATATTTTCTACTTTAAATAGCTTTTTCATGTGCTAAGTCTTTAATCATAATAATCTTTATTTTAAGATCTTGTTAATCATGGATGGATCCGTCTAGACCACCTGAAAATTTATTTTTGTCTCTAAGATTTTCAGCCAGCTATTGAAATGTTTTTTGTGCCTCCTAGTTATTGAAATAGTTTATTGCTACAATATATTAACCCTTCTCAAATCGAGTCTAGTCAAGTAGAATCAAATGCTGGAATTGGTTTTGGAAGGACTTTACCCACACTTTTTTTCGAATGACAATTTGCACAAAGCAAGGTGCTACAGAACAGATACTTCAAAGAAGTTGCAACAACGTTTGCAATAATTCAACTCACCAACCAAATTATATTGTATATTTTCTCATTTGTAAATTGCTAGCTCTCTTAGAAGAAATTGTAGGTTTTCAGGAGGCTCTTGTTTCATTTTCACAAAGAATATTAAATATGTGTGGATAATACGAAAGCGTTGTTTAGATTGTTTGCAACTTTAATTTAGGATTAAGGGGCTATTTTAGAGCTCTCTTCGGTTGTTTTGAAGTTTGTAGATAACATGAAGCATTCAATTTTTTGTTATCGATATGATGTCAAATTTACCTGCATCAAATATTTTATTGTTGTTGCTCCCAAATGAGGTGAAGTCGTGTCAATTGGGTTTTTGAAGCTCAGTTTATAATGGTTAGCGTTTGTCGTACCATGGAAGCAGACATAAAAACAGCTACAGAATCAACTACAGTAACAGCGGTGTACGAGGGCTTGGGCTACGAGGGCTGGGGTACGGGGGCTGGGGTACGGGGGCTAAGCCCCCTCTTGTCAATTTCAAAATGTATCCAATTTCTACGCATTGCTGTTGTCTTTGAGTTATGTTTTGTTAGATTGCATTTTTCCTTTCCAAAACATACATTGAGCTGGCCTTACCATGGCGATTGCGTCTCGAGGCATGTGCACCCCCTTTTCAAATAATACCCTATCGCAAATGAAAGGGTATTATTCGTTCGCTGGCAACGTAATGAAACGAAAGGGTATTACAAATGAAAGGGTATTACACTGTTCGCTGGCAACGTTGTAATTTTTCTGAGAAATAAAAATGTGAAAAGTCTTGACAACCTCCTTTCCGTTATCTTACCTCATATGCTTTTACTTAATATATCCTTCAAGAAAAGATAGAGGCCCATTGTATTAATTTTTAAAGTTACAAATAAATTAGATCTTTATTTTACATGTTTTATGTCTTTAGGTTTGCAGCAGATGAGAAGAAGGAAGGCGACAATTTAAGAATAATTTACGTACCTTGTTATATGATATTCTTGGGTAACCCGTAAACTCCTTTTTTCCTTTGATCTTGCATTTGCCATTTGACACAAACACATTGAAGGTTTAACCGTAAGGTTTACCATTTAATTCAAAGGTAATAAGGGTTTTTCCACAGATACTTTTAGCTAATCACACCCCCCGTCTTAGCTACCGGGTCATGTTTAGGTTGCAGGCTACCTTCAACAGCACCGGTCAGGCATAAACAAGCGTGTTTTTAATATAAATTTAACAAACAAAACTCTTAGGATAACTTGCAAGCTCATTTAGGAGAAGGTGGTAACTGGTAGTGCCCTAACCCCCCGTCAGTTGCTTGATAACTCACTCACGCCGGACAGTTCCACTGTTCGCTGGCAACGTTCACCCCTCGGTTTACCAAAGAGACCTGTGCCTGTCTTCCCATTTTTCTGTTGATGTTACGCCCTGAAAATCTGGCTAAATAGAACATTTTCTCATAGAGAATGCCTTAATCTTAAAAAAGTTTCAAGGCATTGAGTAAAAAAGGCCCCCATTCTGTTACCCACCTGTTTGCGAAATTTTATAAAACATCAGGATTTTTATGGATATTGAAAGGATTTTTCTCCTTGCCACTCGTGTGTCGTGATCCTCCCCCCCCCCCAAGCTTTTCAATTTTATAAATTTTGTGGTGTTTCAGAAGAACTGGCAAAATCATGCCATGTTGGTGGGTGCGGTCACAAGACATTATTTTGGGGATTTCACCCCCATACCCCTGTGCTTTTTCGCCACACCCATGTAAAAGCAAGGCATTGTTCCTTACCTAGAAGGGCAAGTAGCCTGAAATCTTGTTGTGGGACAGGTCCTATTTCCTATTGTTTTGTCTGAAAGAAAATCCTAGAATATTTGAAGGTTAAACATTTAACGGGTCCTTTCCCAGGTTCTTGAGGACAAAAACCTGTGAGCACTTTTGTCAGGTAAAACCCAGGTAAAAATGTATGAGTTTTAAGCACTTGCAACCTCGTGATGTCAGGTGATATAAGCCCGGTGGACTCTGAAATCTCTGGCTGATTGAGCGAACCCCCGGAATGTTGAATCAAAGAATCAGTCGATCTTGAAAATGGCGGGGCTGCTGGACGTAATCTGGTCGGAAAGCTTTTGGCTTCCAAAAGGCAGGACATGGGATGATCTCAAATCGACTGATACAATAACGAAGCCACAGGCTGACGATTTATATATAGTTCCACCGCTTGCAATACTTCTTCTTGTCGTTCGTTTTCTCTTTGAAAGGTGAGTTCAAACATGCTTTGACAGGCCTTTGCTCCTTCAGGTTGTATCTTGAATCTGATTTGCCTTTGGTAGAAAGTTGTATGTGAAAAATTATGTAAAAATTTCAAAATCATATGCTAAGGTTCCTATTTGTGTGGATAGTTTGATGTATTTCAATCTACAACATCAGGAACTGAGCCGTGTGGCGTAGGTACTTTTTAGGTTAAGACGCCCATGCTGGCTGTCTGTGATTTTTTGTGTCGCAACATACACGTCCAAAAACTGTTCCTACATTTGATAGGAAAGATCATTCAAAATACTTTTAGAGCATATATCAATTTCCTTGCATACAGCATTTCTACGTTTATAAGCATAAAGGTCTGCATTCGCGACTGAACAGCCACCCGCCATTAGTCTTTACATACCAGGGATGTAAAGTGGTTTCCACTGTAGTACCTGCCCTGATGTTTAATTTTGCTTTAATATTTACCAATCTTTCTTGTTAAAAGATTATTCAATTCCACTAGACTGTTTTTGTTTGCAAAACCCTGTTAAATATTGACTTTCAGAACTGTGTGCAGAGGCTATAGGGCTAAATGTTTAAACAAGGCCTCAAGTGCTTTATCAATCCACGATGATGCATTAAGTTTAATCAAGTCTATTAAAAAGATCACCAAAGATTTCCATCTACTTAGGCAGGTTTTCATGGAGGCTCATATTGTTAAAGTGGAACATTTCTTTTTATTTTGTCATTTTTCAAAAACTTTTTGCTCTTTACTTATTATCTGGTGATCAGACTGTAAAGTTTGGTCTTCTTGAGGAATGCGTTTTCTCTCTCACTCCACCTGTGCCTTAATAAGAATCTGCCATAGAGTCCAGGCATAATATTTGTTTATTTGGTCATGTTCTCTCAAATGTTTCCCCATTGAATTTTTGAACAACAAGAAAGCAAAGGATACAGGATCACTTCAAAATCCTTTGCTGCAAAGTCAATGCATTGTTTTTCATGAAACATTGGTTATCCAAAAATTTTAATTTAATTGTTTTTTAGTTCCCTGTGCAAACAAATTCTTTACCATCTGGTCTGTTGATGAAATTAAGTATGATACTTAGAACTGCACCAAAAAAACTTTTCTGCCCATTTAAAGCCATATTGAAGTTATATAGTATGCAGATGGAAATTATTTGTTTGTAAGCATGCTAATAATCATTTAATGCATAATTTTTTAGTTTTTTGGTGAATTTGGCTTGGTTTTTGCCTTATAATTTACATTGTCTGATCCATGCACGCACAACTTGCAACAAGCCTCTGATTTGAAGTATAAATGCATAGTTTGTGAATAAATATACCAGACTAGAAGTTGAGCTGTTGCCTACATTTCGAGGTAGCTAATTCCTTCAATAAATAAACAGCTGTGCTTCTTTTGTTTTAAATAAACTTGTTCTGCTCATGTCAAAACATCCAGATGCCATTCAAGCAGCTGACATTTTGCCTTTGCATTGAATGCTTAATTGTCTTGATAATTCCAAAGAACCATGTGTCTGTGATCCTCTGCTTACTTAAAAAGTTAATGGACCATTGTTACCCTATATGATCATCAATGGGAACTATGATCAGATTTAATTTCTCAATTTACAGAATAGTTTACTACCAACTGACATAAGAAAAATCTTAGAGTGATTCTCTGAGCCAATCATGCTATCTGGTGAAGAAGCATTGTGAGCTGATCAGTTGAATATGAATAACTAGTATTGCTTGTTGTCAGAATTTTTGGTAATGTAGCTTTTTGATCATAAAGGTTTGCCAGGAGCCTCATTGCACTGTGAATTGCCTTTGCCCTCTTCTTTTGTACACTCATTGAAAAGGTCAATTTGACAGTACCTTGTAAAACAAATGCTAATTTATGTGAAAAATCTTTTATTATTAAAGATTGCAAAGTTGGTTAAAAACCAAAATGATTAACTTTCTTTGTGTGCACATCAGGCTTAATTGTGTAAGGAGATATAAAGAAGGAGAACAATATTTTCTTTTTTGAATCAATTAGGCTGCACCATAGTTAAAGTGAAAAAACTATTGATCTATGGTTCCACTTAACATAATAATAATAATAGAAATATTTATACAGGGTAAAACCTTTTCAGTGCCAAAGGCACTGCTATCAATAAGGGCCCTGTTCTAAATAAAAGTATTTACATGGTTAAAAATGAAAAGTAATTACAAGCTAAAATGAAAAGTTAAAAAATGAAAGTAATAAAGAGTAAAAATCGTTTTAAGTGGATCTGAAGTGAACTAGTTGCTGAGGAAATGTTCTTTTAATCGATTCTTGAATTGAACAATCGATGTTAATTGGCGGATGTCAATTGGGATGTCGTTGAAGCAAGAAGGGCCTTGGAAACGAAATGAGTTTTTCGCAGCCTCCGTCCTGACCTTTGGAAGGCGGAAACATAGATTCAGCTGTTTGTCTGCAAACCTTATATATTTTTAATTTGCTTTCTAAAGCATTCTACTGCAAATTTCTATTGTTTTGAAAACAGGTAAAATATTTGCTTAGTTCATAATTTCTACTAGCTTATTTGTAGTGTTCTTTTATAAAGAAAATTAATCTACAGTCTTCAGTCTACAGTCTACAGAAAATAGGGACAGCATATGGCGTTTTGAATGTCTTGACTATTTTGCACACATGCGATAGCCTGCAATGTGGACCGCTTTTTATCACTCGTTTCTCATTTCTGTTGTTAGAACTATAGGGTGCTGGTTTCAAGGAGACCTTCTGTGTTATAAACTGAACAGAAAACAAAGGTCGAAATAAACACATTTTCTTTTATCTCAAAACAAGTTTTTACAGCTCTTAATCTTAAAAACTGTCCGATAACAGTTTAGAAAAATTGAAAAACAGTGCAGTCATCACCTCTTCTTCCTCAGAGCTTTCTTTAGTTACCTCGTCTTTCTCTAGCTCAGGCTTTTCAATATACCAAAGATAGAGCACTGTTGCCCTTTTCAAGATATTTTATCTTTCTTCAACAGTCCATATATTATCATTGATTGCAAAACGAAGTCGCATCTCTATAACATTGTATGGTGTTTGAAGTATTAGGATAATTCCCTTCTTTCCCCAGCCAATAAATGTTGCCAGCTCAACTTTGTTTCCGTTTGCCATGATCACTGTTAGAACAGAATTATAAAGTGAACAGTGAAGACAACTCTTGGATCAAAATTTTAAATCAGAGTCTTGAAAGTTAATAAAGCACCATGTGTTGACTGCAGATTACTGCCCCTTGGCACCCCCTTGACACCCCCTTGGTTAAATATCTGTAATGTTGAGCGATATTGTTATAACTACTTTGTAAGGCTGCTGTTAAATCCATATGGGAATACTTTAACAACACCTTAGAAAAACAACCAAACTGCCTTTGAAATTGGCGACTTTGATTTACCTCTGCTTTAGAAATCTTTGAAACATAAGCAACTTTTAAGAAGTTTTGTTGTGTTTTCACCTCAACAGACATATAAGAAGAAAAATAAAACTGTTTGCAACACATTTTCCATATCAAACTTTCAACATCCAAGCACAAAAATAACTCAAAGAACAATGCTATTGAAATTGTGCATTCAGTCATATAAATGGTGTTCAATCAAGCATTGTGATTAACACCTTTAAATAAATGTGTCTTTTCTAAAACCACAACAACTTTTATGACAAATTATTTGTTTTGCGCATGGGATGATTTGCACACATTGGACAATTTAGGTGTGCGAATGTGTAGAGGCATGTGGGTGGGTAGAGGCGTGTGCACATGTATAGGTGTGCGCGTGTGATCGCACACCTCATTTTACAAAGACTGTATCTAGCAGAATTGTTTTGAGTTTTGGCCGTCAAGTCCACCTAAACCATTCATTATAATATGAGGCTTGCACTTGAAGGCAATTTCTTTAAAATTAAACAGCCTTAAAGCTCAAAAATATATTTTTAAAGCAGCGGGAAATCAGTTATCAATTATCAGTTATCAGTTATCAGTTTTAAAAGCTATTCTTAAAGAGGTTAGTATTCCCATATTGGATTTAACAACAACTTCACAAAGTAATTCCCTACTCTACAGTTGCCATTTTTTCATTCAAGATATCTTAATCAAATAGTAAGATATTTTTTATAAATATCTGCTATGATATTCGCTACCTTAGTTGCATGAAAATATTTTGATAGACAGTAGGGTCTATGAACAATTGAAATTTTTGTCAATCCAAGTGTCCTTCAAGTGACTGCAAAAAAATTCTTTAATTACTTCCTGGAAGATTTTGAGCTAATTAAGTTTAGCATCTTTTTGAAAGAAAAGGAACAGTTTCTCAATCAATTTCTTGGTTCCTATTCAGTTTATAACACAAAAGGTCTCCTTTAAAGCAGTACCCTATATTTCTTGATAGCAAATGAAAAGCCACAGATAAAAAAGTCAGTGGTTGCACACGCCATCACAAACACAAAGAAGTCAAGAAGTAGGAAATGTGGCATGTAGCTTAATTTTATAAACTTGTCTGGCTTAACTTCCAGATTAAAATTGCTATATATACTTTGCTTGAAAGTATGTTTTTATTGCATGTTTGTACTAGTCTTATCTTAAATTTTTTACTTTGGATGCAATATCTTCTGGATGTCTGCTAATGAGGTTTCTGCCTTTTCAGGTTCATTGCCAGACCTCTTTGCATTTATCTTGGTATAGAAGACAAGCCGCGAAAGGAACCAGAGCCAAATGTCATTTGTGAAAAAGTATTCCATTCTGTTTCTAAAAGGCCAGATGAAAATGTTATTAAAGGACTCTGTAATCAGTTAGGTTGGTCAGACTTTAAAGTCAGACAATGGTTCACTCGAAGAAGAAATATTTCCAAGCTACCTGTTATGAGAAAAGCAACAGAATCATGGTGAGTCTTCAGTAGATATGTTTTTCACTGCTTCTTCATCTTTTGAGTTATTTCAGTGATCTCTCAAATGCTTAGTTCAGTTTTTTTAGTCTTTTCAAAACATAGACACAATTTTTAGATGATTTGAGAATAGACATTTGATTTTAACCATTAGTTGTGGTTTTTGCTCTTGTCTTGAATAAAAAGGGAAAGATAAGATACAAATGGTCTGATAGACAGGTTCTTAATTTATAAAATTTGTATTAGAATTGCAGCTTATCCTTTCTCCTGATCCTTAAAAAATTTTCAATTCATATCAAATCATTATGCAATTCTCCTAACAAAATTACAGTCAGTCAGGTCTTTCTTGTTGATAAAATAGCACCTGTTAATTGGCTGTGCATGATGAACTTCTCTTCTTGTAACAAGGATATTATTTTTTACTTTTCAGTTGGAGATTCCTGTTCTACATTTCGGCTTTTCTTTATGGATTTGGAGTTTTGATAAGAGTTAGTATCTTTGAAATGTTATGAAGTGATATTTGACCATAAATCTTCATGTCAGGCTTTTTTTTGCCTTGGACCTATCCCTAGCACATCTGGCTTAACAAAGATTGGTTTTTACCAACAATTGTGTACATACACACTGCTGTAAGTTTAAAGCATTGAAGCACTGTGAAAACTCTACCTCTGTTACTGCCATCACGCCATAGAACCCAAATCTTTTTAAGCAATGATTTTAAGTCTCATAAAATTGTTCAGTATATACTTTCTTAAATGTTTTGTTTCAAATGTGGATCAGTTTGATCAATATAAGCTGTTAAATTTATATGCATTTCAAAATTGATCATTTGGTCTTTTCAGAAAGATTGGTTTTTCAACTCAGACGAATGGTTCATTGGCTATCTCACAGATGTATGTAAAAGCATTTTATTTACCTTTATTTTTCACCTGATTTGTTAATGGTGATACTTGTTTCTCATACCTGTTGAACCTGTTTTATACTAAACAGGCATGTTTATATGGGAAAGTCTTTTATAAGGTCAATTTTACAGTATATATATGTATGTAAGTCTTCTAGCCCATGTTATTTCATGATTTCCAAAATAAACTAATACCCAAAAATGCTAGGGCTATGAAACAGTTCTTTTATATGATATTGGCATGAATGAATAGCATATTCACCTGTTAGATGCATGAGTAGGATATTTACCAATTTTTAGGATATGTTTAGCAATAGCTAGGAATGCAGTTAAAAGTGCTGCTATTGAATCTTGTGTAAACTTATGCCAATAGCTTTTATGAAACTTAGATTTCTGGCAAGATAAAGGTGTTAAATAATTTGTATTTGTAATTATCAACATGGTTATTAGAGTAATTTTCATTTACTTGTTTCTGGCATCTTACAATTTTCTATTTTAGCAATCTCTTGAAAGCGATATTAGGTGGTACTACATCATAGAATTGGCTTTTTATGTTTCTCTACTCTCATCAGTTCTTGTGGATAACAAAAGGAAGGTTCGTTTTCATACTGTCAATTTCTTTTTGTTTTGCCAGACGTAATGAAAAATTGTAATGAATGTTGACAGGCCCATCTGGCGACCATGGATCACAATGTTTTTTTATTTATACGTATTTGATAAACTGAGATCCTTTTTGTCAATTGATTCGCTTTGAAATAACGTTTTTAACATTATTGTGGTCCACATTTGTTTCTTATATCTAACTCATTACCTATTTGGAAATTTTGTACTTATTGTGTTTCGTTCAATTAGGTATTGAAATTCAATTTATAATTTTAGTTATGCATAAAGTATTGCTTTTTCAAAGACGTTAATAGAAATATTTTCGCATCAAACATTTCCCTCCGATATATCACTTTAACTTTTTTTCACGAATTTAAATACCTTTATGAACAGTTTTTTGGCGTTACATAACTTTAAAATGGCTTTCTATTAACGATTTATGTCTCATAACAGTTTGCATCTGTTTACGCAGGATTTCTGGGAAATGACTATCCATCACTTTATAACGATTTTGCTAATTGGGGGCTCATACGTCATCGGGCATTTTCGGATTGGTTCAGTCATCATTGTGGTTCACGATTCTTCGGATTACTGGCTCGAGGTAAGAAGTATTTTAGGTACTGTTTGCTGTCACTTAAGCTGTTTTTGTTATACTACTAACATCTGCTGGGCAGATGATGGCCTTTTCGCAGTACAGGCATTTTTTATAAGAAGCTCAGTGCAGGGTTTAATTTCAGTACTGCAAGTTTCTTGATTGCCAAATGCTCAATGGTTTCTTTCAACTGTATGAAAATTCAAACTAAGATAGCAATTCAACCTATTAATTTGCAAGAAACTCTTCTTTTTGTCATCTGACAACTTGACCAGAAATTTGTACCTATTGTCTAAAAGTATAATTTACGTTCCATCTTTAAGATAATTTTCGAGCTGCTTTCGTGAGTGATCAGTACTAAGGCTTCTTAGTTTGTTGGTCACCTAAGGGATCGATTTTTACAACGTCTCTTTTATACAAAACAAAATGTATGTTTCTAATACCGCTTATTGCCTGTAAAACAGCCTGGTCATGTTTAGATTGAAGAATAATTGTTGCTTTAACGTCCACGCTCACAGTGTATCCCCTTCTCGCCGCTGTTTTCCATACAATCTAACTTTCACATGGGCAGACACTTATCCCTTAAAGGCAGACTTAATACTCCCTGAGATATTTTAAAACAGGGCAAAGGAGGAAATATCATTAAGTTTATGTACCATCGCAATTGATAATAACGAAACTGATGTTAACAAACATTGGTACCGCTAAATTTAAAAAGCAAGAATAGTGAAAGCATGTCATACGTAAATACTCACTCAAACATAAGTCTGATAAAAACGAAAGGATTAATAGAAAGGAGGGCTTGTTTCAAATTTTTGCTACAAAAGAGGACTTGGGTTTGATATAGGGAGGCCTCAGTAGAGCTTTAAAGGAAATGAGAAACACGAGAAGCGGAACTTTGTATCCATATATGCTGTGAAAAAAGCATGATGTGTTCGATTAGTTTTGCTGTTAGCCATTCAGCAACCGTTGGCTCCCATAGTTCAAAATTCCACAAGAGAAGGCGAACTCTGATTTGTTTTGAGAAAAAACAACCTTCTTTTTCGGGTTCAAATTAGGAGTTGTTTCAGAAACTTGCTGTGGCACTGTCGTTCTAAACAACTCTTTTGTTCTCTAGACACCTGCCGTTAACATAACTCAGCCTTTCTTTGGCGTATTTGATATATTTCATTTCACGAGTGGGGAGGACCCTACTGACGCTCTTGTTATGTAAGAAAACTCTTCTTTTTCTCTCATCTAATGAGAGCACACGGCAAGTAATTTGCTTTCGGCGTTTTACGTACTGTGAGTTTAAATCTAAATCAACTCTCTACTTTAAATTCAGACCGTCATTATAACGAGTTTAAAGAAATCGTCTGAGAGAGTTTTGGAAGACAGAAACAGTTCTTTTCAAACACTCATTTTTTATAAGAAATTCGCTGTAAAAATGAATACTGGGCAATCTGAAAAATGTTAAAAAACGATAAATTGAATGCAATCAATTGCGTAAAAACTCGATGCAATCAATTGAATTTTGATTAAAAGTTCAGAACTCAGTGATTTTGTGAAATTCTGTCATCATGATTGGCTGTATTAAAATTGAGACTGAAAATACACTTCCCTCATCTAAGTCAAGCAATAGAACAGAGGCAAATCTCTTCACTGAAATGTCAAGCATTTAAAATAAGCATTTGAAAACAATAGAAACATTGAAAATTTGCAGAGACGCAAACCCTTCAAACAAGTTTCTGTTGGGAAATCTCTTAGCATTAAAGAATCGAAAATAGGAAGCAAATGTTATAATTAACGACGTCATATTTAAGAAAGTCTTAAGAAACAAAGAGTATTGAAATTTCCTTCAGCGTTAAGTAACGGGAGTGCTCAACTTTGACCTTTGTTTCTTGAAAAAAGTCCAGTTCCTTGCAAAATATTGTAGGTAATCCTAAAGATTCTGCATAGTTTTGTTTTCCCAGCGAACCCAGGGTTGTCTTATTGTTACAGATTTTGTTAAGTTTGTTTTGGTTGTGAATTTGATATTAAATAAGACTAAATCGCAAGCAAGTTTTTCTTTTTGATTGCAAAGAAACGATGACAATTTGACCACAAATTGATCTCCTATTGTTAATTGGTATAAAAACATGTAACGACAATCAAAGTCTTGACTGAATTTTAAAGAAGAAGGTCGCAGCGAAGGAGAAAACGTCATATCCCTTTCTGATTTCAAACAGAGAAAACGATGATACATGTTTTTTAAACTGCCGTTTTTTAAATGTATGCAAGAATTAGTACAGGTCAAAAAGAATTTAATAAAATGGCTAATATTTACAAAACCTTTTTTCTAAAAGGGATGTCTGTTGGAAATATTTTTAGTTTGAGAAATAGGCTATAAGTGACTGCTTGAAAAAGCGAAACATTTCTGATAATAACGGATGAGACACGCGCAAGCTTTGTTGTTGGTGGAGGAAGTATTTGGGAGTTAATTTTAATAATTTATTGCATAATATATTAACAATAATAATTTGGAGGCTTATGTAGTATCAAATCTAGTGTTTTATTACAGCTTACAAAATTTTCGCTTTAGAAATAAAACTTTATCTCTAGCATTTTGTACCCAGATGCGACTGGGCTGCCCCGGAGGATTAAAAATGATAAATTAAACATTTGCAATACGTAGCTGAAGAATATGACTCCTTAATCACCTTCCAGCTCAATTTTGTTTCGAAGCCGTTTTATCCTGTTTCGTTCAGCTTCGAAATCTGAATTCAACTTCCAGTTTTTATCCCATTGCTGTTGAGAAGCAAGTTTGTTTTTAAATTTTGGAACATACACCTTGACACTTTTTTTGCCCACTGTCCTTTGTAATGTGGAATACCCAGAAGTCATTGCGTCACGCGGTCTGGCATCGTAGACTATTTCCTTTTCAACCTCGAAGCCGTTGCTATAACTTATCTTGCGGACTGGTCTGCCAAAATCTTCATTGTGTGAAGTGGAAATTTTTCGCTGTGCAGGTGGACTGTCTTCTTTTTTGCCGTCAAAGACTTGAGGAGAACTTTTTGGCCTAGGCCTCTGTTTAGGTGTATAGTTTCTTTTGGGTGGATTATAGTCATTCGTATTGTCCAGTATATTAGATTCTCCCCACGCCTTCCGTGGGCGTCCCCCTTCATCGGACATGTCTCTCGGGAACTCCACCGTCCCTTTTCTTCTTGTTTTCAAACCAGATTCTTTGTTTTCAAATTCTGGTGGGCACGACAGTGGTCGCATTTGCCCATTTCTGCTGCTTTTAGCCATGCTTATTCTTTGGGTTGGTGAATCGCTGCGCTGCCCTTTAGTCGGAGTTTGTGCCCATCCTTTTCTTTCCCCGCTTCCATCTTTTCTTGTAGCCTCCTCCAATGTAACACTGCCATTGATCAACAGTTGATCAACAGAGTTTTTCAAATTAGTCACTACAGTCTCTTCATCTTCATTACTAGTCTCTTCATTTGGTAGCACTCTCCACCTTCTTTCACTCTCCTGTTTAATGTCGCTGAAACTAATTTGGCATGTATTAGGTGATTGTAGATTTTTGAAGTCTTTCATTTTTAACAGTTTTCTTCTTCGCACCTTGATTTCGTCATAAATTTCCTCAACCTTGCGACCATTCAGAGGCGGAACTATCTTTCTGAACTGATATGGTCTAGACTGATCACTAAAATCTTCTTTCATTTCTTCGTAATACACCAAATCTTTCTTTTCTGTTGCATCTCTTTCTTCAACGTCCTCCTCTTTTTCCACCACATTGCTCTTAAATCCAAGTGGTATCCTTTTCCCAATTGGTGCATAGATAACTTTGTCTAATGTCGTAAGAAATTCGGAAATATCCATGTGTTTTTCCTGTATCACGTAGCCATGATCAGCAAAAAACTTTCTCCGCAACCCACTTACGCGCATTTTCTCCTTTACTCTTCCAATACCGATCAGTGACCGGCGTAGTTCATGCATGTCCTCGGAAACGTTCCTTTTGCTTTGCCGTTCTTCTCTCTCGATTTCCTTTAATTTTTCATGAAGCTTTGTGTTTTCTGATTCATTTTTACGAAATACGCGTAGTACACCTCTTGACAAACAAGATGGCTTTTCAGCTTCTTTTTGCAAAGTCATGAGTAAAACAGGCTGAAAATTGTTCGTTGAAGCTGTTGCTACACTTCAGATCTCTTGTCATTTAAGCATGTGAGTTTGCCTTGCGTGTAGAATCTCCTTGCTTCAACTGTCAGAACCAGCTCATTACACAAAGTCCTGCATGCTTTCTAGAATACGTGGCCTTTTACAACTCCGATAAACATTGAATTCTCATCTCGTCTATTTTACCATTGTAATCACCTTGGCTGTCTTCTTTAAAGTAGTTACAAAAACAGACTTCTCCTGGCCACTGTTTTTAAGTTTTGACCACTAGCGCCTAGCTAGAAACTTCCAGTTTGGAATGGAATATGTTCTGACTTCTTCAGTGTATTACCTCACGAACTGATCAAAAACGCAAAAACTGACTATTCATAAGTAATCTCAATTGTTTATGCGATTAGATATGCTGCTGTATTGGAGATAATTCGTTTTACCTTCCTTGCCTACTGAAATCTCTAGTGTAAAATTATTTCAAAAGCTCTAATGTGATTACTATTGCAGCGTTTTCCCTAACAAAAAAGGGCTTTGAATTTGCACCTGAAGGTGTATTGTCTGTGGAAGACATTATTCTGAACAATCTATAAACAATAGATTATCTTTCTTTTTGTACCGTACTGTCTAGAGACACTTGCCTTTATGTGGCCTCTTGCACGAAATATGTCATTATGCTCGATTCTGTTAACGTAATAGATAAACTTGAAACCACTATCTAGTGATGTTTTGACTATTTCTGCTGTTCTTTTGAGAGCAGGGGACAAACAACTTTATGGAAGTTGGGAAAATAAAATTTTATTTTTCAAAGCAAACTCACGTCGATCGACCGATTTCTATCTACTGACATTTCCCTGGCTGCCGTTCATCGGCTATTCGCTACATTGAAGCATTTCAAGAGAAAGGGCGTGGTCTTATGGGCTACGCCTTTTACCCTCCCACTCTGCAGTGGATGGCGCCTCCACGTCACCTGCAAGCCCGCGGACCGGTATCATTCGGGCGCAACTTCGGCTTGCATCTACGCAAATTCGACGATCTCGCCATCGAAACCGCAGTCCGCACCGTTTAGAATTTGCTCTTCAGTAATAAAATTTTCAGTACGTTAGTATGAATCACCAGTGACAACTTGGCCTGATAACCAGACCCAGTTACTAGGAATAATTGGCTGGGTAACGGGCCGTGATAACCATCTGAATTTCTAAAGAAAATCTGTGAAAACTGCGGTAAATCCGACCAAATACGCGTGAATGACGTATTAAATTCAAATACGCTGTATATGGGCGGGAACATTTTCGAATTCACCGGTTGAAAAGCATCCGTATATTGTTGACCTGTACTTGAGGTGTTTTTGAGAAATATGCTGTAGCTGTTTGGGCACACTCCAACAAGCGTCCCTAAAGAAATGTCGGCGCACTATAGGGTCACCAAAATTAGACATTGAGAGTCAACCAAGCCATGAAATGGCAATGTGAAAATCAAAATACAGAAATAGATTCAGGGGCGTGGTTGCAATTTGTATGGGCCGTGAAAATCAAGTTTGTGGGGGCCCACCATTTTGATGCTGAGTGTTTCTTGATGTCGTCACGTATCTTATGTTGAAAATAACCGCACAGAGGCAGTGTGGGAGTTTAAAAGGAAGAAAAATCCAAGGGGCCCGTATGAAAAATTTCAAGGGGTCTACCGGGAAATTTCCCGAGTCCTGGTGGGCCACCACACCCCTGAATAGATTGGCCCCTTTTGTGCTATGACGGCTAGACAAGTATCGTAATGTAGGGCTTGATACTTTGGGAGCTTCTTTTTAACTGAATTTTCTTGATTTTCTTTGCAGTCTGCTAAAGTGGCAAATTATGCAAAGATGCAAAGAACTTGCGATGGGCTTTTTGTTGGATTTGCTCTTACATTTTTCTTGTCGCGATGGGTTGTGTATCCATTTTGGTAAGCTGCCTTCATGATTTTCCGTGAAGGGTTTAACTTAAGCTTATAGCAACTTTTTTACTGAGCTCTTTGTTATCATTGACATAGGCATTTTACTATACAGTCTATTTGAAAAATTAAGCATATGTTCAAATTATCATCTCAAATTATTATCTCATATACTTACAAAACTATGTTATATACCAATCCCCTGCAATTTTTTATTTTAATTATAGAGCGGATAATTACCCATATTATGTTCATATATCCATTCACAGCATTGTTTTATTGATTAAGGTCGTTTACCTAGCATTTATGCAAATCGAAAGTTCCCAAACAAGTTTTAACAATTTTCAAGTTCTTATTTATATGTACATTGAAAAGTTGGGATAAATGGATGTATATATATATATAAATATTTTTATATATATATATATATACATGATAGAACATGCATATTATTAATCTTTTTAAAATGTTTTCGCCTCACACCAATCGTTAATCATGCACGAAAACTTAGCTCATGCACTAATTTTTTTATAAGAAACTGGCTATAAGAAACGGTCAGAAAAAATTAAGAAACTCCAGTACTCGAAGCAAAAAAATCAAGTAACTATTAAACCGTGATAAAACTGAAAACAACGAAATTTTCTAAAATCCAAGAACATGATTGCCCTGTTGGCCTAGAATTTAAGACACAAGGATAAACATATACTTTCCACATCTAAATACAGCATCAGAACGGAAGCGAATTTCTTGACGTGATAAAAAGGTCACGAACATTTCATAGCATCATTTATGACATCATAATTAAGAAGCTCTTAAGAAACAATGAGTAGTGAAATTTCCAGAACATTAAGAAACTGGAGTACTCAACATTGACCTTTGTTTCTTATAAAAAAATGAGCGTACACTAATTTTAACCCATTCGCTAAAGTTTTTTTCCTTTTAGCTGCTGTTAATCCGCATTTCAAATTTTAGTTCATTGTTAACAATGCTTTTATTACCGCATATCTTTTGCAATAACGATGCAATTATAGCGAAAATAACCAAAAGTCCTTTTTATGTAAACAGCAATAACATCTTAAGTGTGATCTTTAGAACCAACGCAACAGACATAACATTCACGCCTACCGCTTGTTTCACTTTGCCTGAAAATCAACGGCGATTAAAGCTTACAACGTGTTATCTAAGGTGTCTGATAAACACATACGATATAGTTGAAATACGACTTTGTACATTGACAAGTAACACATTGTAACGATGTTTCGAGCATAAGTCTTCATCAGTTATGCTCAAAACGTCGTTACAATTATTAGCTTTTCCATGAACAAAGTCGTATTTTAACTATATTGATTTGTGTTTATCCCATTCATCTTATAACAAGCTGAACTACATTCATTATGAAGCCTAATAAAAAACCCCTTTCCCGCTTGTTGTTTTTTCACTTTTCTCTACCCCTGCCCGAAGTTTATTTGGGCCCCGTTTTTTAATTTCAACATTGCAAAAAGTTCACGACGCAAAAATCTGTATGCTGATACGATGCAAAAATTGGACAAAAAAAGGGTTTTCCCAAAGCGGTTTGTCTATGCACGATACTGAAATGTTTATAAACATCTGCTTGTCAATATTTACTTGTTTTATCTCAACATTTCATTGTCTTATGTATTGTTGAGATTTCCATATTCTTTAAACCCGCAAACAAACACATCAATCACTCCCGCTAATTGCAAGCCCATGTTTATCAAATTTCAGGATGGCCCCAACCCCCTGTTTCGTTGTGACCCCAAAATAGTATTACACACCTAAGAATACACTTACACTTCAACAGCTACCGCCTACCAGCAACATATGAACCTTAAATTATCGCTTCAATCTTTAACAACTCGAATTAAATTAAATTAACCTTGACGTTAATTTTCCTTGGTGCACTTGAAAGCAACCCCGTATTGATGAGATTTTGCTTTCAAAAATTTTGCAAATAATTATAAAAAATATAAAAGTTACATTTTAAGCCAATTTTATTTTTCATAACGCTTAGACGCTTTGCATTACACCAAGACTAATTTTGCATCCCGGATTTCCAGTGGTTCTTTCCATTTCGTCTTCTATGAGTTCTAGCACCCGCACCCTCTACACTCGTCGTTTTTTTTATTAAAAAAGTTGTAGAAAAGGCTCAATTTTTCAAAAGAAATTAAACAATCCTACCTGAATTTCAGAGTCAATTTGGTTTGAAATTTTTTCTAGACCCTCAAAACAGTTTCACAAGACGCAATAATTTCTTGGTAGCATAATGGCCTAGAAATTTAAGAAACTGCCTACCAGCCCCAAAACTCATTTTCGTATTAAAAGACGAGTGTACAATCATTTGTCCTACTTGAAAAGAAAGTTCTTTTAGTCAGTGTTTTGGAAGTATATTTTGACTGTATTGCTTTGCAACCCTCAATGAACATGTATCATGCAGAGCAACACTATTTTCTGTTTCTTCAATGCGATGGGTTAAGCTGTTCTACATTATCGATTATATTCGACGTCCATGTCTTTATTTTTCGTCATTATGGTGTTGGTGGCTTTTCATTGCTGTAGCGGCCTTGCTCTTATCTATCCTTTCTCTCTCAACGTTCAATTTCTGCCCAGATAAAAACACTACTTTATTTTTTACTCGGATCAAAAATTTATTGTGTGTGATAAGTCACGAGTAGTTTTGGACTGGTGATGCCTCGGCCTGTTGCTCAAAAGAATTTTTTTCAACATTTTACCCCTGACAACCTTGGCATTCATTCTTTCGTTGGCCTTTTGTCATTCTACTAATTGCTAACGTCTTTCTTCTCCATGTCTGAAAGTCTCATCGCAAGTTTGTAAAAGGGAACACGATGTTCTTTATTGTATAGTTCAGTAATACTGAGTAGGGTCCGAACTCTTATAGCAGCAGAAAGGAAGATAGGATGTTCTCATTCTTCTAGAAGTGCGGAGGCTTCGATACCTTTCTTGTGACGTCCGTTGGCCAAGCCTTTATGTCTTGCATTTACAGTACCAGTTTTGTCTATGTTGTGCCATTCTGTGCATATGTCACATTAAATATTTTTTCAGTTTAAGCACATACAGGTATTATATTTTCGCACACCTTAAGGAAACTTTCAGCACTAAAGTATCTGTATTTTATAATCATAAATGCACAAATAGCCGAAAGCAGACAAAATTAGACATAATTCAATTAACAATATAAATGTATGAATCTATGGTTCATGACATTTTCTCAGTTTCCACGTTTTCACGCACCACACACTCGTTTAATCCTTCTATCACAGTTTTATATATTTTATGAAATTTTGCAGTTACGCAATACAATTAATACAATACACGATTTTTGATTTTTTTTTCTCAGTTTTCTGATTTTCCTCCCTCTTGAAACGTTAAGCCTTCATTCATTGTTTATTTTGTTCTTCTTACTCCAAACGCACACACAAACGCACCGACACACACACACCCAGACAGAAATGCGTTAGGCTTATAAGGACCACTTTGCAATTCAACATTGACCTGTCATATTTCATTTACTGTAAGAATCGCTTATTTTTTCAAAACAAGGAAGTTTTGACCTAGCATTGACTTCTGCAGAATTTTATGTCTACATGTCGTAGCTTTTCTGCAGTTTTTGATTTATAAATGATATCTGTTTATTGTAATGTTTTCATGTTTTTGTCTATTGTTGAAGTTTTGGCTCGAGTGGACGTTCCCTTCGCCTTGATTTTTTCTTTTTTCTGTTGAGATGTTGCACTTCAATTGAATATGCAATCTGAAATGTTTTCGAAAGGAATTTCTGATCTCCGTAGATCCTAAATTTCCGAAGGAAAAGGTTTGCTGTTGGTATCCATTTAGTTTCCAGGATGAAATTGTTTGTTCGATGAAAGATTTGGCTGCTGGAGGCTATTGTTTACTCAAAGTGAGTTTACGACGAAGGAATACGCCTCCTAAAGGGGAGACTGTCCGATGGATGGGTCATATCAAAGGACTTGTTGGACGGTGGGATATGTCTGCTAGTAGGTTTTATCTAATGGAAGAGGAGTTAAGTTCATTAGAAGTATGTGTCCGGTGGTGGGAAGTGCCCCATGAATGGGTGTTGCTGCTAGAGGGAATTGCCTTTCAGTGGACGCTGACTGCAGTGGCTGCCTTGGGGTAGTGACTGCTGGGAGGTGGTGTTCACTCGAGGAAGGCTCCATTATTACAAACGCTTTCGTTTTCCTTGTCCTAGCCTTAAAAATCGTTGGACCCCATTATTCTTTTTTAGGGTGCTATACTCCTTCACTAAAACTTGGTATATAATTGGACCATTCCAATCCTACTACTGGTTTGCATTTTTACTCGGATTGTTGCAGGTACATAACGAAGTATCAACCTACCAAGAAACCGTAGTGATGGGAGAGCAAGCAGTTTTCATTGCCAAACTATCCATCCTACTGCCCGTAAACTGCATCTGGTACTCTTGCGCTAAACAAAACACCTGATTGCGCGAACGACCAGTTTTCCAGCCAATCCAGGCACCCATCTATGTGTTCAATCGTATCTCTTTTGGTAGACAACTGCTGCGCTCGCTTGTCATTGCAGTCGCTTGGAACTGCTGTTAATTTTGCTTAAAAAATTAAGCTCTTTAGCATATAATTTGTTATTGTATTTTGGTTAAACCTAAAAAGTTTTAAAGCCAATCACGTTTAAAATTAAACAAAATTCGGACTGTGTGGGGTCAGAAACCTTTAAGCAATTTCTTTTTGTTGGCCTTGATAAGAAATTGCCATAGTTTGTGCGATGTTTTCATTCATTTCAGGGTGTGCAATGCAGCCCTATTTACTAGCATGGAATACAGCGGCCTATTTCCTTCCTATTCAATTATGACGTCATTTCTCTTTGTTCTCCAGGTAGATAGCTTGTGGTTATGTATTTTCGTGTGTTACCTCAGCCCATTTAAACCTAGAAATCAACTGAATAGCCGTCCAAAATTTACATTTTGCCAATCATCTGATTGTCAATGCGATCATGTTCCAGCACCACATATACAACGATATGATAACCAGAATTAGTTATGTGTTTTATGAACCTGTTCGTTAGTAACCGGAAAAATGAATTGGAAATGATGGATATGAAAAATCGCATGAAAATATTCCTAGGTAAAATAATGACTGATTCGGTCTTTCATGGCGCAGATTAAAGTCTTTCAAGAACTTGCATTACATTAAGCACGAACTTTTTGCAAATCTCAATGTACGAACCATTGCATATGTCACACTGACTGTGAAAACATTCAGCTTCGTTCAAGAAATCCTAAATAAAGACGGGTAAATATTGGATTTATGGACTACTCTATAATGCTTTACAAAATTTATATTTCTGTAAATATCATTGAATAGAGACTTATTGTTTTATTAGATTTTGCATATTCTCTGGGGATTCCATGTTGCCCGTGTGGTCTATACTTTTACGGTCAGCGGTAAGGTAAGTAACAACGCAATTTTGTTTGATCAGTAAATTCTAACTTCTGAAAAGCAAATAAGAAATTTTCCTCACTAGATACGAACAAACTTATATTATGTTAGTTTAGTATTATGTTAGTTTAGTAAGGTAAAGCCAAATAGCTGTTAGAATGAATAAAATATACTTATTTTGTAAAGGCTATCGATAGAAATGAAATTCTGAATCCTGAAATTCAATTGAACTAACATTCGAAAGTATATTCAACATTTATGACTGGAGCAGGTTATGGCAGACAAATATATAATTCAATGATAAGGTATCTTTTGACGCCGGGCCGGATTAAAGTGCTATCGGTGCTGCAGCATTAGGCCCATTCATGAAATAGGCCCAAACTATGGGAGACGAGAATTTTCTCGAAAGTGAATAGGCACAATGATAAGCCTTTTTGTGCTGCAGCATCAGGCAAGCAAAATAAAGGCTTGTTCTTGCCCTGATTTACGGGGCGACATCAGTCAATTTTGACCTTTTATCTCATTTCAAAATATGTATCACCATGACGATCCTGTCTTGATTTAGGTGGAAAGGGATGTGAGAAGTGAAGACGAAGATGAAGATCCTGTTGAAGAAAAGGAGCCAGCCGTCCAGGCAAAGAAAAAGAAGTAGATTTCAAATTCATCATTTGCTCAAAACAGAAATCTACTCAACAAATCTTGACTTTTTTATCCTTAGTATATGTGACAAAAGCCAAATCATTTTACACCGATCACCGATGGAGGGGAAGAACTCGACCCTAGCAAGAATCATCAAATCACTCCAGTTTATTCTGAAGACTTCTTCTTGCAGATTAATTCTAAGTTTTTCAATTTCTTGTCTAATTCTTTAATCTTGGTGTTGTTCGTGATTTGAATTTTTCCTCCTCTTATTTGATGGTTTTCATTTGCTTTCATATTCTTCTCAATCGCCTTGATCAAATTTACTCCTAGTAAATCAATTCCCATGTATCGGGGCAATTTTAAAAAAGCTGTGGAAAAGAGTAGAAAAGTTGTGAATCGCCTGCTATCTTTCGCACCACCAGAGCCTGCGAGGAATCGAGTACCCAAAGACGCAAGCACGTATCACCAGGGCTTTTGCCTTGTTCTTGTGTTCCCTGCAACGGTGAAAGTAAGATTTTCCTTGGAAAAACTTGCCACATTCTTGTTTCTTTTTGGTTTTCCAAGATGGTGTTTTTTATCATTGCCTTTGAGTTTGGACCTACCAAAGACCTTACTTTCCCTGTCCAATATTCCTGTTTGTTGACTTTTAATTGCAGCTTGCCAATAAGTAAAGTTTGCCTTCCCTAGAGTCCATCTGATCGAATGGAATTCCATTTAAAACGCACCATCCTATTTGTGTTGTTAAATCCTTAGATTACTTTTCTTATCTAATTTGAAAACTAACTCTATTGTTACCGTTAAATATTTCCTGCAACATTTCTTTTTATTTTAAACAAAAAACTCTCCTATCTATTCGACTAGTATCTTTTTTATGTCCACCTTGTTAGACTTCACACCATTGGCCTTGAATCAATCTAAAAAATTCAGGTCAGTTTTTAGTTATTAACTTAGGATCCAACTGACAAGCTACCTTGGCAAACCCATGTGAGGAGAAAAAGCTCTTGTGTTTTTAAAGAAAATAATAAATTAAACCTGAAAGACAGGCCATGTATGCTAACTGTATTTTACACCTTGGAAAATTTCAAGTTGCCTCCGTTTTTTGCTATTTCCGGAATGAAGAGTCTGTTTAAGGTATATTGCCATGTAGACATTTTTGTTGATGTTTTTGGGTAAGTATGTTATAATACCAATGAATGGTCCATATCTCTGTCAAAGCTTTGATAAACAACAAAAAGACAGATTGAGCTTAGCATTCCCAAATTTGTAGCAAGGGCATAAGAAACTAAAGTAATGTAGCAAACGCCCATTCTTTCAGCGAAATGTTTTTTAGCTTTCCCCCTGCTAGTGTGTATGGAGAACCCATAGAGCCCACCCCGAAAAATCGTTAGTAGCTGCGTTGCGTGGCAAAGGTGCTGCATTGTTTGATACGAAGGAGCAATATTCAAACTGGCGCCAAATCCGCAACGGCTTGTCGAAGAATTCAATTCTGAGTTTACTTCTTGTGCAACATATTTGAACGACTTCTAAGAATTAAAATGGCTGGTTGTTCGCCGTTTAATGTTATAGATAATACAGAAAACCTGGATCAGGAATTTTCAACTTTCTGCAAAAATCTACAGGCCATTTTAACAAAGTCGGATGAATGGCTGGCTATGTGGAAGGAAGCTGAGCAAAAGAGTATGGAAGAACATGATAAGGCAATTGCTTCGTATGAAGGTGAAAATATGCTGCGTCTGAGTTTTATAATCATACTTATGTTCTCGAAATTGTTCTTTTGAGTCTCTGGCCAGTAAAACTTATAAAGATGATCTAACCTTGTCTTGCAGTTTGCCTTTTTGAAAAGGTAGCGCACAATTTTAGAACGTCTTGACGATCAAGCAAAAAAATTCACTTTTGAAAAAAATTGTAAAACTGCCTTCTTGACAGAATAGCCACATTTATCAGTCTAGCTTGTTTGCATTTATGTTCTTAGAAAAAAAGAGAGAGAGACCGATTGTCCCTATTAGTTATCAGTACTGTATTATTGATAACAGTACAATTTTGCACTGATAGATCATCCTGTATAAAAGTTCGATTGATTATTATTATTATTGATTATTAGTTCAAGCCAACTTAAATTGAATGATAATAACCTTGATAACATGCTTAAGCCCATACAAGAGCCAAAAAATACACAAAGAAACCACCTGTTGCTCTATAAATTTCTGTAATGAGCTAGATACTGTGTTAAAACTTTCAGATAAGCCTTATTTTATCAGTGTTTTTATTTATACCTATACTTGGACATGGACCAGTTTGTGGAGTACGGCCTTTTTCAGTGGCATGGCTTGAACTTCCAGACTAGCAGTGCTGGTTTTAGGGGGCACAGCCCAGTCTGCAGAATATGGCATGTGCACACCGGAGATATTTTTGTGCAAAACCTGTTGCACACCGGGTATTTTTGGGTGTGGCAACTAAGATGGGTGTGACTTGGTGTGGTCCCATAGAAAATGTCAGTTGATAAAAACAAGCACAGTCGTGTATGAACAATTTGAGATTTCATGAATCTTACTTGACAAATATACAAATAAAAACTTGCGCTATCTCCAACAGTATACTTCACACGCATTTTTACAGTGAAATGCAAATTCACAAATTTTAGCCACAACAGGGGAAAATAGTCGGTGCACACCAGCACACCAGACATTTTTGGTGGTGCACACCGTCACACCAGGCTTTTTGCTCGTGCACACCGGAGATCTCATCGAAAAGTGCCATACTCTGCAGACCGGGGCACAGCCTCAGGACCCACATTTATGGTAGCTAGAAGGGCCCTGCATCTAAGAAAAAATTCTAAATTGTAAATTAGAAGGGTCATGCAGATGTTTTTCGTCCTGGGCTTTCCCTAAAGCCAATGATGCAGATTAGTGGGTGGAGGGTCATTAATAGAAAAATTTACAGGTGAAGATACATAGATAGAAAGATTCAAGATGCTATTTCACCTACTGATAGAGGATTTTACAGACAGATTGAGGATTTTTTGGACCAACTGAAGATTACGGACCAACTAATGAAGAATTTGGGGTGACACACACCCTGCAACCCTCTCCTGGCTATACCCCTGGCTGTTTTTGCCAAGATTTAAGGTGCCAACAGCTCAGAATGCAGATTATTGTAGTTCTTGACAAAATCTTGTGTGTACACTGTCATTTCAAGCACATTTACCTTTATTCATGTGGCACTCAATAAGAAGGTTTTGATAAAAGTGTTATCTAGTAAATTCAGTGTGAAATTTCAAATATTGGCATGCAGCAACTACAGTGACCTCTCATGTTCATCTGCCATACTCTGCAGACTGACCAACAGCTCTGCACCTCAGTTGCTGGTGTGCAAAAATTTCCTAAATATCCAGGTCTGCCAGAACTATTTTTAGTTCAATGAAGCTAATTTTAAGGCACTCCTCAGTGATACCATGTCTGCCTCATTGAAATGTTCTACATACTGGAACATGGTTATATAGCTAGTTGGGTGCTGTGTGTTACCCCCCTCCCCTCCTCTCCCAATTTCTTCATGAGTTTGCTGGCAAATCTACAGCTGATCCACAAAATTCTTAGTTGGCTTGTAAACTCACCTATCTGTAGATGAAATAGCACCACAATTTTTCATTCATCCAAATTTTGTTTTTGATGACTTCACCTAGCCACTGGGAATGTGAATGCATATTTCAGATTTGTTTGGAAGTTCCCTACTGATGTTTAAATACATTTATACAGTTTTAACTTGAATGATTAATGATGTAATTCAAAAGTGGCAATGGTATTCAATCATTGCTTGACAAGATGAAGAGGAAGCTTTTTGAGTGGCATTCATCATCAGGGCTGTTGCAAAGTATTGTGCAAGGAGGTGTCCAGGTCTCACTTGTCAATACAGTGGATGAGCCATCTTTCATTTGGTCAAAAAAGTTTGCAGATTTGCATGAAAGTACCAATGGACACAGCAACAGCCACAAATTTCCAACAACGGCCTTAAATGTGAAGCAGCAAAATGGGGAGGTAGTAAGAAGCTGGCTTGTTTTCAGTCCTACAAAGGCTGCTCTCTATTGTTTGCCATGCAGGTTGTTTGAGCACACTATTAATAATGGTTCAAAATCAAAATTGGCTTCTCCTGATGGTTGGGGAGAGAACGACAGCTGGAAAAGATTGTGGGAAAAGATTAAGGATTTTGCCATAAGGAAAGCAAGAAAAGCAGTTTTTTAAACATTAAATTAACTCTGATTTTTAAACTGATTTGTTTTAATGATTTGTTTTATATAGTCACTAATTACATGTTCTGTTAAAGACCTTAAAATACAAATTCAAGTGTTTCAGGGGCGTTGATTTCAAAATTCATGTCTTTTACAGTCCATCTTACTGCATTGCTAAGGGCGTAACCCAAAAAAGGTTTTTGCAGCCTTCGACGGTGGGGCCCCATGACAGTCCCAGCCCTGGGGCCCGACCCGTCTCTTGACGGGCCTTGCAAATGTTCATTTAAAGCCTTTTTTGATTGAATTTTCTTAATTTATTTTCAGAGGAAGTTGAAAATCTTAAAAAACAGATTTATGGTGAGTTTGATTAACATTTCTTTTGAACTTTTTAATTTCATTTCCATTACATATATATTTAAAGTAAAGATAGTCAATATGGTATAATCCTATTAAAATGATTCCATATGCATATGTAATAGAGTATACTTTTACAACAGATCAGGACCTAAGAGCAAAGGACATGAAAGATATTATCAAAAGGCTAGAGAACCTTGAAAATTCAAAGCAAAAATTGGAATCAGGTGTAAATGATGATCAAAGCAAAATCAAAGAAGAAAATGCAAAATTAGAAATTCTTGAGACAGGTAAAGGATTGTTTACTTTATTTTGTAAAAATGCATAGTGTACTTTCAGTGGCACCAGTGCACAGGTACTGTGGTATGGTCAGTGGGGGGAAAAAATGCGCATTTTTGAGAAATTTTCGGTTTCCCCCTGATTGTTCACACATATTGGAAAAAATTATGTATAGTTACAAAGTAGCCCTGATAAGTTCCTTTAGCAACAAAAAATTGCTACCCTTTCTTTAAGAGATTATTTTTTAAGAATGAAAAACTGGTGCGCATTTTTTAACCACAAAAAGGAGAAAAAATGCGCACATGTGGCAAAAAACTGCGCACCTCTCAATTACGGAAGAATGTTGATTTGATTCAATAAATTTGTTGATATTTGCTGTAAATAATTTTTTTAAATCAAGATTGTCTTTGCAGCTTTCCTGATGCTTAAAACGCCCCTTGAAACTTCTAGCAAAGCATGCTCCATATGGCTCTCTTGCCAAGATTTTGCTTTTTTTACATACGTCCTCAGCATTTTGCTTTCAATCTATGCAATGCGACTTAATTTGTAGTCTTCTAAAATAAACTGATCTTGTCTTCAGTGGAAAAGCTTTTATAGCCATCAAGAGACACGCAACACATAAAATGGCCCATAAATAGCATCTATTGTAATTCACTTATTGCTGTTTCAGCAAGGTAAAATTTAAATATTACATCATAGTCATCTGACGACAGTTAGATCAGCTGACGGAATCAAAACTTTGACATCCCCCGAGATAAGGTATTCCCCTCTGCCCCTCTGCACAAAATAACTTCTTGGTATATTCCATGCAAAGCGTCTTTTGGTACGTTTTTAAAAGAATTATTAGAAAGGCAAATGCTCTTATGAAAAGGATCCAAAGTCTTTTTAGAAAGTTATAACTTGACCTTCTTGGTTTCTAGAAAATAATTATCCCAAATCCATATGGTTGTGAAATATGGTTTCATTCTTGCATATGTCACATGTTTTAAGAACAGATACAAAGCCTTTTTCCGACGAAAATATAACTTTATGGTGCGCATTTTTTCCCCTCACTACAGAAAATTTGAGGTTAAAAAATGCGCAGGCCCCTCTAGACATGCCACTTGGGAGGAGCAACAACATCTGTTTATGGGCAATGACCTCAACACTGAAGTAGTGTAATGCTGTGATAATACCTTTGGAATGCAGTCAATGAGCTGAGAAATCGAAAAGTTTACCGTTGTCATGGAAAACTTGATATCATCATAAATTGGAGCTTCCGCTTTTCAAATACGTAATGAAAAACAAAAGTGCACTATTTTTGGATTTGGTTTTCATTGAAACTATCATCAAAGGTTTGGTTTATCATGCCTCATCTCAAACTGTTTGTTACTCCTCCACAGCGCTGTAGAAATGGGTGCGCATTTTTTACTCCCAAAATCGCCATGCGCATTTTTTCCCCCCACTGACCATACCAGTTTAGTATATTATACTAGTGGTGCCAGAAATAATTTTGTATTGTATGATTTTGCTTGCTTCAATGATAGTTGAATTAATGGCAAAAAACAAATAGAAGGAAGAGCGGCATTATACACCACAGCCGAAATCTGACACTCCTATCTTGAAGCTGGTTGAAAGATTGGCATTGAATATATCAACAAGAGTTAAAACTGTTTGCCTTTTGATAATCCAACAATGAAAAGTCATTCCAAGTTCCATATTCCTCGTTCTAATGATATACACCTCATTGGTGATATAATTCTCCCTGGCCATTACCCCCAATGCCTTTTCAGCAGTAACAAATGATGTCAACCAAACCTAAGTACTCAAATGTATGAAAACTTCTGACCTGTTGTTAAAAAGCAATGACCAGGGTATTTTATCTAAATATAATGTCTCCAGGGGCCATGCCCCTGCCCCACCCTTCCTCTAGCTGGTTTGCTTTGCTCACAAATTTTGCTTTACTATTAAGTACCATCCTATTTTTTATGCCAGCCCCCACTGCGTACTTTCAATAAGACTCTATGGTTGGGATAGTTTTTCAAATCTCAATTCTAAAAGGGTTGCTTATTCAAAAGCGATTTGAGTAGTGCCTATTGGAGAAGGGGAGCATATTTGAAACAGGATTTTCTGTAGGAGAAGGGTATATTTGGCGCACTGAATATATTCAAGACACAGTTAGAGAGGATACTGAAAAACTAGATGAAATAAACTATATAAAGTTCATAATTCAAATTATATGCAACAAAATATAAGTGCTTTCAATCCAAAATGAACAAACATACTTAGAGAAGTTGCAATCAACTGAATTCTTCCAAATCTGATTGCATAAATAGAGGGCATTTTCAAGAAGCGAGACATAACCAAACCTTAATACTGAAAAGGTCAACAAACGTTTTTTAAATATAAATAAGATATATATGAATAAATTAATAAAAGTATAATATATGTACTGTATAGATAATAAAATAGAAAGAAACAAACATTTTATTTTAAAATGTAGGCCATTACTGAGGTTCCTCAAATAGGACTTTGAATTTTTTCTTTTTCACAGATGTCACTGCTCTGGAAAAGTTTGTGAATGCCAAGGAAGAAAAAGTGCTAAAGGGGATTACATTTTTTAAGGAGAGACTGGGTTTGGATTTCAAGACATTAAAAGAAGGTATGCCATTCCATATCAACTTATTAAATCTCTCATGTGGGTCTGGGTTTTTCTGCTTACCGTAGATTCTCTTTTTAGCCCCCCAGGGGGCTTATAAGAGAGGGAGCTAAATTGAGAGAGGGGGCTTAGTAAATATTTTGTAATAAAAACTCATGTTTAGTGGTAAAACTAATTTTTTGCCAGATAAAAAACATCAAATCAGCCTTCTATATCAATAATATTGTCATCATTATTGTAATAAATTATTCTAAAATATCTTCTTGGACCGTGTAGCCTTCTGAAATTGAGCATTCGAAAAGGTCTACTTCATCCCTCTGAGTACCAACGGCCTGTAATTTTGGTAAAAGGTTCCCACATGGCTTGTGCTAAATGCACATTAAATCTTTGTCTTGGGATCTGCCGTGATTGGAAGAGACACTGTGTGAATTTTCATTTGATGCGAAGTATTGAACGACCAATGAATAAAATGAAAGTCTCTGTTTTTGTCAAGTTTACTTGTTTCCGCATCAGTGAAAATTTGGGGGGGCTAAATTGAGGGCTAGATAAGGGGGCTAGTTAAATTTTTCCTACTGAAAATGGGGGGCTAATAAGAGGGGGAGGCTTAATTGAGAGGGGGGCTAAAAAGAGAATTTACGGTATATGTGTTGCTGTGATCCTACAAGATAGCTTGGAGGCAGTTAGCTGATGTTGGAGATTGTTGAAAAACACAAGTCATTTTTCTCGGGAAATAGTGAATTAAGTTAATGTTGTGGAATTATTTGTAAGCATTTTAGACTTTTAGATCCCTTTCAGCATTTCAGAAAATGATTCAAGTCAAAACAAAACTTCTTAACTCTTTCCCATCTTCAATTGTAGATTACAAACATTAATGAAAAGCTTTTGTTTCTAGAAGACAAGATAAGGGTTATTTTTACCAAACTGGATGAGGACAATGAAAAGAGACAGTTTTCATTTGATACAAAAATTGTGGAATCAAAATACATAGGTAAGATTTCTTATCCTTTCCAATTAATTTAACTTCTTTTTATCAAAGCTCTTGTTGAAAACTTTCAAAATGGAATTGATATCTAGCACTTGTCTGACCACTCTTTATATTTGATAACCATTTGCTTTTTGTCTCTTCATAGTTTCGAATTGCAACCCTCCAGTGCAGCAGCTTGATGCATATGTAAAGGAAGTCAACCAAACAAATGACTTCACCAAGTTTGTTGTCAAAATGCGTAAAGCTTTCAAAAGTACTCTGGAGCGTGAAAATGATCAAAACATTTCCAGCAACATTATGTAGAATAATATAGAATTACAGCCTGTCTATATGATTTTGAGAGAACATTGCTTCCAAAGTTAAACACCTCATTCAAACCATACCCGAAATATCCCAAACTATATGTTGCCAATTGTTGAATTACCATAGAACTTTGCATAGGAGCTGGACTCGATTGCCAATACTAACACCAATCTCCTTAGACCTATTAACAACTCAGACCTATTCGCAGTTATGGAATAGCAAAAAATCTTATTGGTATTCACTGGACTCGCCCAAGGTTGTTGTTTCAGAATGGCATGAATACGGGAATTACCTGAGCATGACAGTCGCGACAAGGTCCTCAACTGTTTACCGTAGTCATGACTATGGTTATACTGAAAAATCTTCTTATGGCATGTCCAAAAAAACGTGACTTGCCTTAAATGATTTTGGAACGAACGAGCACTTGTAGAAAGTCTAAGTTAAATGATAATTCTTATCTCACAAAAATATTCAATTGCAAGAAAATCTGAAACTTTCCTCGTAACACAAAATGTCAGATGTCAGAAAATGAATACGGTTTCAAATTATCAAATCGGATACGTTAAAACGTGACCTCGGAGTACAAAGAATTATTTTCAGATACATTTTTGATTTGCATATCCATCAGTTGACATTTTCAAGTTCTCGTCTTCCTTCATCAAGTCAAATAAAATTCCCCGCTCATCAACCCTTTCCATTCCTTTCTCCTCTACATCCAAGTAATTTAAGCTCTTTATTGCTTCTGCTAATGCTTCTATAATTTCCCTCATCTAACACTCCGTCCCAGCAATTTAAATTTTGAAGCCTCAAGTCACAGTCGATCAGTACTCTAACTCTCTTGTTGCGATTTGTTATGGAAAATATTGGGGCTTGGGGTTTCTAAACCTTGTGAATTTTCTGTACGAACATGTCAAATCACATCAGCTGACAATTGTATTTTAGTTTTGTTTCAACCCAAGTACGAAACAATTTATGGATATGACTATAGAAATTTTTCCGATTTTCCGTTAGGCCTTCCCTTTTGTTCCGTTGCTTGGGTTGACATTGTATATATTGACTTTTGTAACTTTATTACTGTATTCAAGATAGTTTTATGTTTAAGATATAAATGCTGTATGCAGTAGAAAAGCGTTATCACGAATAATGTAAGGGCGAAGGAAAAGTTGGTAATAGGAGTTCATTATAATAAGGAATCGTTGTACATGGAGTACTGTAAAGGACCAGATCATTTCGAATAGCGAAGTTTATGATAAGCCCGGTTCGTAATAAGGGCATTCCACTGAAGTATGTATTTCTTTTCTTTATTCACCGAAAATTCTTACTTCCCACCGAAAATTCTCAAATGTTTACTGAATATACCAAAAGTTTTGGCACCTGATTTTTTGATACTCAAAATTGTCATAGTTACACACATTACAGATAACTGACAGATGTAAGACTGAGCCAACAAAAAAACTCTTCAGATTTTATACATGGTTGGGCATAAGGTGCACCTTCAAACTTTGCATTTTACTCCGTCAGATACTGAAATTTTAAAAATTGGCATTATAATAATGTGGTGATGCTTTTAGATTGATGTATCAATTATAAAATTATGTAGTATGCAAGCTTGATATTGATTTTAAGCCATCCTTAATCTCAAAAGTTCTTTATACAGAGATATGCAATAGGATAGTGATGCTGTCTGTCTTTAACTTTGCCCATTTAATTTTGTCTTTAACTTTGATTTGTGTTTTCCTCTCCCTTGTTTGGTTACCCTGCAAATTTCTTCGTTTTGTAATGGCACAGAATGAGAACCTTATTATTGGGAATGATCCTTGAATAACATGAAGTGATAAAACGTTGGCAGGCATTTAGCCTGCTGAGGAGGAGTTATGGTCTGTGACGCAGGGGCAGGCTAGTAGGCATTCCGTAAGCAGCCCCCCTCTTTAAAGAATAGCTGTACACTACTGGGTTTACGTGCTTAAAAATAAATACGAAGTGACTGCCCATCTTGAGGTGAAAATAAGTCTGTAAATGATAGAGGGGGCAACCCTTCGAGCCTATAAGCAAACACCAGACGAGCTATAGAAATCAAAATTCAGTTAAAAAAAGTAGCTAAACATTGATAAAGAATTCGTACGAAGAGGAATTATTAAGGAGGGGCTCTCTCAGGAGCTAGGCAAACCCCATTTCAGAGAAAACCAAATTGCTTAATATAATCATGGAAACTATAGGGAAATGGCGCTAATGACTGTCTGTATTCTATAATAATTGTTTTGAAAAGTTAGACGAAAGATACGAACAGAGTCTGTAGTTTTGTCTAAAGTTTTTCTTTTAAATAAAACGTCACTTAGTTTTTAAATTCAACGTCAGACGAAGCTAACAAGTAACTTATAAAAGAACCGTCGGAAATTTTCTGGCGATACTTTGACAAACGAAACAGCAAGCTGGCTCAAGGCATTTCAGTTTAAATCCGTACAGAGTGAAGGCTTTGAATCAGCAAGAGTGGAACGCCATGGTAAGTGATCATTTAATCAAGTCATGACCAGAAACAGTATTTATGAAATTTTTAACCATGTAATTTGTTGTAATTATAACTTTTACTTTAACCTTTTTGGTGATACATATCCTTGACTGACAACAGAATTTATATTCTGAACAAGCAAGTTTTTATAAATATTACTTATTGTTGTTATTATGAATCCAAGGATTATTTGCCAAATGTAAGTTTGTAGTTTGATGAAAACAACAATGACTGTAACAATAATTTTCTACAAATTGCTCTAAAAAATTCCCCCAGATTACCACTTTCGTGAGCCACCCTCAAGCCCTTTTTTCAGCTTCACAGTGGTTGGGGTCTGTAAAAGACCCAAGAGGTACGGAAAACCTACATACAGGCAGGCGACTGAATCTTGCAGCATCTGATATTTTGTGGCTTAACAAATAATGAACTTCATAATGATACAATGGGAGATTTGGGTTACTGGTCGGTAATTTCGATCGGCAATAGAGAGGGTACTACTTTCATGATTAGGTTACACTAACCGCATTGCTTTTCCTACTAGAGGGTCTTTTTCATTCATTTATAAAGATAAATTTTTCTATGCCCCCAGTTTGGGCAAAAGCCTCGAAAACATGAAAAATAGCTAAACCCTAGACCACAAGAGTGGTAAAAAGGATTATCTGATATATTATATTATTGAATGCGTGTTTACGTTATCGAACTACCAGCAATAATTAGTGATTCACATATTTGAAGGGCAATAGGAAGCTTGTCACACCCCAACGCCCTATTTCTAGCCTCCCTTGGTTTCTGCATTGAAAATTACTGATTTGAATCCTATGTTGGAATCCCTGTGTATTTCCCCCTAATGGGGCTCATCGGAAGGAGGCTCCAAATAGAGATGTGTTATCATTTGAAACTGGAGGTGTAGACTTTCAGTTCTCTGCCAGAAATCGTCATTTTGAAGAGAAATGGCGCTGCAATTAAGCGATGTTTTTGTGGTGAGTGTTTGAATTTGTTGTTGCCTTTGAGCATTATCGATTTCTACAAATCTTCTTCTTATTTCGGCCAATACTCATTCACAAAGTCGAATTAGAATTTTTCCGGATTGCACAAAAATGTTTTGTTTACGCTGACACTGTTGTCGATGCAAGAAATAATATATTGAAAATTTGATTTATTTGATAAAACAGATTTGAGTTACTAGCCACAGCACCAACCCTCCTACTGTTTTGACATCAAAACGTGTATCTAGAAATTCTAATTTTGGATCGAGTGAAGATGAACCATTGACAATGGCATTGTTTGGATATGTCATTTTTCCTTCTACGCAGGGAAGCAATGTAGACATTTAAACAGGAAGTTAAATGTTTTTAGGATGAAGGATTACCAAAGCTCAGTTCTTTGTATTTTAAGCAAATGTCCTGGTTTACTTTTGCTGTCGGATTCAGTTTGGTTAAAAAAGCCTTTTAGGGCAAAGCTTACTAACAGTTCGCTTACAAAGGCAAATTGTCTAGGAATATGCCCAAGCAACTTAATATGCGGATACTTTTAAAGTATGCTCTATAGAATATTAAATTTTTTTTATCAAAATATAAAATATGATGAAATTAGGCTACCTCACTCAATCCAATAGCATTTGCTACTTTTTACATCATCAAAAGAAACAATGCCCTACATTTCCTCTTATGTTTTGTTAAATGCAGCTTAAATGTCAGAATTTATTAGATAAGATCGCACATCTATAACATCGAACATAATTACATTAAAAAGAAACAAGGTAAATATAATATCTGTCTTCATTAGATTTTTTTCCTACTATCTTTCAAATCATTGTTTTGGTCTTCAATCTATTCTTTGATTCTCAAAATAACTGGAGATTTTTTGGAAGTATTAAGTCAATAAACCCACATAGTCATCCCAAAATGCCCATATGTTTGAGAAGAGCAATTTTGAATGAGTTGAGAATGGTAAAAAACATCGCTGGAAGGATCAGAAACATTAGGTTGCTTTCTAATAGATACAGAGAAAGACGGACAATAGAACAAAGATCTGAAATGAGGAACACTCGTTATAACACAGTTTGAGTCTACATTACTAGTAAACATCAAAGAAACAATTTTGATTGATTGGTATATTTGAAGAATTGAAAATGGCAGATGAATCAGAGAAGAGACCAAATAGAAAACCAGAATGAAAAAATCTATTATTGAATTATAGAGATAAAGGGTGGTATTGAGGTTGTTGGGGGAGCAAGGATATTGCAGGAAAATACTGAGATGACCCTGTAGGTTAAAAACTATTGACAGATCGAGCTAGACTTTGGAAGGGTCACAGGCTAGTAGTCACTTGTACACTAATGATGATGGCTGGGACAAAATATTTTTAGCTAATACTTCAATATTGTGGGATTGCTTCATTAAATCGGGATTGCTTAACCCTTATCAGGAAAACTGGACATAATTTGTGTTTGTATTAAATACAAATAAATTTTGTTTCTACTCAGCATCTGAAGATAGTTTTTCAGAGACTGAGAAGCTGGATGATGGTTATCAAACAGTGCCCTGGTACTTCCTCTCATTGTGACTGCACCTCTTCCTTTAACTGTGATTTCTTAACTGGCATTGCAGAGAGCTGGTGACTCTCCCATTTTAAGCAAATGTTTGGTCATGTCAGGGACTCAGACCCTAGTCCCCTGGATCAGTAGTTTGCCACCCTAACTTGCTGAGCCTCTTTCACCCCAAACACTGGATACAATTGATAGTTTTCTAAATGTAGGATTTCTGCCCTTTGTAAAGATATTCTTGGCCATGAGTCTCAAAAAGCAGAAACAGAAAATATGGAATATATTGTAAAAGTTGACTAAATATTGTATACCAAAATGGACCTTTAATGATCACCACTATCATTTCTATTATTTTAGGCTTGCCAGCTATAATGTATGACATGTAGTTATACCATGCCACAGTTATGACCATATATTAGGACATTTCCATTAATTACAAATATTGACTTTTTTCGTTTTCTTGTTACCAAGTGTTTATTTTTGTAAAATTGTTTTCCAAATTATTAATGTTAGGAAATTCTGTAATGTGTCTAGAGCATTAAAATTGTAGGGCTAATTGTTGAAACTTTTTTCTGTAGACAACAGCTGTTTTTGAAGACCTAAAGAAGTATTTGAGGCATGGTAATGACTTTTGCAGGGATGTATCATCAATAATCAATGAGAGGTTGGTTTTAGATATCATCTGTACCAGCTAGCAGGAAATAAACCCTCGGCTTATGAAAGTGGATTTTCATCTCGTAAACCTTCCAGTTGTTTGCGTTATCTTTTTATTATCTTAAAAATTTCAGCTGTCCACATGACTTAAATATTGCATGTCCACAACAATTAATCAAACATTTCATTTCCAAGGCCACTTTGTCCAAGGACAAAATCCCTTGTTAACCAATACTCCATTCACATCCCTTGTTCAAAGAAAGCTGGACTCTTTTACTGTTCCTCTGAAGGGTTATTGTATGGAGAGGTCACTGTTGCAATTCTTCTTTTTTCCTGTAGCTCCTGTTTGTTTATTTTCTTTTATTTTTATTAGCATCTATGTTAAATTATATGTATATCAAATGTAACTTTTTGTTATAGTTACAGGGTTACACTACATTTTCATGCTCCTTGCACTATCATCTTGTAGTGTCATTTGTTCATTAGTAAAGTGTAAATTTTTGGTTAAATTCACATGAAGTTTGATCATTGTAAGTGTTATCTGCCGCCTTAATTCTAGTGAAATGTCTTTATTTGTACTACTTCAACTGAAACTGTTATGCCTTGGCCCAATTTTGCTATGTTGCACTATGTAAAATTGGATTTTTCATGTTGACTTCTATTTAAAGGGTAAAGTTGGAGCAGACTTATAGTGATGGGCTTAGCAAGTTAGCTGTTAGGGCCAAGCGAGCAACAGGGGAAACTGCAGGGTATAAATTTTATCATTTTTTTTTGATCAATTGAATGATCATTCATCCATTTGTTTATTTATCCTTCTTTCTTCCATCAACACATCCATTGTTCATTTCTAATTGTTAAATGTCAACCAGTGACAGACACCTGGGGGCAGTCACCCTCCAATATTTTGGAAAACAATGGTCTTTTGTTCTAAAACAATGGGGGGAATGTGACATCATTTTGTCAAAAACAATAGACTTGCCCCCAATATTTGACCAAGTGTCCGCTCCTGATGTCAACATTAGATTAGACACCCAGACTTGCCCTAACAGAGTATTGACATTGCTTGAAAAACCAAACAATGGTCTTAAACATAAATTTCCCTTTCTTTATGTATTCTTTTGCTTTTATCACTTAAATTCTTAGTAGCCTTTTTAAGCTGTTGGTATCCTTTTGGAATACAATATTATATGCTTAATATTACAAAAATAATCAACTATGTGGATTTCAGCTTTGCATTAGTAAATTTCTTAGCAAATTTCTCTTGTGAATAGAGGAAGCTAAATAGCTTGTATAGAGGACTCTTGATAAGTGTTTAAGCTTCTAATTCATAACTATTCTTTTGAAGCTTAATTACCCTACCTCATTTTTTATGGATATTCTTGTTTCTCATTCAGTACACTACATACAGCATGGGAAAGTTTTGCAGCTCAAACTGAACAAGAAGCAGAAATAAGAAAGTCAGTTTTGTTTTGTTTGGTTTTTCCTGTTTACATGCTACAAATTGAAAATATTTTGTTAAATTTTAAAGTCCAAGGTTTTCTTGTTTTTTCAAACATTATTTATTTCTGTCTGTAATGCTTACTGTGTGTGCAAAGGGTTGACAAACCGTCAAAACTTTTTCACCATGTTGAAAGCCCAGTGTACAAAACAAGTTGTTACAAAGCTGATGCAAAATTGAAGTCTAACATTGTTTCTATCTTGATTATTGTTGAAAATTAAACTTTTTATCAGCAATGAAATGTCAATAACATTCTGTTAACGTTGTGCCCTAAAGATTGATACAATGCTTAGGCATAACAATGAATCTTATTTTTATCCTTTGTTCTTCATTTTCTGAACCACAGACATAAAATCTGGAATGTGGTTCCAAGAATACCTCCTATGTTTCTAAAAAAGTTGGGAGGGGGGACAGGGCTATTTAGGTAACTTTGGAAAGCAGCTCTTACCTACCTTTGGAAGTTGATGAGTTTTTGTAATCGGGCAAACTTCTTGAGCAAATTGAATTCTAGCCTGGAGACAAAGCTGATCTATCTTTGAAACCTCCAGTATATATGGAGTGGAAAATTAATGGTCACTTTTAATACGACTGGTGAAGAAATTATTCAATAATGATTTTTTGTGTGGAATTTATGAATAAATCACAACTATTCTGATTGCACATGCTATTGGTTCGAAGTTGAGGCGATGGTTAATGTTGGTTTTTGTACTTCACCTCGTAGATCATTAGCTGGTGATTTACTTGAGCAAATTGTGAAGCCTTTCAAAGCTTTTATAGACAATCAAAGAGACACTAGAAAACAGGTAAATCTTCAGACATATGCATATCTTTACTCTCTTTTCATTTATCTGATTGGTAACTGTTTGAAAGTTTCTTTATAAGCATGCACCAATCATCCTTTCTTGTTGTTTGTATTAGCTGGAGCTGGTAGTGGAAAAAGCAGCCAAGACGCATACGGACAAAAAGGCAGATGAATTAAAGGTGAATTGATTTTATTAACTCTTGTAATGAAAGATTTTGAGCTTGAACTTCGTACAGAACATATTTATATAGCACATTCATTTTTATACTTTTTTCTTTTGATAAGAACTTTGCCTTCGGGTTGTAAGAACCTTTTTTAGTAATTTGTAGTTGTATTTTCAAAAGTTCGTTTTCATTTACGACATTTAGCAAAATTGTAGGTCACATATAGTTCACTAATTTGATGTCTTGAGTTGGGGTTCTCATGGGAAATGATTTGAACATGGACAGCGTTCCCTTTCAGACTACTGGAAATTTTCTTCTCATGAATATTAGAGCATGATCGTAGCATACTATTAATTGACTTGGCTTTATGGAAGGTTGAGCGATTTGTGCTGATGCACCAATGGCCTAACTCGCAAACTCTAAAGTATGTTAGTCAGTAATTTAACACGGCTTATGTTTTTGGTTTTTTCTTCTCAGGCTAAAAGAACTTCTTTTAAAGAAGCAAAAGAGTCTGAATCACTCACGGTTCAAGTCGAAGCAGCAAGAAGCAGGACTACTAATGAAAAGGAATTATCAAAAGTACACAATGCACTTTATCTTCTTCTTTTCAAAGCCCACAGGGCCTAACTATTGTGGTAGACCAGCTTATGATTTTACAGAACATCAGGAAAGATAACATTTGTGCAGATCTTGTTTTAGCTTTTGGAGGTCCGTTTGAATGTTGATAAAACCAACAGTCATTAAACAGTCATTGCTTTTAAGTGTCAAAGCACTGTTGAGCTTTTGATTGGTTTGATTTCAATTTTCAGAAGACCGTATCCCAGACCGATTAATTAATTATTAGACCGATAAATTATTATTAATTATTATTAATTATTGATTAATCAATTATTTTTTAATTGCTTCAATTAATTATTTGACCATATTCAAGTTTTTTGGAGCCTTAAAAAGACTGGAATTTTTTCAGATATCTTTGCTTTCGTATTATTTATTACGCAGGATCCTAGTAGGGTTTTAGCAGCATGCAAGGAATCAACCCGATAGCATTCAAATTCCTTATTGTGACCCCCTCGTTGGGTCTTGTATTGTAACTTCCACCGCAGATATTGCCAAAAAGTATTTATTTTTGCTTGATAATAATTTTGTTTGAAGAAGAATAATCGAAAGCATTTCAAGGTTTGAGGAACACAAATAGGAAGGGATGGGCAACTCTAGCTGGAAAACATGATATTCTTTCAAACGAAGTGATGAGAAAAATCTTCTTCTTGAGTACGGACTTTAAGAATTCTTAATTCGTTAGTCTTTAAAATTAAGTGTCAACCAAAAGGCCTAGCATATTCTTATGAATTTATTATCATTTCTTTTTGTTCCTTAGCTTGATGCGAAATGTAGAAAAGCCGAAGAAAATGTTATCAAATCCGGTAAACCTTTCATATTATTTTATATTCTGAGTTAATTTGCAATGAATGTCCGGTTAAAAGGCACTTCCAAGTAACGGACACATCGAGTCGGCGGATAGATAACAAACATTATTTCTAGTCTTGTGAGACATACAGGTCCCGGATGCTCGTTTAATGGATATGTCGCTGTTTTTTCAACAATTATGTTATATACATTTTTGTTTTATGTACACTTTTGTATTTATGTTTTGGTAAATAAAATGGGGCAATTTTGAGCTATAACGCCTAGGCTCGTGATTATCGCATTAAACGTGAAACTCAGAGTGTTGCTTTCATGTTCCTTTTTTTAAATGTCTCTTTTTGTCCCGTTTTAGATAAGGAGCACATACGGAGAGTAGTTGAAACTGAAAGGGCGCGGCTGGCACTTGAATCTTCGTTGGCAAGCTCTTGCAGCGTAAGTTTTCTTCAAGTATTCTGTACATTTTTTGAATATTTTTAACAGATCCTCGCTGGACATAACAACGCACATATTAAGCGAAGTAGCTTAAGCGATAAAAAAGTATAAATTTCTAGAAGACAATACAAACAAAGTAATGTAAATAAATTCCTAAACAATTGTTTTGTCTTAGTGTATGGATGTAGCTATCAATTTCTTATCTCGAAAATTTTTAGGCCCTTCAAACACAAGAAGAAGATAGAATAAGCTACCTGAAAAACATGCTTAAAGCATATGTAGAATTTATGAGTGACTGTGTTCCCAAAGTATCTGAGGTGAGAAGTTGCATCTTGCTTAAATCTATTTGTATCTTACTATTTCTGTTGAAATTTATATTAAACAATAGAAAATCTTAGTATATCAAACTGCAAGATGACGGAGAAGACCATATATTTAATTTCCTACTTCTGATAGAAGTAATTTGCGATTTTAAGTAGATTTTTTTCCTTGATATTATGCTTATGATTTGAATGTTGACTTTTTAATTGTTTTCTTCACAGTTTCATTGTTCTGCTTTTATGTATTAAGCCGTTGCTTGTTGTACTTTTTCAACTGTTGTAGCCATTTTATTGCATTCTCATTCTAAATTGCTATGACATTTCGTTGTTTTTCTACGGTACATCAGTGAAGTTTAAGGCTTTCAATCAATTTTTAGTGTTTTGGCAAGCTAAGTGCAGATACCGAGAATATGGATTCAGCCGCAGATATCAACGAGCTGATAAAATCAAAAGGCTGCGAGAAACAGCCAGGGGAGCAAATACTATTCACATGCTACGTACGTACAATTGAAATTTTCGGTTTTATTTTGTTGTACAATCCAAGTGTGCATCTGTAGGTCTGAAACTCCTTCGTAAGAAGCAAGTTAAACGATTGTGCCAAAAGTTGTGTATTTATATTGGCTAATTGAGTTTCTTCGTCCTGAAGGAAGCGGATCTTAGCTGTCAGATGGACGAACAACGACGTAAACTTGCTCTTGAAAGCAAATACGAGCAAGTTCGAAAAGCGTTGAGATCTGAGAAACATGCAAGATCAGGTATGTGAATACTTTATAGTGTATTGAAGTCATCAGACATACTGACCTTTGAAGATCGAAAGTTCAATTGAGTTCTGTATTCAGTTTGCTGTATAGGTGAATATGGCTCCCGAATACACTCAAAATGTGGGATAATTTCTAGGAAAGGAGTTTTCCTATAAACTGAAATTTTCGTAGCCAACACAGGATAAAACTTGGTAGTTCAATTCCTTTTGTTGCTGCATTCTGTCTATTGTTGCTTCTGGGTATCCACTTGCTGCAGTTAAGACATGAGGCTATCATCAAATCTTTGTCAGACTAGAATCCAGTAAACATGACAGCCATATGATCAATGACCTTGAGATAAGCTAATGAATAGGAGAAAAAGTGCTACACTCAACCTCGCTTTGATTTAGTTGTTTATCTGAAGAAGGTTAAGCACTCAAGGGTATTGTCCTGAGGAAAGATGGGCACTTATCTGGACATTGGGCCAAACCTAGATTCGAGCAGACTTCTCGCCTCTACGACCAGGAACTTTAGCCGTTTGATCATTTCGTCATTTTTGAGATGGGAAACGATAATAAACAACTGTTTCTGAGGCGATGAAGCAATGTTTGTTTTATTTTATTGGCATTTCTAGATTGGGAAATGAAAGGGTTGTTTTGACCATGATCATGTGTAGTAAAAACAAATGTCTCTTGCAAATATATATTATTACTTCTTGACGAAATAAGTGATTTTCGTTGTACTTTCCCAAAATGTTTTAAAGAAGATGTTGGCCCACAGTGTTTTGTATTCCTGGAACCCACTAATCCATGATAACTAGTTTTGTCAACCGTTGTGAGTACAGTCAAGTTTCTTTACATTTTTGCAGGTCTTGGAAAACTGGCCTCTGTCTACCAAGAAACACCAAAGTTCGGTGGCTCCGACACAGTTGATGACGTCTCTTTGCAAATTGCGCACGTATGAAAGTTTACATCAAGCCTGATAACAATTTGATGCACGTTTGGTGAATATATGCTAAATAGGAAGCTCCCGCTTCCACCCCCCCCCCCCCCCCACTTTTTTGCAAAAAGTGTTTTGCAAAAAGTGTTTACAAGAGAATAAGAATTATAGAACAAAATGAAAATGGCAGAAAAGAATAGTGCGATAAATCCTTTTACAGTATTGCCTAATTTCCAAGAAATAAGCCGGGGTCTATGGTGCCTCATAAATTAACGATTTCCATTTTAAGATCGAAATTAATCAATCTTAATAAAAGCATGCCTTAAAAATGGTAAAAAGTTTTAAACGATTGTAAAAAAATGACTGCAAAGAATATCCTGAAATGTATTTTAAGCTAATCTAAAGGGCGTGGTCGCAAAAATTTTCTGTTCGCTCCGCTCGCAGCGAAGTTGCTTCTTTCAGGTATACCTAGGGCCTCCGCCCCCTCCCCTTCTAGTGTACCTCTAGCATAATGAGTGCCCCCATAAAATCACAAGCACATAATATCGTGAAGCATTTTAGTGCGGTTTCCGAAAGTTGGTTTTTTGGTCTAAAAATGCTATCACTTTGAACTTCTTGGCGCCGCCCCTGATAAGACGATCATTACACGCTAGCGTGTAATTCGAAGCGCAATAACCAGTTATTTTTTCTGTCGGTGTTCAGTTAGTGGTAACTTCAAGTTACACATGGATTTCAGTACGTAATTTTCAAGGTGATGATACGGTTTCTGAAGGATGCACAAATGGTCTTATAAAATCAAATAGCTTAGCCAACATATCATCGTTGTTACTAGAGCTCTTTATGAAAGTAAACCCTAAACTTGCTCCATGGGCCTTTGTTTTGCTACTGCCACAGACGCTACAACAGAGGTTAGCGCCCGTCATACATCTGTTGTAGCTGTAGCGTCAACTGTTGTAGTGTCCGTCAAGTGAGGCAGTAGCGAAACAGAGGCTAATGGAGTAAGGCTAGGTAAACCTTTCCATATTTTGCGAGCTAAGGCAACAGTTTGAATCGTCTTACCTTGTCACCCGCCTTCTGTTAGACAGTCCTTGTATATACTGAGGGAGCATATGAACGAGCGGCACGACTCAAACCCGTGACCATTGACACAGTACATCGTTGCTCTACCAACAGAGCTAGTCGGTCACGGTTTCAAACCCAATCCCAAAACCAAACCATGTAACTCACACAAACCGCCTACTCTTCTTATACAACAATCATCTCCAAAGTGCCAGTGAAAATACCAATGGTACACCTTTCTTCTACTTCAGGCAAATGCGGTTATCGATTGTCTGGATGCAAGCCTGTACACGATAAACTGTAGTCTTTCTCAAGTCAATGGATTACAGGCGCCTCAATTTCGGCTTTCAGACTGCATTCAGAAAACCAAAGACAAGCAGGCATGTTTTTTTATTCTTGGGTTTCTTCATTGATCATTATAGAAAATTATCTGATTAGCTTTTATCTTATTCTAACGAATAGTTCAAATTTACGGTTCCTTTTATTCAAAATGAATGTATTTCTGAATCGATGATATCTTTTGCAGAATTTACCTTTTTGGACGTTGAAAGTGCCGTTCGACAGATTAACAATTGGTATTCCTGATGAACTTGACGACGAAGATTCGGCAATGGCACAGTCTGTCCCACATTGCTATGAATCAGGTTGGGAAATCTCTTTCTGTTTCTGTTTAGAGTATTCCTAACACCCACAATCACTGACTCTCATCTACCCATAAACACCCCAAACCCCTACCTTAGAGCTATCCTCAAAACACGTTTACAGGTCAGAAGAGAGAACAACACCTCCCCACCCTGAACAGACAGTGTTGAGATTTTGTACCTCATCCCTTCTCCCAAGCTCAGTGTTATCTCTGGTACTAAAAAAAATCTCACTCCAACTTTGAACGGGGGGGAGAGGGTAAATCTTGAACAATATATGCATGCTACCAGGCATGCTAACATATATGCTGTCCAAGATTGTAGTATATTAAAATATCTATGTCTTATATTTTACCATACCCTTTTAATGCTATCTTTAGTGGGACATTAGTGGCTATTAAGGGCTTCGAATTTTTCAGAAATCTTTTAGACAGGCACGGGAGTAGCTAACGGGGAATGTAGGGGTGCGACAAAAATACTTAGTTTGTCGGTAAATCTTAAGTTGGATCTCAAAGTCCGCGATTTTTTCAGTATATTCGACTATAAGTAGGTGAGATAGTACCTCGATTTTTCTTCATCAACTTCTTCGTCAGTAAATTTCACTATTGATGCCCCATCCCCTAGTCTGAATAACAACTCAAGATATCCACACGACCGGCGTAAGCGTGGACTACGGGAGATCTATTCAGGCATAAAATTTTAGCATATAGCCTACACTAAAGAACTAATTTGATTTTAATCCCTAATACAGATGAATTTGAAGACATCGAGGATGGGCAACCCCACGGAGCTGTAGCGGCCACATCAGAGCAGACTAGCCGAGGTCTGAAAATTTGAGTGCGCTCTTATTTAGTTTCATATCACATTTCTTCCTATTGGTATTGTCCTTAAACTATGACGTCACTATAATTTTTTAAAATTTTAATCAAATAACTTGAAAGAGAACCATGACATTCGTCTAAATTTGCAAAACTATTTCGTCTAAAAGTCTGAATATTCAAGAGGTTTTTCATGATTTCATTTTAGCTTTTGGGGTCAAAGGTCAAAGTTTTAAAAAGCAATTTTGTGCCTTCGGACTTAAGAACTCTTTTTTACAATATTCTGAGTGTTCATACGATATTCAATATGCGAATGACACTAGACAGAGACATCTCTCTCTCAGTAAGCATGCTCTGTTCGCGTTTAATTGTGATTTCTTTTGTGGCTGAATATAAGATAACAAGTATGTTGTATGCAAATCTTTGAAATCTGTCAGTTTAGGCCTCCTCAATGCAAAACATTACCAGCAACTTATTTTTTCCATGAAAAAACATTCTGATAGTATCTTACAAAATAACTAGCAACAGAAATGAAGCGGACCTGCAGATTGGAAGTGGCGAAACAACCTTGTATTTTATATATAAAGCCACGCAACCAAGCAATAGTATAAGATGAATTGAAGTCAGTGAATAAGCCCAGCTATTGGCCTTTTGAGAATCTGTGTTTATGTTTCAAGGGTAATTTTGAGGGAAGTTTCGATGAGGATAAATTGTGGTGCTTATTTACTAAATCCTTAATCTTTGCGTTTACTAACACGTACATTGTTATCTATGTCAATTAGCGTCAAAGGATTACGGAGGAAGATGCCGAGCAATATACGACTACACTGCAGCTCGGGATGATGAAATTACAATTCAATTAGGTGACGTCATCGATGTAATTTCTCGTTCAGATGGAGGCTGGTGGACTGGTACAGTAAATGGTATAACGGGGGTTTTTCCTGCAAATTATGTCGAAGAAATTTGAATTTTGCTATTTTGATAAATTGCTAATATTTAGGCTCTAAATTTAAGTGTAATGTAATGGCTCTTGCGCCAATTATTTTCCTCAATTGAAGTATTGCATTCTATTCAGAGTTAGAGTTTACACATAAAGTATTAAGTTTCGCAGCTGTAAATAACGGAGCTTTGGTAACTATTTTCTTATAATATGGATTTTCATGATGGTATGGAAAGCTTATTGTGTGGATTTTCTGCAAATTCTTTCAAGAACAGACTTGATTAGAGACTTAGCATTAAGTTAATGACACAATACAGAACATCGACAGGCGTATCAAGTGGAAACTATGATTGATTGCTGCTCTTTGAAACGTTTGAACATGTTTTTGCAAGTAGTTATTTGATTCTCTGCAGGCGTTTATAGACGAACCATGTCTCTAATACAGGGGGATTTCTAAAGGGAGGAAAAAGGCATTGTCTCGTTTTTGTTCCCTCGATTTAAGAAAGGGAACCATAACAGCAATGATTATGTGATTATTATTTCAAAATTTTATCTTGATTATATACTGCATGTTTTCAGTTTTTTGCTACACTATAATGAATCTGTTTGTATTCAATAAAATGGTAGACATTAGAAAGGTTAAGTTTTCAAATGTCAAAGGATAGATTTTGTATATGGAATCCTCTAAGATAGAAGTGTCACTCTTAAGTTGGTGTGTTCGATATTTTTCTATTGTCTTCAGTCCTCTGATTGTAGTTTGTCCTTGCAATTTGATTATCAAAGGTTTGCACAGTTTTGAATTATCTAGGTAGCATGCACTTTATTTTTTTAACAGCTGACAGTATACCGTGCCTATTGCTAATTATGACTTTCAGTACTCGTTTCTAAATATTCTTAATAAGGGCTTGCTTTTACTCTTTATATGCACAGCCGCATTGCCGATATAAATAAAACTAATGAAAAAAGGTTAGTTTTGTACACCTCCATTCCTGGATTGCTGATCAGTATAACTCCGTGACTTTTCAGGATACCGACGATAAGGAGCCGGGGACAATGGATCCTACCTTTTTTGCAACACAAAATAAATTTTTGCAAGTAGTTGTTAAAAGTCATTAATTTGCTATTGCCCCTTTTCTTTCAAAATTTTCGTTAGAGCCTATTTTTTGTTTGATCTCTACTTCGATATCCTTCTATAGTTCCCAGTTATTTATCATAAAGGACAAACTCGAGGTTTTTCGCATTTAAATATAAGCTACAAGATTAATTTGGCCAACCCCGGTAGTAATTTGTCTCATCAAGTTTTTCCTTTTTTAGCATCGCAGTTTTTGTCATATCTTTAAATGTAGCAACAGAGCTGTTGATGTGATTTGAAAATGCTAAAAGGTGCTACGATATTAAAGCGCCTGTCCCTTGACAACAACAGTAGTTACGTGACAACACTAAGGACAAAGATCGTTTTCTTGTGATATTCTGCCGGAGGAACATTTGAAGTTGATATCGTTTGCGGAAAGTTATTTGTGTCAAATGTATCGAATATGGAATCGCTCAGATCAATATGGAATCAGATCATTAGCTCATGTTTCTCCATCACAGATTACCACAGACGTCATTTTTAACCTGGAAGCAAACAGAAAGGTGTGTCAAACACAATCATGTTTCGATATGTTTACTGATTATGTAATTGGTTACCCAACAAAGGGGCGATAATCAAAGCACTTGCATTGAGTTCCGGTTTCACTTTAGAGCTGCAAGTCGTGCTATTCCTGTCAAAGAACTGAAAATGGTTCGCTTAACAGTCTTTTTTGCAGCTGTTGTTCTGCTGTTTCTGCAAGATGTTTCCTGCTGGAGACGACGAAGACGATCTCCACCACCTCCGCCTCCACGAGGTATGTCGCAAAATTCTATACTTTCTTCACGGATGGGTTTTAGCTGACATTTCACAAACTTATTAATTTATAAATTTGTTTCCGCTCCATATGGGAAGGCAGGCTCTCTCTTTACCTGGATTGTGACTCTTGGTAAGCGGAATGAAATTTCCCAATGTGAACTCTTTAATTATCCTGTCTTTCGGGTTGAAAATGTTTTTAGCCCCCTTGTCGCTTATTTAGGACCTTGAACACAAGTTTACGTTCTTGCCACGTTTACGTGCTTGCTAAAAATTGAGTTTTTTACAGAAGCGTACCGGTTAGGCGGGGATTGCTCTTAACATTTTGCAATATTTTGTACCGAATGGTTTTGCCTTCAGGCTCTAAACCCCCGATGGCGCTTCTTGTGTCTCATTCACCCGCGTTCAAGAATAACTTTTTAGGAAATGATCAATGGTAGTTTTATTTATCGATCTGACAAATTTACAGCGAAAACCCTTCGTTAGGTGACAAAGAGAACAGTTTTTGCACATTATCTCGCAGTTTAAAAAACTGTGATGCAATAGTTAAGTTATCTTATGTTGAAGGTATCTTTGTTTTATTTTATCGTTACCTCTAAAATAAAAACTGTACCTTTCTACCGGTAGAAAGCCATTTTTGGGTGAGCGGATTGGAGTTTTTATTGCATGCCGTGTACCCTGTGGCAAACCCTGGAATTTTATTTATATCCTTTAATGGTATGCTGGATAAAAATAACTATTGACAATAAATAGAGCATCTTGAGAGAGAATAAAGCATTGGTGTGTTTATTTTTAAAGTTAATGGAGGATGGAGTGTATGGGGGCCATTCAGTGGTTGCAGTAAAACATGCGGAGGAGGAGTGATGCACCAGTACCGACACTGCAACAACCCATCGCCGGCGAACGGAGGAAGCTACTGCCCGGGCACCAACGTCAACTCCGAGTCATGTAATACACACGGCTGTCCTCCAGGTAAGGAGTGTGCTCGATTTTGTTTGCCATTTCTATCAACATTTACCTGCTTTTGTTGGGTACTGTTGTTACGAGAGACCTTCGCGTCCAAAAATTGTACATGCTCGTTCCTTCGTAGGGCATGAATGACATTTGGATATTGCTTTTTTTGTCTGGATGCCGTCCAGGCTACTTGTCAACCAGTCAATCAGTGCCTCGTAGATTAAATGGTGTAAGGGGAAGCGTGTAAGAATGTGATGTTGAAAAATTTACTGCAAAAGGGGATATAAGTAGCTCTTAAAATGATGAATTATTTTGGAAGATATAAGGAAATTCTATGTTGTGGATATTTTTGCAGTTGTGAATGGAGGGTGGAGCAACTGGGGAGCTCCTTCGTCCTGCAGCAGAACTTGTGGAGGAGGAATGCGGTATCGCCGGCGAACATGTACCAACCCAAGTCCAGCCAACGGTGGGAGACCTTGTGATGGCGGTGCGACTATTTCGATCAGATGCAACGAACATGGATGTCCAGGTAAGACGATTAACATACCTTATATGAACAATAGAATTGTCGAAGAAATTTTTTGCGATATACATGGAATATGGATGCATCAGCTATATGGTTTATAACATCTTGCACGCAAAGAAAGGAGATGAAACATAAACATTTATGAAAGAGATTGGGTTAATTGATCAACAATATACTCTATAAAATATGCCAATTTCTTTTTAAAGATGAAGTTGCAGGTTTAAAAGTTATTTGTTGATAGTAAGATCTTATATCCTTCAGTTATCTAACTAAAGTAGTTGTTCCATTTGCATCAGAATGACGTTTTCTTTCAAAGCCATTGAACAGAAAAATGTCTGTATTTGATGAGAGCGTATGATTTATATCTAGTTGAAAGCTTAAAGGTTTACTCAGATGATAATTTTTGCAATTTTTTCAGATACCCCAAACTCTGAAATCATTGTAGCTCCAGGTGAGAATATTTTTATACCTTAAATTCATATTTTATATCTTTTCAATAAATCTCTGCAATTGCGGAAATTAAGGGGGTTTGGGGGGCTCCGCCCCCCCTCCCCCAATCAGTGACGATATATCTCTGCTTCAAGTGAAGAGTAGATTCGAACTCCGATTCCCTCGGTTCAGAGACGAGCGCTTTACCAACTGAGCATTTTGTGATTAATGATCCTTTAATAAAACCTCATTCGCATGTTGGAAAGTGGGGAGGGGGGTTGGCAAGGGCAAATTTAGAATTGTTTTTTTAATTCCATTTTTATTTTCAGATGGCACTATGTATCAGCTTGTTGGTTGCTTTGATAATAGGGTCCACCGGCTTAAAGAGATGCTCATCACAGAGAGAGATCACACCAGTCATGCCTGGAACGGCGAATGGATTGACTGGAACAACTGGGATATTTACATGAAGGGTTTCATTCACAGATGCGCTATGAAAACAACGTCCAAGAATTACCGCGTTTTTGGCATGTCTTACTATGGTGGGTTGCTTCAAATGCTAAAGTGACTATTTTTTTAGAAGTCTGACAAAAATTCTTCAACCGTCGTGAATGGTTTTCTATGCTACCTTTGGCAATACTAAAAAACGTAACGACTATTAACTGGAATCGTGGCAATAGAGAAGGTACGAGGACTGGATAAGGATCTTTTTCTTGAAAAAGTCTCTAGGATTCTGCTAATGTCTTAGGATAATTTAGTGAATTGGTCTCAATTTCTATTAAATCATAAAAAATAATATTTCAACTGTGTAGAGCGGGAATGGAGCGCCCAAGAAAATAGTAACATCTAAATTGCAAACATTCATCAAAAAAGGGAGCAAAAATAATAGTTAATTGTAATAATTTTCTAAAAGAAACATCCTAACTTGAACTTTTCACTTCAATGGAGACAATCTTACTTTTTATAAAAATTCTTATAAGTGAACGAGTAAATAGGTGTACGTTTTTTGCCTTGGTTCAGGTGAATGCTGGGGAGACAGGACTGTATCAAATGCTGTGGAGATATTCACTTCAGCTTTAAAGAACCCCTCGAAATGCGTAAAAGAGGGCTACAGAGATTGTTCACCTGGGGACTTGAGGTGCATCGGAAAACACTATGGGATTGCAGTGTACCAGATCATTGAAAAATGAACAGGTAGTTTGGTATACTTTCTACTAGTGCAACTTGCTTCATAGAAAAACTCTTTTCGAGACTCATAAACAAATGATTATAAAGTTTTTGATTGTAAATGAGAGATAATCTGGATCCAATCAATTAAAAGTATATAGTTTACCAATAGGTGCGAATCGTCGATAGACACATAAGAGGACAAATTAAAAATTGTTTCTCGTTTCTTTGTCTTATTTTGTTGTTACGTGATGCAAATTTTTTCTTACGCAATGCAAAGTACCTCATAAATTAAAGTGTTTTTAAGTGTTTTGTCCCAAATATATCGAATTCATTCCTTTATTTCATTCATTGGAGGGATAATAAAAACGGATGATTTTTGTCCAAAAGTAAGGCTATAGGCTTGGTAAAAATATCGATCTTTTTCCTCAAATTGATCTGCTAAAGTACTGAGCCAGGTATAAATTCGGGTGTGTTTTCATTGTTTTGTAACAAACCAAAGGCAAAAACTGTTACTAGCTGTGTACTGAATTTTTTAGATCGAGATGGACATAATTACGTAGGTAGAATGAAGAAATTGTGTCAGGGGGATGGCTTCTTATTATAGATTTCTAGTTGAAATGATAAGTATGGGATCCTGCTATTGTTGAGTGGGCGGATAGTAAAAGTTTATTCAGAGGCAAACGCCAAAATGCTTATCGATGATGTTCCTGAAACAAGAGAAACAGAAAGCAGGTGAAATCTACGAAAATCAGTACGCATTTTTTCAGCTTTTCGTTATTTAAAGAAAAGGCTACAAGTACAAATGAACAGCCCTAGGTTACCAAAAATTACATGATTACGTTCATGATAACGATTACGTGATGAATCGCTTTAATCAAACTACATCAAATCGTCTCAAATCTGCTTTAAAAACTTTACTTCGTGTTGACACTATTTTTCACTGAAAAACTAAAAGTACAAAAGCATTAGAATCCGAATACTTAAAGACTGTAAAACTTACTTTATAAAAATGCAAAATGCACTAGGCTAATCTTTCTACTAAAATGTCTGTTAATCCAAAAGCCTTGGGTTGAAAACGCTACTTCACAAACGTGGGGTGCATGTGTTCCTTGATACCTGGCGGACAACAAATGTCTAGCGTGAAAATAATTACAGTAAAAAAACTTGATTGTTATGGTAAGAGCTTAGCTGCCATCACATCAGATGAAGAGAAGTAAAAGAGATAATTCGCTCTTACAACAAATATGAAACTGTAAAAAAGGTATCAAGCAAGACTATGTACCGTAAATTGTCGAATGAGCACCCCCTTTAGCGCAGTAAACAAATATAAAGCGCCCTCCTTTCAATGAGGGTACCCATCCTTAATTGTGAATCCATTTCGAGGTTGGCGAGAAGAATGGCATAAACGATAATAAGAAATTTACTTTTATAACTAACCTTGAATAGATAACTAACAGTTTATTCTTTATTACAACTTGGATGAAGCTGACTTTCCAAAAAAACAAATTTAACAGGGGTACTCGTTCGAGGATTTCTAGCTTTATGTTTAATGTAGAAAGGTAATTGTGCTACGGTGCCTGAAAGAGCAGCTTTTCTTTTTGATAGCTTTGGTTCCTACTGAGGCTTTCATATGTCACGAAATCATAAATCAAAAACGTTAATCTTTAATTTAAGGAGACACACTACTTGAGACTAGAAATTACCATAACTTAATTAAATCTATTGTACAATTTTCTACATATATAACGCTTGAGTGATCAAAGTATATTTCTGTGTTTTCTGTGCTTGGATTAAAACCATTTTCATATTTATGTTCAACAAGTCGGACAATTTAAACTAACAAAGGAAATTCCCAAACATTTAGGGTAATAATGAATTTAGGTTGAGTTTCGCCAATTCATATCACTCTAAGGGGCCAGAATTAAAATAAGAAGGCTTTGTTTGGAAGGAAGAATTTCTTATTCTTTTTAAAGGTCACTGATAGGCCCCGATTTCTTAAATGCAACTAATTGTCTATCTTTCGATTCTAATATCACGTCTTTCTTTCTATATCACCATAATGGTTACCCACTAATATTACATACGAAAGTAAGAATATATTTTCCAATATCCACGTTTAACAATGGTCGTGTCGGTGCATCAACGCCCAGCAACTCCAATTTCATCGAGAAAAAACAGTGCCGTCAAGGAAACATTTCTCCAAAATATTCAGTTAAACAGGACAGGTTACAAGCAGATTGTCTTTTCCTTGAAACTGGAAGCTTGGAGAAGAATTTCCCCGAACTCCATTGATTGCTAGTCTCTTTGGCTTATTGCCAAGTTCACAATTGAAGCTCTCACTGACTTCGACGACAAGGTCTTTGCTGTACATTCTAAAATCAAATTAGTCATTATAAAAAATGAAGACATTCACGAACCTCAGAAATTTTACATAGAATAGCTGCATGTGAGATGAAATTTCAGCCACAAATATGACTTTACCTCGGGACTGGAATTTCTTTAAGTAATTGAAAATATAAATTATAAAGGAATCAATGGAGGGCTGGGCTGGAAGTCAACTCGGTCAGCAAGTTTCAAATTCAATCCTGGGATTGAAAGCTCTCAAGTAATCAGGTCCTTACCTTTGAAAGTAATAATACCGACCTGGAGATACAATGACCTTTCCCACAGTAAGGGAAAACAAAAATCAAACATGTGGAAAACAATGTTGATGCTATCTCTATGTAACTTTATTGAACAGGTAGAAAGATTCTGCAGTACAACAAAAGCTCAAGTACCCATTGGACCTCGAGAAAAATTGAATGCGCGACTTTTGGGTGGAATTATGACTCATGCAATTATAATCTAATTAGAAGGACGGATGCAACCAACATGTGACTCAGGCCTCAGCGCTTTAGATTGGTTTCAAAATAAGAAAATGTTTCCAGTGAGACATACTTGATTAAAACTTTTTCACCTACAGTAATTATCCGCCATGATGCTTACTAAATAGCGACACATCTATGAAACCAGGTCAGAGGGTGTCCGACCCTATCAAAAAGTAGCAATATTTCTTTTCATTTCTACAGTGTGATAGAAATGTGTACATGGCTCTTCTAATATCAACATATTTCATTTGCCAATCTTCAATTCAATTATTTTTAGATAGTTAAATATCCTACCTTTTGGAGACATATGTCAGTAGTCCTACCAATTCAGAAACTCTGTTTTCTTGTTTGTCATTGTACAAACAGATCACCAAATCATTCCCATGATTGCGTATGATAATCACTTGATCAGTGCCTGGGCTGATCGCAATTCCTTGTACCTGGAAGGCAACAGACAATTACTGATCACTAGACCTGCAGGTTTTCTGTGTTTACCAATGAACAGGACAGGTAAAATAAAAATCTTTCAGTCTCTAACGGTTTTGATTTTGCAATTCAAGAAACGAAAAAGTGTTGAGAAAAGAGCTAAGGGGAGATGAACTTCAGGCTATGTGTTAAAATGAAAGCACCTCACAATTTCTAAATTTTTCCCTTACAATTTTCTTTATTTCTGCAAGGCAGAGATTGGGCTGAAGAATTCTTTTTTAAAATCAAAATATTTATTGGGAAAAGGAAGTAAACAAAAATCGAGTCCTCTCAATAGAAACAAGTAGAAACCTGCCTAGAAGAATACATAATAAGAGCAACCACAAAAATGTAGTCTTGGCAGATAAAACCACGTAAAGACAGACATAACACATATGGATTAATTCAATATGATCACGCCCAAATCGCTGTTTATAGAAAGCTTTGAACATAATCCTACCTTCGTTACAGGAATGGCCTTCATTTCTTTAAATGATGGATTCAACTTGAAAATCGTATTTTCTGTCAACACAATTATTCGCTCCTCTACTTTGCTGTGCCTGTTTACCTAACATAAAAAAACAAACCAGTCATACAAAATTTTACTTCTGTACAAAAAAGACAAAAGAGATTTAGTAAACTACAAACCACGTACGAGATGAATAGGTAAGTAACAGAATTTCTGCTTACTTTTCTGCAAAATGACGTGAAGAGAACATGTTGCGATTTGCTTTTCCTTTTCAAAGCATCCAACGATTTCTTTAGTCCTTCAACATTGCGAGCTTCGTTCATCTGAATAAAAGATTATTTAAGGATATCAAATTAAGTTCAATACTAACAGCGAAAGTTTGCATTTCCACCATAGAAAATTCATCAGAGGTTGAGGGGTAAAGGAAAAAGGGCACACAGAGACGTTCTATTTCAAATCTCTACTCATTAATGAACAGCTGTTTACAGCTCGATAACGAGATTCATGCAAATACAAGGCCAGGGTTTGTCAAAACTGGAGGATGTTTTGAAATAAAACCATAAGGAATTTAAACTTAGGCTACTGTATATTCAGCAAAAAAATATTTCTCAGATGCATTATACACATCCACTCTACAAAAAGCCCATACACAAAGTCCATCAAGTTTAAAAACACTGACCTCAACGAGGTAATTGCCAACCCAGTTCCTGTGAGGACCCCACTCTTTTCTTCTTCCGGCCAAAGCATCCATGGCTGCACACTTATTTCGTACTTGTGGCCAGTCTTGTTTTGGAACAGCACTCAGGATCATTCCCCCACGCCATCTACGAAAAAAGAGAGTGGAGAAATTATATCTGGCATAATTGGCCTTCTTCGCTCCATTTTAGCTGCAATTTTCAAGATAAGAGAATATTGCAATTGTTGTGCTACCATTTTTTGGAAATGAAGCGTCAGAGAAAGACATCATATTGAGGGGTTGTTGAAAGAATTAATAAAAAAGTCATCTATATTATTTGGCAATTCTTGTAAGGCTATCTAGAATCTTTCATGGCACAAATCACAAATCAACCTTGAGTTGAAAAACGGAAGCCCCTTACCTGTTGAAAAGTTTCTTCAATATTGGCAGAATAGGCTCCAAATCACGTGGAACTTTCGGTGGCACAGGCCATTGGAGATCTCGACCAAAATTTGGCTCTGTCTTGGCACCTCTACAAAATTTAATTTTAACGGGCTCAAAACTATAAATATGAAGGTAAGAAGGCATAAAATAATTGAAAATCTCAAGAAAAATGGTCACTGATTCATCTTGCATCTATATAATAGACGATAAATCCCAAATCACTTTTAATTAAAATAACACATAAAATGACATTCTCTTTAGGCAAGCGGTACTGACTGAGCTACCTTTACAGCAATGTGCTCGCGTTTCTGCCTAGCTTGGGTATTACCTTGCATAGAGTTTTCGATCATTGCTTTGAGTGTCTTAAAATGTTTGCTTTCTTAACACAGTTTGCATTTTTATTTTTTCTGCCATCAAAAAATGTTTTGATTACTCCAAAGAATGTAAACTGCACATTGGGTAATCGCTTTCGTCTGAGACATAAATGAAGTGTACATATAGTTTTAGGCAATCATTTCTTATTCTGGCAGAAAACTCAATTTGTCTACGTCCCCTTGACAAATTCTCTGAGTGTTGACATCTTCTACCCAACCCTGATTTCAATAACAAAGCTAAGCATAGCAGGCACACTTGGAATAACAACATCAATTTGATTTATTTTCGAATTTTCAACGACACAGATAAAAATGTGGCGTGTTTGTTTGTTTGTCCACTATTAATCTCTTGTCTAGCCTTTCAAACATTATCTAAATAACTAAAAGGTATACCCCATACAGACCGATGTTTAAATAATCAAAGGCCTACCCAAATGTGTTGATCAATTGGTTGATGTACTTCCTGGTTCTGTATGTTTTGAAATTCTTCATGATCAGGTAGATTGCTCTGAGAAATTTCCTCAGTTTTCTTGCCCTGTAGCCACGATAGTGCTGTTGAAAAAGCTTATGAATATAATATACAGTCATATAACAGCTACAAACCATACAGATCATTAATAAAACAAGTTAAAATTAATGCTTTGCTTCTCAGATCGTTGTGAAAACTGTTGTTAGTATGATTTTGTATATTATCTGTCTACAGTCAAGAGGTAGTGTTATTTCAGTAGTAACTATATAGCAGCAATTGAACAATCTTACAATGTCACTAGGAGGATTATGCAAATTACCTTCTGCAAAAAGACTACAACGCCAGGCAGTTTGCTGAGCCTTTCATCTTCCAAAGCGAACAGCGTCTTTGGCGTACGTATGAAAATCTTCGTATGCCCATAGGTAACATCTTTCTGAAAACCATGCTTTTCTATGATTTTGGCAACACCGTCTCTTGGTGAGCCGGGGAAGTTCGGCCAAGTTTCATCGCATGTCAACTTGTATCTAGAATTAAGCACGAAGAGGTGTAATATTCGTGACGTTACGCCAGCTTGGCATACAGCAGATGTGTCATGCTGCTTGTTTAAGCAAAACATATCATCGAGCAGTTTACTGCTTTTGTAGAACTAAATGGGCTCTCTAGCCAAAAATTTAAATCTCCTTTTACTAGTTTATCTAATTGAATCAAATGATCATACAGTTTTTATTTGTTTTCAAATTTCTCCCACCTTTTTGAATTATAAATGCTTGCATTTCGACAAACGAACTGAATTATGAGAATCTAAATTTGAGATGATAGTGTAGTTCGGGTGACCTCGCATTCGTATATGATGCCACAAATTCTTATGTAAGTGACTCGCAAGATCTTATTTTCAAGTGGTATTAGTTCGAGTTATTTTACATTTGGGTGTATTTTCAAGGTTTCAGAATGTAAATATGGCCAACAAATTCTCTACTTGTTCAATCCAAAATACATGCGGGAAAATCCGCTAGACCTGGCCAATGCCGTGGTATGTCAACAGAATAACAATATAACCATCGGATCATACAGCAATATAGAAAAGCAATATAGAAACGCGATATAGAAAATTAATCAGCTTTCTTTTGTCATTGTCTTTCTACAACAATTTCAATATATTTCATGATATAAATACAAACAGGAAAGTACTAACATATAAAATTCATAAATGGGCATACCTTGCTAGAAAACGTGTGTAAAGTTGACGGTTTGCAAAGCCAGCACGTCTCACGCGGACATTTTCAAGAAGGCCCAAATAGCGAACCTTAGGTTAATAAAAATAGAAAGGGTATAAGACTTCATTGCATTTGATATGTCAAATAATGCAAAAACGAGGTAAGAATTTCATGGAATGTTAACTCGATTAAGAGCAAAATTAGTACAAACCTGTCTCTCGACGAGCTCACCCTCAAACTTCTTGGAAGATTTAGTAGAATTTGGCTTGATGCATCTTACGTAGTGAGGTTCCTACCAAGATGAAATGAAATTTCCCTTTGAGATATATAACATGGTAACACAGGAAGGTAAAGGAAGAGATGAATTAGATATAGGAAAATGCCAAAAAGCTGAGAAAGAAGTAAAACGTTTAAACGGAAGCAGTGCAGAAAAGCTCAAAAGGTTTGCCAGAGTATATCTGCAAGAGCAAAGATGTTTCTCATCGTCCATGATGCTTGAAAAATTAAATTCTAGGCCTGATGTTCTTTCAAAGCAAGAATGTAAAAAAGAGAGGAATCAAAAAAAGAGAGGAATAGAAAGATGTGGCTCGCAGAAATCAGAAAAATATCAACTAGAAAATGTAGTGATAACGGAATATGAAAAAAATGTCGATGGAATTCATTAAAAATAATTGGAATAATCATATCCTACAAAAACAAGCTAATGAGCCTGTCATGTTTTGTCCCAATGCGATAAAAGAGGTCAGTCAGGGAAGTAAACGATGAAAAATGAGTACTTTCATGCCCTTTTGGCATTCACTTTGCAACTTAATTACTCCACTCATATTGACACTGCGAAAGAATTTGTAACTACTTAACTAATGAAGTTTGCTTCTAATTATTTAAAGAAAGAAATTAGTATATTTAACAACTAGAAATATATGTTCATATTTAATTTTACAAGATTCTAACCTTTTTCATCAAATTTTGAACCAAAGCAATCATGGAATTCTTGAAGATTGTTCCTGTTGTCAACGGCCGTTTTGTTACCTGGTGAAGAGTTTCGAAATATCATTACAATTGCGCAGTAGATCAATAAACAGCTTGTTTTCATGGACAATATCCAGCCTTTTGCACAAATCATGAAGCCAAGATAAAAATTTTATACCAGAGCAAGTTTTCATACGAATAATTGAATTGGTAATGTTTAAAGTTTTTGCTTAAAAGATATTTAAGTTCATGGACATGTAAAATTTTGCAGATATTAAAATTAGAACAGCCATCAATACATAACACCAAAAATAATGAAGTGCAGAAATGTTTACAAAATATATAGCATGTAAATACTTTGAAAACAAAAGGTTATGTCAGCTTGACTACCTTGGTAACGTCCTGTTCGCCTTCTGGCCACATTTCTTTTAGAATGCGATGGGTACTGCAGAAGAAATCAAAATTGAAAATTCTGTTTAAAATCTGATGCATGTTCAGGAAAAATTCACGATATCACGTTTAAGCTGAAAACATCATGTTTAAGTAGCAACATCATGTATAACCTGGGAGCATCTTCAAACACTTGCAAACCATTTACAGAAAATTGAAAGACTTGATGATGGTAAAAAAACATATATCCAGATATAGAAGATTAAAAAAATCGAAAAGGAATTTGAGAAAATCTGACTTAGTCAGTCTTAACCACTCAGTGTTATACAAATCGAGCCTTTCTGTAAGAATTATGCAAATTCAGAAAGGGTTTTCTGAATATAATATTATCGAGAGATTAGAATATATTTAGTCCAATATATTTGAAACTTTTATATACCTGTTGAAGAGAAGCCTTTTAAAATCTTGGAACAAGTTGTCCTTGTTTTTATCGAGGAAACCAAGCACTGAGTACCTAGAAAAATGACAAACGTCTCAATCGATTTGGCTGTTTACAAAGTATCATAGGAACGAAAAAGTTAAGGATATATCTAAATTTTATGACAGTTTTGAAGTATTTCGATTCAAAAATTATTTGAGAATATAATTTATATATAATCTTGATATGGATATAAAAATGCTTCAACTTAGGCCTAGAACTGTTGTATTGATGATTACTAAACTTACGTCACTTCACCAGCATAATGAGTGATTCTGAAATGCTCATTATGGTCCAATGTTTTGTCAGAGCTGTCGGTCTACAGATAGACAAGAGACTATAATGTGATATAAGCTTAGGTAAGGACGACTTATCATATTGTTATGGAAAAAGTCAGTGATGCTGCAGTGGTAAACCACAGATTGACTAAAAAACACTTTCTTTACTCAACACAGAAATTATCGTCTTAATGAGGTATGTTCTGACCTCAGTTGAAACTCCTTGCAGTATATTCTGGCCTAAGCACATGGTTTTGTATAAATATTCAGCTACTAAAGAGTAGAATCTGCCTTCTAGAATCTGCCTTCTAGAATCTGCGTGAGAAATCTCGTATAAAATATGACTAGAAGGAGGCCGAAAAAGATCTGTTAAGACTTGGAAGTTAGTAGAGAACGTCCATGAAAGCAAAAATCCCTCTGCTGGTATTTTAGAAGAAGTCTTCTATGCAAAAGGTATAAGCTTATATATTTGAAGAAAAGAGTTACCTGTCTGCTTTTGTAGTGCTCGTGAGAACCAAGCTTCTGGTCCATGGCATGCAGAAACATCTGAAAGACAGAAGTTGCATTGAATCATGCCAAGCAAAGTCATGAATATACAAACACATTTAAGAAAAAGATTTGTCGACGTTTTTAGATACGCTCCAAACGAGCATTAGTGATTACATGAAGAATAGGCAGAAAGCACATACCTCATCTGTTACTTTGCCAACACTTAAACATGCCTCATCCAAGATAGCGACAATGCCTTTGTGAGGCAAATCAACAAGATCGCATATGATTTTGTTGTTGAAGTATGAAATCTGAAAATAATAACAATGTAAGAATCTACTCAGATATGGGCAGAATGTTGTTGATGTCTCACTGATGAGTAGGGTTCAAATAGACTTAGAACCAAGAGTTTCAGCTAGTGGCAATGCGGGAAAGAGAAATTATATAAAAAGAGGGAAAGAGAGGAAAGAGGGAAAGAAAGGAAGAAAAAAGGGGATAAAAAGCGAGAGAAATACAGGAGGAAAACGAAGGAGAAAAGGAACGAGACGCGGGGAGAAAAAAGGAAAAGAGAAACGAAAAATAAACGAAAGAGAAATAACGCAGAGAGAAAAGGAGAAAAAAGAAAAGGAGAAGAAAAGAGTAACGATTCTAGAAGAGCTATTCACAATATATGAAAGGACGAAATGAGAATAAAATTGCAGCATTATACCTGTTGCCATTCAATTCCCTCCCTATTGTACTCCTCCTGTTCTTGTTTCAACACCAGTTCAATAAACAATTGCTGGAGCTTCTCGTTGCAATAATTGATACAGAGCTGTTCGAAACTGTTCACATCGAAGATCTCAAACCCGTAAATATCAAGAACTCCAATGACCGTACAGCCGTCGTGATTCCGTTGACTCTCAGGTACTTCAATAGCACTGTTTATTTTGCTGACGATCCATGAAAAAAGTCTATCATAAATGGCCTAGAAGCAAAGTATTAAAAAAAGTAAGTGACCTCTAGATGGCAATGAAGAAAAAAAAGAAGGCGGCAGAAAAATAGGGCAAAAGGTTCCGAGAGTAGCAAAGGGCCCGTGACACTGTGGATTCCCAGTACTATTCTGATTTATATCATAACATACATATCATATTTCGTCGATTTTTGTTTATTCACCAGGCGTTTGTTTTTGTCCCAATAATAAACTGTATGCATCTATTAGAGTTATGACCTGTCTGTATTTTAATGAAAAAAGGACACTGAAGCCAGAGAAAAAGTCATCGATCGAAGAGAGACTTATTTTTGCGAAGAGAGTTGTGCACGGGAGGTCCAATCTCATAATAGTGCTATAAGCGGCAAAGAAAAAAATAGCTAACTTTTAGGAATCTGAAACATACCTTGGCAAACGCATCCCTGGCATAACTTGCTTCCATAACCGAGTGACCCTTCTCCACAACTTCACCCCGAGCAGCAACAACACGGTAACAAAGTGCCTTCTCCACTTCATCCTGACTACTTGCAAGCAGCTTTGCAATGAATCCCAATATATCACGTCCATGAACCCGAGCCTGGTCGTGTTGAGCTTCATCAGGCACAAATTTTACATTACCCTTTAAAAACGAATATATGATCACCAACAAAATTAAATGATAAAAAATTGCAGTGGAAAAGGTGCTCTGGTTCGTACATAAAATTCTTTGCTTTTCGAGTTACAAGATTATTTGATCGAAACTTTCTTTATTCGTTGAGGTTCACGATTCCCTCTATAGGTTTCCAGAGCCCATTTCGTTGTCTTGAAAATTCCCTATTCGTTGTTTTAAAATTGCTTTATGGAAAACATCCCTAGATCTCTATGCTAATTTCTTTCATTTCGTGGAAATTTCCAGCCATTTTGTGCTTTCTTTGCTAGAGTTTCACAAAACTGTTCCGAGTTATGAGCATACTTAAAAGATACAATCACAAAATTTTGCAAAAGGGGAACTTTCAAATCACCTGACTTGGAAATGCTACAGAAAATTAGCATGCAGGCTTACTGATACACATTTGTGACTCGCCCTAAAAAAAGAGTACTTACCAAGTGCAAAATACTTGCTAGAAGTTTCCAGATGATGTTGCACTCGTCGAGTGAGAATTTTGTCGCTTTCATTGCAGCATTGACAATTTGGTAATCTCTTTTGTCATCTATTGACTTCATCTAGTATATTAGAAGAAATAATAATCAAACAGAATGATCATAAAATAGAGGAAAATTTCGAATAATAATGTGGTAAGAAGACCCTGCTTAGAGAAGAAGAAAAAACTAATTGCGAAACACTATTGGAGCTATAGACAGTAAGGTGTTCCAGGGGTGCAGCGACAATTGATTTTTTTGAAGATGGGTTGTAGATTTTTCGACAACCTTTCCTACAAATTCTATCAAAGTAGCAGAATTTCAGAATTTTTCGACAGTTGGATGGTTTTGGAGGGCTATAGTCTCTTAGGGAGAGAGAGAGAGGGACAGCATCATGATGCAGATAACATTAAGAACAAAATAAGAGCTACTTGAACTTCTCTCTTTCTTGCGCCCCAGATCAAGATATTTAATATCAATTTCGTTCAATTTCAATACCAGTTTCGCTTTATAAGCTTTTCTTTTTATGGAACTTGGGGTCATTTTGCAGTCATAAAAGTAAGTTCCAGTTACAAGTTTTCTCCTCTCTTTTCTTAGGGTCAAGCCTTGGTCCTTAAGGCATTTATTGATTGTTATCCTTCAAACGATCATGCAGTGAATTCAAATAATCATTCAAAATTATTTTCATTTTACGTAGGAAATTTTGTTACAGGCTCTAATCAAATTATACATTGCTTGGGCACTTTGGCAGCTGACACTTACGAAACAAATATATTGAAACATAATAAATAAAAAAAACATGCTTAAAGTACCTGGAAAACCTCTCCTTGTCTCGCAAACAGGTAGAGGCTTGGGTCTCGCTCCAGCTGCATGTATTGCAGAATATCATCTGGTGCGCCATTTAAAAGCTAAAAAACCAGTGAATTTAAAGCACTTGAAGAAATTTTTAGCATCACTTCAACAATTCTATCAAAGCATTTGCTTGAAAACTGAAAAAGGAACAGGGAGTTGTTAATAGAAGTGTTATTAAAAACAGTTACCAGAACACTTTACCTACAAAGAAATATATGAAAACACCATAATTTATCTTCTGTCGATATGGCATTTGGGATAAAGGAAAAACAAAAGTAAAATTCAGCTAAGTAAAATTTGTTTACATAGCAACAAATTGACCAAGACAGGGCAAGAAAAGCAGCAGCAAAAAATGTTCCTTCTAAAAACATTTCTCAATCTCTAGACAAACAAAAAATTTACTCCCATTCATTTCACAGATACTGAGAACATTATACCACCACCATTCCTTTAATTTCAATGATGGAAAAAGAAATTTGAGAAAGAATGCATAGTTTCATATAGTTACATGACCAAAGGACTGAACTTCCTGTTTTGATTCTTTCTAAGAAATCCTAACTGTTAATAGTAGACCATATTAAATAATAACATCACAATAACCACAGATATAAAAGTTCAAAACAAAAAAATTATAATAGCAACATTGTCCTACAAAGCAATAAAATAGTTTTCATAATCCATTGTTGAACATAATATTCAATTAGCAACTCTGACTTTTGTTCAATCAGACAACAATAGGCTTTACTGCTACCATGACACTGGAAACATAAGTCAATTGGAAACAGAAACAAAGTTGGCAGCTGATCAAACTGCTTCCTTGGTAGCAAGAACATCAGCTGAGCTTATCATACAGGCCTTGAAAAACTTTTATTAAAAAATCCTTGATACAAATGAACTGGTTATGTTTCTTTTTGAATATTTAAAAAATAGGATATTTAAAAAGGCTATTCTTAACAAGTAAGAAGGTAGCCATGACAAGGGAAGCTTGAAAAGATGCTAGGCCCTTCATTATGTGCAGGAAAGATGAAAGAAGTTGGAAGAGGCCTTTCATACCTGATAGAATGAATGAAAGTTTCTCTCTCCCTTTTGCTGATGAACAACTCTAGCCTATAATAAAACAAGTTTTCTCTAGAAATACTTAAGATAACAACAATCTTTTGCAAAACTTTATTAAATGAAGTTGCAGTATAGTTGGCAGTAAAATTGAAGGATGAAATCAAAACATAAGACATGAAAGATGGAAGCATTCATAACTTGAAAAAAATCAAGAGATATGAAATGTATAATTTTTAAAATTTTCTAAAAGTTTTAAATAAAATTGGCCAGCATTTTGGACTCATAATCCAAGAACCTTTTCTATAAGACCATTCAATGGTTGAAATGTTTAAACCTTTAATTGTTTGCTATTACATATACTCCTATCAATTTTTACCAATTAACTGCTATTTCTATAATAATCTGAAAGCTGCAATCAAACCGATTATATATTTATTTCACTATAGTTGCCCCATTAGCTGTAAATTCAAAGTTAAATGGGGAAAAGATCCTCTGTTTTGAGAGTAATATATTACTGCACTTTTGCAGTTACAAAAATATGTACATTTGCCAGACTTTGCAAACATTTGTGAGTCTAATTGAGAATCTATTCTCAGATACTCACTTTCTCTAGTAGATAGTTGTTGATATGGCCTCCTATTGGATCACCTTTGAAATCAAAATCAATGTCCATGTATTTGCCAAAGCGACTTGAGTTATCATTTCGGTTTGTTTTAGCATTACCAAATGCTTCAAGGATTGCATTTGACTGTAGCAAAATATCTTTTACACTGAAAGAGAATTGCATTTTGTTACTAATTTATCAAGAAGAAATCATAATGGCAAAAGCTATCTAATAGGCATATGGTAATTACTATGAAGCCTATTGTTAACTGGTTTGTTGTGGTAGTGGTTCTTTATGCCATATAGGTTATATACAAACTGACAGTAGCATCAGAGCAATAACTTAGAACCAATCTGTTCTAGACAACAATATTGCCAAGAGAGACAATTGATTTTGGGATTGATGGAATAGGCTTTTTGCATAATCTGGAAACAGGTTGTTAACAATTTTATGGAAGAGAACATGGCACCTGCTCCATTTATGGAGGTATAACAATCCCTAGCCTAGTTTATTACAGACCTTCTCCTAAATTGTCCAGTTGTTGCTAAAGTAGCTAAATATTGAACAGAGTCCAGCTTTCTATAAGATTGTATAATTCAATATTTGGATCTAAGTCACAAATTACATGCAAAAAATGATAAATGACATAACTGAATTCGAGATGTGGTCAAATATGTAGTTCATTTCGCTCATTGATGATAAGAATAATGAGGTATTTTTTCAATTTACAAATGGTCTTTGCAGATTTTAAGAACAAAATGTATGCAAAAAAATTAAAGAACATGGTGGCAGCACTGCTTAGAGGGCTTGCTGGCAATCCAAAGGAATATTTGCTACAAATGAGATTAGAAAAGAAGGAACAACACAAAGCACTGGCCTATATCAGAAAACAACAATCAATAAGCCCTTATGTGCTATTTAAAAAGTTTATTTAGTGTTGTTTTCTCTTAAATCTTTGCTCGTTGTGGTGATCCTTGATTTTTTTCAATATACATCTAACTGTAGGACTAGGTCTGAAAAATATATTGTGGGTATAAAGTTGTCTCTTTTTGGACAATATACTACCAGCCATTTACAAAATAGATAAAATGAAACTCACGTTTCAACTTCATTTCTTCTTGATGGATTGGTCACTGCAGCAATGTATCTCATGATTATCTTAGATGCTTCTGTCTTCCCAGATCCACTCTCACCTGCAGGAAAACAAATGAGACTGTCAATTTGGGTATGCTTTTATCATGGTGCATTTGGAAAGGGATTTAAAAAATAGTATAAGGTTCCATGGAGCTTATTTAAGTGTGAGGGTTACTCAATTAGATTTGAGGTATACAAAGTATACACAGTATTTTCACTTTGATTTTAGTGTATAGAGCAGGATGGATCGAAGTCACTAGACAGCTCAGCCTATTGGGTATTAAGTAATTTATGACAGATAGGTACACATAACTTTTCATTGGTTTTTTAGTAGGCACATGAGTTTTTCAATAATATTGGGAGGACTTTAGATGCTCAGGCATTCTTTTGAGTTGTGTAACTACTAAAATTATTTGATTACTGGCAGGTAATTGACGGGTAGTTTATCAGCAGAAGGCATTCAAATCTGCTAAATATTTGCTAGGCATCAATTTACCCTGGATTAGTAGAAAAGATGGAACAAAAAATCATAAATTCTTAAATGGTATAGAAATCCATTTTTTCACACTGGTCGTTATCTTTACTTCAGTCTACCTGAGTGACTCATATGTTAGCCAGAAATGGTTGCGGCAAACCACAAAAATTTACACTTCACGATGATGACTGGGCTGGTTAACAGAAATAAATAAATTAAAGGCTTCCGAAGAACTAGCAGGAAATCCAAGTCATTTTGCTAAATGCGGTGCACAAATTTAAAGCTATCACATCTGCAAAAAGCTACATTCGTATCTTAGATTAATATGCAATTCACTCTGCGGTAGCAGCTAAGCAGGGCGTTGCTTTGCTTGGATATTGAATAACTTTTTGAAAGGAGAATAAGGCCACCTACCTGAAATAACGATACATGTATCTTGCGCTTTTCTTTTCATGCTTTTATAAGCATCGTCAGCCAATGCAAAGATATGTGGAGGCCTTTCGTACATTTCTCGCCCTTTGTAATCATCAATTATCGCCTGACTGTAAATATCCAGACCAACATAAGGGTTTACTGAAACAATTACTTCGCCGATGTAACTGTAAATCTTCTCGTGCTCGTATCTCTTTTGAAGATTTTCCATAAACGAATCGATTGATATTGTATCAAGAAGAACAAAGTCTCCTGTGCCATACTTTGTCCCTTCTAAATGTGCCATCTTCCTAGAAGTATCAAGGCAGGTCACAACAAAGTTTCCAAAACGACAACCAGGAAGGGCGAGAGCACCTTCCTTGAGAACCGACTTGTTGCACTTCAAAAATGAACATGCGCCTGTGAATCAGCGAGTATGACAATTTCAACGTGACATCAAAGGTAACACATGCAAGCCACACTATTTCATCGCTTTCTCGTGGCGAAAAACTGTTAAATGTCAAAGGACTGAAACACCCTTCTTCCTCTCTGCAGTGTTTGTTTAGATTGTTTTGGGCGCCTCTATTTGAAGGACAGGGAGACGAGTTATTACGCGCCCTCGCAGCAGCTTCTTTTTTAATTCCTGCCTGAATTACTTCCTTATTAGGTATTTTGACTTCAAATATGACGGAAATGGCAAAGAAATGACTGAATCATACCAATAGAATAATAATTATCCCTAAAGAATGATAAATGAACCCGTTACATAAAAACTTGGTTACATAGGTATTGGCCTTTGTACTTTTGTAAAGAAGCAACTAAACTTGCGTGGGCGTGACTGCGTCAGAGTCTTGGTCTTTGAAGGACACAAAAAGGATTCTGCATCGAATTAAGTCTGATAACCAGTGCACAAAAAAATATAGCCTTTTATAGTTAAATGAGATGCGTAGGATTAAAGTATCATTTCTTTGGAAAATTACAAAGCAATGTTGTTCGTAGCCTGGAGCAAATGCCGAAATTGGCAAGTTATCACAGGACCATGTACCCTGGGTTCCAGAGCGTCAGTGTCGAGGAAATAGGGCGTCGAGGAAATAGGGGGTTGCGGGAGAGTGTGGAGGAGGAGAGAAGAGATGGTCTTCCTCTCTTCTCTCCTCCTCCGCACTCTCCCGCAACCCCCTATTTCCTCGACACTGACGGCTCTGGAACCCAGGGTAAGGGCCATGATGTAATAAGACAGAGGTGGCGCCAGAAATCTTCCGACAGAGGGGTTGGAGCTTCCGACAGGGGGCTAAAATGACTAAAATAAGCAGTTTTCGTACGTTATTTCGTCAAATTTGCTCCGACAATAACCTAAAATTTTCCTCCGATGGGGGGGGCTAGATGCTTCCGACGGAGGGGCTGTAGCCCCCCCCTAGCCCTCCCCTGGCATCACCACTGTAACAATATGGTGGACTGGGGGCTCAGGGGACCCCTTACTACGTATTTCGTACTGGAGTTAATTTATCCGTTCATGATGCGCTTTGGAAGACAACAAAGGCATCCATAAGGTGGTGTTCTTTATTTCCTGCCTTCATTCAAACAGTTTTCAACTTCTTGCACTAAAAAGTTGTCCAGTCATCTTGTGATAGTGATAGAATATACATAGATAGCATAATTGTGATAGAATATTTGTCTGTTGGCCTAGGATCCTTGGTTCTTAGTCAGGGACGCCTGGAGAAGACGGGTGCAGGGGTCAACCGCCCCTTTTGCCTTTTGATAGAAGGGCCAAGAGGGGCCAGAGTGCCCTTTTCATTAATGTGCCCTTGAAACCAGTCAATTGTATTAATCACAGAAATTTAGATGAAATTCTGATTGCAGTGCCTAATTCATGACGACATTTCTCAAAGCTTATCAAAAAATCCTCATTCCAGAAGTTAGCCAATTTTCAAGATATCTACAGAAAAAACAAATTAAAGTGGCAGTTAGTAGAAGGAAAAAGTAGAAACTGGGAGTTTTCTTTCAAATGCTCTTTCACTGAAGCCTGCCTCCCTTGCCCCTTTGTCGTTCCGGTGTCCCTGTTCTCAGTCGATGTTATAAATATCCTAGACTCATTTTCCGGCTATCTCTAGAATGTCAGCATTTTCTTCCGCCAACCATAGTGGCCGCCTTCATCAAAACCTGAAAAATCAATGTTACCTTTTGCCATTACGCGGAGCAACGAATCTTCAGTCGGAAGATTAATTCATTAAGAGAGAAATGTCAATAAGAGACCTGCAATCATGCCCAGATCAGACCAAATATCATTGTTTTGGCACAATTATTATGAAAATTTCCTTAGAAGATGAATAGAGAGCTTTTTGTACACAGCGTACTCTCGTCACCAATTTCTAAAAATTTTTAAGCGCCCCCACTACCAACTGCCCCTCCTTTAAATTTGTTCTGGATCCGCACCTGTAATAACATACCAAACAGTTCTTTATACCAGGGTTGCCTTTTCTGCAACAAGATTGCTGTAATCAATAAAGGGCCCTGCTAAAAAGAACAAAAGGAAGAAGAAATAGAACTAGCATTAAATAACTTTAATCAGAAATTTGAGTAAACATCCCCTTGTTCTTATGTGCTACAGTAAAAAGTCTCTTAATTTTTGAAAGCTTATCCTCTACCTTTACACGTGTCTTTTGATGAAAAATGTTTTTTTAAATTCGAGGTAGAATTCAAAATTGAATCATACATTTCATTTTTGTTTCACATCTGGTCACATTGAAGTACCATGCCGAAACGCTAGTATGCGGATGTCAAAGCCCTTTTGACTAGTTTTGATAAAAGTTGTAAAAAAGCAAGATATCTAATGGATAATGGATACCTTAATCTGTAAATTTGTATTCCTTTTTATGCATGATAATTTTGTTGTATGTGTTACGTGTAGCTTCGACTTTTTCATGTAAAGGTCACGAGCTAAATGAAGTCTTTGTTCGTCATAGGATCGTATTTGGAATTAGAAGTATTTTAGAGTTATCTATAGTTAGATATATAGAGAAATGTATAAATAAAGATTCCACAGACTGATAGGACAGCTTAACGAAAGTCCTTCTTTCGTCTATAAAATGATGTAGAAATAAAATAAGAGCCACAAAAAATTGCAATGGAGGCATTGCAGCCATCTGTTCATTTAACAACATGGCCAGGCCCACCGAAAGGGGTAAGGGGGAGCAATTGCCCCTGGACCCGTAAGCAAACAGAGGCCAGCTGCCAATAAAACTGTCTCTATTTAATGACACAGTAACTGAAAATCAGGGCAGTCGCGAGGCAAGCATGTTGGGGGGGGGGGGAGTGGACTACAAACTTACCTGATTAAAAAATAATTACCTGAAATTCTTTAGTTGCTGACACAAACCTCTGCAATGCATTTTGTTACATTAACTCTGTGGCATATAAATTGCAACTTCCATTTTTATATGATAATAACGGAATTTCCTAATAAATTTGTCAAATCTGTATATAGGGACGGGAAAGGGATATAGTTACTACTAGAACTAGAAGTTATTACTACCCCGGGGGTTACTCCCATTATGGGGCCTATTCAGGGTCAATGAGGGCCGAAGCTGGAATGTTAAAAAATTACCCTCAAATAGTAGTGTTTTTTACAATAACCCTCAAATGGTAGCATAAGGATAGAAGTTATGTCATTGGTAGCATCCATTTCTTTGTACGCGCCTGGTCCTTCTTTGGCAAATTTTGTTGTTGATTCAGGAAAGATAAAACCTTGTTCATTGTCTAGATTAAATCGCAAGCTAAACTAAGCCATTCTTTTATTATCGAAACTGGGCCATTTCGTAGGGTTTTGGTAGACCCTCAAATCGACTGGACGCCCTGTCAGGCCTTAATTTTAGTACCCCCCCCCTTCATCACTGGGATTACTACTAGTACAAGGAAACTTTTTTGAATTTTGATGCTTTCAGTTGCCTGGAAAATGCACTCTTTTAAGCAAATTTTGCTAAAGTAGTCCTCCTAATCCTATTAAAAATTATTTTATTTTTGCAATCAAATTGAGCAGCAGATAAAAAGAACTGGTGCAATTTCGCCGTGGTCTTGAAAACTACCATGTTGTCAGTTACTTCCAAAGCTAGGTGACAAGCAGCACTGGTTGTCAATTTAAGTCCTTCTTTCCATTTTAGTATTCCTTTTGAATGTTACAAAAGAATCTGGGGTCCACTGTGAATTGCAGTTGACGCTTCTACCGAAAAACTTTATGGGAAATGGACACAAGGCACAATCTTTCTTAAAAGGGCAGGGATTTTATGACTTAGTGCCAAAAAGAAATCTTTAAATCATTAAATTTTTAAATCATTTTGTGGTTTGTTTACCTTCATCCATATCAAGGAATATCATACTTAACCAACAGAGTAACTACCTTTGATTAATCCTTAGTTGATTTTAAGACACGAAAGTCTCTTAACTACCTAAAGCGTTTCTTCCACTTAGCGGATTTTACCTCAAATTTCCTATTGAGATACTATGTAGTAGGAATATATATATATCATTAATTATTATGCGTATTGATTATGCTAACCTCGCTTTCGTTTGCATATAACACTCTCGAACCAATTCGTTGACTACTCGAAATGACAAGGGATTACGAGTAAGTCTAATCCCTGTTACCACTCGTGGAGGACCCTCAAAAGATTTACAACCCTCCCCCACCCCAGTCGTGACACCCCTGTTGAATATCATATCTGCACTTGAAAAGCTTTATAATGCTTACCAAAAATAAAGTAAAGATAAATAAAGACTATTATATGAACTTAATATAAAATATTAACGCCTTTAGGGCTTATTGCTGTGACCAGTAGTCTCCTGTTTGGTAAAGTTCGTGTTATATTGAAAAACAACATCGCATCTATAAATCTAAAGAATTGACAGTTTTTCCATCTGCAATATCAAGTAGATAAGAAATTTAAAAATGGGGTCGGAAGCTGACCATATTGGCAACATGAGTGCTCAATTCTTGGGGCATGATCTAGCGAATAAGTGTCCGTAGCGCCAACGATTTGAGAAGCATTTTCATGGTAGACATTTTGTAAATTTTAATACTCTTCTGATGGAAACGTTCTATAAATGTCACTTTTCGTGCATTTTGAAATGTATTTAAATCGTTTAAGCATCTTTAGAAAAAATTAGAAGAATTGGCTTTTGAGCCCCCGATATCTTGTAGATACGTCTGCCTTGTAGGAAAATGGCATGCACTACACCCCAAAGGTAACATGACTTTCCGCTAATGTGTCATGTATATCCAACCATCTATCAATATAATCATGTTTACAATTGAATTCATAGCCGACAGTGGGCTTGAATTTACAGGAATAAGTAGGAAACATAAACTTCCAGTTGCCTTTTATTCGCTTTTTACTTTTTAACTTTTTTCATATTTACAACATTTTGCTTCTAATTTCTCAGATTAACGGAATAAATTACGGATATAAAAATAATGCATTAAGCTATACACACACGCCAAGCTTGAAGACAAAAACTAAATTTTGAAATAATTTAGACCAATACAATATTTGGTAGAAATGACAAGACTATTATGCATAGAAAAATGAAAAACCTTTAACTTAAACTTGGACCATTAAAGAGATGGTGTTACCCGGTGCCTAATTAGAGGAGGATGCAAGAGTACAATCTCTTTAAATCTATCGAAAGGTAGGCTGAGAGGCAAATCACTCCCAAAAATCATTGGGTTGAAATCGTATTGTTATCTACAAAATTATTGGAAATCGTTTTGTTTTCGTGGAAATCTCGTACGCTATTCGAAAGATTGATTTCTCTCCCCCCGCCCGATGGGCGGTATGTTCTGATGTTTTTTAGCAAAGACCTAAATTATTTCGTACCCTGCATATCTAAATCATACAGGAGCCAACTTGTTTAAATATTCCAAAAGTTGATCGAACATCCTTATGGTTAGGTCCATTGGGTAAGGAATAAACTAAAGCATACACATTGATCAACAATGGTAAACTGCCTACCTAATACCTAGATAAGAGTTTCCCTTTCAGCCAATCTCTAAGAGTATGACAGAAGTTAGCACAAGGTCAGCCCAGTGCTGCACGCCGAAAATTGAAGATGCACGCCGAATTTTGAAAAGCAAAAGGGAGTGAGCATGCCGAAAAAGTGTCTTGAACAGGACCCTAGCCCGTTGAAGAATTGCCATACTCTGCCAACTGGCCATCGGCAAATATTCAATGACATCAGCTTCCTACTTTAAATACCCAGGACCTGCTGTATGTAGGTCTACCAAAAATTTTATAAAGTAACGCCGAATAGAAATTGTTGCATTTCAAATTGACACACAAATATGCAATATGCACGACCAAGAACACACGAACACGCGCTCTGAACCCAGAACACACGCAACACACGCTGATATTAAACGTCTCCTTCTTTCATTAGAATAATTGTCCTTGCTTCATTAACGCCCCCGGCCACAGATACTCGTGCTTCGTTTGCGGGGCCGCAAAAAAAACTGAGATGAGATCGACATATTTTTTCACAGGCCCTAAAAACAAACTATATTGATTTTGATGAAGCTATATTAATCCTAGTCAGGTGAAAGAGTTTAACATATGGTGAAATAGTTTGCGAATTAGAAAAACTGCCGCTCAACGACGAAAGATGGGGAGGGCGGAATACGTTATGCCGAGGGCGTAAAAGTGTTTACTTTTGCTCTAACTTCAACTTACCCTAACATCACAAGTACTACTGCATTAACACGAACAACAAGAGCTTGTAAACCTTGCAATGAATCAGCAAATTTGTATAGGCGAAAGTTCACTGTGCTTGCGAAAATTTATCATAGTTTGACGGAACTTGTCGCCTTTCACCGGTTTCTTTCGCATTAACATTTTTCCCTTTTTCCAAATTGTCGCTACATTTTGCTTTAAATTCAGGCATTTGATTGATCTGTTAACTATTTTCAGGCACAAGAAAAATAAAAATAGGAATATTTTTCAACTTAACAGTCCAGCTCTGTACTGCCGCGTCTACTCTGTCCAAGAGTAAAAGTTGAAACTGAGAGTTATTTCAACAAATTAATCGAGTAATGTTTGTTAATATCTAGTGTTTTAAGCAAACAGACTTCCCTTCATTTAAGGTGAATCAGCTAAGCAGATTTTTATTCTAGAATCAGCAATCACTCGAGTGTGTTCTTAAGCGCTAGCAAAGTACAAAGGCCACGACTCGATCGATAACCATGACCCACTTGGGCCTAGCCGAACACTGCGCTTAGTCCGACGATACCTTGTAATTTTTGCCTTTGTTGTTGTCCCAAAATTCCTGTCCCGCAACCCTGTAACTAACGGCAAACTCAAGATCCCAGTTTGATTCGTAACATGCTGCTTTATTGGTCAGAACAAAAACGAAAAAATCTGCTTGATTATCTTGATCTTGTCTGTAAAATGCTCCTTGGGTCTCGAGTGTCGTTTGCCAGGAATCGAAAGTAAATCGTACAAAGATATCTTTGTCGTAGGCCATATTTTTTACTGCCACCATTCCAATGATCCCCCTTTGTGTCTTAACAACATTTTCCAGGGTTACTGTATCTTGTTGGATCCGAGCCCTTAAATTACCTTCTGCTGAGGGCAAAGTAACAAGAGTCAGTGGCTTCGGTTTTCGCAAGCGACGATGCGATTTCTCATCTGGTTCGGTGGGTCCATTGCACTCTTGCGAACAGTTTATTTTAAAAACTTCACAAAGGCTGTGTCCTTCATTATCTGCGAACCTCACAACTTTGCCTTTTGACCTTCGTCTTGGTAGAATTTCAAAATCGGTGACTGGTGTCATGGTTTACCTTAGGCCACTCATCCAACGGCAGTCTTCCCCGAAATCACAGACCAAATGCTGACAAAAGTGTGATGCAAGGCTTTGTTTGCTCCGAACACCCATTGTTTGAATCTAATAGACACATGCACTTCTGCACGATCTTATTCCCATTGCTCCTTCCCAGCATCCTTCCCTTTGACATCGCAATGCTTGACATGAAAAAGACCACAGCATGTGAAGCTTCACTGTTTCCAAGGCAACTGCATTTTGTTTGAAGGGCACAGAATATCCATTAAAAAGTAAAAGCTTCTGGAAAAATTGGGTTGATCAGGTTGAGTCCATAAAAAAATTATATTTGGTCATTAAGGCACTCTCAGATAAGAGGGAAAAGCCTTTTTGAACAAATTGGAATAAAAAATTAATCGTTTAAATGTGCAAGCTAATATCTCTAAATGATGTCAAAATGCAAAAGGGATCTGTCCATTTCAATTCATTTCATTTCATTCAAAGATAACATCTATACACAATAACTCCTTGACCTACTTCTATGCCATAAAATAACCTGGAAAATGTTTAATAGGAATTTGATACTTCAGAAAATTACAATCAAATGGTTGATCTTCTAGAGGGCTGTGTTTACTTCACAGAATCAATCCATGTTCGAGTGGCTTGTTTGCTAGGTGCTCTTTCACTATCCTTTAAAACTTGAAAAAATGTATTGCCATTTATTGCTGTAAGGGATTCTCTTCTGGCTTTTTACATCTGAGTAGCTAAAACGTCTTTTGTCATACGCAAGTCTCACTCTGTTTAAATGTATTTTTCATCAACAAGGGTAGTGTATATTGAAGCATGAATCCTGGTAGTAAAACGAAAATTAAATTTGGTTGACATTTAGATACACGAAAGAAAGACAACCCCCAATCCACTCATCCTTACACTTTGCAATTTCGATCAATACGTTTGCTGTATTCTGCAAGCTTTGCAGCTGATTTAATTGCCTACAAACTTTCTTGGGATTTTTGAAAATGTTGGGAGCCTACTTTTTTAAAATGTTAAGGGCTCAGGACACCCTTACGTCCCCTTGCATGCGCCACAACTACTGGCCGAAAAACGTTCTTGCTGGAAAAGATGCAATTTAAAAACTTACAAGCGAAAGTACTTCTTGATTTGATATTTCAGTTCTTTTATTTTCCAAAGAGGGTCATTTTTAAATTCTGGGCTTCAAAGGGGCTTCGTTGACAAATAGCTACCCTAGGTGCAGTAGTGTAAAGCAGTTAAGGTTGCCTTTGTTCGATATTTATGGACACCAATCAAAATGGATCCCTTAAGACATCGATGATTATAAACACATCCACTCTAGTTTTCCTTGTGTTCTCCTACCCTTAGTTAACGGGAAATATTATCATTTTTTAACCTTGCTTTTGTGTTTGCAATCCTTTACACCAGGGGTGCAGTGCTATCAAAATAACAAGAGGGCCCGACTAGGAAAATAACAAGAGGGCCTTGAATAGGCCCCGTCTCAGATTTCTTTTCAAAAGCCCAGGTGTTTCCTTTCGCCATTGCGTGTTGACTTAAGGCAATTTTTTCAAACCATCTGGTCAGAAATTCATTAGTGCTAGTGCGCGAGTCTCCACAATTTAGTCTCAAAATTCAATTTTCATGTAGTCTCAAGAATCTGTACTTAAGTGAGGAATAGAAAAGTTTCCTTCCTCTCTTTCTCATCTACGGCTTCATCTCAACCAAATCAGTCACCCGAAAATCGTTCCAGAATGCACCTGCTTCAAGAAATATGTCCTATGCATCAAGTATTACGGTTTCGTGTTCAAAGATTCTAGATGGAGACGAATGGTTTACCCTACAGATACGTAGCATGTTCAGTGAGTTCTGTTGCTGCTATTATTTAGCAATCGTCTTTCGTGTTGTCTCTGAAAAGACCTCTAGACAAGCTTAAAAGTAACTCTTATTTCAATGAATAGAAACCAAAATTTATTCTTTTGGTTTCAGAGGACTTAATGAACGCAGTTTCTCGTGATGTTTCCGTTAATATAATTTTATAGGCGACAAATATTTCTTAATCAACGGTAATATGCGACGACTTTTCGTTCCTATATCTAGGAAAAACCAAAATGACAATATTTGGATCCCAACTTGCGCCAGCTACTGCTTTGGGGTTAATGAAACTAGAGAATGGCAAAGATTATTAAAATCTAGCTTCCTGATTTCCGAAATCTTTCACGTGGGGCGATATATGCCTACTATATTTGCCGATTGAGCAACTGGTAGCAAAGGTAGGGCCTGCGCCACTGAACCTAAACTGGAGGGGCCAGAAGTGTAAAGAAAGTTTCCTCTCCCCCCTCTCTATAGCCCCAATTGTGGCAATCATTTTGCTGACGCTGTTTTACTTGTGGATTTTGATTCAATGCATTTGTTGTAATCTAAAGGTTTATCTATATAAATAATTAAAGCTTAAATAAGTCTTTTATTTAGAGAAAAAGTTGGGAGGTCATGGCCCTCTGTCCCCTACCCTGGGTACCAGACTTACTAAAAGTGAGTCTGGTACCCAGGGTATCTGTCACCCTGCGGGACTACCTAAAGTTCGTTGTATCGGTTTGTTGGAAGCTTGCGTTTTCCATCCTGTTTTACGGGTAAATCCATTACTAATGTGTTGAAAAAATAAACATGAAAGGGCACTAATGCTTAAAAAACAAGAACCAAGTCTCTATGAAAATTCTTTTAGACCCCGTTTACACTGTCCCGTGCAAGTTTGGAACCGTGACAAAACTGTCGCGGTTCGCCCTTCCGTTTACACTAGCACTGTGGAACCGAGACGATTTTGCTCTGCTATCTGGAACAGTTTTTGACCCTGCTTTGAAAGCGAACGAATTTGGTACCGTCACGGTTCCGTTTTTGAACGGGACAGTGTAAACACCTATCCGAGACGATATTGTCACGGATTCACAAAGAGGTCTTTTGTATGGCTGTTTCAGGTTATCGAGGCTTTGATTGTGGCGTAACTACGTTGTCAAATTCTGAAGAAAAGGACATCTTGAAGACAAGACGACGACAGAAAAAGCTTGTATTGTTTCCCAGTTCAAGCCTTCATTGGACTTTGCAGTTTTGTAGTCTAAAATAACACTGAAAATTAAAGCCACCTTGTCGTCGGTCCAAGTAAAGTTTTTATCGGCCTTTCGCTCCATTTTAGCTCTCAATAAAATTTAGATTGTTGACTTTGGCAGCAAAATAAAAGCCTCGGTTGACTAAATACAGCTTCTTCTAAACATTGTTCTACCATTCAATTAAGGTCGTACCGGTACAGTGTAAACGGAATGGCTAAACGGAACAATTTGGAACCGCGACAGTGTAAACACTTGCGAACCGTAACGGTACAAAATTGTCCCGGGACAGTGTAAACGGGGTCTTAGAGAATGAAGAAGTCACCTTTGAATACGTGTATTTGTGTAAAATGCAGATGTTGCCTTAATCCGACAAGACATTGAGGTTTAAGGGGTAGAGGGTATTGCAAAAAAAAGCACACAAGTTGTTGCTGTAGATCTTTGTACAATGAATTGTGAATTATATATGACAGGTTATGTAATTATTTACAAGTTTTTGGAAAACTTTGTACAGTCAAGATCTCTGAACGCGAGAAGCCAGTTTTCAATGAATCATTCGCCAATTTTAAGTCAATACATTGACTATTTGCTCCGATATCTGGTCATATGATCCTTTTCCGGACAATTGGAGAATAAGAGGCTCCTCTTTTAGAACTCCGCTGATAACAAATCTGCATTCGTAGTAAACGTTTTGCCTAGAACATGAAATACACAAAATTTGAAAGCGATGAAAGATTTATTGTAATTGTCAAATATGATGTAATGTCAATCTGGTAAAATCATTCACTTATTTTGTATATAACAGGAAGAGTAAGCATAGATAATTGCAAGATCATTGAAACTGCTAAGTACGAGCATTTTGGGGCTTTTAAGCACACGAACAAACGAAATGCTGAGTGTCAAAACTGTCATTATAATCCAATCAAAGCTGCAAAAAAGCTGCCACATCGTAAAAAAATTAAAACATTGGACAAAAACTTTCTTGAACAAAAATGGAGGGACGCATTTCAGGCACCCCTTTCTTCCTACGCCTATAGCTTATGCACATGAAAATGCTTGGTAATCAAGTCATCAAAATTGTAAAAGACGATTAACCTTGCATTGAATGTCACTTTTATTGTTTCACTGTTCCTGCAGCCAAATTGATTATCACCTTCCAAATATCCTGTCATTGGACTGATTTTGAAAACTGATCGACTTGCTTCTGGATAGTCACCATCTGAAATCACAGAAAAACATATTTTATTCAGGACATATGGTAAAATGAGTATTTAGCATGTGACTTTCAAAGTTAATATAATATGTGATATATATTCTTTTTAATAAGGATATAGTTTATAACAGGGGTGGGCAACCTACGGCCCGCGGGCCAGAATCCGGCCCGGGAAGAGAACTTTTGGTTTTTTTCTTCGCAAGGACGATTTTCCGAGGGGTCGAAAATATTGAATGGAACATATCGATTCAAAATGAGAATATCTTCATCAAACCTGGGATCATGGAAAGATTTTTTCACTATCCGTTGTCACGAATTCATCCTGCTTAAAGACAGGACGGCAGAATCTTAGAGGAGTTGGGCAAATGTTGACAAATGCAGCAAGAACGAACCTTGCTGGGCGCTCTCAAAGAATATTGTTATAAGAATATTGCTCAGCTTCAGCTTGTATACTCGTATCTTATTTCTGTGCAGTTGCCTGTTTTGCGATGTTCATAAAATAGCAGAACTGACACATTTTGTTTTTCAAAAAGCGTGGCTTTATTCAGAAGCGAGCGATGTTCCCCTCGGACCACATTTAATTTGAAACAAAATACTTTAGAAGTATATTCTGGCTCAAAACGAAAATTTCATAAGAATATTGAGGCTGAAAAATTGATAGTATTCTTATAAAAAATATGACAGGAAGAAGGAAGGACTCTTTATAACAGGGGTCTTAGGTAAGAGAGAGAAAAGCTTCAAGTCAATTTTATCAATCAAGGAATTATGTTGAATAACAGTGTGAGTGAGAAGGTAATTTGGTAGTAAATGGGGCAATCAAATGATGACCAGGTAATGTGCTTTCTTATTTTCTTTGAAAACATTTTTGTCTCAACTGCAGTTGGATAAAACTGGCAAATTTTGTTGAATCAAGCAAACATATCTTATAACAGTACCAAATTTTTGATTCTTAGAACAGTTAATCGGGTTCTTACAACAGCTGCTGGAAAGTTTTGAAATTTAATGCCATTGTGACTTTGCATTAAGGAACTTTAACTGATTGGTAAATTTCGCAAAAAAGGATGTCGCAATAAGAGCCTCAACAACTATTTTCTACGTGTGTGTTTTCAAAAACCTTGCTTAGTCAAAAATATTCGCAAAAAAACGAAGGGGTCAGTACAACTAAATAATTGGGTGGTAATTAAATGTAAAAGCATGCCTTATAGACATAAATTGGCCATATTTGATTGGATCCCAATAGGAAATAAAATTTGCTTGAACTTTTTGAATACGAACAGTTTCGAGTTTAGAATAAGAATGTAGCAACACAAAATTCCCTTACCAACAACTGCAGTCCAATGACAATCAGACTTGCCAACATTCTTGAGTTCGACATGAAGTTCTCTGTCCTGTCCAACTAAACAGGTCTTGAAATCTAGAACTTCTGATGAAAGCTGAAGAACTGGCAGATGAATCAAACCAAGGAGATTGTATGTCTGTTTGTATAAAAAAAGAAATTTTGAGTACCTTTTGAAGCAACTGAGTCTTTAGGCCCAACGAGCAGTGCCCTCGTTACCATTTACAATGATAATTCCAGATCATGTTTTATGGAAAAGGCTCCAATAAGAATTTGAAAGTGCAGAATGTGGAGAAGTGCCCACTTTCCCATAAAATATTTCTTAAGTACCCATTTCGATGAATAGACAGCAAAGCCTTTTGCCCTTGTTAGCAGTTTTGTCTCAGAACTGTTGCAAAGAGCAAGCAAGAACCATTCTTCCCTTCATCAAATCAATGCTATCACCGTAAACAGTTAAAAATTATTTTCTTATAGAAACCGAATAATTATGAAATCACCTCTTCTCTTTGTGCATACGTAGGAGCGATGCTGAGGTATCAAAAAAAGACAAAAAACAAGGGGTGTGAGTACGTTTTTAGTTCTCCTTCTCAGAGGCAACGCCATCTACTGCAGAGTGGGAGGGTAATAGGCGTGACCAATGAGAGCGCACGCATTTTGCCTCGTTTGAGTGCATTGTTCCAGGTTAATTTTTCTTTGGAAATATGATCTACCCCTACCTAGTGGTTTTTAATCTATTTCTAGAAAAAATATGTTAAACATGTTATGACAAAAGTGGGGGAGGGGTAATTCCCCCCATACCCCCCTTGGCGCCACCACTGCTCCTTCTTTTCAAGGTATACATTGTATAAGTGTAGCAAATAAGAAACACCGCAATATGCCGAGAATAAACAACAATAAATACACGTAAATCAGTGAAGGATAATATTTTTTTTGTTCTGATGAAGCCCCGTATGCGGGGCGAAATATTAGCCTTCACTGATTCACGTGTATTTATTGTTGATTATTCTCGGCGTATTGCAGTGTTTCTTATTTGCTACATTTTTATCTTTTCGCCGCAAGAACTCCTTGGAGCCTGTCGAGCAGCCTGCTACAGTGACCTTTTCTTCATTCACTCATTGTGTAAGTGCCCTATTTCTAGTCATTGCCTCTCCAACTTGGATGTGCTGACGATGTTGTCTCCTGCCTGATCATTTTCTAATTATTGGTTGTTTTTATGTAGATATTTTTTAACGGTTTTAACACCGTTTAATGAAATAAACAATGTCTTAGGGGCCAGAGGAGGCGAACCAGGAGGGGGTTGGGGGGAGGAGTTTGCACTTTTTAGCTTTGCGTGTTTTTGCAGAATTTCGATTAGATGACAAGGTTTGTGTTCATGTGTAGGGTATCTCGCCTTCGTTTACTTGCATTAACAAGCGATCAACACGTACAATCACTGCCAAAAGTCTTGGAACACTAACGTAGATTTTCAAAGGCAAATTCAGCCATCCCCCTCTCCCCCTAGGAACAATGTTGATTTACTATAAAAAAAGAAAGGGGTTATGGAGTACGCTTTTTCTTGTGGATTGTTTGATATTTTTCTATACTTTCAACATTGTTTTGGGGGGAAAGGGGGGCGGAAGTGGTAGTATTCAAGAAAACAAATGAAAAATAGAAAAGCACAGCGCAAAGTGTTAGGTAGTAATTTTGGCAGTGATTGTAGGCGTCAAAGCAACAAAACACTGCAAAGCATACCTGCTTTGATCCGTTTGAAAAAACAAGATGCATTGGACACTCAACTTCTATACTTTGCTGTAGCTGTGTACTCATGCTGTCCTTTTCAATAATTGAATCACCCTTGTTTTTGGTAAGGGATGACAGTAGCAAAGGAGATAATTTCAGCCCAACCTTTATCTACGAGTAAAAAGATATGGCTAGCATGTGAGACATCGCATATATGCAGATTTAATCAATATCTTGAATCAAATATGATAATATAAAATATATGTTTATAGTTAATAAATATATAGCTATTAAAATATATAGTTAATGAAGACTTAGATGCAAGTAGCATTAAAAAATCCTACTATGAATTAAGTTTCAGTAAATTTCTAGAAAAGTGAGAAAGAATGATGGAGCATGACGACGAAGCTGGTTCAAAGAAAAGCCATCAATCAAACAGCTTAACATCAGACGTTTCATAGCTTGAAAAGCCAGTTTTTTATGTATTGTTATTGATCAGCGATAATCCATGATGCAGTGTATCCCGTTATTCGCAAAGGATCAATTTGAATCCCAATGTATCCCAGTTCTTGGCCGGATCAATCCCAATATTAGCATAGGGTCTTATTCATATTTCAGTTCTCGGTAGGATCAATTTTGTATTTCGTCTAAATTTGATGAGAAAATGTTGGGAAAGGGGTAATATTTTGGCAATGTACTTTTTTTAATGTAATGTTTATGATTTAATGTAATGTTATATCTAACTTTACGTAACTTAGTCATAGGCGTCACGGTAAAATTGGCGTTCTTTTTTGGTAAAAGGGCATTTTATGGAGTAAAAAAGAGCGTGGCCTAATTATTTTGCTTTGTCCCCCCAGAGCCTAGTGGCTGGCATCGAGGCTGGCATCGCTCCAGTGTGGATTGTGCCTTGGTATTAGGCTGTACTGCATGAGAGAATTCACCTCACAATGGAAGGAGGAGTTCGTTGCACAAAAAGCCCCTATAAAAACAGAACATTTCTTTCTTTTGAGTTTCCTGCATTAAGACATTATTCAGTTTCTTCTTGTAGTAGTCAACCTCCATTTACCGACATATTTGGTTTGTTTTCAATATTAATTACATCATTCTCATAATCAGACACTGAACGTCTGTGCTTTTTGTTTCTCTGCCATTATCCGTCTGGAAACGTCGAGAAAATCGACATGTCTGGCTTTTGCGGTGATCGGGAATGGCCGATGGTTACCGATGATTTCCGATGGTTAGCGATGGTCAAGTCTTCGTATCGGGTGTCTCCGGCACTGGATTGGCTATGATCGGCTATACTTTTAAACGCTACTTTTTGCAATTGCCTTATTCAAGTGAAAAGCAGTTGATTCTGGTGGAATTCAGGCCCATTCTCGAGAGAAAACAAAGAAAGTCCTCCGAAGATTCCATGTTTTCAAACAAGGAAAAGTCTGAACTCTATCAATTTTGAAACTTCTATGTAGGAAACAAAATAATGTACGAACTCTGATATCTCAAAGCATTGTATAAATACACTATCATATGCCTGAAGCTCTAAATTGCTAGAATTTCAATTCATTAGATAAGTAAAAGTACTTTTGAGAAGTAGAGGGAGAGTGAATGGGGTGGGGGTGGAGGGGATGTTCACAGCTCATGAATATTCGTTAGACAGGAAAGAGGTATGTGGGTTAAATGCGACCTTGACCTTGACCTTGATGATTTAAGCCGCGTCTGCAGACTACATGGACACATTTCAAAAGATATCCTGAATAAAAACCAACAAAAGTTTTGCGTCTACACGGAAATTAAACATTTAAAACAATTGTGTTTCCAAAAAGACAGCTCTGGATGGTGTCTTTTATAATTTGCGGATGCAGTCATGTTTTGCATCGTTGCCATGAAAACTGGAAACCAAGACACATAATTCTGTGACCAAGATCAAGCCTTTTCCAGATCAACGTTCAAAGGTGCACGTACCAGCAAAAAATAATAGCTTGTTGGATAATTGTATAATTGGTTTAGAGCAAGAAACAAAAAATGTGATTTAAACAGGACAACTCGGCAAAAGGGAAAAGGAACTCACTAACAAAATTGAATTATCAAAGAAAAAAGTTCGTATAATCCAATATGAAATTAAAAGCAATCGACAGAAACTAATGGGGCTTGAGCCATCTTTCTTTAAAAAATTGACCAATCAGTGAGCTTGATTCTACACACACATTGATTGGCTAATATTGATTGACAGTTAGTTCTAGCCACTTTTATATTTTTCTATTGCCTTTAATAATGCTTCAAAGCTTCCCGGAAATATCCCACCAAAGCAAACAATATTATCAAACTACGTTGTACAGCACAAAGAAAAAGGCGATACATACCTGGACATTTCCACCTTGGTTGATAGATAGTTCCTTGTTCCTCTGTCTGAATGCCTCCTTGTCTTCTACTGATAGTAATTCAAATGGTTCTTCCAAAGCAACGGAAAACCGGAGCAGTGTACCAGAATTGTTAATTAGAACATACCTTCGACTTGAAAAGCATTCGTCTATGATCTAAAAAGTACAAGTATCAAAATGAGACTCTAGCATCAAAAACTCTTCTTGGAGAGCTCTAGCACCAAAACATGGCTGCCAACTTAGAGCTATCAAGGCGGAACAACAAATAAACGAACAATTTTTAACGATGTGACAGTTCAACATAAAACAAACTCTTTCTGTAACCAAAAAATACGAGAATTAGCTGTTAGTTTGTTAGCTCAAGACAAATGATATAACAAAGGCGGATCCAGAGTGAGTTCCTTGGTGCACAGAACTCAGTCAGTTTTTCAACATACAGCTAAAAATAGTGTTGCCTGAAACAAGTAATATTTAAATTAAAAAATTGAAACCTTAAAAATTCTAAGTTATATCACAGTCTCTTCAAAATTTTAAAAATTGCCAGTTTTTTCTCTGTCGGGATTTGGAAACGATTTTCCAGACGCTGTGGAGTCAGACAACAGCAGTCAATCCTATTACTCGGAAATAAACATTTTGTGCCTCGAAAGTGAATGAATTGAAACAATAAACTTTTTGTCTGGAACACGGATTGAACTCAGTCAAAACAGCATCTAGAACTCGGAAATGGTACCATATTTGTAAGTTGATTGGCTACCTATTGTTTCTGTTCTATTGTGTTCTATTGTCTAAACATTGAATTCGAAATGGCGACTGCAGATGTCTTATACTCACGACCATCGCAGCATTCTAGCAGATTATTAAACATTTGAGATAAAACCAGGAGATATCGTTAATTTTCCTGGAGTGTTAACTACCTTTGCTTTAAATTGCAGTCTTTGATGGCACGGAAAACCTATGCTCAGACGGAACCCCATATTTTGATGAATAGGCTGGTGTCTACGGAGGCAAAACAACAAATTGCGAGCAAAACAAAAGGGAAAAACTTTGCTGTGGCATCCAAAACAAACAAAGGGTATTGAGAAAGAGAGGGGGCTGAAAATTTTTTCACAGAGGCACTTTTTTTTGTCGGAAAGAAATCTAGAATCTAGATTTAGTGAGTAGATAGTACCTACCCCCCCCCCCCCCTCAATGGTACCAAAATGCATAAATATGAATAATAATGTTGTCTTATGCACAATGATCAATGCATTATCTGAAAGTCCCTAGCCTTGGCCTGGAACTCAGTCAGGTTTTTTGCTGGATCCGCCCCTGTTATAAGACATTTATCTTTATATTTTACCTGAAACTTTGAATGTAATTAGGAGACCTGTTCTTTTTACATCTGTATTCTTACTTTTACTGGATTCATTTTTAACTGTAAATATTTAGGGAATTAGCATTAAGGCATAGGACACAGGGCATACATAAATTACAGCAGTTTTAACTCGTTGAAGTGTATATCCTGTATAAATATTCGTCTTATTATTATTATTGTTATTTTTATTATTATTATATATTATGTGATTTAAAAGATAACAGGGTGGAAGGATCTGGTAGGCTATTCTAGGAATTAAGCGAAACTTGGCAGTCAAATTGTAATTGTTCGGGAGATGAATCATGCCCGTCTTCAAGACATGCACTAGCCCCCGTTTCAGGGTCATTGCAGATGCGCATTATCACTTGAAGCCCTGGCAGGAAGTCCAAGAGTTGTGTGGTCACAGGCAGAGCCGTTGCGTGAATACTGTTATCAATGCGCATGTGCAATGACCCTGCAACACTGATTGGTCTAAGACGGTATTGTTTCGAAACAAAGAACTAAAGGTTTCATCTCCCTAACGATATTTATCCAACGATATTTATCACTCTTGGACATTGCAAGTGTTGCTCAGTTTTGTGTTGTTCGTGTTGGTATTGCGCTCTAAGAAGTTGCTGAGTAGTAATCTTGCAGCCATATTGATATATATGATATGCAAACAGGTAAGATGCAGGTTAGAGCTTCTCAAGAAAGTCAATCTCATTTAAAAACCCAAAGGAAGAGAACAACACCAACGCGACAGAGTCCTGGGACCAATAACGTCATATTAAAAATAAAGCATCGGAGATGTATTTTCGTCTGATGACCTTACATAAATTGAAAAAAGAGCTGTGTGAAAAGTCTGTATCGCATCAGAATGGTTCAGAGAGTAATGAATGTTTTCGAGAGTGCATTGCGTATTTCTTATGATGAATAATTAATGTACGCGAAATTATGACCTCCAAGAAACAGATTCAATAGAACACAACCGGCAAATCCGGATGCTTAAGATTTTTGGGAATCACATCTGTGAAAAAATCACCGAAATTCTTTTAGTCTACGACCTTTTAAGCTTGCACATTTTGCTTATACATACTCTGAAAAAGCACGACTGAGCTTAGAAAAAAAACAGAATAGGTTTAAAAACATTTTTGTCAAGATTTAGTGTTAAAGATAAAAAAAACTGAAAGACCAAATGAGATAGTGGCGTAAATTTGCTTTCAAGGTTATAAATCGTGATTCAAAACATATGCAATGAATGATTCCACAACAAGCTTCACACATTCTCACAACAACATCTTTCTAATACCTTCAAAGTAGATACATATCATTGGCCTGTACATTTCAATATAGCTAAGGACAGAGAAAAAAATAATATCAAAAAAGGATGCAGAAGTATGGTTAATCGAGGAATTTTCTTTCTATGCCGTAGTGGTGGTAAATTCAACAATTGTGGGTCTCTCCAACATTCTTTCTGATCTGATAGAGACAGTAATAAACAAACTATGGCGACGTTTGACATAGAGAAAGAAGTGCAGATTGAAAGCAAGTTTGGCTTAAAAGGATGATGATCCATATCACAGAATTCTGATTTATCGAGAAACTCCGAAAATGTTCTCGCTTAATCTATTTGCGAATGAAAGTCATTACCTTGTTAATGAAGTTGGTGGGTTTAGTTTGCCATAAAGAGGGCCTAAATTAGATTCGAAGCTTCGAGCATGAGTTTATGTACTCTAGCGAGTTAGAGGTTGAAGCTGACGATGATTGGCTGTCTAGACATATAATCAAACACCTGTGAAACTGAGCCTATTTGCAAACATAAATGCAAAAAGAAGAAAAAGGTAGGAGAAAGAAGGAAAGAGAAGGAAGAGCAGGAAAAAAATGAAAAGATAACATGTTGATCGTTGGTAAATCCAAACGAACAGCTAGACGTTTAGTAGAGACTAAGAAATTTTAAGATTAGTGTAGTGATCAAGCCAAACTACAACCATTTCACTTGTTTATAGAATCCTTGCTAGCCCCATAATATTGAGGTACTGTGGTAGCATAAAGGAACTCCCTAGCATATGAGCCCTTATAGTATACAACCCCGTTCGAAATATATGCACTAGTTCACTGGACAAATCAAATTTCTAGAGTGTTTTCTGGCAAAGTTCAGCGGTGTTCAATGAGAGAATATCAAACAAATAGTGAACATGAGCGACAAAAATGTTGTGACCATTTGACTCAGTGTCACTGAACATCGCTGCTCAACATCACTGAACATCGCTAAGACGGCTAAGCTAAGCTGAGACACAGCTAAGAGCATTTCGAGACTAATATAATGAAGGAATCAGGAATACTTGCAAGTTGTTCCTTTGTTCGTTGCAGATTTTGCACCAGGCCTTCATAGTGGGTAGCATTAAAAGCGACTGGAAATTGATTTGCAAGCATTTTAAAAACTGTTTACAGTTCTGTTTTCTTCTTTTGTAGTTTAATTCATTTCAAGATATAATTTGATACGGTTTTATGATAATTAGAATACCAATAACATTATTGTTAAAGTATTATTCTCTTTAACGGTTTTAAATATCGTAATGAATTGAAAATGAAAATCCAAAAAGCTCTGTTTTATTTTTTAGAACGAATTTTTGCGCCTTTCCAATATGTAAGGCAATTCCTCGAATAAATTCAAAATTCAAAAATAAATTTAAATTCATAACAAATTCCTAATAAAGTTTTCATTTAGAATCACAGTAAAGTAACAATGCCCGAAAAAATGTAAAAAACCACACTCGAGTAACGAATCAAAATGCTACGGAGGTGCGAATGAGGAACCAATATCTATTGTTGGTTCCAGTTCCTTACAGATGGCTCTTTAGAACCGCTAAGTGAAGGGTAAGACACTATAAAGCAATTCTCACCATAATTGCACGTAACGATAAGAAACTTCATTAAGAAAGGTAGGCTTCTAAAATTCAAATCTAAAAAAATAAGCAATAAGCAAAAAACCCTCCCCTTAATGGAGAATGAAAAAAAAACCCGGTAAAATAATTTACGGCAGACCCGTTCTGACCGTTCTAGGTGGATCAACTTTGAGCAGTTTGAAGTCCTTTGGCAGCAGGATAAAAAAATGTCCAGGTGAAACAACTTGCGTTCAATAGAAAAACTAATATGGAATAAAACAGTTTTTTGTATTCATCAATTCATCATCAAAGAAAAACATCTTTGCCATGGTTGAATGAAGCTTCATTTCTTTAGCCTAGACAAAATAAGCATACATTTTTCGTTTCGATAGTCGGTACATAGGCTGAAATATAGCAATTGTTCATTCCATGTTCGGTAAATACGCTCAGAAAATACAATTTATCGAGCTTGTCGATGCACCGGAGCACCATCCGCCATTATCCCAATGTGCAAGTCAGGCTAGAAACGCACAATGTCCCGTGTATTTGGTTTGTTTACAAAACCATGACACAGCCCTTTAATGCCATGCTAGTAATTTGTACTGTGAGAATATTATGATCTCATAGCACAATGAATATATTTTGTCTGCAGAATATTCGTGGTGCCATTAAAATTTTGGTATAATTTCCAAGAAAGAATTTAGTTGCTATGTAATGTTTTTAAATGTATTTAGCCAATTTGTTAGGTAATCATAATGCAGTAAAAAACAATAAAGATTAAAGCTGACGTTGAAATTTGTTAAAAATCTGAGAAAAAATGAAAAGGTCTGGTCTAAAGAAAACTTCTAGCATGATCATCGTAGTCATAAGCTTGCATAACAAAGCTTTCTTTCGTTACTTTGTGGACAGTAAAAGCGAGTTCTACGCTAAACAGCATTGAAGACACAGTAAATAGCTAGAATTTAAGTCAAAGAAGAAACGCTTGCTAACCAAGGGATCTTTTTCGTCTTTACACATAAAGCTTAAAAGGAAATCTTTTTGTAAACCTACCTTGACGAGCTTACAGGGTTTTTACACAAATATTGGATATTCAGACCATTTATGCAACGATCTAGCTCAATCGCGTGAAGCTAATACTAGTATGTTTTCAAAAGTAATTGAAAAGATTACAGCTACTGTACAAGAGAGGATTTCAGGACAATCGGGGGATTACAACAGGCTTGCAACGGAGTAAATATTTCATTTAATTGTTAATTCTATCCAGATACAAGATAAATTTTTCAATATCAGGAAAAAGAAATAGGTTGACACTGAGCAAGACATGACCTAAAGGTAGAAGATTGGAGTAAATTTAATTTTGCTTGAATGAAGAATATTTTATGTGAAGAATAGTTTGAATGAAGAATGGTTTTGAATAAGAAATGGTCTTGAATGAAGAACGGAGCGATGGTCACAACGTCATATTAGAATTAAAGAACAGCTTGAGAAAATTTTATTTTTTGTTATACAATGGTAAGCTACTAATGTGTTATCCTCAACGAACTTTAAAGCAAGAAAACATACAAAATGGGCAAAAAAGAAAAATATATTTACTGTAGCCATAAAAGAACCATTATTAAAACAAAACAGAAGATGAGCCAGTGTTGTACTACAGCTAGACATTCCAGTTTTAAGCTGCTTGAAAGGCAGTCCAAGGTGGGTAAATTTTCTCGGTACCCTCTTGATGAGAGTAGATAAAAAATGGTCGTTTTGTAGCGAATGGCTGCTTGGAGCATTGATCTAATGCACAGACAAGAAGAGGGTTCGGTAATCTGCAGAAAGGCAATCATATTGTTGACTCCAACAAGAAGAAAACGTGATTTTGAGATGAAGAGTGAGTATTAAAATACAGCCAGAAAAATAGAACACGATAATTTCTTTGCTTGAAAGATCACATTCTTAAAAGAATTTTTGTACGAAAGAATTATGGCCCATGAATTGCTGGTTATTTACAAAACAGGACAGGTTTTTTCTACAAAAAAATGTTGAAGAGCACAGTAAAACTGACAGCAATCGCTTAGAGTGGTGAATATGCCATAAGGTGGTTAGTTAATTTCAAGGTTGTAAAAGCAATAGGTTGGATGTTATTCAGCCAATTTTGAGAAGATGTGATCATTTGCAAACTTGTTTGACAAAAAAAGACGCAGAATTCATAAAGATCATATTTTATTTAGATGATGCTGTACGAAGGCTGCTGAAGGGACTGTAGTAAGCCATAGTCGTTAAACCTTGCGAAAGAAAATTGATGCAGTGGCAAAACTACGAAAATACGAAAAGAAACTTTGAAGAACAAACAAGTAGATGTTATAAGACAGAATTTACTAGCTAGCTTCTATCAAAATAAAGAATACTTTATACGGATAGTAAAAATTAATGAAAGCGAGAGATTTCCTTTGAATTGATCAGAAAATGAATGGGCAGAAAATCTGAAGAAATCCGACTGCGATTGTGAACAGGTATTTTGGAAGTAGCGAGCTCGCCTATTCACACAGACACACACATTGCACTGTAAATTAATTTCACAGTTAATGAAAAAAGAATATGGTAGATGTGAAAACTTAGATTAAGAATTGCGCAAACAACAAATGGTTAAAATCAAGCTGAACTGAATGAACAGGTAGCTTTCTAACTCTGCCAAAACAGCGTTTGGGAGGAACGGCTTTAAAAGCCAAGTTGGAGGAGCAATTCAACTTCGCTGGATTTAAAGCGCCAAGAAAGGAGTATGAAAAATTAATTCATTAAATAACGCGATACAGTGAGAAGAGGAATATGGAAGTGTCTCCAAGAGAGCGAATTACTCTGAATATTAGCGGGGAGATATTTGAAACATGGGCAGCAACTCTCGGGAGATACCCACGAACTTTGCTGGGAGACCCAACAAAGAGAAACAGCTTTTTCTGCTTCAACACGAATCAATACTTTTTTAACAGAAACCGAGCAGCATTTGAAGGGATATTGTATTTCTATCAGTCAAATGGCCGGTTAAGCAGACCATCGAACGTGGGATTTGAGACATTTGAAAGCGAGTGTAAATATTTCGAGCTACCCGCCGTAGCAATCAAGGAGATGAAGCTGAAGGAAGGAATGTTTATCAGCAATGAGCGGAAACAGATTCCTTCAAGCAACTTGCAGAGGATCATTTGGAGGTTTGTTGAGAGACCAGAATCTTCAAAGGCAGCCAAGGTTTTCGCAATCTTTTCTCTATCGATGATTTTACTTTCAGTTATAATCGCCTGTCTTGAAAGCATTCCGGATGTACAGAAATGGCTCCGCAGAAATAAGCGAGAAAAAATCCAACTTTACATGGAATATGCACTAAACAGTTGGTTTCTGCTGGAGCTGATTGTTCGAGTAATCGTTTCGCCCAGCAAATGCCAGTTCTTTAAAACCCCTGTGAATATAATCGACACCCTCGCTGTCGTTCCGTATTTCATAATGAGTAGTATCCATGGAGAGCTCTATTATCATAGAATACTGCGGACTCTCAGGTTTGTACGGATATTTCGATTGTTTCGCCTGGGCAGGCAGTCTAAAAGGATGAAATTAGTTGGAAAGATTCTTGTTTCCACCGTTGATGATATCAAAGAGCTGCTGCTTTGCCTCGTGATTGTTATCATATTCGGAGGGAGCATCGTCTTTTACGCTGAAATGGACCGCGATAAGACGGAATTTAAAAGCATACCGGACGCACTTTGGTGGGCGGTACAAACAGTGGTCGTTCTGGGGTATGGTGATATTGTGCCAGGGACGCTGCTTGGGAAACTTTTTGCCGCATTCTTTATGGTATTTGGAGCTTTGACTATAGCTCTGCCTGTTTTATCAGTCGTGACAAAGTTCTCAGCTATCTATGCAACGAATATAAACACAGATTAGAATAAAATGAGCCATTTACTGGCAATATCCCCGCAATACCCTGTTTTATCGTATATTCTTTTCAAGATTCTATAGATACAATGCATGACGCTGTCAAAACTACTTTGGTGAGTAGCTTTACTTTCCATTTTAGTAAAGCTGCTCTTTTTCCAATATGTCACATGCAAGTACTGGATTGCAAATGTAAGTACTGGCTTGAAAAATTAAGTACTGGCTTGCCAATGTATGTACTGACATGCAGATAACACTGCAGACACCAAAGAAATTATCGGTTCAAACAAGTTGTTTGTTGAAAAAGTGTCTCTATTCTACACAATTTTAATCAATGTTTTCTTTTTTGACAATATAGGAACTTTACGAGAGCAAACGTGAGATCCTGGAGTTAAGCATAAAATCTTTTGTCGAAGTGCCAGAATTCTTATAGCTACCTAGTGCATGTGGCAATTACCTTAAGGTACAAAGACACTTAATTTTGTAAGTAAAAAGACTTGAAACATTTTAAAGGGTCAATCAAGGATAAAAGAGCAATCCTTAAACATATTTTCTGAGTAAGTCAACTAGCAAGTCTTCAAAACGTCATTGTGACTACAAAAATTTTGTCGGAAGGCAAAACACTCCATAAAAATCTGTGCACCTATTGTTACATCTGAAAATCCCTCGAAACCCTTTGTTTTCGTGGTAATTCTTGTACACTAATGGTAAGAGGGGATTGCATCTCGTTTGTGATTACAAGAATTTTCACTCGATTTCTACCTTTCTATATTGCTTATTCTGTAACTGGAAAGTAGAAGTATTGAAACAAAAAATGACCTTAAAGTCCAAATCTAAATAGAATAATGTTAATCACGACTTAATTCAATTCAAAATTCAAGGGATCATAGATTGGATGAAGCCTTTAATAATCTAAGACGCTGAATTATTTAGCAAGTTTATAATGCCACGAATAGCACATTCTATACAAAAAATAAAGTGTGAATGAGCCTTTTTGTGCAACCACTTGCAAGATCTGTGCAACAATGGCAACTCATTCAATAATTGATTGGTTTTGTATTTAGAACAATTTCTAAAAAGCTTAAACAGAATTCAATGAATAACATGTCTGCAAACGATGACAGACTGCTTTTATGATTTTATCAAAAACATTTTTCAGTTTGATTGTGAAGTTCATTTTTTGATTTTAAAACATTGCTTATTGTGAGTGGTGTTCAAATATGAAACGATGACCGATTTGGTTTGTTATAAACTCGCCTGCTAAATGCAGGCTTATAACAGGCAATAGTGTTTTCAATTGTGCGGTCACAAAAATATGTTTTTAAAATTTTTGACTTTGGACCACATAACCTTAAAAGAACACACATAAATTTCGCTTGATATGCAAAACCAGTCAGAATTGTTGAAAACTAGGTTGGAGATTGCCAAAAAAGATTTGAAAATTCCTAAAAGATTACTGTTATCTCGATTTGATTCATAACGTTATGAACAGGGACCGAATCACAGGGTTTTGATGGAGAAAGAGCCTGTACTTTTGTGGCCATAACTCAGCCAATATGTAACTCACTTAACTGATTTCACATCTAGAGGTATTCCACGATGCCTTTGATTATGTGCGTGAAATCTAAAAAAGTCTCAAAATAAATTTTTGTGACGAAAAAAATTAAGAACACTATTACTTCATGTGGGTATGATAGAAATCATGTTATTTGGTGTATAGATCCTTTTTCGATGCCGTGTAGACAAGACACCAAACAGCGTGTACATCTCTGCCTATACGGTATCAAGCACTTTGTGACAGACCGGTAAACAGTAATTTTCACAAAAGAAGTCATACAATTTTAGCTGGAAATGGATCAGAAATTTTCAGCTGATCATGAATTGGTTTATTGAACATGAAAATCGAAAGCAATTAGAAAAGCCTCTTGAAACTAGGACAAAAGATTGTGAGAAAAATGTTGATAATATATCTATTTTTCATAGCAAATAATGTTTTCATATATAGCTCCTAAAATACCATACATCTACATAAAATACCATACCATACATAAAAGAAAGTAGAGCTTTTCAAAAAAGTCTGGGTAGTCTAAGTTATATTTGTGGATGAGGAGAAACAAACCATTCAATGCAAGAAGGGCAAGTGAGCCTTCAAGATTATAAACATCAGTTAGAAAATCAAGCAAAAGTTTGGGATCTTGAGATTTGAGATAAAAAGTTTCATATATAGCTCCTAAAATACCATACATCTAGGCCTTTGAAAATTAGTAAAAATGCAATATGTATTGAAATTGCATTCAAAGCAACAAAAGAATCAGTTAGTTTTGGGTAAAACCAAGGTAAAATAACAGAACTAGTTCTGTCATTTTATCTCAGTGATACTAACATGAAGGTGGGTCGAGAAATCGCCCCCAATCATATTCTCTTTATAAGTATATCCCGTTTAAATACGCCTGGCCTTTTCAAAATTAGGCTCCTTTGCATTAGAGCAAACCCTTCAATGGCATTGGTGTAAACGCTGGTTATCCATGAAAACACAAGAATGAAATGGCCTATATACTGCGAGTTACCTACTGTTCTTCTTTGTCAAGTTGGAAAGTATAATAAAATCATAAGATAAGAAAACCTTCCCTATTTAGAGATGTTTTGCCATATGTACAAAGGCTTGGCTTGTATACCTTGCAGTAGTAATGGGCCTTAAAAGAGGCCTAGATTCACAAAATTCTAAAAACAAGAAGCTCTTTTTTGCGATGGCCAATTCACTTTTGCCAAAAAGCTTACGAAATTTTCAGAGCAAAAGGATTTTTTGTAGATTGTTATGGACTTTATTGAAAAACAAAAAGATTTTGCAAGAAATAAAACTGATCCGTTCACTGGAAAAAAAACAATTTTGGTTTTAGCCCATTGGCTTGATCTCTCTTCCATATTGCTTGGGTTACGTCAGATATGTCAAACAGGGGCATAAAGTTCACATACATATTTCTAAAGCGACGTTTCAAAGGAGGCTGTTTTCCCAAACAGCATCAATATTAATTTAAATTTCAAGTGCTTATTCAAGAAGGCGGATATTTATAAGGGAAGCTACGTTTACTTAATATTTTATCTTGCTATGTGCCTGGTGTATTGTTTTATAAAGCGTTTAAGTTAAAGAAGTCGGTACACAGATTGCATTCAAAATGACAAGTATTTATGTGATGGAGACTGGTGACATATTATCATTTTTCGAAGCCAAAGAAATCAATGCAATAAAAATACCCAAAAATAGCAACAGAGCAGTCAGCAAATTAATTGGAAATCGAATTAGATCACAAGAGCTTTGGAAGTTTGACGTGGGAGGTGAAAAAGAAGATTAGAAAAAACAAAAGAATGAATTCGTTAATCTAATGGAAGATTTGTGCTTTACTATAATGACAAAAACAAACACAAGGCTAGGTTATTGAGGATTTAGGATGAATTAATGCAAAAGTAAATACCGCGTATAAAAATTTTCGCGGAAACCAAACAAAATATTTAGTGACCTTAAGTAAGCAGTATTTACTTAGCAATTACGAACTTCACCTTTCAAGAGCAGAAAAAGCATACAAAACCTCATTCTTGAGAGTAGAGCAGAGTTCTGTATCATGATTAAAACAAGCCTTGGAAAGAATTTCACCAGCTTTAGGATTGAAATCCCAACCTGACGTAATATTTTTTCTTGTGTATTTGTAGATGAATAATCGAGATAATTACCAACAAAAGCCGACCGGGGTATAGAAAGTGGGGAACGATGATGTTGGCTATGATTTTACGATGTGAGCATTAACATTCCATACCGGATATTCAAGCCCCCTTTTTTGGAAATGTTGTTGAAACAAGAGGCACCATCATTGCGCTCTTTGCATAAACGACCTTATGTCGTCCCTTTTCCCAATCTCTCTAATCAAAATATCAGTTTATTAGAGCATCAGACAACAAGACAACAGAAGAAGGGGCAAATCACTCTATGCAATCTCATTCACTTCGTATTGTTTCATAGGAAAATTCCTTGAAATTCTTCTGTTTTCGTGGAAACCACGCACGGTATTTGCAAGAGAGAATTGATCAGATAAAACTCGAATAACACAGAATTGAACATACTGTTATCTTTGCAGCGATTGTGTAATAGTGGTCTACGTTTGTGAATATTCACAGACGGAGAAATTTAAAAGGAGTTTCTGAGTATTTGCTTGTTGTTTATCTTTATTTCTTGATGGGTCAAGAAGATTTTCCTGAGAGGCGATTCAATCACAAAATACTGCTCACGATGATTATAAGACGATTTGCAGTGATTATTTTTTATAATCTTTCATGTCACTCTTTTTATTTTATTGTTTTATTGCTTTTTATAACATTTAAGACCATTTTTTAAGTGACATTAATGAAATTATTTTAGTTACCGTTCAACCTCAGATTTGAATATGACTAAGGTTAGGATAGTTAAAGTTAAGGAATTGTTAGGATATATCCTGAAGAACAGCGCTAATCCTGAAAGGATATTTGTGCAAATACAAGTAATTTTTACTGCAGCTAAGAGCAGAATTTCTACTGTAAAAAGGATTTAAAACATTAATGATATTATTTAATATTTAAACTTTAGCTTTTTAGCCGATGATCTGACAAAGTTAATCTGTCATCGCTATTCACTGTTCTTTTTCGTACAATTTAACTTTGAATTGGTTTAGAGTAGTCCTGCTCAACTCGTCGTTTATTGAAGAAAACAGTGCTACTCCCCATGGAATTAAGTTAAAGCCACACACCACTGCTCACCTGATGCTATTAAGCCAGCCACCAAAGCTCGGTCCAAATCTGCGGTACACTTACAACAGAGACATAATAAAATTTTAAAAAAAGCATTACTGCGCGCTTCGTGAAAATCTGACATACCTTGTAGCTTGAGTTTCCGTCCGGTCGAAGCAAATTACTGGCAACTGTCTCAAACACAAAGCCACTCTCTGATTCGGTTTCGACAATGACTCTGATAAGATAAAAAGAAAGAGCTTTAACAGAATAGAGAAGACTCCGGTTATAGTCACACCAAACGTTGCTTGAAAATTGATGGCTGTAAACGGATTGTGACTGTAAACGGATCTTTTACCAATTTGGTTCTAAATTTTATGTGACTGTAACCAGTGGTATAATTTTAACTGGAGTGACTGTAAGTGGAGTCGACTGTATTAGACAAGATTTTAAATCATTACTCGAGCAAATACAAAATTATCACTTGAAGATAGTAAATAATAGTGAATCAAGAAATCAGGATTTCAGCTTGAGTTGCAGCTATGGCTTTAAAAATTCAAAAAATATTTAATTCGTCAACTTTAATATAATTTCGTCAAATAAGATATTCCCGGCCCGTCACAGTTTGTAAAGAACAGGTCTAAGTTGCAGAGTTTAACGCGACATGCTATCATTAAGCAACTAAACAGCTTTGTCAATACAGCATAGAACATTATTCATAAGCCCGCTAAACAGTTACCTTCATTGCAAAATTACATCTTGAAAGGAGAAGCATTAATACTTTTTGCAGAAGAAAACTATATACAAGTATGTCATCATAAAAAATAAACAGGCCATCGTTACCTTGCCGGCTTGATGCTCCCTGTAAAGTTCAAATGAAACGGAGGTACATCGATTCCATCACATCTAAGCGTTCGGCCTTCTTCGTGAAACTTATCCTTAAATTGAAGAAAACTTTATAAAAGTTGTGAAAAGATACTGTATTGAAAAGAATTATGAGCTGCTCTCCTATTGATAAGAGGTTGTATGCCTTTGCATGAAAGAAAGCAAACTTAACAGAGAAAAGATATGGCTAGCTACTTTAATGTCACAATTTCAAATGTCAGCAAGTAAAGGAACCAATTCGCTTCAATCACAACAGGCGATGTGTCCAAACAATAGCAGACAAAGCTATCAAAATAATAAGGGTGCAGAAATTGGCTCACCTGGTTCAGTAAACTCATAAATCCAAGTGCATATCCCTGAACATCCATTTTTTCTACGGCATTCTCAAATGGAATGAACCTGGCTGTTGCTTGGGTTGAGCTTTTGGCTGGAATAATCTGCAGGTAAAATTTAAATAAATGCTAGAAACATTTGATTGCAAAGCTACAGTTTATCTCTGTGCTATTTTGAATAACAGCGCCTTTTTATTTTCGCCTATTGATGCTTCAAATATCCGAGAAACCATGCCTAAAGAATTTCTAGAAATAAAAAGTGAATATGTCAAGCACACAACAGGATATTGTCTGCATATCAGAATATAATTTATCGGTGCCGCTTTTCTTATAATTAGATTTTATTCATCTTGAACGTAATTTGAAAGTGAGAATTTTTTGTGGCATGAAAATAAAGTAAGGCGCAATATCAGGGCTGAAAAATAAACAGATGAACATATTGACATGGTAGGAAAGTATGGTTACAAGAATTTGCACAATCAAATTAAATTTTTCCCTTTGTTTAAGAGGCCTTTATTAAAGGAAATGAAATTAAGGAAACAATCAGAAAAGGTCATAGATATTGACGCAAAATATTGGGAGAGCTAGACGTTAGTTCTGCAGCAACGCAGAACAGGTTATTAGGGTAGGCACAGCAGACACACAATAAAATACATAATTTTTCTTACCATTTGTTTTGGTTCAACAGCAAATGGAATGCTTGCTATTTTTCCTTGATGAGGGTTTAACTTGACTCTGATAAGAGGTTCCTCCAGATCATCTTCCAATTCTACTTCCTGGCCATCCTTGTCCAGAGGAGGGAATGGGTTCCCAATCATGACAAGCAGATCAAGTAGCTGCGTGTCTTCATTTTCTGAAGAGTAGCACCGCCAATCCACACGGATATCTGCAGAGAAAATAGTGAAAAATACTTTCATTGCTTTCAACATCTAGATTTCATTGACAAATTAAAAATTTGTTAAAGGAGATATCTTTAAAAGGCTTAATTTAGCCTTTAAACGCTCTCTTTTTATATGACAAGAAAGACAGAATAGGATTCGGCTCCTGAATGGGTCAAGGTGAGAACTTCAATCCTAGCCAAAAGTTATTAGACTAGCTGGCAAATTGTAGTATTTTTGGAAAAATACGCTCCCCGCCCCCGCCCACCCACAGTCAATGTTGATACGCTTATTTCTACTCTTTTCAATTGCTGTTATCTGGGTATTTAAGAAAAAAACCAACATTGCTGCAGGGATGGGGGGTTTTGATAATATTTTTGGGGCCAAGTTGCAATTTTAGTGGTTTTTTCACTAACCTTTTGGCCAGGATTGTAGGTGAGTGATTTCAAGAAGTTACATACCACATGGACTTTGATTGTTTATCTTCAACGCTCTGCTGTGTATATCACCTCCAGAAATATGAGATCCAAACCTGACGAAAAGAATCTCGATGAGGATCAAGAAGCAGATGGTATGAAAGGGCCAATATTGAAATGACTTTCTATGCAAACGAAGTTAGTTTACAGTTGACTTCAGAAATGGCAGCTTCAGCTATATTAGGCGACTTTTCTACAAGAAGCAACTCTATATCTAACGTTGTCAAAAGATTCTTTATCAAGATTATATGCGATTTTTGTTTGGACACCAGCCTGCAATTGTCATCTATTTCAGCCGCTTTATCATCTTATAGATTTAAAAACCTTGCCAGTTGAACACAAGGCAAAGATGCTCACCGTAAAACTGGATTTGGGTCTTTAGAAAACTGGAATTTTAATGGGCAACCAGAACATTCTAAGTGAATCGGAACTTCAACTGGTTTAAGCCCATCAACCTGCAAAAAGGAAAGATTACATACGGTTTTAGTTAACTTCTTCATAGCAGACGTAAAAAGACATCAGGGATGTAAAAAATGGGAATCACTGTTGGGGTTGCAAGTGCTTACTGATATCTGGTTTTGCAATAAAGAAAAAGTAATAAAATAGACATTTCTAAACATTTGATGGACTTTGGGGCACAAAATATTCCCAGCTCAATGTACCTGCAATAAGATTGCATTAGGAAATTCACTGAATAAAGATAATGAATGATATTAAAAATAATGAAAATAACATAGCAAGTTGGGTGGTGAAATTCAGAAAAAACTACAGCTGAAACCTCCTCCTAGAAGGAATTGGCTTCAGAAACAAAATATTTGAAATTAATAGGACTGTTCATATATCTAATCAAACAGACATAACTTTTTCAGCCACCAAGGCAATAAACTGCAATGTTAGATGACAACATTGTACTAAATCATATTCAGTTATATTAAAGGACAGAAGGTAACTTACTATGCAAATAAGCTTGTCATTGTACTCTCCCCACATGTCGACGTAAGCAGTGACTTCGATGATGATTTGCTCAAATGGCCCTAACTGCCCCTGCGAAGGGTTTGGAAGGAATGCTGCCCCTTTGCCATCCGAAAGTGCGGCATCGCAAAGATCTGTGTAGGGACAAATAAGTATATAAATGATGTTTTGAAAAAAATATTAGTTTACTGCAAAAGAAGGAAATTCACATTAGAAGAGACGAGTATTGATATTGAGCAAAGTAGGTTTCAAATCCAATGGAGGAAAGCATCAAACATTGTTGATATAGCAATTTCATGAAAACACTAGTGTCCAGAAAAGATTACAACAAAAGGACAGCACAATTGAATAAGCTACCAGCAAAGCAAAATTCTAGAAAAAGCTGACTGACAAAAAGCTCACTAACAAAAAGCCCACACTGTGGTCACCAAATAGATATACTTTTAAACACATATTATTTTTCTTATCAAATTTAGAGCACCATTTTAAGGACACATATAAAAATTGAGTATAATCATGAATAAAAAATTCGTAATTCATAGCGAGTTCTCAGATAATGTTGAACAGAATTTAAACAAAATTGCAGTCTAAACGACACTCATATTCCTAGTGCAATTATATGGTCAACTGATGATGACTTATTTTTTATTAAAATCTTTCCACTTTCAACTAATCACGTGCTTATAAGTAAGCAAACCTTTGTTTTCTCGCATCTCAATTCAGTCAATACTAAGGCTATTACGAACATATAAATTTGCAATGTAGAGGCCGAGAAATTTTTTTACGAAACTTGTCAAAATTTCCTGCGAAAAAGAAAGAAAAAACAGTTGTGCTGTGTCAAAGTCTAATTCAAGCCAACCATTCACAAAATTTTCATCACAGGGATTTTTGTTTCAAAGAAAATTTTGGGCATATGCAAAAAACTTTCCTGAAAAGATCAGTGCAGCCTGTCACCCTATCAAAATTGTCCTCGACATACTCTTCCCTATGTTTTCATCGACCTCTGTCAAACAATTTCACACGCAAAGGTTTAGAAATAAAAGAGTATCAGTCTGCCATCTTAACACAATGAGATCACTCTGAAAAAATGTACATTCCTTCTACGTCACAACACACCAAGGTGTAGCTGTTAATTCATTTTGTTGATACAGAACATTACTGATAATTTCTTTTTAAAAAGGGCCCTAAAATTAGTCCTTTCCTTTTGCAAACAAACTCAACGGTAGTGTCAATAATCGTTCGAAAATAGACGTCAATATTTATGTTAAATCAAAATACCTTTGAATGCTTTGCTTGACAACCGGTTGTAAAGATCAGCCTTTGTATCTGTTTTACTAAGCAACGGAAGACTTCGTCTAGAAGTAGAAACAGCAAAAGATAGATGTTTTCAATGACAAAGCTTGTTGTGGTTGTCAAAAAGACGTTCTTACCAAAAGTTCCAGCAAAAGTTCCAATCTTCACTGTTACGTTGAAGTTTTTGCAAAACCTGGGATTACTTAAACATCAAAATAAGTCTTTTCTATCCAAGATAAAACTAAATAAAGAGACTTCGAGGTAACTGCAGAAAAAAAATTCAAATATGGAGAGATTTATACTCACGTCTTGCTTTCTTGCTTGTCTGAAATGAATAAGACGAAAAGTTACTGACTAGCACACAGCACATACCCTTTCACAATATTTACGTATAAAGATCCAGCTACACATTTAAAAACGTAACTTGTGAAAGCACCCGTGAGAGAAAAAAACCTACGCATGATAGGTGAAATAATACTATATATTTGATATTATTTGGCATTTAAGGTGTGGATCAAGAAACAAGAGAGGAAGGATAATGCATTTGATTATTGACCGCTAACCCTCATTATAGTTGAAGTGTTCAAGGGAAAAAACAGAAGCCTTCGTCTGCCTGGTTTAATTTTGCTTATTCGGATAAAAACTATGGATCGAGTCAGGACACGAACACTGCATTCAAGCAGGCTAACTATGTGGCTAACGCGCCTCTAATGAACGCGGGCTGAATCAGATCCAACGCGAATAGATACAAGGCAGCAATAAGTTACCTAAGTAATTGTTTTGCTTGATGACATAAACTGCTTCAATTGTCTGTTTTGATCTATCACTGGATTCTTGCGCACAAACCCTTCGTTTAGCTTCTAAGTATGCAGAAAAGAATCTTCCGCGGTGCTAAGCTGATATTCTATTTACAGATAATGATCGTCATTTTTGAAAATGACAAAATACCTGGTCTCTTTTTCTCTGGTGGAGTTGGCAATCTTCCTCCTTTGAAATTGTCAATATAAATTGAAAATGATGCAGAAATCGCTGAGTTATTCTTCATGACAACCACAGTCTTTGGATTCGAGGAAATCGGGACATCATATCCGAATTCCAGTTTTAGCTCCGAATGTGTTGTTGGGCTGAAAAAAGTATTTAATTCGTTTGATAAATTTCGAATACGAAGTGTAAAGTGACAAAAGAAATATCAATTGATAAAATAGACAGGAAATGAATTTTAAAAAAATGTTTCCTCGTATACCTTGACAGCATTCCACTGACATCTGGCGTGGCAAAATCTACTTTGAGGCCTGAGACATTCGCTGCTATGGACAATATCAACGGATGCACCATGCCTTCAATCTCACAAACAGCGAACAAGTCATTGATTGTCCCCTGAATGATAGGAAAATTTGCAGTTTTTTAGACACAAATTTTCTCATTGTTTTAAGTTTTCCAGGAAAGGATTCTTAAGTAAAGAGATCTCATAACATCTTCTAAAATGAACAAAAAAAGAACGCGATTACTAAATTTCAAGCCCTTGGTTCAAGGATCCCTGTCTCCAGGAAACTCAAAAGCACTAGACCTCCGTAAAATATTCTGGAAAAATGGCAAATCTAGGAAAAATTCCAAGCTAAAACCAGGACACATGCTGTGGACGTCAAGTCAAATTTAGAGCAATGTTTTATTTCTCGCTGCTATAATTCATATCTTTCCTTGAACCGTAAAAGATATTGCAAAACTGGCGATGGCTTGAAATTTTTCTTCAAATCCTGAATAATAACATTGCTCATTAGAGAAATTTTTGGTTAACAAAAATCATGGCAAAAGATGGTTTTAAGTGGGTGGAAGCGCAATGTGTGAGTAGCAGCCGTCCGAATGTCCGAATGCCGCATTCGGACATTCAGAAGATCTGCTGAAAAACGATTGAAAATCCAAAAAGTACGAAGTCTTGTATAAGTTGATAATTTTATAGAAATCTCTTCGATCTGTACGAAGATTATGTAAATTCCTGCTGAAACTACTGAGGCAAAGAGGTGCACCCCCATGTGAAGTGCCAGTCATTGCCTTAACAAATATTCATATAATCTGCAAGCAGCTTTTCGCGAAATTAAAGTTTATAAACGTAATGTTACGCAGATATAAACTCCGCAGTGGTTGACACAGTTTTCTCAGCTCGTCCTGCCCTTTAAAAAGTAGCAAACATGTTATGCCACACACGATCAACAACGCAAAATGAAAAAATTATGATGATTCATAAAAGATATCCAAAAGGACAAATGAACTTGCACACGAACCTGCTTTTTTACGCAAAGTATAAACTCTGTTTCCAGCTTTTCCCTTGGCTTCAGCGTCCCTTCTGCCTTGGTGAAATGAAGGTCACACAGTTCTGAATCCTTTCCCAGAACCTGATGAAACAATTTCTCAATTTCATTGAATTTGTTACAGCAGTTTGATGAGCAAGGTTAGGTCATTATATGTTATTCAGGCAAGATAAATATGCTGAATTCAAATGTGTTGGATCTATGGGGCATTTCTCAGTTATGTAAAAATTTCTACCTATCTAAATTATACAAGCTCAAATCAGGGGTTCAAAAACTGTCTCCTCTTAAAAAAAGTAAGAAAAACAAAGGAAACTTTTGATTTCAATAAGCTTGTTATACACATGCAAACGTTGTGATAGTTAAAAATTTCGAGATCCCATGAAATTTCAGCTTGCGTTTTAACCTACAGTGCTGCGTACCAGTTTTGACACACAAAATCTTTTTGACAAAATTCAACAAGATATGAGAACCATATGTGTGATCTTGATAAAGAATATGTATTGAGAAAATTTAAGGAAATACCTTGGTCCATTTGTATTCCACGGAGAAAAGTGTCAAATTTTGTAGAGCCACAGTCTGTGAAACTGGGATATTGGTAAAGCATTCCTCAATGGCAATACCACTTTTCAGGAGTACGACCTCAGGCATTTCAATTATAGCTCTGGCTTCAAGATAACTAAAAATTGAGGCAAGAAAGAAAATATCACATATATAAAAATCTCCAATCCTTGAAATAGAATTTTGCAATTCTTTCTTCTCAAAAAATTGGATAGGGATTTCTTCGCATCAATGTTGATATCTCTGCTACAAACATTCAACCAAATCTTGAGTAGGGAAGAGGTTATTTGATCGATTTGCTACCTATTTTGTGCATAGAAATGTGTCTAAACAGCTTCATGCAGAATTGACAATCTTCACTTATGGAAGAGGTAGGGCTGGAAAAGGATATCGACACTATCTTTATAGAAAAACGTCATGAAGTGAAAAATGTTTCTAAAGCTTTAGTAACTTGGAAAATAAAACATCTCATCAATTAGAAAAGGTTAAGTATTTGAATTGAAAAAGGGTCAGCTTCTAGGCTAAATTTTTACAAACAGAAGGAGAACAATTTCTCGAAATGTAATATCGTAGGAGATAAAGCACAATAACTTAATAATGAATTTAACATTGAAAGGTCTCTACAAGAAACATATTTAAAAAAGGTTGCTGGAAGAAAGGGATCTAAAAAGATTTCTTGTCATTGGAATCAACTCTACTATTCATAAACAAAAAGAGCAACCATACCCTCTTCACAACTATAACGAAGAATAACTCAAAGATTTTGATACTTTAATAATTTAGTACTTTAGTGAACACCCACCAATTCTCTCCTGAATCTATTTCAATCTCAATTATTTCATTTAGGATGCAAGGGCTATCAGCTTTCAAATGGACAAGGATCACTTGCATGCTGTTAGATTCAATAACACCAGAAACAGGTTCCAAGGTAAGTAAATCCATGTTCTACGAAGAGATAAGTACAATATATCAAAATCGCTGGCCAGGAAGAACACATCTTTAACGTATCAAAACTATGTCATTTATGTATGTTGTTTCTCCTGGTCTTTCTGTATAATATTGCAAGTAATTAAAAAAAATCACAACGAATGAGAACATTTTTAGATCTATTACCCTAAAAAGCAAAATTAAATCGAAATATTCCAAGTAAGAGGGCATTTTACTGTTTGTACAACGGGGTCTACATCAATGCTAATGAGTTTGGTGCAACAGTAAAAATCCTTTTCACTAGTTACGACATTAAAAGCAATGGAAAAATACGAAAGTGGCTTCAGCCATCTTCAATAAACAGTAGGCCAATCAGCGAGCCTAATAACACTCGTATGCTTATTGATTGGCTAAGATTGATTGACTTAGAAAAAACTTAAAAAGTAGCCATTTTATAGTCTATGGAAAAATGAAAGCTTGTGTGTTATGATTCCTTGATATGAGAATGTAACAGGAAGTAGGCATGGGTTGCTGCATACAAAGAAAGAGACTTACAGATTCATTAAGACTCCAGTGGGCATCGATACTCGAAAAGTTTTTGAGTTCTACAAGTCTCTTTTGATCATTCTTGTGACGAACAAGCCCAAAATTTAACAGTCTGTCCAAGAATCGCACCGCTGGTCCCTGAAAATTATTCGTTAAATCTTTCAACAAATGAAGGGCGAAAGGCAGCATGGATGAAAGCTATGATACATATATTCTTGGGAAAAGGAAAGGAGCCTTCTATAGACCGAGATGAATAGAGTTGGAGACCGAGATGAAGGACCAGAAAAGTCAAACAAAAATCCTGACTGGTGAGGCTCACAAAGACCTCGGATGTATGGCCTTCCTAAACACACATAGAGAATATTCCACTCCGGCCTATTTCATCTATGATTGGCTCTTCCCAACATAGATTGGCAAAGTAGTCATCTGAAATTTTGTGATCGGCCTGTATACTCTATTCATCTCGGTGTATGGTATACATTTTTTTCAATTATTTGCATCTTAATAGTAGATTGGTATTCATTTTAGCTTGAGATACCTTATCATAACCCTAGCAAATGATAAATGTATACTCTACAATGTAGAGAGGTAGAATTTTTATTTAAGATAAATCAATAAAAAAGAAAACTTTATTACCAGTGACCAACGAAATATGATAAACGTTTATAAAAGTGATGGAATTTCTGCTATGAAGTCTTCATTTCAAACTATTAAGTATAACATATCATTCGATACCCTTAGTCCAAGAAACATAACGTCACGAAGTATGCTAAATCTCGCCAAAGGCAAAACATTTTATGAAAAATCACCACCAGTGCACTACTTACAGTAAAATGTAATTCAAAATGGCAATAGGCAGGCAGAGTCCTGTGCGGTATTTTACCGAATAACGTTCTTCTTACAAGCCCTGGCTTCTTACCAACACATGTCACATAGCATTCGCTTCGTGAATTCGGACCTGTGACGAGAAAAAAACTCCTTTAACCAAAATTTTTTACATTGCGCTCATTCCTAATGAACTGAGATTAATTACTGCATAATCTGCGTTAATGTTGGCATTGTTTACTAAAAAATTGGAAAGATATAGTTGGAATTCATAAAAAATATAGCTTAAATCATTTGTTAAAAAGTAAGCTTTACACAGAAATTTTAGCACCCCTGTTTTTCTACTCTGATTTGCCCGCATTATGACCTTTATGCTCATAATCACTGCCATTCATAGTTCGAAAATGTTAGTTCAGATTTCTAGATTTCTCAACTCTACATTTCCATATTTTCATATTTCGATATTTCTATATATAAATGAAAAATAATTCTCAGATGCATTTGTCCTGTAAAAACATCCTAATTTTCATATTACACGTAACTCATCTTATTACACATTAATATATTCATTTTTTACCAAAATAAGCAAATTGTCAGTTATAATCATTCCTTAAAAAGTAGAAGGAGACTGCAAACAAAGTTTCATTTCAGGTACCATGTAGATTCTTAAAAAATACCAAGTCGCAAAACCGTAAAGTTTTTAATTCAACAGTTGCTAACAGAAGAGCAAATTTAGACACTTGACACGCGCAAATAAAGGAAGCTTGGGAACTAACAAATGCCACAAAATAAACAGTAAATTAATTTTCTATAGAAAAAAACTAACCGATTTCTTGCCCGTTCGGTTCAATTCGAACTGAACATTCCTCATCTTCAATATTCTCCCATGCGATTGGACAAGGCGAAGAGCTATTATTGAAGACCTGAAAAGAATGTTTAAGAGAGGAGAAGGTGAATAGAATGTTGAAGATAAAAAACAACGAAAAGCTGAAAAATTAGCTGATTGGATGATTAAAAAATGACAGCTTCCCATATTGCAAAGTCTTCTCTATACCAGGTTGCAAAATAGGAAATTTTAGACAAGGAAATCCGTAAAAAGAGAGTAACAGTTTAACGAAATCAAGCGGGACAAAAAAAGATCCATTTAAAATTTTGGATTGATTGATCAACAATATCCTTAACACTGAAACTACATGTTTTCGCCTACCTTAATCACCTTTGCTAGGATATTAGGAAGAAAATTTAAGTAACCTTCGAAACTACGTAAAAAGGGCATAAACAAGACAGGCTTTAAGGGTCGTTTAAAGTATACAAATTAAGGCGAATTGAATTAAATCGGAGAATGTACATTCTAAATCAGGAAAAATCTGGTAATAAAGACGGATCCATAACAGAATATACGGTATACGATTAAACTTGATTACATAAGTTATAAATTTATAAAGCGGTTAAAATTAGAATTATATTTATAATTTCAAGATTATTCTAGGTCGAGAGGGAATCGATACACAATTTATAAGCGGAGAGTGGTTGGTTTGCCTTATAAGTGGAGATCAACTTATATCTTTAACTGATTAATAACATAGATATTTCATACTTGACAAACAGTAACAATTTTTATGATATGACTAATAGTAGTAAGATTTGTCTGCCCTTGTTATAGGCAGGTGATTGTTTCAATTTAATGTTGAAAGAACAGGTCTTTATCATAGGCAAGCGTCAAAATTATCGGATTTCATCAAGCATTTTATATCAAGCACTCACAGTGAATTCTAAGTGATGAGGAACATTGATTTCAACATTGCAATCAAGGGTAACCACTTCAGGGTGCGTTGATACGTCAAAAATCTGCAATATAAAAATTAGGTTTAAATCATATCAGGTTTAAAGCCTGAAGCTAAACAATATTTCAGATAGAAATGAAAGGTTTTTGAATGAAAGTCTATGGTCACATATGGTTTGATGTGTTAGGGTGAATTAGAATATGGTAGTGGTAATTCAAGGAAAACCTAGACCTGTCGTCAACAAATGAATTAAAAGTAAAGGCGAAATGTGATACCCTATTCTGAAACTGTCGATCTTCACTCTTCCCAGGGAACAAAATAGCACAGAGAGTTATTAGTAGCTATGTAAACTACATATGCATCCACAGCAAGTAGATATGAATCGTATATATGACGCAGAATTTTTGCTGTAAACAATATTAAATCTTACTCATTTCTAAGATCGAAAAGTCAGGCATTTGAGAGATTCTGATATGACAACAGCATTCTCAATAAATTTTTAATTAATGTGTATTTATCAGAAAAACATAAAAAACCTTAAAAACTGGAGTTAAGAAGATAGGGAAGAAGAATGGTAAATAGATTAAAAGCAAAATAGAAAGTAATAGAAAGAAATAAAAACAAGTATAAAACACCGAAACTAGCCTTTGTTCCGCCTTTGAGCTCAATTTGAATCGTCACTAAATCAGCTAAAACTGAATTCTGATCTTCTGTGCAAGGGACATTCCTTAAAATCAGTCGGGCTACGTTACGGTAAATTCCCAGCTGAAAATGACAATGGTTTAGAATAAAATATGTTTGTTAAAAAACTTTCATTTGCACAATTCTACGTGAATGATGAGAAACTGAATAAGCAGCTAGTATATTTTATCCAGTATCACTCAAATTTTTTTTTTAATGTACATTATTTGAGGTTAAAAAATATCAATATATGATAAGCTAAAAATAACAGTCAAAAATTGCCTCGTGAGTCCTGAGAAACAATGATCAAAATCTATTTATGTCTAGCATTTAACTTTCGTCGAAGTTTCTAAATTTGGACAAAAGAAAAAATATAATTGAACAAGCTTGCAAGTCAAAGATAAATATCGCTTCAATTTCGATTCAACTAGTGTTAGTCTGTAAGTCTCGTTCTTGTTGTAGAAATCGGTTCCTAAACTGAACATTTTATGTGAATATTTATTTATAGCATGGAAATATAAAGACTTATGTGAATTCTTTACAGGATATTTACTTAAGTACACCAAAGTCGATAATCTGTGGTAAAAAAATTCCCAGTTGAACACGCAGTTCCTAATGAGATTCCCAATAAGACCCTACCTGGATTGGTTGGAAAGATAAACTGAATGCAGAGATTCCCAGTGACGTAAGCTTCCCTGATGAGGGCTGAACTTCAAAAGCAGCAGGTTGCCCTCCTCCCTGGTTACAGTCATTATGCAGCATGTGCCGGTTATGGCCTGCATACACTGGTCGGTCGATTTGCCAATAATACTCTAGATCAACTGACCTAAAGTGAATAATTTAGTAATTATATGATTAGGAAACCCTACAAACCAATATTCCTGCTTTGGAGGAAAGTTTTTGCCTAAAAATGATAAAGCCTCTGTTGAAAAAACACAGTTTTGTTCCTGTTCTGTTAGTTATTGAAAATAAAAAACAAACAATACTTAGAACAATTAAACGTCATTTCAATTGCATGATAATGGCGGGATTATATTTCAAAAATTTCAAAATTTGAAAAATCAGGATTCAACAGTAAATGATAAAAAAATCTATGAGGAGATGTCAACAGTAAATGATGAAAAAAATCTACGAGGAGATGTTAATGTGTGTCAGAAAATTTCATCTCAAAAATTGGCAAGAGATCTAGTGGTGCGCTTTAACAGAAAAATCATAGGAAAATCCCTGATAATATTTTTTTTATCTGGTGCAAAACAATACTCAGCTGTTTTTTAAACTGTAATTTTACGTTGTGTTAAGATCAGGAAAGTTGAGGCCATAAACTACATGTTTTGAGAAAGATCGACAGCTTTTTGCAACTTGGAGCTACAAAAAATGACTATATTGAGGTCATAATTATCCGAGAGTACAAGCTGGCTTGGCTAGAATGAAAAATTTGCGTAGACAAAGGGCAGGATCCCAATTTATTTCAAACAACTTTGCAAAGTACAGTCACTTTCAACCGTCACTTACGTTGCGTTTCTTATCTCAAGTTGCTTGATTTCTTGAGTTCCAGGAACTCGATCGGGAAATTTAACAAGACAAGAGGCTCGCGCATCTTTACTTTCCCCAATCTCATAACTACTAAGACCGCCTTTAACTGAGACCAACTCGACACCGGCAGTTTCCCCAAAACCTGAAATCAAACACGATACCCTGAAGCAATTTAATACATATATGGATCGAAATACAATTCATGCACCGTAGAAAGCAAAAACAGATTCAATTTTCATGCAATGCAAACAATAAGACAAGTCTGGAGATGGATTATCACCAAAAATCTAGTCAGAAGCAGAGCAATCAATATATTTCCTTTTGCTGACTCGGAATGGATGCAAAACTATTTTCCCATAAAGAATGCTTTGAATTTATAGAAACCGATAAAAACTGGCTGTATAGAAAAAGGCGAGGCGAAATTGGACAGAAAGGTGGCATACAAGCAACAAAACCTTGGTTACCTTCAATTGTGAACTTTTTGATTTGGCAGTTGTCACAAAGCATCACTAGATGTTCTTGAAATTTCTTAACGGCATCAGGAGAAAATGACATCTAGAGGAGGTAGTGACAGAGTTTAAACAGTAAGAACATGTTTTCCAGGATGCAGAAAAAGAAAAGAAACACATAAAAATACAAACAAATATGAAGAAAATGATGAAAAACTAATCATCAAAAGGTGCAAAATAAAAAAATGACGTCAGGAACAGCAAAAGCACATTTAAGCCAATTCAGAGGAAACACTTAAAAGCTGTTAACCCTAAAAGAGGGTATATTAAAATGTTTAGCATAAAGAAAGAGGAAACTGACTGTAAGGTTGATACAATCATTTGGCTGCAAATGGAATGAGCTCGGCTGTATAACAAACGGTCCAATTGAAACTTCTTCTTCTTTATCATAGAGTTCCTGAAAAACACATTTTCTAAATTACACAAATGACTGACTGATCATTATAAAGGTCGTTAAAGCCAAAATCAGTTCGCCTACAGTAGCGATTTAGGCCCAGATAGAAAATGCTTTTTGTTATAAAATTCTTCTACCTATCCAAAGACTTCAAAGCGTCATAGCGTACTTTATAGTCATCTTAATTATGTTAAACACTAACAAGATACGTAGCCGGGGTGTCGTTATTAAAATGTATAATTATATCCTGTTGGTTTGGTTACCTTTTGTTGAGTGCCAATATCTGAGGTTTAATGCACGGCTGCTAGATGGAATTTACAAAAGAAGGCCAGAGGGATGACCAACCCTGGCCAAAATGCGCAGAAAAAGGCCAAATCAAAAGATTTTGCAAAAGTACACTGCGCATGCGTAGTATATATTTACACGCAAGAGCCTTTTAAATAATCTTCAAACTCAAACAGGAAACTGAGAAAATTTCGCTTTAAAAAATTCAATCGCTGATCGTTAGGTTAGGTAAAATATCGACATTTCGGTTCACACTGTGTAGTATTGCTTTTCCATGTAAAATTTGTGTGTTAAAAGTTTATATAAAGCAATGAAATGTCTTTAAAGTTTCTGCTGAAAAAGGCCAAATTTAAGAAGTAGACCAAAAGCAAATTTTCCAGGCAATTTGGCTCTGAAAAAGGCCAAAATTGGAAATTTGGTCTGAAAAAGGCCAATCTGCCAACCCTGGTTTAATGTAGGCACATATCGACTTCGAGAATGTAGCCGCACTGAGACATTGGTAAGAGGAAGTTTAAAAAAACATATGAAAAGATTACAGGCATTGAAATAATCTTGCACATATATTCTAGAAAATAACGGACAATAACGTTTTTAGTAGATGGAGATGACATTCGTAACTTCAATATGATCATAAATGGGAAACACAAGGGCCAACTGTGGTGAACAAACATTAGACCTCCCTGGAAGCTGATCTGAATATGCAAAATTGAGACGAAAACACTTGAATTGGATCAGATTTTCTGCAGATTTTATTTCCTGTGGTAGACCATTCCAAATTTGTGGTCCGAGAGACCTGAGGCTGTTTGGACCGAAAATTGTTTTTTCATAAGCAAGTAAAACATTAAGGATAGGCAAAAGCTACTTCATATGGTGCTATTCATAGAGGGAGAAGACACAAGGTCATCGGGTTACCTCTATAAAAAGCGCTTACAATATATTTAACCATTTTGTCACTCAAGCTAACAAGGGGACAGGAAACAAGCCCAAAAAAAATTTACTTAGCCAAAAAAAGAAAATACAATAATAAAAAATAAATATGGGGTAGCCGCATTCAGTCAAATCGTTTTGTTTCTTTAAAAAAAATATTGTAGCTTCCATAATTATTCTGTTGGCGATTTCATTCAACAATGGAGATCCACACAGAAGTAGTGTGCATAAGGATTTTAAATTATATTGTGAAGTATATAAACCAGGAATCCCTAAAGTTGACCAAGAAGCCCGCTACGCATTATTTCGTACAATGGGCAATGCAGGAGAAAATGTTCATTTTTTTGGTTGGGCCTGTAGTACTGCAAGTCTTGTGGTTCCTTTGCCGACTTACATGCATTATACATTTATGCGATTTGCAAAAAAGATCTCTATAAGATGAATCATGATCATCGGAAAAAAAAGGAAGGGCTCTTTCCTGTATTTTTTCGATCTTCTCCATAGATCTAGCCGAGGAGAAAAACCACACTAAAAGGCAGTAGTTAAAGTTAGAGAAGACAAAGCTTTAGACCAATACCTTTTTCTCCTCAAAGCCAATGAAAGATTTTAGTCTTTTGAGCACATTTAGCTGGGTTGCTGCCTTTTTACAAAGTTCGGATATGTAAATGTCAAAATTCAGTTTGTGGTCTATAGTTACGCCAAGCAACTTTACTGAAGCTTCAGAATTTATAGCTTTTCCCTTGAATAGAAATGCTATGCCCAATGGTATATTTTATCCTTTCTGACAAGAAGAGCATGAAATTTTGCTGAGTTGGCAATCATTTAATTCTGATTGAGCCAGGCTAGGGCGATGCTTGCTTCTTTTTCCAAGACGTTAATTAATTGAGGTAGGTTTTTTGAAAATTGTGTTTAAGTGTTGTCATCTGTGTAATTTACAAAAGAAGTCTTTTAGTGAAATAAAACAGGTCATTGAAAAGAATAGGGCCACGTAGAAATTAAAAAGAATAACCCCAAAATGATCCTTGCGGTACTTCTGATAAAACAGATTTAAAATCACTGTAAGTATCATTTATTCGAACTGCTTGTAAGTGCCTTTTTAAATAGGAGTAAATAGGGGCTAGAGAACTTCAATCAAAGCCATATGCTGTAAGTAGTGCGGGATACAGTCGAAAGCCTTTGATAAATCCATCAGTACTGCTCCGACAATGTAATCATTATCCAATTTGACTTTCCAGTCTTCAAGCATTTTGATTAAGATAATCGGTCTGGAAATCTGCCATTTATAGCTTTTGTTAGGGGAATGCATAGCTCCTTGGCAGCTAGACGGACAAGTTTAGAAGGTATTTTACCTTCACCGGTCGATTTCTTGTCATTTATTGAAAGGACAAGTTTGAAAACAACAGTTACACATTTCAAACAAACAATCCTAACAGGAAAAGAGACCTGGCTATGTTCGTTTGTATGTCAAAGAAATTGTAGCCAGTTGATACTTAAATACGGGTTTATTAAAAAGCCTAAGAAAAAAGTGTTTGAGGTGAATAAAGAAATGCATCTCTTCTATTCCATATACACAATTAATAAACCGACCTGAAAGCTACGTGATTTCCATTCGTCTTTGGCTAAAATGACGAATCTTCCTTCCCCACCACTGTTAATACATGGCAGTTGCACAGTCTTCGATCCACCAACCAAACAATGACCGCAAGCAAATGTGTCAGGAACTGAATGCAAAAATGCTTTTTAAGTATGTGGCCTAATCGTTGAACAAATACTGACAATTGATAACAGCAGTATGAAAAATACTTTAAGACCTTGTTTCTTACGAAAAGTGAATTGTTATAAGCTGTTAAGAAAATATAACCTGTTTTTAGCCAGTTAAAAAAACAATGGAAAAAATCAAGGTAATTTTGGCTATATCTTAAGAAGCTGGAATTAGGCAAAAACCTTTCTTCTTAACCACCTCAAGCTCTTTGAAAAATAGCAATAACAAGAGATAACAAAACTTTCAGAGGTCAATTACTTTCATGTGAAACAGAAAAGTCATTAACATCAGCATAGACAGGCGTTCTACACGACTCTAGTAGAGTGGTGTAGAACGCCTGTAGAACGCCACGAATTGTCGAGGGTAGAAACAGTACAAATTGAGAATCAAATGACTCGCGGTACAAAAATTTTCAAAACCATATTTGCCCAGGCCTATGGTTTTCATCAGTGAAAGTGCAACAAACTAAATACAAATAATTGGGAAAAGGGAGCAGTTGTAGCTAATTAATTGATGTAGGAATGCATTGCAATGTAGGAACAAAAGTAGAGATAGGAAAAGTTGAAGTGAAAGAAGTAGAAGAAGGTGAAAGAATGCGAGTAGAAAATTTTCTTACGCACACGTTCTTTAGAAGGCTGGTGATGATTGCGTTTAACCCCTTTAAACAACTGATTTTATTTTGCCATCTCCAAATTCCAAACAAGCCAGTAGATCATTGTGGCAAGACAGTTTACAGTACGGTCAGAGAAAACTTCTTTACATGTCTTAAAGACTCTGAAATATGTTGACGCTTTGCTCCAGTATTGCGGACAGTTGGTTAAGATGCTTAGAAAATCGGATAGTAAGTGACATCAAACTTTTATTTAGTTATATGGATGTTTTTATGGGTTAGTTACATGTTTGCTTTTTGACATTCTTGGTACTTCTTGAAATACATTTATCATTTCAGTAATACCATCTGACCTAGTCTGACTCTACTGGATCATTGAGTGAAAAATTAAAAGTCTTCCTTAAGGTACAGATAGTGAGCAGCTGTAGTGTCGTATGAAAAATCAAGGTCCAATCAATCTGACCAAAGCTCAAGTGCGGTTAAAAGCAAGAGGTTGGCGATCTCTATACCCATCTGCCGTCACTGTGCTGTTTACCCCTTGCACTGAGAGCTAGAAAACTTGACTGTGTTCCGTTTAAAAACATTAATTAAAGTTTCATTGCCGAAGAATATAAAAAGATTGGTTGCAAGTTCTCAGAAACTTACGCGATAACTCAGGTGGAGGTCTCCTTGCTTGTAACTGAATAATAAGTGGTTCAGAGAACTTTGTTTCTACCTGCAAAAAAATTCAGAAGAATCTTAAAGCGAAAACTTTAGGGTGCCAAATCAGCATTCCAGAAAGAGGGTGAAATCCTAGAAACAGTTACGTTACTAGAATCTGTCAAGACTCTTGCTTTAAAGTGTTAAAAATCCAAGAATGGCTCTTTTAAAAAAGTAGAAAGGCTTGCTAACGTAAGAGAATAGGTTGATCTGGAAACGAGTAGCAAAATACACTAAAACATAAATGATAGGCCCCCTTGGTTGTAGTTTGCAAAGGTGATCTCAGGAATTTTTGGATTTTGACTGGAAGATTTGGGACTGCGTCTTTGAAAAATTGAGATCACTGTTTCATGAACATTTAATAAGGGAAACATCGCACAGTTCAGTAAGAAGACCGTTGCTAGTTCATGCTCATTGACTTGTGCCCTTTATGTACCAGAACAAATCTAAATCTAAGCCACAAGAATCTCGCAGCAACAATGCTAAAAATGCAAGGATAAACATTACTTTTTAACTATCGACGAATACCATGCCAAATAAAATCACAAATGGGCACAAATCACATGACCCACAAGGGTTTAGTTAGATTCAGTCCGTTTGTATATGACATCACATATGATCAAAACAGCACAATACAAAAAGTTTTCAACAAGAATTTCTTTCAAAAATACGTCATCAAATCAAAAAATTAAACTGTTAGGACAAGAATACTTGACAACACCCGGCTCGTTGAATCGGTTTTCACCAAGCCTTTTATTTATTAACAAGACTTTTAGAAGCCGATACTTTTCAAGTGTATAAATGACCACAGGAAGTAAGGTGAACAAACAGATTTGCTATCTGAGAATACAACAGCTGAGAGATTTTATCCGTGAAATAAACATTTCGACTCTAGAATGCATCTCTTGGGAAGGTACTATTTCTCTGTATGTCTGAATATCTCTGGGTACGAGTTACTTGAAGTTTGCAAGTCGGGTTCCTAAATCTAACTGACGTTATCAGCGAAAGTTCGATTTAAGTCATATTTATATCAATTGTAACCAGTTACCTTCAGGCTATCATCATAGTCTGCTAAAGAGTCCGGTGAAAACTTAATGACATATTGACAGCTCATTCCAGGAGCAACAAGGCCGTCAGAAGTGGGAAACTTTCCTGCAAAATGGGCAAAACGCTATAGATTCAATGGGAGAAATTCATTCACAGAGGGAAAGCAGTTGAAAATACACAATAATGACAAAGCAAACTCTGGCAAGAGGGTAAATTGTATAGATAGAATTTGTAATTCAAAAGTAGGGTTCTTTGTTACTTCATAAAACTTCAACATAATAAAAAGCATACCATGGCTGACAGCAAAATAGGGCGTTGATGGGGGAAGCACTCTGAGCTGACGACTAGAAGATGTGATGTTCTTTAAAGTGAGAACAATCTGGAAAAGAAGATTCATTTAGGAATGAGAAAAGCCATAAAGAAAAATTGACATATTGCCCGAGAAGAGGAAACTTTCAATTTAATGCCAAAGATGGGTCTTGAATCAATGCAAAAAAAATTAGAATTCTGTCTCGTTAGAAATGAAAGACTGTCAACAAACAAATATTTTTATGACAGCATTTAGAAATCCTTAGAAAATCTGATAAAATTTTACTTTACCAAATGGCAACTTTTATAATCTTTACTACAGGGAAAAAAATAGCGTCAGAGATTGCATTTCTTATCATAGAGGATTTAGAAAAATTAGGGGTCAGAGAAAGAGAAAAAGATTAGCGAAACAGAAAGGCCACATTTTCAATAAAGAGGGTACTCGGTCACAAAACATTCAATAGCAAAGTTTTCACAAGAACTCTCTAAAAGATTTTATGCAGTCATCTAAGCAATGAAAATATGGCATTGGGTAATTAATGATTTTGCTTTACCTCGTATTCATTACCAGCTTCGTAATCGGTAAACAGAACTGGGCAGGGGCTAGCCTCAAAAATGTCAGCCGCCTTGCATCTGTATAAAAAGAAAAAAAAACTCAAAGTAACACGATACAAAGAACATAATGAATATAAATTTAAAAACTATATTCAAGTCCTTATCCCTTTTCATGACTTAAGCTATATTAGCCAGCATTTTTTAAAAAAACTGACTAAAGAGACATATGCAGTATTTTTACATTTTCGTCATCAATTCGTAATTCATTAATATTGGACAATTCTTCGTCATTTTACGTTGTTATTGACTACTGTTTCTTCTTATTAATATATTTGCACGATTCAAAGACTTCAGTGAACGGCCTATTTCGTGTTTTCTGTTTTGAACGTACAGAATCAGAAAGCTTTGGGGTGATATCTATAAGACAGCAAAGCTTCGACAAAAAATTCATTAAAACGTGTCGGCAGCAAGGCAGCAAATAACATTCTTTTATCAACTTCGCTATTAACGAAAAATAGCTGTAAAACCCATTCTCACGTTTTGACAGCCTGTGTTGATTCCCCGTTGGTGATTTTTCTCGTTCCAGTCGATTCTTTCACAGATTTCGGAGGCAAAAACCTGGGATTTTTCAGGTAGTCTGCTTTTTGTTGAAGTTTAGCCAAGTCTTCCCTTTCAACTTGACGTTGCGAAGGCTTCATGAGTTTGCGCCATATATTTTTCTCCTCAATTCGTGCACCATCGTTTTTCTACAATGCCAATAACATTTAATATGAGGAGCATTAAAACCCAGAAAAAAATTAATTTAAAATCTAAACAACAAAATCGATTGATTTACTTAAAATAAAAAGATACTATGGAGATTTTAATTTTGAAATGAATTTGAGGAAGACAACTCCAGTTAGGCCTAGTGAGTGCGATAATGCATCAAATTAATTTTCTGCAGAGGCTGTGAAAACCTTTGGGCACGGAAAAAACCAATTCAAGTTTGCAGATTACCTCATAAGCGGTTTTCACGATAGCATCCGGTAACGAGTGACTGATTTTGAGAATTTCTGCATGATTGCTGGGTAGTGTTGGTTCTTCCGTGGCTCTCTCTAGCTGTCCAGTTTCTTCAGGGAAGTAGTTATCTTCCACAGGAGTCTTTCTGTATCTTTGCATTGAAGATGTTGTTGGCCTTGCGTATTGAGGTGATCCGTCATCTTAACGAAAACATTCATTAATTTCTCTTCGAGAAAGTCTTTTTAACTATGATGCCTTTGACTTTAAAAACATAAGCTTAAAACGCCAGTTAAAAAGCACAGTCATCATAGTGAAAGGTTCACGAGAATCTACAAACTTTTAATAAATTTTTCAATGAAATGTTAAATAGGCCTCCTGAACCGATAAATTTCAAATTAGCATGGAAAAGTTGAAATATAGCAAACAGAAACAGCACCTTATATTATCTTCAAGTTCCGTGTGTTATTCTTAAAAAAGTCTGCAATTTATTACGTCTCTGATTTGCAGTGCAATTCTGTAGATTGAATATGCCAATATTGTGATTGAAATGATTGAAACAGATTAAATTTTTAACTTTATTGCATCAATTTTTTCAAGTAGATGCACACCTTTCATGTCAAATTGTAACTTCCTCTCTTCTTCAATGAAATCTTGAGGGACTATCAGATTGAATCGCCTCAACAGGTGAGAATTTAAGTGGTTGTCCAAATGAGATTGTACTGAAAAGCAATAGAGCCTTTTTTAAAAAGAGGTCTAAATCAAACATATATAAACATTGCCTGTTATATAAAAATCTAATGAGAAATGACATTGACTGTTATATAAAAACCTGCTGTATGCAGATATACCTTTTACTTCATTAGAAAAACATCCAAAGTTTTAACAACAAAAGAAAGGGTAAAACTCCATACAAAAACTGTACAGCTGTACTGGACAAAACTTAGTATGCATGAAACTGAAGTAGAAAACCCCACAAAGCACTAGCATCATTATCTATATCGAGCATTAAAATGCACTTCTTAGCAGATGGCAAAAATTTTGCAAATTAGTGGCATTTCTTTTTAAATCAGGACCAGTTTCACAAATTTTATTAAGATCTATTAAAAATCTAATCTACCAGAAGGCAGCCCCAGCTCTTTAAAAGATGCACATTCATCTGAAGATTTCTTTTCTTGAACTGCCTCATTTTCCCTTGCATTGTTGTAGGCATCTTGCATGTGTTTTTCAATCTTATCAGCATCTTCCATTCTATTTTCCCATTGCTTTTGGATCTGCATTGACAAAAACTTGACACACTTAGTATGCCTTTTTCAGAATTTTCAAAAACATATCAAGTTCCAAGAAGTATGTTCCTTCAAGAGATAGTAACCTGAGATCAATAAAGAAATGGAATTCAACAATTCAACTGGAAGTATCCATTTATGTTTCTCGGATCCAATTAGTGTAATAAAAGAATGATTCAAAGTAGCTACAATATATATATTGTTTGGCACATCAATAAAAAATTTTCAGAAGCAAATTTTCAAACCCTTTTCTACATTAACCTGTTAGCAGATAACAAGAAATAAAAGTAAATGTCTCCTTTACTTTGAAATAGAAATATAGATGAAGGAGCTATTGCAACACCATGTTAGAAGTCTGCAGACTTATGGCTCTAGCAAGAAATGGAATAAATGAGCGAAACCTTTTTACTACAGAAAAAAATGATAACAAGAACAGGAAGACTCTACTGTTAAACAAGATATAACAATAGAGGTGTTACTGATCGCAACAACATGTCAATCAACTAAACAAATAGGTGTCCATTGCTCCTGTGGTAGGGGTAACTAAAACGTAGCAATGTAAATATAATCATCATAATTCCAACACACCAAAAGACATTTTATCAAATCTGGCATTACAAAAACAAAAATCAATGGAGGTATATCACCTGGTGTAGCTTTTCAACATACTGATCATGATACCCAATTTTACCACTTTTTGAAGTTGTCAGATTTCTGACTGTATCTTGGTCAATAGCATCTTTGGTGAAATCTTCTCTAAATATTCTTGTGAGTAAGTGTGAAACATCTTGGCATCTTCCAGATGATGGAGGCTGAACAAACATTGACTTCTCATGGCCATTTGCAAGAAAATCATTTTGACTAATAGATGTCATGATGGCAGGAAACTCTGTCTTTTATTGGTGATATATTACAGTTTTTACATCATTTTTTCTGGCTGAAATGTAAAAATCACAGTGAATTATTTATTTGAAACTTTTGTAGTTAAACGGATGTGCACCATAAAACTTCTCGTATAAATAATTTTCGTGTAAAAATAATACTAGAGTCTGACTGGAGCAGGAAGGGAGAGACAAGGGGCTACACCACCCAGAAGAGCTTTTACAAAGACATGACATGGGTGTAGGTTGTAGCTGACATGGTGGTACAGGAGAGATCTTCCTTCTGTACTGGCTATGGTTATTTCGATTCCTTGATGCACTTATTATGACTCACAAATTTTGTATAAAAAGGGTTTGAAGTTGAAATTAGATCTGTTTGCAAAACCATTGTTTCTTGTTTGGCCACAAAATCTACTAAAGCCCTATTTACATAAATAAAATGTCAAATGAAAATACAACATACAGTTTTTCTACATTGTTGCTGTAAGGTTTTACTACAATCAATAAGAAAATTACAATGAACATTAAGACAATGTAACTCAGTGATACTTGCTATTATGATTTTGGATGATAACCTAACAAGAATTTGAGGCAAAGACACGTAGGTTGTTAATAGGAGGAGGTAGTTAAATCACAAGGCTTTCAACTTTTACAAGTGAATATCGAATGTTCCGTATACTCCATTCCATCATAAAATCCATGTAAGGCTCACACCAGATATACGCCAATAGAAAATAGGGATAAAATGGGAAATTTTTAGTTAACACCGGATATATCCGGGCTATAGCTACATTACTTTCCACATTGGGGACCCCATTCAAACTATTTTTGAAGTTCCATTGTCTGTTTGTTTCACTCAGACACTTATCAGCATTTCATCATACATACTATCAAAAGCAATCTAAGTATCTAAAATAAAAAAAATTAGATTATTCTAAAGGAGCAAAATGAGCAACTTACGAGAAATATTAGTAAGGAGCAAATTTATTTTCCTCTCCCTCTCCGCCATTATCAGCAAGGTTGCTATAGACTCAAAACAACTAGTCTCGTCTTCAGTTCCAGGAAAGAGAGGCTTCATGCTGATTTCATCACAATGGCGACAGTAATGGTGCACACATTCCTGTAATAAATTGACAATTTTAGCTTGAAACGTGAAGAAAATGATTCGTTTTGCCGTCATATATAGAGCGAGAGATGGCTTGGCCTTGTCAGCATCGACCGATCTGGACTCAAGCCTTGATCTGATAGAAAGCAAGAAGCTTTCAAAGTTATTGTCGAAGAAGGCGCGTCAATTTCCAACAAAATGCTTCATGAATGTTGGCAATTTCAATATATTGTAAGGTTTATCGTGTATTAACATTTATTTGCTCATTTTCAGATATTTTAAATTTCCTTCTGACTATATTATACTATTTTAACTATCTTATTATACCAATATCTCCTCGGATAGGAATTCAGTTCCTATATTTCAGTTCAGGCAGGCTTGAAAATTTTCGCTAACAAAAACTCAACCTACCCACAATTCCATGGATCCAAGGCTGCAGCCTCAATTCTCTTCACTTAAAGAACAAAAAACTCCCACTTGTTACATACAAACTGCTTAAAGCTGGGCCTAGGGGTTTTGCATTAGGGAAATTCTAGGAAAGTAGCTTCGCACCAAGTCCTTAAAACGTTTCCATTCTTGCAAAACCATTTCATTGTTGAATGCTGCAAAAGTTAATGGCTCTTAAAAGTGTGGCTAATATGACAATATCATAATTTCCATATCACCTCTTGTCTGACCAGAACTGGGATCCATTCATCTTATTTTGGAGAACACCTTGTAGTTGTAACCTTCAAACCTCTGCTTCAGTGCCTTTGATGACGCAAGGATTACTTTACCCTTAATCTTCCAAACACTCTCCAAATACTTCTGTGCTGAAAAGGGTTGAACAGTAACTTCCACAGCAAGGCACTGGCCGTTTTCCTGGTGCTTTTTTGTCCCCTGCTTTGAAAAACATCTCTGCAACTTCTCAATCATAGCTCACTTTGAATCGGTACATGTAGCTGTTAAGAAACTCTGCATCTGTCCCTATCACATACAGCTTTTCTTTGAGCCTGTATGAGGCTATTTACATGAAGTGGGTTAGCTTGCACTTGTAATTTCACGATCTGAAAAGAAATCAAATTGATTTTTGTAATTGTTGTGAAAACTGATGTTCATCATTATGGCACCAAAAACTAAACAAAATATTGTCAATTTTCACAAAAACCAAAAAAAAGTTTAAAATAAGATGCCAGTCCATCTGAGTGGGATAGATCATATGGAAACCAGCCCACTTCATGTAAACAGCCCCTTATTTGATCTTGAAATTGCAAGAGATACTTCGATTGGCAACAGCATATCAGCTTCAAAAGGGAGTTCCAATTTCAGCAATGGATGACAAAAAATTGTCAACATCTAAAAGTTGCTTTCTGCAAGAGAAATATTTATCACTGGGTGCATCAATTATCACTCCTCTGGGTGCTCAGGTGTTATCATGCACCCACCACGGAAAGCACTGCCATTAAGAGATTTTTTTTCAAATTCTCAATCTGTAGTTGTAGATCAATACGAATGCATACAATCGAAAACAGATAGATTTTGAACTCTTTTTTCATAATAAAATGATGTGAATGGGGCAAATATTGACGAATCTGATCATGAATTCTTATTAATCTTTTGGGTTTCTAAATGTGTGTCATTATCCTTTGTTTGTAAACAGTTGAAATGCTAAAAGTACTTGGTGCTGTTTTATAATGCCATGTCTTTTTTGGGCATTATAAATTTTAGTGACAGCAGTCATTACCCACAGGTATAATCAAATATTACTTATTTCATAAAAATGAATATGATAGCTTGTCTATAAGAATAAAGAATGGCAAGATATTTTGCTTTCAAAACTTGAAATCTTTTGGGACAGCTAGAAAGCTGTCCCAAATCACTGTTACAGTTCACCATTAATGAAAGTAAACTAACACCTTAAAAAGAATCTAGTACGGACAAATTTTATTACTGTATGCTAATATCTCCAGGCAAATCTAAATTGTTTTATAAATCTGTTTGGAGCTCAAGCCACAAACCAGCAAACTGTTTGTATCTAATGGTTGATTTTTTCCCAGCTTTCTTACTGAAAATGATGTGTGTTGTCTGATGATCTGCGAGAAGAGTTATGCAGCTGTTCTTGCATTCAGCTTTCTTGATGACATAAAGAAAGAATTTCTGCAGCAGTACCCAAAGCCAGCAATTGAGCAGACAGTCAGGCCTTACTCTTTTATTGAATTTGGTAAAAACTTGTTCACTTTCATTTATTGTATGCTTAGTTCTATCTTTCTTGCCCTTATGTGGTACTTCAAATCATTTGTAGTATTTGAAATTATGATACATCAAAAATAAAAAGTAGGCTTTCAAATGACCACTATGATATGTTTTATAACTTGGTTGATGCAAAAAAAGACCAACTATTTTTCTCTCCTTTTTTCTCAAGCATCCTTTGTTTTCAATAAACAATACTTTTTGTTCCTATTGTTATCAACTAATAATACCCTTCCATATTTCCTTTAGTACTGAATTCTAATAAGAAGGTCCACTTTTTGTGCATCTTTTGAAATATACTTTTTCTTGAACTCTAGATAATTTTATTCAACGAACAAAGCAAAAATATAACAATCCAAGGTCTCTAACTGTGAGAATAGATATAGGAGCACTTACAAAAGAGCTACAAAGTGATCCACCTTACCAAATAACATATGCAGATATTAGCAACAAAAAGACAATTACAAGTAGTCCTGTTTCAATTAAAGGTAGGAGTTGAATTTTAATTTTTTTATTTGTTGCTGAGATTGTTTTCTTAGTCAAACTTATATCTATGTTAATTTTGAAAATACAAGTATATTTGTTATCAGTGACCAAATTATTTAAATTCATGTTATTATTGCAAAATTGAATTTGTTGTACCACTATTGAATGATTTTCCTGGAAAAAGAAATATGTTAGCAAATATAGCAAAATTTTCAATAAGACAATAACAAGTCTTAAAGCACCAAGAAATATCTTCTTTCAGAGAACATGGAGTCGTTTTCATAGAAATATAAAAACAGCCTTCATTTTTTGCACTAAATTTGAATAAGTTTGGGAAATTTTGTTTTTACAAGAGACTAGTAGCTTGATGTCTTTTAGCTGACTTGGAATAATTTCTAGGCAATTTCTTAGAAAACACAATTTTCAAATGCGTGGCTCATCAAAACAAGGATAAGTTTAAACATTTTTCCATATTTTATCATTATTCTCTTTCTTATTTCATGTCTAGGCTCCGCTCATAAGTTGGCCCCTTTGAGTTGGATTGGTATAGTATCATGTTGTCTTTGTCTGCTCTGTGGTATAATGAATCTCATCAGAGTTATACCTTTTGTAAGTGAGCATGGAAATGAACCACAAGAAGAGGTGATAACCTGTATTTCAAAATAATTGTCACTACGTTAAAGCAATGTCCTTTTTACATTTTTCTACATACAATACTACATACATTTTACCACATACATACATTGCCAAGCTTATACCTCTTCACTGCTTCTAGTTTGTTGCCATTGTAGGTATTCATTGGTTACGTTCAAGTGCTTTTCTAATGTTCCAGGAGCTTTTTGAAGTATTTTCAGCAATTTACAGTTACAATTATTTGATAATATGTAAACAATTGAAAGAAAGTTACCAAATTCGTGTGGAAATTATAATTTGCCAATCATTCTGCTTAACTTTAATTTGTTTCTTAACAATAACTATTTTTGTAGAGTGGATGGGTGTTAAAGGCAATGTCACTCCTTTTTTCTGGAATTCTTAATGGATGCCAGGTTAGTCAATTTTTGGTGATCTTGAAGGCATAACTTTGACCGTTTGTTGATCAGTTTTTTATTATAAATCATTTTTTTATTATAAATCATTTTATTATAGTTTTGATCCTGTTTTGTCTACTTTGAAGTAGGTGGCCGGATTTTTATATCCCCTGAAGCAATTTGTTTCACCCTGTCTTGCCATTTCTCTCAATTCTGAGCATCTTCGTTCTTCAAATCATTCTTTTTCAATTCTTCCTCCACCTGTTTTTATTTTCCTGGTTCTTCCTCTCCTTTTTGGACAATTAACTTAAAATGTCACCGCCTTTCTTAAAACATCGCCCTCTTGTCTTCTCAAAATATATTCATATCATCGCATTCTATTCGTGTATGCTAGCCTATCCACCTTTTCTTTCACACCCAACATGTTCATTAATTTATCAGTGTTATTTTTGTTCTTCTGTTTCCCCCTGCATTTCGTTCTCACCATGGCTCTCTCAACCCTTCCCAAAATTGCTTTATCGTTTCTTCTTACCACCACATCCACTACCATATAGCAGAGCTGATCTTACACAGCTTCTATAGATCCTTCCTTTCATCTTCCTCTTCCAAGCAGTAATTCCTGGCATTTACTTTTTCCCATCCACACCTTTAACACCACTAAACCTGTCACTCAGGTAACAGAAGCCTAGCACCGTTTCCACCTCTTCCCATAATTCTTCAGTAGGCACTACTTGTTTGTTTTTTAGAGAACTAGAGTCAGCCTTTTCATTTTTGCATATCTCCCACGAGTCACATTGTTGTTTTCATATGTTTTCATTTATAACCTTGTTGTGAATCTGGGTTGTTGATTTAGTCTGCATGCAAAATACAGTCATGTCTCTTTCTCTTCGTTAATGAAAACTACTCAACTCGAAGGATTTTCGAGACACTAAAAAAAGCCAAAGACCTTACAATTAAAAGGCCTTCAATTTTTGATATAACAAAAATAATTTTTAATCGGCATTATAGTTGCTATTTTGCATTCTATCTTTGCACATTGTTGAAAGTATATATTTGTTTGTTGTCCGTGAAGCAACTCTGCTGTCGTGGTCTCTTATTCCATTACAATTTGTTCAGCTTCTGTCATGGCCTGCGCGCGCTGGAAAATACATTGAAGTTGTGTCAATCAACAATAGGCAGGAACCACGCCAGACAATGAGCATCCCAATGTAAAATCATAGTCAATAGGAAAACTCAGTCATAGTAAAAACTCAGTCATAGTAAAAACTCATAATGTCATATGATAAACCAAAAGTTGCAAAAGATTCTCTAATTCGCCCGGAGAGGCGGACAGGTTTTTTAGCTGGCCATTTCTTAAAACAAATTGCAATCAAGGCATTCACTTTTCCCATCAACGGGGTCATATTTGTCCAATTGGGGCCATATTGGTCTGGAAAGTCATATTGGTTTGGGATTTCTACATTACTTAAATTCAATAGAATAGACGTTTTTTCAATTTTCTTTACGATTAATCTTCTTTGTGGTTCTTTGATTTTTGAATGTAATCATTTGAATTCAAGCCGTCTTTGTTTTTAGACACAAAAGTGTTTTGATCACTTAATGCCGGTATTTAAAGGTGTTCATCTCGTCTCACTATTTAAGACTCATTGCTAACAATGGGCCTTTTCGAGCGTGGCGACGGTCCAAACAATGGCAGTAGATTTCTACGGAATAACCAAAATTCATTTCAGACAGTCTAAAAATGCATTATGGGATGCTTGCGTAGCGCAATGGCTCATTGTTAGTTAGCAATGAGTATTTATAAATCTGTAGGGCTAATATCTCAGCCAAAAGATATAGCCCCACAAGCTTTCCAGAAATAATTTCATTGCCAGAACAACTTGAACGTGTCCGGATTCAAGTTTGAACGAAGTATGTTTTACTTCTTCAAAATTAAATTCATTTTATCGTAATTGTTTACCATTGCTTTCATAAGTTTTTTTAGAATTTTTCTACATTACTGGTTTCCCCGAATTTCTTTCTCAAAAATTCTTTCCAAAGTCATTGAGATAGTGCATCGTTGCTTATATACTGAATAAAGTAGCAGAAAAAAAGCAACTAGCTCTACATACAGAACCGCCACAGTCGCGCTTTATCCACATCTCATATTATGGTTCATTCTTCCTCCGACGCTAACCAGACCCAGATGCGCCAATTTCGTGACCTATTCTTTGATTTTCCAGATGCGCCAATATTCTTTGATATTTTTTTAAAATTCAAGAATTCTAATTGTCTTGTTTGCAGAGAAAAACAAAGTTGACAGCTTTTATCCTGTGCCTCCATGTTGTATTATTATATTTTTCTTGTTTTGACAAATATGCAAAGGCGTCATTTTCCCGTCTAACCATTGATTGTTTCAAACATTCCCTCTGCCTAAACTTTTGGAAACTGCTGTTTAAATTCATTTTTGAAATTGATGTCCCAGAATACCTCTTTTCTCCTACCCTGGGTACCAGAGCCCCATGAATCCGGGGATAAAGTATTTTGGACAGCTGCAGTGGCAAAGAAAGTTTTCTATGCCGAGAATCTGACACCCAGGGTACTTTCCTTTCTCCAAAACGCTTACAGATAACTTGAACTTGAACAAGTCAGTACATCAGAAAATCGTGAAAATCATCAACAAATTGCATTTTTTAAGCTTCGCAGGTTGAATTAGCTATTATACGCTACTCTCTTTTTTCTAGTGCTATTTACTGATGTATCCGGTGAATTGGAGACAACGACTTAACATCATAGCTTGCATTACCAATATATCAGTCATTCTGCTGCTGAGGGATTTAAGGAACAGTTTTGAACTTTTGTGGCATCTTGCAGTGTCCCTGTTCATCACAATACAGACTTGGCTTCGGCCTGAACAAGGAAAACTTCCTGATTATAATGTTTGACCTTCCCCCCTTTTTGCAGCGTTTGAAGAATAGATATAGTTTTATTTTGTTGTAATGAATATTAAATGGGGAGCATTGCATTTTTTAATACACTTGGTCAGTCTCTTTGACTGCTGTTCTGAACGCTTAGAACTATGGAGTACTGTGTTCATGGAGCAGCGTCCATACTCCTTTTTCTTGTTGTCTTTTGCAAAGTGCAGGCTCGTTGAAATTTGTTGACAATTATAACCAATTATAACTAGCAGTAATGAAGAAGACTTAGCACGTCACGATATATTTATTCCTTGAAACAATTGTTGATGTCTCACGTCTCTGCCTTAATGGGAACATCCTTTTCATCAGAATCTCACTTCAGTGACAAATAAGCATGCTCCAATTAAAAAGCGGAGTATAAAGGAAATGAAAGTCAAGGATAAACCATGGATAATTAATAGAATACTGAAGATGATGAGTATCCGGGACCGAATTCTGCAGAAAATAAAGAAGGAGCATACGCCCTGATGACCTCAAGTTGTATAAGAAGTTTAGGAACCGTGTATCCAATGAATTAAAAGAGAGTAAAGCAAGGTATTTTCATAATTATTTTTCTATCAATAGTCAAAATATGAAAAAAATGTGGTCAGGTATCAAGACAATAATTTTTCATAAGTCCTCCACTTCTTTCCTCGATCAACAAAATCAAAGATAAAGATGGAAACTTAACGTCATCTTAACCATCTAAAATGTCTAACATTTTTAATAACTTTTATGTCAATGTTGCTCATGGTATAAGAAAGACAATACCGCTAACTCCAAAATCTTCTCTTGAATATTTATCTAACAGAACCTGTAATTCATTTTTCCTTTCTCCAGTTACTTTGTTAGAAGTTAATGATCTAATCAATATTTTAAGTCCTTCCAAATCTGTAGGCCCTAATAGTATACCAATAAAATTGCTTAAAGTTATTGGACACTCTGTTTCACCACTCCTTGCTCTTCTTGTTAATCAGTCCTTCCAGTCTGGAATTTTCCCTGATAAACTCAAAATTGCCAAGGCTATTTCTCTTTTCAAAAAAGGAAATCCTGAGCTCCCAATTTCTCGTCTATCTATTTTCAGCAAGATACGTGAGAAGCTAATGTATAGACGACTTAATAGATTCCTTGAAATCCATAATATTCTTTATTCTTTACAATTTGGATTTCAAGAAAACCACTCAATTGATCATGCCCTTGTGAGTTTAACAGAAGCTATAAGAAATACACTTGATAACAAAAGACTTGGTTGTGGTATTTTCATTGATTTGCAAAAGACTTTTGATACAGTTAATCATAAAATTTTGCCTTCAAAATAGGAACATTATGGTATATGTGGATGTGCCCTTCAGTGATTTAGATCATATCTATCTGATTGAAAGCAATATGTTTCTGTCAATGGAAGTAACTCTGACTTACTTTCAATTACTTGTGGTGTACCACATGGTTCTGTACTGGGTCCATTACTTTTCCTTATCTATATCAATGATCTACCCAATGCTTCTAAGAGACTTACTTTTTATCTCTTTGCTGATGCCACAAACATCTACTATGAATCCAAAGATTTAACTGATTTGATGAAGATTGTCAACAAAGAGCTGCGATAAAGAAATGGCTTGATGCAAATAAACTATAATTAAACATTGATAAAACCAACTACATCATCTTTCATTCTTCCTCTCTAAAGTTCCTTCTGGTCCCGATATCAAAATAGGGAAAAAACAGATTAAAAGAGTAAAGTTTGTTAAGTTCTTAGGTATCCTCCTGGATGAGCATCTTTGCTGGAAATATCATCTCAGTGAACTCTCTAAAAAATTAGCTAGAACATGTGGAATGTTTTTCAAAATTAGAAACTTATTTCCATTAGATGTCCTAGTTTGCTTGTACAATGCTTTGTTTTTTGTTCTTCCTGCAATATGGTCTGATTGTTTGGGGTCAAACATATGCATCATACATCGATCCAATTTTCAAATTACAGAAGAAAGCTGTCAGAGCCATCTTATTTCAGTCTCGCACGTCTCCTTCTCTTCCAATCTTCAATGATCTTAAACTTTTGAAACTTTCTGAACTTTTTGAACTCCGATTATTAACCTTTGTTTTTGATTCTGTTAATAAAACTTCACATACTTGCTTTCATGACTTTTTCCTACTTTATTCGTCTGTTCATCAGTATTCCACAAGACAGGCCAGTAAAGGTGACCTATACATGTTTCAAAAAAACAGTCTTCAATATGGTCTCAAGTCTATTAAGGCCCTATTACACTATCACATTCAGGTACAATTTGCTTCACATTTTTTCTATGATCGCGGAAAACGAGAGAATGTGATAGTGTAAGTCACCGCTTCAAGTTGCTCGTATTTGCTTGTTGAGTGGAAATTTAATCCATATTGAGGAATTTTAATCCATCTTGAGAAAAAAACTTTTGATCGCTGTTCAAAAGATTTCCATCATCTTCAAGTTTTTCAAAGGAGCCGACAATTAACATAAAATATTGCTCACGTGACGAACGTTATAGCGCGCAAGTTTGTTTTGAGTAGGAGTTGAGTGAAATTGAAAAAGTGGAGGATTCGGAAAACGAATACCAAGAAAGAAGAAAGAAGAAGGAAGGCTGCAGCAGCATTGATAATTTATTCTTTGGTCAAAAAGAAGGACAAAAATTCCTTGAACGTTTCTTTGGTGGGCCTTCTGTTGTTGTTCGCAACTGTGGCGTCGCTGTTTCTTCAACCTCTTCATCCAGAATATCTGGATCTTCATTTCTAAGAAAAACAAACAAGCTTACTTGTCCCGTACGTTCATATTGTGCAATGAATCGAAATTGGCCTAACTGATCATATATCCTTGGTACATTTTAATCTTGGTACATTTTAACGGCTATGTTTTAAACATCTGAAAGATTCGATGACAAATTTCACAAACACTCATGTAGATTTTTATTTGCTTAACTTGCTTATCGAAATGGGATTTTTAAACAGACTTATAAAAAGTAAATTTCCTGAACGCGGGAGGTTAGGTTGGAAAGCAGGAGAAAGGAAGAAGAACTCTCAAATAGGGAGGCTCCCGCCCAAATCAGGAGAATTACAACTTTTGTGAATATGGAATTGTTAATTAAAGCCTTGGCTTATTCAGTTTGTAAACAGGTACCAGCTCACAAAGTAAACTTTTACAATGCAAAAGAACAATGCAATCGTACCATCCATATCAGACAAATGTTCTCTGCTTCTTTCTGAGACGCAAGAGCGTTTTTATTTCATTGCATATGACTGTATAAATGGTGTGCATACACTCTCTTTTCTAAGAACACACTTTATAAGAACAATGAGGCTCGATTTGCCGAAGGGACAAGGCTAGAACATGCCCAGCTTTACCCAGCTACTGTACCGACATTCTCCTGACAAAAAAACTTTGATGAGTTTGTCCACAATCATTGCTTTATTTTCAAACTTTACCCAGTAAAACGTCTCAGAAACTATATACAGCATGTAACTTCTCAAATATTTGCAAAATATCACTCTTGAAATAAAAGCAATTTTAAGAACATTTGAGCCTAAAATTATCAAAAAGTTAAGAACATCGAGGCTCGGCATTATCTGCTTCTTTTAAAAAAAGAGTTTATGCCTCAATTGGATCACTCGGTGTCATTACAATCAAAGGCACAAATAAGAAATAACCAAATAGGCCTTTGGTCCGGCTTTTTTAAAATCAAAAATATTTGTATTGAGACTAACTTTCTTGCAAATGTGATTAACTTTCAACCAGAATCGACCGAACTTTGTCAATAGATGTTATTAGGAGCCATAAATTCTATCCTTCGGCCAGGAATCAAGATCGTCTTTCTCAGATCAGAATTTCGTTTCGTATTGACTGTTAAACCATCTCCCCTAAGCTCACATAGCTTGCCCCCTGCAACGTCAAAGGAGCTGAAATAGTTGGAACATTTGGGAAGGACCAGGTGGCGTGTTCGGGTTCCGAAGACTTAGGCCAAGAATTACTGCAAGTTATTGTGTAACTCAGATGTGCATCAAACTCGATAACCGACTGAATACAATTTACATAAACATAACGTTGAATATAACATGTAATTCTGGTTGACATCAATCAATATGTAGATATCAACAAGTACATCAACAAGACATAACATAGCAAACACAAACTGTACAGACACAGCTAGACAACATAGTTATAACAGGACAGCATTCAAAGTTATAAATCATCACATACTGACATGGCACCAAAACCCGGCTAGGGCCAACATCGCACCTTCCCCCCTCTACAATTGCCACACTGCTTGCCCCTGCTTTTGGGTACAGGGACAAGTTTGTGCTAATATGTTACAAAATCCCCAAAGCGAAGGGGAGGGTTTATGGTCTGGCGAAGATGTGGGGATCTGGCATTACCCCCTGCAACACCTTGTACCTGTTGCCCTATTGCCACTTCGGGCTCTACAAACACAATACCCGGGGTTTAGGCACAGAATAGGAAATAGGCAGAAGGGTAACTCTCGTCGGTTCCTTTGTTGTTTTTGAAGCCTGAGTCAACAATAGAATTCCTTAATTCCCCTTTAACCTCAATTTCATTAGAAGAACTTAGCCATGACAAATTATCATTCCTTAATCAGATATAAACCAATTTTGATACATAATTGAATTTGTTCACTATCATGGGGCATTTCGTCTCAGTTGTCTACTTTCATTCTTTTTTAAAATTTCCCCGACATATACATGCTAAGCCTCGTAGAAGTTAACGCACGCGCTAGTTTTTTCAGGCTTGACCTGATAGGCAGGAGTTCCCCTTCTGCCTAATTCCTATTCTGTGGTATAGGCAAACCTAAGTCCAATGGAATAGGGCAGGCCCGGAGCTGATCATGGTGAGCTATGATACGCTTCCCAGTGTTTGACTGCAGTACATAGTTCACCCCATTTTGGCTACAAATTTTGTATGGGCCAATGCATTTCTTCCCAAATTTCCATTTCTTGGGACGAGCCAGCCACACTGCTTGCCCCGCTACAAATTGTGTCCAGCTAGAGTGGCCCTGCTCATACTGACTAGCTGCTACTAGGTTTTTATGTGCTACCTGATTAGCCAATTGGATAGCTTTGCGTAAAGACTGGCTATAGTCTGACTGACTAGAGGGATTCTGCAGGGGTACACCAAGTTCTACTTCAATGGGCATCCTCCCAAATACCATCTCATATGGGGATTTGCCTGTTGACTCATGTACGCTGGTATTATACGCAAAAACTGCTTGGTCTAGCCACTTATCCCAGTCTAAGCTATGATCTGAAACAAAGTTAGTAATGATGGTCTGTAATGTGCGATTTTGTCGTTCCTCTAGTCCGTCGCATTGGGGGTGCAGGGGCGAAACTACCGTGGGGGTGTGGGGGGGTGTGACACCCCCCCAATCCAAAAAATAGTCGATTTCGCAGGGCAATCGAAGATTTCGCAGGGCGCCAAGAAGAGCTTTGTTGCCACGCAGAAATGCCACCTTTGAAGTTCGTAAAGGGCCGTTCACGAATTTTGAAATGGAAATATTATATTTGTTATGATATGACCGGGAGACTACCGATTTCAGAGGTCATCTTCCGACCTCCCGACAATTAAAAAATCCTCCCGATTTTTGAAAAAAACTTATAATAAAAATAAAAAGCTGGTATAACATAAAGAAGAATCAAGATCACTGTCAACAGTGCAACTTTTTCATAACGGACGAAACGATTCGATGAATTCACAACATTACAATAGTTACGACATCGGATAAAGCCAGACGCCAGACTGCCAGAAGCCAGACGCCAAACTTTTTAACATTTGTTGTAGAAATTATCTAGTGTACCAACACCAGAACTATCTGCTGGTTCAGAGATTTAATGTTAAAGTGCCAAGAGAACACTAAAGGAAACACAACAGTTGTATCCAATCCTTCTTCATTGTACACCTCAGTACAGATTAACTATCTCTCTATCGCCGTCTCTATCCCCCTTACCTTACAATCGGACGATTTATATACTTTTAATCTACACGAACTAAATATGTCTACCAATCAGCATTTAGAAAAACAGGATACAAATTTTACGTCAAAGATTTTTTATGAATAACTTTAAAATGCATATACGGATTAATAAATGTCGTTAAGCTGTTTGTTTAGACCGATGAATAGCTTGAGTCAGCCCATGATTAGCCTGAGTCAGCTCAAAACGCCGTTAACCAAGTCTATTACGGATACCTACACAAACATTAATTACGCAAGCAACTCTATGAATTAACAAGAAGAAAAAACAAATCTCTACACGATAAGCATGTACTGCAGTGCTATATTAAATGCGCTAGCATCAATGGAAAATCCCAACACACTCCCCTCCTTGACTCACTCTGAGTCAAGCATGACCTTGTTTTCCATTCTGCGTCCTTGGCTGCTGCTCGCCTAGCCCTAGAAGGTGGTAAGTATTCACCCCCGTCCTCCTCTCTCTTTTCGCGATCTGTTTCTTGTCTACGACTACCTACGTCTGCACATCTAACTTCAAATGGATACAACTTCTGCAATGGTCTATTCAAAAACTCTGGCTTACCCTTGCCTCCAATACGTAACTTAGCACCTCTTACCACTCCGTCTTTTCCGGAAATCAGTTCTTTAACCAATCCCATCTTCCAATTACCTCGTTTTACATTGTCCTCTTTGATCAGTACGATATCTCCAATTTTCGTCTCAGCGTTATTTCCCTGACTCGATCTGTGTACTTCTCGTAAATCTGCAAGATATTCCCGTCTCCATCGAGACCAAAAATGATCTAATCGTTTAACGAGAAATAAGAAACGTTTGCTGTAGGAAGGAATGTCATCGTCAAATAAATCTGTTTTACACTCAACCCCTTCAGCCAGTTGTGGTAACCTTCTACCGTACATTAAATGGAATGGTGTCAATGCTTCAAAGCCTATCTCATCATATACATACGTTAATGGTCTGGAATTAAGTGACCATTCAATTTCTATCAACAATGTATTTAACTCATCAAAAGATAACCTGGAATTCCCTAGAGTCTTTCTTAAACTTCTCTTAACGCTACCCACTAATCTTTCAAAATGGCCTCCCCACCAAGGTGACCTTTCAAGGTTAAATCTCCAATCTATCCTTCTGGCTTGTAAAAAAGAAAAAACTGCATGATCTTGTGCGAGTTTAAGCAAGAATTTATGTGTAAACTTGAATGTCTTAGCATTATCTGAGTTTATCAAATGTGGTGTTCCTCTACGCGCAGTAAATCTTCGCAAACTACGAATGAATGTTGGCCCTGACAAATCGTCTATCAAATCTAAGTGCAATGCCCTTGAAGTACAGCAAACATACAATACAACATAGCACTTTTCCATAGTCGAAGATTTTGTCTTATGGTATAACGGACCAGCAAAATCTATCCCAACATTCTGAAAAGGTGGCGTCCTCTGGACCCTAAAGTCTGGCAAATCTGCTACTGGTGGAACGGAATAAGATTTACTTTGAGCTTTTCTACAGGTAATGCAATTCCTTAAAATTTTCTTAACTGTCTGCCTTCCTTGTGGAATCCAATATTTGCAACGAATTTCTGCTAATGTCGACTTCAGACCATTATGCATAACAATTTCATGACAAGAACGAACAATTAACTCCGTGATCTTACTTTCTTTTGGTAAAAGAATAGGAAATTTCCCTTCAAACTCCAAATCTGAGTTTCCTAGCCTTCCCTTACACCTCAAAACATTATTTTGCTTGATCAATCCTAGATTGGTACATAACTGTTTGTATCTGTGATCCTTGGGAATAAGTGCTTGTGCATCAATTATCCAATTTTGTTCTGCACTCTGAATTTCTGAAGCACTGAGTTTTTCTAAATTCGCAGGAAGCTGATTATGAACTTTTGCTTTTAAGTTGGCAACAAAACGCAATACATAAGCAGTTACTCTTAAAAGGCGACCTAGAGAGCTAAACCTGCTGATGTCAATAATTGCTGACATACCTGTTTTCTTCTGTTCCACAGCTGTTAGAACCATTGCTGATTTCTTTTGTTCCTCTACTACATCCTGGGTTTCACTTAACAGCAGTTCATTGGGCCAATGTTCTGCCCCCTTCAATAACCAATGTGGTCCATGCCACCAAAGTCTATTTTCAACCAATGCACTCCCTTGAACCCCTCTTGAACCCAAGTCCGCTGGATTGCAAGCACCAGGGCAATGTCCCCAGTTCTCTTTCTCTGACACTTTCAATATTTCATCGACTCTGTGTTGTACAAACTGCTTCCAGTAACCTGCATTGTTTATCCAATAAAGAGCAGTCATGCTGTCAAGCCAATACCTACATCCTACTATGTTTAATTGTGACTTCAAGGCTGAAAAAACAACTTTCATTAGAGTGGCCAAAATTCTGGCTGACATTAATTCTAAACGTGGAATGCTTAGTTTTTTCAATGGTGCAACACGAGTTTTTGCACAGATGAGTTGAGAGTGTATACCCTTGTCTGATTCATAGACCAAATAAACCATGGCACTATATGCATGCTGACTTGCATCTGCAAATCCATGTAGCCAACAATTTTTGACATTCATAGCATCCAAGTCATACAAGCAACGTGGTAAAGTTATTTTTCCAACAGTTTTCAAATCATTAACAATTTTCTCCCACCTACATTTCTTGTCTTCTGGTAGCTTCTCATCCCAATCATATTTTTCCACACATAAATCTTGAAATAGAACCTTTATACTTACTGTGACTGCACTAACAAGTTCTAGTGGATCAAAAAGTTTGGCTAAACAACTCAATATCTTTCTCTTTGTGATCTTCTCACCTTCCATCACTTCAGTTACTTTACTTAGGTCAAACTCAAAAGTGTCATTCAAAGTGTCCCATGATATACCTAGAACCTTTGTTCTATCTTCAAATAATTTACTACCTAGCATTTCTTTAGCATAAGTTTCTTCATTTTCTTTAGTCTCTGAAACTTGAAAATCATGCTTAGAGAATTCTTCTACCAAATCTAAACTACTACTCTTCCATTTTCTGAGGTTGAAACCCCCTTCTTTCATTCTTTCCACAGCTTTCAAGTATAGATTTCTTGCATCAATCAAATTTGAAGCTCCGAACACTAAATCGTCTACATAGAAATTATCAGCAAGTTTCATAGCAAAATCTGGGTCCTCTTCCTTATATTTGTTAATATGGAATCTTAACACAGCATTCAATAGAAATGGAGATGAATTTACCCCAAAGACAACTCTTTTAAAGCGATAAACTTCAACAGGAGAATCCTCATTATGAATGTCCTTGACCCATAAAAATCTCAAAACATCTCTATCTGATTGATCTATTTCCACATTCAAAAAGGCTTTTTCAATATCTGCTACCATAGGTACTTTGAACTCCCTAAACCTTAACAATATATCAAATAACAAGGGTGTGAGTGGTGGGCCTACATGTAAACAATTATTAAGTGAGGTACCTGTTTTTCCTTCCTTTGATGAAGCATCATACACTATCCTTACTTTTGTGGTCTCTGCATTCTCTCGAACAACGGCTTGATGCGGTAAATAATGTTGTCTCTCACTGGCTTCTAACTCTGCAACTTTCTCAATAACGCCATCTTTCAATTGCTCTTTAATAATGTTATCATATGTTTGCAGCACCTCTGGTTCTTTCTTCAATTTTCTTAGCTGCCCTTTCAACCTGCAAAGACTGTTCGTAAAATTAGATGGAAGGGGTTTATGCCCCACCTTCCAAGGCAATTTAACAGAATACCTTTCGCCTGTAAAGGAAACATTGTCAAGCAAATCATCATGAACTTCATCTGTATCTCTTATGCCAATTGTCTCCAAATCCCATAATTTCTGTACCTCATTATCCAAAGACGATTTAACCTTATTTGCAGGTGAAGAATCAAGAATGAGATTAACACTAGAATTCTCACAAGAAGCAACTTTCATACCAATTAATGGTCCTGACAACACCCATCCAAGCTTCGTTTGCACAGCCACAGGCTCTCCTGGCTCCCCTCGTATAACTGTATCCCCTTGCAGCTCATACATGAAATCATTACCAATTAAAACATCAATGGTCAAAGATTCTTGCTTAGCTGAAACATCTGAGAACCATAATTTAGTAAGGTGTTGAAATTTATGCTTAACAATCTCTGGATGCTCATTTCTAATTTCTGAGATATGCTCAACTACAAAGGCTTCTACACTTGTTGGTTTACTACCTTTCACTGGATACAACTTGAGTTCTACTACATCTCTCAGACTCTCATTAACTCTGGTGGAACCAAATGTAGTAATTCCTAAGCGCTCTTGCTTAATGGGGCTCAGTCCTAAGCGATCAACAATGTCCTTCGTAACGAAGGTCCTATGGCTACCTGTATCGAAAAGCACGCGTGCCCTAACAACTTGTTTGCCTTTTAAAACCGCTTGTGCTGTCTGCAATGCTACGCTCCCCCCGTTACCTACATTTCCTACGCAAGAAGTTGTGCTAGCAAGTGGGGTGGGTACTGATGGCACAGAAAACTTAGATTTTACTCTATCTACTTTACCGTTATCACATAAAGACGAATGGTGCTTTTGTTTACATTTAAAACAAACGAGATTCGAGCGGCAATCGATACATTTATGGTTTCTTCTTAAGCATAAAAAACATTTACCATACTTAAATACGAGCTTCTTACGTTCTCTTACATCAGTTACATTTTTACAGTCATTTTCTTCGTGACTCCCACGACAAAATGTACAAAACAGCCTTTTCTCTTGAAATTCAGCATGTTCTGCAGCATGCAAAGCACTTCCGCTCATCGGGTTTTTCCCTGCAAACCTCGATTTGACATCAATGTCTCGCCCTCGCGTTTCTTTAAATATGGGCTGGTTTCGTTCCCTTATTTCTAGTTCATTTTTAAATGCTCCTAGAAAGTCTTCCATGACCCAGTCATCTTGCTTCCTAGTACCCCTAATCATATTCAAACGAACAACATCTGGTATTTTTTCCATAAGGGTCGGAACAACGATGCAAGAATAATTGTATTGGTCAACACCCAACGCTTCTAGTCCCCGAAAATGGGTCTCTAAACTATCGTACAAGTCCCTCATTTTTGCAACGTTCCTTTCATTAAATACTGGTTGCAAGCTCATCATGTCCTTTATATGAGCTTGTTTTATCAAGGACGGTTTCGCAAATCTTTCCCTTAGCAGATCAATTGCTGTCGCATAATTTCTTTCAGTTAGCTCTAACCCTGAAATTACTCTGCTAGGTGAATCTTCTAAATAGAACTTTAAATAGGCAAACTTATCAATCGTTGAAAGTTCATCATTCCCATGAACGGCACTAACAAAACTGTCCCAAAACTCTGACCATTCTTGGGGCTTTCCGGAAAACTTCTTAAGTTCTAATTTTGGCAACTTCGCCCTTACTTTCCTTGAAGATTCATTTAAACTGAGGCTATCAACTGAAATATTCGAGTTCTTTCGTCGTGTTGATTCTTCAGGCAATAAACATTCTTGAACGTAAAGAATAGCAGAATTTACCTTTTCTTGGAAGCCTGCTGAATCCTCGATCTCTTTGCTGATAGGGTCAACGCCTTCGGTTTCGGATTCGGTTTCTTCGTCTGCTATCAGTTCCAAAATCTTTTCATCTAAGACCTTCAACGTGTCTCGTTTCTCTTTAAGCTGAATTTCCATCTGCTTCAGCTCCTTTTCGTCGCCCTTGCGCTCGTCTATTTTTCCAATCTGTCTCGTCACATATGCTCGATGACCTCTTCTTATTTTCTTCAGTTTTCCGATTTCCATTTTCTCTTCCTTTAACTATCCCTGGATCGGTGGACCACGATGTAGAAATTATCTAGTGTACCAACACCAGAACTATCTGCTGGTTCAGAGATTTAATGTTAAAGTGCCAAGAGAACACTAAAGGAAACACAACAGTTGTATCCAATCCTTCTTCATTGTACACCTCAGTACAGATTAACTATCTCTCTATCGCCGTCTCTATCCCCCTTACCTTACAATCGGACGATTTATATACTTTTAATCTACACGAACTAAATATGTCTACCAATCAGCATTTAGAAAAACAGGATACAAATTTTACGTCAAAGATTTTTTATGAATAACTTTAAAATGCATATACGGATTAATAAATGTCGTTAAGCTGTTTGTTTAGACCGATGAATAGCTTGAGTCAGCCCATGATTAGCCTGAGTCAGCTCAAAACGCCGTTAACCAAGTCTATTACGGATACCTACACAAACATTAATTACGCAAGCAACTCTATGAATTAACAAGAAGAAAAAACAAATCTCTACACGATAAGCATGTACTGCAGTGCTATATTAAATGCGCTAGCATCAATGGAAAATCCCAACATTTGTTGTTGTTTATTCATCATAAAAGATAACCTTTCTTATAATTTCAAACTAATCTAAGTGACATAAAATTGCCAAAAATTTTTGTAGGAGTTAAATCGGGGTTCGCATGGGTTCGCATGGGTTCGCACTGATTGCAAGAAAACATTTCCTATAAAAATATAATCATAATTGTGCACAGTGGCGTTTCTAAGCCCAGAACTTTTTCGGCCTCTTCATTTGTCCCCCCTCACTTTCTAAGAAAGTTCTTCGATATTACTGACCTATTGATTACGAAGAACTGTTTTTCTATTAACATATTACAGACAGAGAAAATAAAGAATCCTGAGTCATTTTGAGGCCTCAGAAATGACAAAATGTCAGGAGCTTCCGGGGGCTTCGTCCCCTGGACCCCTACCAGGGCGATGCCCTGGACCCGCTGGGGGGCTCAGAGCGCTCCCCAGACCCCCAGCTCTAATTTTTCGCTCGCTCCGCTCGCGATGTCCCCCGCTTTTCTTTCTCTACAGGTTGGAAGGTATGGAAACTGCACATTTCTGTTTAGGAAAAAAAATTCTCCCAATCAAAACAACATCTTCCTCCGTCATTCACAACTACGTGCAATCTGAGATGAAAGGTTGCCGTTTCTTTCCTTCCCCAACGTCTAACACTAGAGTTTTAGCATGACATCCCCCTTCCTATTTTTCCCAATAAACAATCATATTTTCAATAAACATCAGTTCTTTTAGCACAATAGTATTTTGCTAAACTTTTGTCTGAAAGATGCTTTTTAGCCCTTTTACAAGGTATAATTTCAAAAAAATTTTTCACGTCGGACCCAACCATGGTGGGTCCTCCTACCTCACTAAACTCGACTTTTAGCCCCACTGGGCTAAATTTTGTTGCACTGTCTACATCATGTACCCCCAATTAGCTGTTTATTAGCTTAATTTTGCAAACCAACATTAAATGAAGTGAATATAAAAAAACAATTCACGCTCACGTAGAGAAATAGAAATTTCATAGGCAATGAAGTTTCAAGTTTGTTTCTATTGCTTAGAAGTTTGTCCTTGGTAAAGACCAGTGTACACTGGTAAAGTTTTCACTAGTAACCTATAGACAAACCGTTGCTACTAGGTCTGCAGGGCACCACTCAGTTTTGCAGGGCAGAAACCCTTTTCACCCCCCCAAAACTATTGGCCAAGTTACGCCCCTGTGGGGGTGGTATGTTTAGCTCACCATGATCAGCTCCGGGCCTGCCCTATTCCATTGGACCCAGGTTTGCCTATACACCCATCTGAGGAAACCCCGGGTATTGTGTTTGTAGAGCCCGAGGTGGCAATAGGGCATGAGGTACAAGGTGTTGCAGGGGGTAATGCCAGACCCCCACATCTTCGCCAGACCATAAACCCTTCCCTTCGCTTTGGGGATTTTGTAACACATTAGCACAAACTTGTCCCTGCACTCAGCTGATTGTGAAAAAACAGCTTTTAGTACTCCTGGAGGATTATATGAATTTTTGCGCCTTCCATATGGCCTGTCCGATGCCCCTGCTACCTTTTCGCGTGCTATTGGAATTGTTTTGCCAGGACTAACTTATGCAGTGTCTGTGTTATTTTGATGATGTCATCATTTTTTTCCAAAAACATGTCTGAACACTGTAAGCGCTTAACTTCAGTTTTAAACCGGTTTCGCCAGCACATCCTGCGAGTTAAGGCTTCAAAATGTTGATTTGGTGCAGACAAAGTTGTTTATTTAGGCCATACTGTTTCACATGAGGGCATTCATACTGACCAAAGGAAGATTGGGGTAATTAAGGCTCTATCTGCACCTTCCAATTTGGAAAGTTTGCGCTCATTTTTAGGTCGGGCAGGATATTATCGCAAATTTATTCCTGATTTTGCCACTGTCTCTGCTCCCCTCACTGCATTAACCAAAAAGGGTGTTAAATTCCGGTGGACTGACCAACAACAGAATGCTTTTCAAACTTTAAAACAGAACCTCTTCTCTGCTCCTGTCCTTGCATACCCTGACTTTGATAGGCCATTTTTGCTACAGACTGATGCTTCAGATGTTGGACTTGGGGCCGTGTTAGCACAGTGTGATAAAAAAGGGCAGGAAATAGTGGCGTAGCGTCTATGTATGCTACGCTTGCGGCGCAAGCGTAAACAAATCTATACAAATTCTAAAATTCTTGCAACACTTCTAACGGTAATAAATAAGTTGTAGTGTTAAAGTCAATGCATAACATTTTCCGCAATAAACGGCTTCTTTTACTGGTCATGAGCACCTGCTAGTCTAATGAATATGTGCTCCTGCCTCCACGCTACAGTTACAAATCATTTGAACTGGAATCATATCAAAAGATATGATTCCAGTTCATCAGCGTGCAGAATTATGATCAGGTATTGAACATGTGCTTAAAACTGTAGACTTGTCTACAGTTTTAAATAACATCTTGGACAAATGGATTTTAAGAGATCTTGCTGCCATCCTTTTTGTGCAAATTGATGATTTTGCAAAATGATAGGCTCCCTCTCTATGAGAAACTGTGCGTAGAAATGGTAAAAGGATAAAGAATTTCTTAAGAAAAGGCACAGTTCCTTTCCGGGAAAAAACTTTGAATAAAGATTGGAAAACTTTAATAGCTAGTTGTAAATTTGAAACCAGTTTTTTTTTCAAAACAGCCGGTTGAACTTTCCATTAAGTTTCCTAGAAGGTTCTTACATTAGGGCATCAATCCTCAACAAATTCTGTATAAATTTTTTTAAAAAGTGGTCAATAGTTTCTGCTTCAGTTAGTGATAATTTCTTTTGGTACAAAACTCCTGGTTTTAACGTACAAAAAGCAGGATGCCTATGAGTTGTTAGTTGAATTGCAAAACATAATAGCTTGCCACAGACAGGAAGTATTGTCCTCTATCATTCTTAGAGCAGTTTTCACTATCAAGAGATAGTTGATGGCCCAAAGAAAAAAGGACTATTATTCAAGAAAGACAACACAAGGAATATGCACGTATTACGGAATCAAAAATCGGCAACACTTGAAAAATCCCCTTCTACCTAAACAACTATTTTAACAAACTTTAACAAATAGCCATATTAACCGAAATAGCCATAACGTTTGTGTAAATCCCCCTCCCCATCTTTGATTACATAATATGTGAACGTTCCCATACCCGATAGACAACAAATCGATAATTGTATCTAGTTACAGCCATTCTGATTAGAAAGAGCACAGGGTAGTGCACAGCTGGACCTGCTGCAAGTCTCTCTCTATCCATTTAGTAATCTGAAAAACATCCCTCCCATTTTTTCCTCCTCAGTTATTGGATATCAGGCACTAGGATTAATTTGCATTAGCCATAAGATTAGCCATTAGTCAAAAACTAATATGGTTAGTCAGACGTCATTTGTTTCACAAAATTATTAATCATCAGTCAATTGGCAAATAGTCTGCTAGTTAGCTAGTGAAAATCCCTACTACCCCCTCCACAGAAATCGAATTAATTCAAGTATTGTGCACTTGCTTGAAAAAATTACAAGCTAACCAAAGTTACAAGACGTTTTATACTCTGAGGAGTTCCAGACAAAAAAGATTCTAGTATAGTTAAAATACTTTCTTTTTTCAAAGTCATTTTCAAAGCAAAATATATTCTTTACAAGGTTTTTAGAAAATCTTGCAGAACTTGCAGATTAGGAAACTTTGCAATCAATCTTAATATTGCTCAACTTAAAGGTGAAGCTAAACTTTTTATGGAAACGTGCTTTGGACAACTAATGATTTCTATCAATTTTAGTTCTGTGCGAAGATTAGTTGCCTTTTGAAAGTCCCGGTGGGCCAGTCCGCTTCTGGCTTTAAAGACAAAACTACGCAAGAAGTAAAAAATTCAGAGAAACACGTTCGTGGCGGGTCTAGCGACTCCTTTCAGCAACCGGTTTTTAGTGTAATTTCACCCAAATAAGCATAAAGTCATTTGAAATGATTTCTAGATGATAATCCTTTTTTACGCTCCATTAATATATTGTTTTTAAAGCAATCATCATCAGGTACCATCTTCTATCAGAAGGTTGGCATGACCCTCCAACTATCCCAAAATCTCAGTTTTGGTTTGTTGTCATGGTCATAGATAAAACTAAGGGGCTAATAGTAGAGATGGGCCCTCAGAACCAATTCTACAGTGTTTTTAAAGGGACACCATCCCTCTTTCCAGGAGTTTTTCCGCCCGAAGCCGTTGACCCCTGGAGTCGTAGCTCATCCGCCCTCCTTGCCGGTCTCCCCCCGAGTTAGCCGTTTGCTAGCTCGTAGCTCGTAGCTCGTAGCCGTTGGCCTAGCTCGTAGCCCTGAGCTAGGGAACCCTGCCAGGTGTTCCCAGTCGGGTCAAGCTAGTGGAGGGAAGGGACGCTTTAATTCCCCATTCATGTCCTGCCCTGTTTTAAAACAAAGAACAAGAACAAGAAAAATGGAGCAGAAATTGACAGATTGCTCCGAGACATATATGTCAAACTCAAGGCCAGTGGGCCACATCTAGCCAAGCGAGATCATTTTATATCATTGTGTTTATATATTTAGTGTGTTCAATAAATGTGTAAAAAGGAAGAAAAGCAATTGTCAGAAACAAAGCAACACGACGAGGAGAAGCAAATGTAGTGAAATAGAACTTTAAAATAAATTAAATTCGTTAAATGCTAATGTTTCGCCCCGGCATACAGGGCTTCATCAGAGTAAATATGTTCAATAATTGTTTATCCAGTTCGGCCTGCGATAATTGTTTATCCAGTTCGGCCCGCGATTATTGTTTACCCAGTTCGGCCCGAGGCCTAAAGTGTTGTCTGGACTTTCGCCCCCTGTGCAATTGAGTTTGAAACTCCTGCTCAAAAATTAAGCCCTTGAAGGGTAGAACCCCCTGAAACAAGAAACCTGTTGTAGAACTGCGCCACAAAAAATACATCATGGCTTCTGATCAGGACGTAAAGTTTTTGAGGAAGGACTTGCGAGGTTATGGCGTTGCCACGAATTTGGGCTTCAACGAAATCATAAAAGGAAGGATTGCAAATGGAGAAAAAATCCATCATATGGCATTTGGGCAGTCACCTTTTCCAATTTATGAAAATGCTGTCCAGGCCTTGAAAGATCACGCGAGTGAAAATGAGTATCTTCCCGTAGCAGGTGAGTGGACGTTTAGTTTCAGAACGGGTAAATAGCGAATATGTGAAACGCAACAGCTCGGGTTTCAAACCTGTAACTTTAACAAAGAGTCTGCCATGCCTTTCAAAGCAAACTTCTTTCATATATGGACCTCAATGCAAATGGTTTTATTGTTTTTAAAAACGCACCAAAGAGCTCACGTTAAGCATCTTATGATTTATGTATTTGCGGTGAATATGGCATGGCCATTCTTAACTCTATGGGCATGGCATGCCTATTGCATGCCAAATCCAAATGACGGGGTTTTGTTTTCTATATGACTTGAACCTAGTCTGCGAATCGACTCAATGGAGGGAAAAAATCCAGAGGCGGAGGAATGGTGCATAAAACAGTATCTCGGTCCAATTTTTCTGACGTTTTTCCCCATGTACAATGTCAAAGCAACTTTTGAAATTAGTATTACTCTATCCCGGGTATGCTGTTGGAAGCGACACTTGAGCCAAAGTTGAAGACATGTTGAAAAATCTTTCACTGTTTTCGGTCCCAAACAGGGTGGGTCCTCCTATATCACTAAACTTGATTCTCAGCTCCCCTCCCAGGTTCATTTTCAGCCCCCCCCGTCTCTGAGAAGAGGATCAAATGGACCGAGTAAATTTAGTTGCGGCAATTTAGATAAAGTGTGAACAGCACAACCGTAACCGGGAAAACCATCCCGAAACCGGTCAAAGTTTTGGCTGGATCCGCGCCTGTTTCTTGTGTAATATTTCTAATTTCTAATATCATGACTGATCGGAAATATTTTAATGGCGTGAATAATAGCACTTGCAAATAACTATGTATCAAGATGATAGATACAACTCATTTTCCTGGTATTAAAAAGAGTTTGATACAATTCCTTGTTAGCGGGAAGTAGCTTCAAATTCTAATGAAGTTTACCATAAATTTAGGCTGTATTCATTCGAATATTTTTGTGGAATATCTGGCAAGAAACAAGAGCTGATAGAGCCACTCTCAAAGAATTCGTATCTTTTGTATTCCCAATGAAACAGCTGAGTGGTTTGTGCATAGCTTTGTGAAAAGGACCCTTATCAGCAAAATATTGTGACCGAGATTTTATCGACTATTCTGTGTCGACCTATCTTATTGGGACCGTAAACCTCATCGATAAACTTTTTCAAACCATAAATACTTTCAATCGTTGTTTTCTCCAAGGTATCAAGCCATTGCGTGAAGCCATTGCCACGTTTCACGAAAAAACAGATGATATACACGGCATATCCGCAGAAGACATCATTGTTGGCCCTGGCACAAAGCAGTTGTCTTTTCTGTTTTTAACTGTTTTCAATGGAGGTATGAGTTTTTTTGGGTTCGCAAATTGGCAAGTCTTTTAAATAAGCATTTATCTTGAGATACTTTTTTGATACCTAAATGAATTCCTTAGCAATAAACTTCTCTGAAATATAATTTATTGTCTCCACATCAATCGAACCCAAATAATACCAAAACGAAATAACGGTCTTTATCAGAATTAATTTTGCCGATTCAGATAAAAGCCCAAAATGGGAAAGCTAGGCCGTAGGCCTTCCAATGGCAGAAAGCATTCCCAATGCAGGCATATGAAAATTAGCTTCGCGGCATATGAAAATTAATGAATTAACAGTTTGAGCCTTTTGTTCTTTATTTTTTTTAATTGCTATGATATGCAATGCAAAGGATGTCATCTATGGGTTGGCCATCTTCAAGTTGTCATTTTCATTAGACAGAAAAATTTTCATTCATGCATTTTTCCATCCATCCAGAAAAGGATTATTAGGAACATCACAGAAGAATATTAATCTCAAGAAATTTGACAAAAACAGAGACAATTCTAGTATGGGAGATCTATTTTTAGCCATTCTAGAAGGCTTGATTTCAAAAAATCTCTTTCGCGTTGGACCCAACTATGGTGGGTCCTCATATGTCACTAAACTTGATTCTTAGCCCCCCCCCTCAGTCTCAACATTTACAACTTCTTTTCTTCATTTTCATTACATTTACATTCACGTTCATGGTTTTATATGTTTACTCTCATTAATTTTGTATTGAAATGAACGTTTCTTCCATTCACGTGCACACTAATTTGCACCAAAAGTTCCCAGAATCCCCCACTATCATTCCAACCCTCTTTTATCAATTCTTAGAAATTTGAAAGATTTGAACATTGTTTTTGAATAATTTCTTCCAAGGAAATGTACTTACATAAACTCCCAAGAAGCGCATTCAACCGAACCAGATCTCAAGTATAACTATTAAGACGACTATCTTTAATTTTTCTAGCCTCCTTCCCTAATTTTATTTCAACCATTTTGAGCAATGTCATATGGAAGCATTTCCAGCCTCTCCGTCCTTGTTCCAACCCCCGATTATTATTATATCTAGCAATTTCTCCCCCCTCCCCTCATTATTCTAACTCACCTTTTGTGGACCTCGAGAGTAAATAAAAAGGAAATGATTAAGAAGAAGAGAAATTGTCAATATTAATGCAAAGAAGATGCATATGAATAAAAATAATCATGAATCTGAACGATTATATATCACTTAATTTTGCTACAAATAAACAACCATGAAAGTCTCCTTTCTGCATAACACATCTGGTCCAAACAAAGTAATTTAGCAAATATATTCTTATAATTAAATTCAAATTTTTGTCTTTTATTTTAATGAAGGCGGTAGCATTGGGATTCTTGCGTAATTTTGAACCATTGACAAAGCTCTACCAACGACATCAGCGTAAATGCTACGTTGGTCCTTTCTAAGAGACACATCTACTTCTAGACGTTTACTTGCCATCTCCTTGCTGGACAACGTATAAGCCACAGACTGTTCTTGCTGGCAGAAACTCAATCATGATCGAAACAACATTTAACAATGGATGGAAGATCGATCCAACAGAACTCAATAAGAAGTTCTCTGAAAATCAAGGCAACAATAAATTGCTCATACTAACAAACCCCGACAATCCATCTGGTGCTGCCTACACATCAGAAGAAAACGCAGCGATCGCAGAAGTTTGCAGACGACACAAGGTTATCATAATAAGCGATGAAATCTACTCTCTACTGAATTATGACAAAAAACACGACAGCATATTCAAGGTAAACAATCATATTCGAAGATCTAGGAACGCATGCTCTTCTTCCACTCTAGAAACCATTTTTTTAATACTGAAGATAATTTTTGTCATGGGTAAGAAGGTAATGTTAAAAGGAATAGTTTCTAGAGTGATCCTAAAAAAAGACCCCAGCATCCCTTGGAGGTACATTTCTCGACAATATGAAGTTTTCTTTGAAAGCTGTTACCAAAATGAAGCTTTAATTATTCTTCTTAGCATTACCCTGAAGGAACGATACTCCAAAATGGGCTTTCGAAGTGGGCATCGGCTGGTGGCTGGAGGCTGGGTTATCACATTTACCCACAACAACTTGCAGAGATCAAGGCGGCGGTAAGAAGCGGTGGAAGTCATTCCTATAGCTGCGCAGGTGCACCAGTACAGTACGCGGCCCTTGAGTATTTCAAGTGAGTCATATAAATATCCCTCAATAAATATTTGCTTCTTCTTTCATTTGCAGTGTCGAACATGCTTATTTGATGAAGACTATGTTGTTAGCCTTTCTATGATCTTTCTCCGAGAAAAACAATTTTTAGGACCCTGATAAGTGGTTTATGCATAAAAGGCTTTAATTCTGTAAAATTGTCTAATTATTCGTTCGAAAATTAATGTACTGATTAAAACTAGAGAAGAAGAAAGATAGACATTTATAACTGACCTCGTTTTATTACAGGTTTGATAGTGGTTGCCAAGAATATGTTAGTCATTGTAATCGAATTCTGAAAGCATTGTCGGAGCTTGTTTGTCGCAAGTTGACCTCTGTTGGAGTGAAAATTGCTCCGCCAAAAGGAGGATTTTACATGATGCCGGATTTTGAGGTTAGTGCTTTAATCCGTCGGTCTCGTGAACACCTCTATTTAACAAGCCCGTCGAGGTTCTCTTTCACGAGAGATAGAAGGTAAATATGGCAGGGGGACAGCAAAATTTTTCCTTTGACTGACAAGGGATTGGTTGAATTTGCAATCATGTTTGCCGCGCTCGGGATAAGCTAGGAAACGGTGTCAAATAAGTAAATTAAGATGTATAGTAAATTTGTTCATTTTTCAAAAAAACTTCCCTAATTGCTATGTAATGCCAAATTGGGAGCTCTAGGCTAGAAATGAAAAAATGCCTACATCATTAGATTTTTCGAAAAATTTCTCCGGGTCATCAAATTTCTCACCGGGAACTGTTTTCACCAGGCTTGTTACACAGACAGTATTTAGGTGGATTAAAAAGAACAGGTTACAATTGAGGTTAAGGGTCTTTTTGTCTGATGCAGAAACTGTAAATAGTTATACTAAAATCATTAGAAAGCAATGAGAATGATTAAGTTTCTCTTAAACAGCTTCTTAAATGCTAGTGACATTTCGCTTTTATGGTTATAATGGTTTTATGGTCTTTGACATTTGGAAAGATTTTTTTATTGTTATATAAGGTATGCTTGTATAAGGTATGGTTGTGTAAGGTATGATTATGTAAGATTTGTATGTTGTCTGATTGACGTTTAATTATCAGTAAAAAAGCCGCCAGTTAAAGGTAAAATGTAGGGGCAACGGAAGCAATTTTCAAGGAGAACAGGTAAAGTGGGGCGCAATGTCCGAAGAAAAGAGGCACAATCTAAAACACACATTCTAAAAGAACACCATAAAATGCCAGTGAAGAGATATGGCAAGTGTAATATCCGCGTTTTGCTTTAAGACTACTGTTGTTTTGGCCCCTGCTCGTACCTGTTAAGGCCGGTTTCCACTTGATTCGCTCTGGTCGCGCGACTTGGCGAAATCGAATCAACAAGTCAGCGAATCGGCGAACGCGACCAGTCGCCCAGTAGCTCAACTGATTTGAACTACTCAGCTAATGGTCGCGCATTCGCAGCGAATAAGGAAGTTCAATTTGCGCATGCCCTAATGTGCATTCGCTCAGTCGCGCGACCAGAGCGAATAAAATGGAAACTAATTACAGCCTTTAGAACCAGGATCTAATTACAGCTATTTGACGGGGGTAAAAGCATCTTCTCATACTCAGCCACAAGGCTATAGCATATGTGCGGTTAATAATCCTACCCCTTACTTCATAGGTGATTCGTGGAGCATTGAAAAAGCGTGGTATATTGACAGGGAATGCCATGCAAGATGCCTTACTAAAAGAGGCGTCCGTGGCAATTATGGCTTGCGGTCCAGCATTTTTGCGACCAGTCGAAGAGCTTACATTCAGGCTGTGTTACATAAATTTTGACGGCTCTAAGGCTCTTGCTGAGAGTAGAAAACTAGGTTTAAACGCTGAAATAACAGATGAATTTCTTCAAGCTAACTGTTCGCAGACACTTGATGGCATCGAGGCATTGGTAACATGGACAAAGAAACACTTGACTGAGCAGTCGTCTTAAGATGACCGCCGTTGGGGAAATAATAAAGTACAAAGTTTTGATTTGATATAATTATAAGTTAAAATCAGTGAGCTTCCCAATACATGGAATGTTAAAAATTATGTTTCATTCAAAGTTTAGTTAACATTTTGTTTTGGGTTTGTATATTCATTTGTATAATATATGGGCATGGCCTTTGTCTCTTCGTAAATGTAACTGAAAAGCAATGAATTTTGGACATATTTTTAAATAATTAGCTAATCATTTGAAAGACAAATATCAAATTTGGAAATTTATGTAAAAGTATACATTTGCAAGCAAGAAATTTTAAAACTCGTTTGCATTTCCGAAATTCTAACCTACTGTTCATCAATGGTCAAAATAATCGTGTTTCTGGATTTAAAAGAAACAGCTTTTTATCGGCTATTGAACTAAACGGTTACTCAGGAATCTCTTCTCGGGCTATTTCTTTCCAATTTCTATGCCACGTTTATTGAATTGACGTGGGGTGCGGCATATTTACTTTCAAAATTGAGTGCAATTTAGGTTGCTACTGATTTGATATATCAAACGTTTTTTTCGTCACATACTCTTATAGTAACAGGAAAGCAACATGAAACAGCCAGGGCTACCTTATCTAACGTGATATCAACGAACTTCAGAGATGCAGTGGAAAAACGAAACGGCTGAAAGATTGAGACACAGAAATACTAGCGAATTATATTTTAAAGATGTTGACAAGTATGCATGGATTAGAAATGCAACTGGCGCTATGCTGAACATACATCATATTGATTATTCAGCTCAAATTAAAACTAAAATCTTAAATTTCGTCGTGCTTATAGCGAAAAAATATTTTAAAAGCGTGCAATGGAATGGTTCTGTAGGAGACACCTTTTAGTCGCCATACTTGCAGCACAATAATTTCAATGTGAAACGGTATAACAATCTTTATTCACAACTAAGCTTAGCTTCATCCCACAGCTACATTCAATTTCAAAACACTTCAAATTTTAAAGGAGCTACCATTTTATGAAGCAAGGCACTGCATTCTGGCCAAAAACGGTAAAGGTGCGAGGAAAATATATTTTATTGTTAGAATAAGTAAACTGATCACAAACAGCATTGCTGCTTAATTCTTCAATTAAATCGCAAGATAGGGGAAAATGTTAAAAAAACTGCATATGGTCATTCAAAAGATTTCGTAGCCTAGGACCTGGTAAAAGTATCCAAAAAGTATCTGGCAAGGCTGAACTCCATAATAGAGAGGGAGCTTGCACGTAAATACCTACTCTTGTGCAAAACCAGCAAATGCTTGGAACCTTTCTCGATGGCTCATAGGAGATATTATCGATGGCTTATCGACTTGGATCGTCGATATCTTTATTCACTGCAAAAGTGCAGGACGAAGATTACTAGTTATCATACTTTTAAAACAACATATTGACTGTTACTAAATATCTTTTTAAAAGGTCTTGGGTGTTCTCTCAAAGTGCTGCAGCAAGCAGGTCGGTCTTTGTTTGATGGATCTTCGACATCCCAAACTTCAGGCAATGCACAGCCAGGTCTAATTGAAGACACATAATTTTGATAAATGACTGACATAAAAGATATTTAATAAGAAATTTTGAGCGATTCAAAAATTCTAGCAAATAATATTTTAGATAAATGACTCTAGGACATAAATGTATTAATAGGATTAATAGAAACGATAAATTTCAAAGAAACTTATTAGTCTTATGAATAAATGACTGAACATCCAATTTAGGCTGAAAAAACATCTAAAAAGAAATAGGGTTGAAACTTTTCAAAGCCCCAGCATCTTCGTCCAGCACATACAAAGATATTAGAAAGTTAACAACCTCCATGTTATATCTTATAAGCAATAATTTTCAGGCAACATGATGATGGTCTCAAAATACCGAATTTGAGGTTCGAATAATAAGTTTGCTCACATCACTGAGTATTCTAAACACAATCAAAACAAAAACCTATTCAAATGATTGACGTTGAGTAACCTACGTAGCATGCAAAACTGTGGCTTAAAAAACTCACCTAAATCTTCTTACACACCACGAGTCTTCCATGATCAAATGTGTAATTTGCATCGATTTTAATGTTTTATGGACCTGACTGCAAGGCTTTCTGCTATAAACTTGGTATACCATCTTGGTTCTTTCCCTATAAATTTGCCATGGTTAGAATCATTTAAAATTTTCAATGGTTGTACAACGAAGCAGGTAGTTTACTTAAACGCTCAAGATGTCACACAACCCCTTGACTGTGTCTTGGAACATTGTCTTTCCTGCCAAAAGCGAGATTGAAATGTCGTTTTTCTCACTTGGACATGATTCACAAGAACAGAAGATCCTCTTTCCTACCTTCTCAGAAAAAGCTTAACCCTTATGAAAACAAACCGTTGAATAGGCCTGCATTTCATGGACTTTGCCTTTGTCAAGGGACCAATGCTACAACTCGCAAGTGCAAAGACATATAAAAGGGTACGCACAAATAACATAGGGTTACAGAGCATGAAATCAACTGCTTTGCGCTGGATGGATTCCCAAAATTTGACACTACCAAATCCTACCTTATGAAATAAAGTATATTAAGATTTCATGTAATCAACATAGACATAGTAGTATCCACCTGAGTCCAGCATCTTCATAATGGGGATGATTCACTATTGCCCGGTTGGTTGTGAGTTTTACAGATGCCATGGTCGGCATTGCACCAGCAAAAACAGCCGCTGAGGAAGACAAAAAATATCAAATAACATCTTTTCAGAGGAACAAATTATGGTTTAACTGTTTCACATAACAATTTGAAGCCAAATAAAAAAATAACTGACTTGATTCAGTATTTTGCTGTATCCACTCAACCTAAAATCGAAAAATAGTATTTATAGTGAACTGGGTAACAGAGTGGTAAAATTATAACGCCATTCAAATGCGTCTTGAAAATTTTGAAAATTGGACCATATATTCTGTAAGAGGAGCAAATAATTATATTGAGTGTGCAAGATCAGTTTAACCTTTTAAAAGTCTGGTACAGGTATCCCTCCTACCCCCCAGTACAACGTTGTTCAGTTTCGCTTTTTTGAAGCTGAAGCTAAAAGAAAATTTCACTGAAAGCTGTATTAAGGTATTGAGAAAATAAATCAACATTGCAGGGGGACAAAATTCTGTAAGCAACAGTGATCTATCTATCAGGACGTTTTAGATTTGCTTTGTCTCTTTGAATGCCGTCAGAAGATGGCGTTCCAGCAATTTTTGGCAATGATTGTCCCTATAATCGAAACATAAACATTGAAACTGTACTAAAAATCTAGACTCATACCAATTGCTCTTGCTCTGGGTTATTGTACTCTCCTTTTGTTTCCTTGAATAAAAAATGAGACGATTTTTGTCTACAATTATTGGATATTGTCAATTTTTGAAATTCCATAATCTTAAAGAAAAAAGTAAGCAAAATTTATTTTATTGGAGCAATTACATATGGTGTAAAGAAATATAAAAAGGAGGCTCTAACACTTTTATTTCGAGCAATTCTTTTTAAGTTCAAGTATATAATTATAAAAAGGGTTCCAAAGTTTTTTGATGTTCATAAGGTAGAGATGTACTGTAAATGGATAATGAACAGTGACCAACAATCAAGGACAAGGCGAAAACGAGCACTTACGAATTGACCTTTGAGGTTGGCGATTCCCTGGACTGACATTGCAGCTATCAAGGCGATTATCAGTGCTTGGTGATGAAGTGGGTTTTTGATGAATCCGAAAAGCTGTCAAATGCAGAATACAGGTGTCTTTGAAAACGTTTTCAATAAAAGTTTCAATTTTGAAAATTCTTAGACTTACTGAATAGAAACAGAAAACTTAAATATTGGAGTTCAGTGATGATTATTTCGTCACTGCTAACAGAATTTTTACGGTATACTAAATATTATCGTAGCGTAGGTAGTATCATCTGCTTGTAATTAAGTTGGAAGCAGAGAGTTCCAGCTTATAGTAAAACTGGAAGCAGCGAGGTTCACTGTGGAGTGCATGAAGTGAAATGTGGTGTATTTTCAAAAAGTTATCATCACAACTTTGTGACTTTGCTTGTCGGTTATCAATTTAATAAAACAAGACAGTCCTCCCGTTTCACAGATGTTGTATTCTAAGTGCTTAACTACTTAAGCAAATGAAAGAGCTTTTGCGATTGGTATCATTTGAGAATAAACAAAACATCTAATAATTTATAGTGTAAACGTAAGCAATGAAATGAGGAGATGTGGTGAATAATTTACCGATAGTAAAAGCTAGATAATAATTGACACATAACATGTTGATGTACCTGTCTTGAAGCCAGCAATGACGTCATAAGGCACAATGCAGGTGTTCCAAACAGCTTCAGCCGCATTATGATGATAGCCATCATAACGAAGGCAACTGATTGTAGCAACAAGTATACATGCTAAAAGAGGTTAATAAGAACTATTTTAGATAAAGTACGAGAGGAAGTAAAACTGGATAATATAAGCTACATGTTCCTAAAGAGTAATATCAGACCTGGGAAATTCCACAGTTTCTGTGAGATTCGTTGGAAATCCAACAAGCTTACATTCGTTAGATATACAATATTTGTTGAATCGTTGGATGTGCAGCAAGATAATCAGAAAATTCGATTCGTAATGTAGAGAGTCCGAGGAGCATAGAAACTGGCTTGCGTTCCCCTCTTATTAAAACGAGCGACGGACAGAAATCAATTATGTTTTCTGGTGCCAGGATCTGGAATCAGTTGGGGTCTGACGTCAAACCTGTTTCTTCTTTCAAAAATTTCAAATAAGGATTTAGAGTTTATACTGCATGCTTGTTTTTCCCTTTCCTTGCATTTGATAATGTTTTTTTATTCAAGCCTCTTCAGCATACATTGTTAAACTGTAAATAATTTGATTTGTAAAGTTTTTAAGGCCCCCCCAGGTTGCAAAGCAGTCAGTGACTGGTGGCACTACCGTGACAAAAGAGCTTTAGGTGAATTAATGACTTAAGGGGCCACCCCGTAAGGGTATACAGCATACACCTAAACGGAAATGAAGTCATTAAATGTTCAAAATGGCCCTTGCGTTACCATAAGATAAAATCTCTTTTTACCTCAGCATGTGGCTTTGTAACCCTGGAGGAGAAAAAAGAAACCATATTAAACAGGCATAACAATAATAATAATAATAATAATAATAATAATAATAAAAATAACAATAATAAAAATAATAATAATAATAATAATAATAATAATAATAATCAATATATTTACAGTGGGGGGTATAATATAGCTGTCTATGTACAATTTGTGTACAAGCTAATCTAGGCCTACTTTACAAAAATTTAGAATAAAAAGCAATTAAGAATGAATAATTAATAATTACATATATAAAATAATTAGTTAATTAATGAAAGAAATGAAATTGAAGATTAAAAAAGAGATTAAATTTTACAATGCGTTTACAGTTAAAAGATGTTTTAACACCAAGAAGACTTTTTTTTTAAATTTTCACACCAAGACGGCAAATGACAGTATGCACGATTCTGAGAATGCGTCGAGCTCTTGCCATTTTCAAGCCTAGTCTGGGATTGTCAGCTAGCTTGGATTTTCAACTCCTGAAAACTTGCTGGAGAGAAAGGCCCGTAGGCCAAATACTAGAATGACAGCGGGTTATACTTTCCCGGAAAATCAACACGAGGGAGTACTACATATTATATTTTCTCGAAGTATTTCAAGCAAAAGACGGTAATTTGACCAACAAGGATGCACAAGATATAAAAAAAGGATAGACAAACAAGGAAGAAATTTGAAGAAATAAGTGAAAATTGGAGAACAAGAAAAATGAAGAAATTATCCATAACTTAGTCTGTTATTCGTTTTTCACCGTCACTTTATGTCGCAAAAAGGAAAAAAGTTAGTAGCTTGCAATTCCTTCCAGAAATTAGAGACGATTTCTCAGAAAGAACCATAGATTACCCCCCTTTCCCCTCCCCACCCACCAATTGCTGGGTTTCAAGAGACTCGCAAAGCTCTGCAAGATAATCCAGGACTCTTTTCAACAGTTTTAAGAACGAACTTTAAGACAAGGAAAGGTTGTGTCATTCTGGTCAATAAGACAAGTCACAAAAATATTTATAAAAAATTAGGCATTACCAGATGATTTATAAAAGTTATGACAAAATGATTATGTCATTATGATATTATGATGATTATAATATGAAAAACCCATACTCAATGTTTTCATCTTCATCTGTAGATACTTCACTCACACTATCAGAAGACTGTTGATTTTGAGACAGATTAAACCAGTAAACAATTTCATTCTCTACGACCTGAAATGCGAGAACCCATCCGTAAGTAAGTAGTAGGCTGTAGATGAACTGGAGGCTATTTGCCACTTTTTCATAATTTTTTTTGGACACAGAAAAACAAGCAAGAGAGTATTAAACATCTTAGACAACATGTCAGAGCTCAGAAATCATGGGGTCAATTACGGCGATGAAGGTAATTAACATAACAAAGGTGGCCAAAAGAAAAATAAGAGGCCCAAAAATGCATTTTCCTTGGTTTTTGGGATAGTTTTCAAAGCTCCAGGTTTCCGTAAGATAAATGATAAACACTTCTCTAGACACTGCAAAACACACAACAAGGACTTGGCTAATAGAAATGGTCAAGATTCGTAAGGAGCAAAATATAACTTTATAAGGGTATAACAAACCAACGGTAAGTTGGCCTTAGTGACAGGCCAAACACACCAAACAAGTTTTATGTTTCACGAGTGTGTAGTATTGCAACCACTGAATGACCCTTTATAGCCATTTTTACTTAAAAGTAAATAAGGTTAAAAAATGGCAGCAAAGATAACTCACTTTTGCAATTAACACAGCTGCTGCAATCACCGCGCTTGGTAGCAAAAGTGTTTTTGTCAATTTCCAAGGAGTCTGGAAAGAAAAAATGATTCATCAACTGGTTAAATTCCACTCAACCTCTTCTAGTGGCTTAAGGGTCGTATCTAAGGAACTGGCTTTGCCAAGACGTCTACAGTTGTTGGGCGGATTGCATAGGGATTAAGGACATGACAGTTAACGTAAGGAAAAATCAAGGTAACATGATATGAAAGGATTGCCAAGGAGCAATTCTAATTTGACTCTCTCTTCCCACTTCTGTTTCTTCCAGCCTTATTTGGTAATACTGCAGTTTATCTCTCTATATCGATAGAGTAGCAAAACGATGACATATTGAAAATATATTTATCAGAATTTTTTAATTTTGACCACATGAGCAGAAAGAATACATGTAAATACCTCGGCTATATATGGTAGATCATTATAAGCTTTAGAACGAGGAAAAATTGGCAGTAGTTTGATGGGGGAAAAGCCAGTACTCGTGTGGCCAAATCTCAGACAATTTGCAATATATGTAACTGGTTTTGCACATTTATGTTCCATTTTTGGGCCTTTTATGGTGTTCTTTCGGGCTATATGCTCAAAAACCAAAAATTCGAAAATTAGATTTTCGTGACAGCCTCATTTTTGCACTCTATTTCCTAACACCTATGTTAAATAAGTTGAAGCATCTCCAAACAAAAATAGAATTGTGCTTTCACATTATCAATAGACTGCATTCATCCAGCTCTGAAACAAAAGCACTCAATTCACTCCTAATAATAAACAGGCTAACAACAGAAGTTGTTGTGGTGATATCAGAAAATTAACAAATCTTCTGAATTCATAAATCCAAATGGTAGGAAACCACATACCTCTGGCTCGAGAAAGTCAAATTCAGGTGCACATACATATAGTAATGTATGAAAGTCTTGGTAATTTGAAAACTTTGATTTCAAAATATCGAATATGTGCGCCTGGAAGCAACGACAATATCAAAGTTAGAAAAAGTTTAATAGTTAGAAAAACAAAATATTTAGAAAAAGCAATGAAAAATAACATAAAAACGCTATTTATGTTAATAACATATCATGATTTGAGATCCTGTTTATGTTTGAAAACAAACACCAAATTTATAAAAAAACAGAAAGACAAACAGCCGGCCAAATAAGAAACCCATCAACCTGAAAATGGTCTAGTTAAAAACAAAATAGAGAGATTTATCAAACGTTTATCAAAACACCTGTGGTAAAATATAGTGAAATAAAAAAATCGCTAGAGGGAAAAATGAGGTGCACTTACGTCATCTTTTATATTAAATAATTTTGCAATCCCAAATTTCGTCACTAATGATCCAGTCACGAATATCAAACCCTGTACCCCCTGCAAATGAAACATCGAATAAAGAGAAACACGTCATACTTACAAATGAAGAGTAGTGAATAATTTAAGAAATTTTGGTATGAATAGCTCTAGCATACCAAAAGGCCTTCTGTTGCCATCATCTAAACTCACATTAGCTTCCCAAAGGCAAAAGGGAGAATTTAGATGAAGCTTTTATGAGTGTAAATTTTTTTTCATCAATCACAACGTTTTTCATATGAAAAGCGTTATCTTTGAAGTACTAGCAGCAACGAAAGTGTAACATATTATTTCTGCTTTTAAAGCAGCTTAAGCTTTCTAGACAGGTTCTTGAAGAGTGAAAAATATCAGCATTGTACAATTGATGTGAGTTTTAAAATTCAATAACTAGCTTCCACCATATTCGAGCTTCCCGTTTAGTTAAAATATTTTAACTTCTATACGATATGAACTAATTCATATATTTTCATTGATAATGAAACGTATTCTTATCGGAAAGCATTTGATGAAATATAAAGAACTAAGTGATATAAAAACATTAGTAAGTCTTTTTACTGAAAACAAATTTATAACCACTGTGTTACTTACCCATATTAAAATCCTATAAGGAAGTTTTTCGATCAACGATTCACATTTAACGATCAGCTATAAGACAATGAAAATGGATTAGCGACACTTTTTATCAACAACGGACAGTCTAATCGTAACAAGAAGCAATAGAAAAAATTTAAAATCTCTTTAGAATTATTCGCAGAATATCAAATATTTCTGCGAATAAAAGATGTCTTCCGTGACCTTCTTGAAGGCCTTCATGTTATTTGAAGTATTGAAAGAATGACAGAAATTTTGGGATTTGTAACAAATGAAGGAGATAAGTCTATAAGAAAGCGATGACAGTAAACCAATCTGATAATATTTCTCATTGTAAGATTTTTCTATTTGATGATGTTAGGAGAAAACCCATGAACCTAGGCCCCCACAAAGAAAAAGAGAGAAGGATTAGGAAGCGAAAGAGGAAAGATCATGTTTGTTTACTTTTGTTTGTGAATAAAGACAGGTTGTATGTGATAATATTTGTGTTAGAGTTGATCTTGGTGTGAAGATGGCTCAGCGGTTAAGGTCGCTGGCTGCAGATCCAAGGATCTGGGGTTCGAATCCCTGCCATGAACAAACTAGCCCTTAGAATGAGGAGAATCGCCAGCTGAATATAGCTCTATTTATATAGGAATTATGAAGTTTGGTCAACTCTAGAGGAAGGACCAAGACCTAAACTTCTTAGAATCCTAAAACCTGCCTTTGGAAGCTAGGCAATAACGAACAGTAGCTTTAAAACAATATCAATGATCACAGAAAAGGAGACCATACTAACCAATGTCATTATAGTTGCCGATACGAAGAAAGAGCTAGAAAGAAAGAAGATATTTGACAATGTTTCAAGATATTAAAGACTTGACAATATTTTATTAAAGACTAAAATCGATCAAGGTAAATAAGTAACAGGACTTCATGAGCGCATGATGTTTTCATTTTGTCAAAACAATATTCTTCAATGTTAAGTCAATAAAGAAAATTCGTTAGTGATCTTGGGTTTTTTTAAAGACTCAAGATGACAGAAAGATAAATATTTCATTCATTTGATTATCATTTCTCAGAAACCAGAACTCAGATTTAGTCAAAAACCTTTCACTTCTATCTCGGCCATTCACGAAAATTAAACAACAAGAATTTAATAATGTCCGTGAGAGATTGAAAAGATTCTTTCATTTCTAGGGCCTCAATTGACGATGTTAGGAAATTTCTATGCCCCAAAGCAGTGTTGCATTGTTTCTCTTGCAAAATGCAACATTAGTTATGGAACGTAAAAGAATAGAACTAAACAATGAACAAAGCTGTGATTCCAATCCCGGTTTACCGAGACAGGACACTTAGTCCACGAAATCTTATTGACCATCTTGCTGAGATTGTTCGAAATTTATGCCCTCTGAGTAAGAATTGGAAATATTTAGATTTCAGAAAAAGTCACAGTTGATAAGGTAAATACTATATCCCCTATCCCCTAAACTTGAAAACAAAATTGCTCATCCGAAATTAAAATAGCTTTTAACCTATGGTCCAAAGCCTTTTCAGCTCTTATAGAGTGCATCGCGAGAAAACCTTTGAAATGGAGACATTATCATGGCAAATGAATTGAAACACTGAGATATTGGGAAATTACATCATCGGAGACTATTTGATTGACATATAACAGGGAAAATTGGTAAGAGATTTTTAAAAAAGCAAATGAATATCTACAGTACCTCATTAAGAGAGAGTTTGCAAATTGGAGAATAAAATTGAGAAAATGAGCAGCCTGCAAAGAAAAATGTAAACACTAAAACAAAAACAATGTAACGTTGACACAAAAATTTGAAACTACAACAGAAGCGATTTAAGGAAAATGTTGGCATAAGAGGAAATCACAAATTCAAAAAGATAAATCAATTCAGTGTTTTTATGACATCCATGAAAAAGAATTTAGATTTTTTAAGAAGCAAAACTGATTTAGCTAGATATACTATAATTTTAAGCCTGTATTGATAGGTAAACTAAAATGCTGTAAAAAACAAACAAACAATACTCGAATAAATTTCAAATGAAGCAGAAGGTAAAGGATATAAGTTAAGATGCTCAAATGAAAATAATGCATCTCACGAAAATTAATTCGTGATCAGTTATATTATATTAATGTGTGAATAAAGGAGAGGCCAGGATAGCAGGCTGCTCGACGGACTCCGATGGGAATATTGCGGCGAAAAATTGATTAAATATAGCAAATAAGTAACACCGCAACGCGACGAGAATGAACAACAACAAACATACGTAAATCAGTAATTGCTAATATTTCGCACCGGCATACTGGTTTTCATCGGAGCGAAAAAATTGGATATTTACTTACCAGTAAACCGTGGACGATACATAACGTCTTATTCGCCGAAAAAAATTTCAAAATATATAACCCAAACAAGGCACAAATCTGTAAAAATAGAAAAAAGTGTGTAAATGAAAAGGAAAGAGGAATTAGCTCTCGAGTTATAAGTAAATTTTCATAAAGCAGAAACTCAACTTAAAAACAATCATCAAGGTTTATATCTCTTTACAAATGTTTTATATTTTTGGTAATAATATACAACATTTTTCAGAGATATATTTGAAAAAGCAGAACGATTAAATAAGTTAATGTGAAAAAATAGTATCTTATAAAAGAAAATCACGGTGCAGCGAAAGGCATGAAACGGCTCAAAATATTGAAAACTCAAAAATAGAATAAATATGCCACGAGATGGTAACACAAAAACTTATGCGATAAGCTCAAAATGAAACATTTTAAAATTCTGATTTTTTCTCCTGTTATCAAAAGCTTTTCTGAAATTTCTGACAATGTCGAGCACACAACTCTTTAATCCTATGTTCAGATAAAAAACATCAGTCGTTTCACACTTCAAAAAAGAAAAGGTGGATTTATGCCTGATAAAGAACTGGGATAAAAGGAAATGGGATAATGGCAATTAAGCTCACCTGTGTCAACAGTGCAAACTGAGCAAACTAGAAATAAAGGAAGGGCAAACAATTAATTAGAAATGGAAGGATCTGAATAAATACAAAAATCAGAACATTTCTTATTAAAAAGAATTTGGAGTTAAAACCTCTGATCGATTTTCTATGAATGACATAATCAATGATTTTTGGTGTTTACTGCTAAATATTTCACAAATATTTCCGAAAGAGAAAATACTGTTTTAAAATCTTATACTGGTCTGAACAGTGCATTTTATAATGCCAATGCAAGGAAAATGTGCATTGTGTAAGAAAAAAGGTGGTTGAATATGATCTAAAAGTGATCATTTTTGAACGAAGTTTAATTTTTGTTAGTAAAACATTTCACTAGCAAATGTTGCTTCGCCAACACAATATCGTATCATGATAATCAAGAACATCATCCAGGATATCATTTTGACGGAATAATTTTGTTTAGAATGGAGCCAAATTATTTTCAGCGTTGTATATGTTACTTAATCTCATTTTATGCATAATGGGCACTGGGATAAAAATAACACAGAGGTAACTGTTTGAAAAATGCATGGTTATAATATGATTTTGTATTACCTGCCAAGGAAGCATGAAACATAGTGTAACCATAGATAACAATAAACTGTGCTTCCAAGTCACTTTCTGCAATCTACAAACAAAAGCATCAAAATGGGAAAAAGTTTCTGAATTGACGAATACTGTTGGTCTACAACGGGAATGTTAAGAAGGAGGCCTCATTGCTCTGCCTTATCGATTTAAAGTAAAAAGCAGATGTGTAGGAGGCCTAAAGAGAGGCCCAAAGAGAGGCTCAAATAGAGGCCTAAGCGTGTTGAATGTTCAATCAAGAACATAACGAAAGGTTATTTATAGCTCAACTCTTCGGGTGATGCAATCTGCAAAAGTAGCAGAAGAACGCTGGGTGGGCAGATAAATGACTCCAGATATGTTGACAGTGCCAATCGATCGTAAAAGGCCTGGGAGAATTAAGGTTCTCAAACTTCGCAGGTTCTTAAAAAATAAGTAACTTGTTCAAGGCCAGCTGCTGAATCGTGGCAAAAATAGTTTCTCATTACTTTAGATTAGGCGAAGCAAAACTAGACTGATTGAAATATGACTGGTGCCTACTTACTTCAGGATGTAAACAACGACGAGTAGCTGTGCTATCAGAAAAGGGAAGGAAAAACTTTCGCGCAAAGGCGGCGTCCACATGATCCTTGTGCACTAGAGACATAAAAGAGAAAACACAGTTATTTTGCTTTAAAAGTCTAGTGTCTCGAAAGTTTGCCAAAGCCTATATTCTGTTAAATGCGTAAACAAAAACATTCACTTTACAATGGAGAATCTTAATTACGCGACGGAATGTGTTTGCAGGAAAGAAATAATAGAAGGCGTTGCTGTCCTCAGTAGATTATTTCGCCTTCTGGATTTTTACAAAAATAGACTTGAGAAAAATCTAGTGTCATTGCATAGAGAAATTAGGCAAATATTTCTATCCCTTTGATTCCAAGACGGGCAAGGAAAGCGTCAGTTCCACGAAGAGCTTTTCAAAGAAAGATACCACAAAGAAATACAATTGCAATGTAGTAGCATACCGACAAAAAGGGAAAATAGAGTATCCATAATCTTTCAAGGAGGGCCTACTTAAACTACTTAAAATGAATATACAATGTATTTAACGAAATTATATATAAGAAAAGAATTTAAATTGAAGATAATAGTATTAAATTTCTAAATACCTCCCCATGGTTGTAAAAATACGAAGCAACAGCTAATATTCCACCCAGTGCACTGTTGCTAAAAAGATAGACAATAGGCGTGTGAGGGTAATGAAAGCTGATGTGCTCTGGCAGCAAATGGAGGTTGGATAACTTGAATAGCGTGAAACACATGCTGAGGTTGACATGGTTTCTGATTGCTTGAAACATTCTATGACCCTTTTATGAGCAGAGCGATAACTAAACAATAAAAATAGCTTAGTATGTAAAAATAAGTGACTTAGAGCGTTTCAAATTCGAGGGGAAAAATCACTGCCTTATAATTTCCATCGTTTTTTCTTCACTTTTAACATTTAACAAATGGGTATTCCTTTCATAATTAACATAAAAACATCACTGGCACAAAAATCATTTAATGTTTCTTTCTGAAGAGACAGTGTGTCTTGCATATAAATGCTACACATAAGCAAATATAATCATTGGTCCATTTTTCATGTAAGTAAGAATGTCAACCCCTTCAACACCCTTAGGTTTATGACATCATGATAACATGGCAAATACGGTATATATTTTTCCTTTGATACCAAAAAAGAAAGATTTCCAAAGCGGCAAAAAAACTTCCGTTAGGTCATAGTCTATGGGTTCTCAAAGTAAACTTTATGTTAAAAAAGATAGGTCGGTAAACAAATTTGTATTATTTTAAGGGGGAATGATTAGGGGCGTGGCAATTTAGTTGATGCTGCAAATTTTATCACCGCAGCCTCCCAGGAAATCAATATTGATTAAGGGATAATGTTTGAGATGCAAAACGTGGGGAAATATTTGTCATAAAACACTAAAAGCTTAAAAAATAACTTAAGGGGATTATCATATGACAAATAAAATAATTTAAATTTGGGTTTAAAAGCACAGCAAACAGTCGGGCAGGGAATATTTGAACGGAACTGACAATATCTAAACTTATTCAACACGCGGGAGATTTCAGTGCACTCATGGACACATAAAACACTGCTCTTTCTGAAGGTGACAATGGAGATGGTTAATTAATTCCTTAATCTACAGATAAAAGCGTTCGACTTGGAAAGTTTTGTCACGAAAACAAAACTGCAATCAACGAGTTCCACGATAACATCAAGCGCATACTACGCGGCAAGCCAAAGAAATGATAGCGGGGCTGCAAGGTTAAAGAAATGCCAAAATTGATATAACAGTTAAAACATATAATAAAGGGCAATTAGCGATGGCGGACACCTTCAAGCAACGGAAAATTGTTTTTTCCTTCATAAGAACTGTGTGGTAGCACACGTGTCCAGTATCGAGGAATGATGTTTCACTAAAGTCAAAGTTCAGTTGTTTGCGTGAACAATTCAAGTGAATGTACTTGCGACCTCAAAAGATCTACTGTGCCCCTATATTGTCTCTTACCGATGTGTGATCGTTTCGCAGGAACAAGTCGTGTACCCTAGGGCTATAACCATGTTTTTTAAAAACGTTGAATATTGTGGAATTACTTGTGGAACCAAATGTATTCAAAACGTTTCATAGGACAATAACTTTGGGAAATCTATCACAATCTGCATTTTCGAGGGCTTCAGTGCCAAATCTAGCCCAAGAATAGAACAGAATTCCTTACCTCAGGTAAAATCCAAGTAAAAACACCAAAGACATCATAATGCCATTAAGCCAAAAAATTGGATAAACATAAAAGAAAGCCATGTCACCCATTCCTAGAAATGAAAATGGCGTCATTATAGAATGACAAAACAGCAAACTAAAATTCCCGAAAAATTTAAACCTGGTTTGGAAGTAAGGAGTATCCTTATTGGGTGGTTTGCAAAACAAAATTATTTCGGACAAAACTACATTCAACACAAATTTGCCTTCAATACTTCCATACAGATTTACATAATTGTTTAATTTATTCAAAGTACTGCAAAACTGATCATCTCTCATAAACGTGCATGGAAAGAGAGTGAAATAGCGATTAATGTTTAAAAAGAATCTAACTTTTCCAATTTTAAGATTTGAACAATTTTTTTGCGGTACAGAATTTGAAAATGGCTTTGAAAAAAGCAAACATTTTACGACATACTAAAAGCTTTTTCGTCTGACACTCCTCAGAGCATAAAATGTCAGAATAAGGTTCCGAAAGAACACGATGGAAAATATATACCCAGTTATGGATCGAAATAGGCCAATCAGAAAAACGCAAGCACAAGACCGGTATGGTTGACCAATCAGTGCCGCGAGCCTAAAGAAAAATTACCAATGGCGTCCAAGAGAGAAAACGAACTCCTTCTGTCTACACAATGGCGGCTTTTTCGTTTTTATGTAGATCGACTCCAAAACTGCTAGATGGAAGGACGACCGGGCTCTGCCAATTATCCGAAACATGTCGTCATTATAGAAACACTGTAGGTCTAGAAACACTGTTGAAACAAGTGATTCTGCCATCGGTCAACATCTTTTAGACAACCCAGATTGTGCAAAACTCTATAATGACGACATGTTTCGGATAATTGGCAGAGCCTGGTCGTCCTTCCATCTAGCAGTTTTGGAGTCGATCTACATACAAACGAAAAAGCCGCCATTGTGTAGACAGAAGGACTCCAGTGGTAATTTTTCTTTAGGCTCGCGGCACTGATTGGTCAACTATTGGCCTATTTCGATCCACAACTGGGTATATATTTTCCATCGTGTTCTTTCGGAACCACAATCTGACGTTTTATGCTCTGGGGAGTGTCATACGAAAAAGCTTTTAGTATGTCGTAAAATGTTTGCTTTTTTCAAAGCCATTTTCAAATTTTAAGATTCGGAAAAATTATCAAAAGCAGTTCTTTGTTAACAGAATCTGAATGCGATAAGATCGGCCAAAAACGCTTTTTCCACGGAGATTGAAGTAAAGAATTGCTTAAAAGTAGCCATACACGTGTACAAAGGGCATCATTTGAAAAGTATACCAGTGAAGTTAAAGCAGTTCAAGGCATTGAGAAATCAAGACGTAGTGTCAGCGTCACGGAATGGAACCCATCCAAAATATTAGGATCGCTTTCCAAATTTTTCTACACCAAACGAAACGATACTGCAGAAAGGAGGGGCGGCGGGGTTAGTTGAATGTGTGAGATAATAACGGCTTGATTCTCAATGATCTAAATATCTATTTGGAAACATGGGGCTCACAAAATAAAATTCAGGATGTTAATCGAATCATTTTACGTTTTCAATTTCTTTGATAGCAACGGAGCGTCACTGACACTTGCTTTAGGGCATTGTTTTTAAAACCTTTTCAAGAGGCAAAATAATGGACCCCTCTCTACTACCAATTTCTATTCTTGTCAATCCAAACTTTTGCAGTTGGTGCCGCCCTTGACTGGATCGACTGATGACATTTCAAGGTGTCAAAACTTCAATCCTTTAACTAAAGCTGTAATTGCAAATATCTAAGTTTACAAACCTTCACAGCTCTGTACTGGTGGTAAGCCGTAGCCTCTGTTAACAGTATAGCAAACTTTCGAGTTATATTTAAATACTTCTGAAAACCACTCGAAAGCTCGAAATGCTGCACCTAAAACCACCTGAAAAGTAAAGAAGAAATGGCCTAGTCATTTGGGCGTACGTCCAAAAATCTAATAAATGCAAAATGGCTTGAAATGTACGATACTAAGCTATTGCTGGCAGGAGTTTTTAGGGGGAGGGGAGGGAGGTTAACGAGTGGAGTCACTTAACTTTTGTGGATAGCTTACAGATAAAGAGACAAAGAAATGATGGTGATTCTACAACCAACGTATGTAATCTCAATTTAAACTTTACTACCTGCAATTAATGGTGCCATTTACCCATAAACACGACAAAAAACGAGTTTTTCAACTTAGTTCTCGATAAAAATCTTTGAATGAAAATTAGCAAGTGATAAACATTGTTGTTGATAAAAAGATAAAATCTGGAGTCATGGAAGTCAAAACCATGGCCCTTAAGTGTTTCAAATATGTTTGATGGTATTATTTAAACTTGAGTATGCTGACAACTCTTTTGCATGAAGCAATTTGGAGAGCGAAGTAAAAACATAGAAACATAAGATTTTGAATTTAGAATGGCCTGCTGTTGCTTTTGGCTCTAAAAGTGATAGCTATTATCGTAACATTGCCATTTGCTGTGGATCAATTTCCTTTATAAGCTATATCGAAAGACATTAACAATTATCCATAAATCAAAGGCCATAGAGTACAGACAAATGTAACAAATTACTTGCTATTTCTTCAGGATCAAATACTTACTTCAGGATAAAGGTTGAATCTCCTTAGTACGTTCACCTTGCTTGGGTACTCTGTGATGTTACATGACGTAACCGAGCGAAGGCCGTCCAAAAAACTTGGAGCAGTTACAATTGTTTTGTAGTAGGAGTAATACAGACCCTGCAAAAAGAATGGCCTCTTGAAGTTATAGCTATTTTACAAAACCTCCTCTATGCTAATGTACATTATTATGATATGCTTATGTACAGTCGATCACTTTCTTGCCAATAGTTGGTATTACATCTAAATGCCTAAGGGAAAGATATCATCGAGTAGATGCCCGTTTGGGGCCGTTCACTAGCATGTTTCCCATTTGTTCTGAACCTACGAGATCACGATTATAAAAGCAACCTCAATATTGCTTTACCGTATTTGATTTGATTTTCATCCTAGAATTTAAAAAAGATATTACAAACATTATCAGATATTACAAAACAGCATCCTGCAAAACTCAGCTCGTTTCCCATGGTTCAAATTCAGCTTGGTGCTTGCCCGTCATTTCGTTAGTTTCTTTGCTTGTCTGACTTTCTTTGGCTATTTTTACAGTGTAAAACCGATACGCTCCACGGTGTTTTTCTCTTATTTCCTAGCTGAGGATATAACATCAAAATGTGCGTTTTTAGAAAAGTGGGGCGATTCTTATAGTTTTTTTCACAGCCACATTCTTTACGCCCCTTCAGAAAAGCTCCATGTTTCATCAAAGAGAGGGGTTACTCAAAATTCGTCCCCTTCCTAGCTTTTTCATGACCTTGATATGTTTTATGCTTCTCTCCAACGGCAGCCTAGTTTGGCGATTCCCTGGAAGTCGATTGACGCCTAAATGCGAAATTTTTGAAGTCTACAGTCTAGCATGCTGTGTAAATTATAATTCAATACGTCTTCAAATGTACAGCACTAAATGTTGAAAAGAAACGTCTAAAAGGTACCTATGAGGGCTTTTGCCTAGCGCCAACAAAAGCTTGATTTGTATTTCAATATTTCATTTAGATTAAGCTAAAGTAAATATCTCTAACAAAATGTCAACCTCATTCAACAGAAAGCCGTCAAATGTGAAATCTCAGAGCATAAAAACGACAGATGGTACATCAGAGAAGAGGAAGGCGGGAATCCAGCGCGATGACGAAAGATCATGTTCTCTGCCTATTTGCTAATTTTCTATTTGTATATGGTATAATAACCGGACCAATAGAGCCAAGGATGCATGTGACCCAGACCATGGAACTTTGTAACAAGTAAATCCAAGAAAATTTTAACTCATAAAAGAAAAAAGAAAAGATTGGTGACTGTTTTCTTTCATTTACCAGTTAAGGATGATGATATTAGGATAAGCAATGTGAAGACTTTCAAAGAGACTTTCACATTATATAGTTAAAACTCAGAAAATGGTTTTCTGAGACAGCTTCTACGTTTCAGGCTATGAGCCCATCCCAGTTTTGAGAAGCAGCATTTCCCTGAACTGTGCACCTATAATAGTCTAGAGAGTTTATATACAGAGCATATATATGGAGCACTTTTAGAGCATCCAGAGACCATGGTCTGCAAACAATTTTCAGACCCCTAATATGTCCATCTCCATGATACTTTCTTGTTGCAATATATTTGGGATTTGAGAGTCGATTAGGTGACAACCGCTGGTCTATAGATAGCTTTTATAATTCATAATTTGTCCTAATTGAGGTATTAAAAGGAACTTTGTACACTTTGGGGCCAAGCCCTCTTTTTCATAAAGTTTTTCCAGTTTTTTTAAAGTAGAGAAACTTGAAAGAAAACTTGCCAAACAATGTCAAATTGTAAACTGATATGAAATTATTCATTGTTCATAAATCTGTGGAGGTTCAACACTCCAAAAAACTGGTCATCTCAATACTTCATGAAGGGCTTTAGCTGCAATTTCTTAAAAATCAAATATACACAGAAAAATGGAAGACAGTTGATATAATAAAAATCCAAAAGTTAATTATACATACCATTTCTGTGCGAAAGGACAGTTCTCTTTCTAGTGTTGACAGGTGAGAGAAAAACCTTTCATTTTCAAACATTCTTGATATATGGGCACTGTCAGAAAAGAAAAATCCATTTTCCAATTGCAAGAAACCTGCACACAAGTCTAGTCTTATTAAAAGAGATCTACACATTTAAGTAACTGTTGCAACTTGTTGAAATTAATTTTTTTTATAATATCAACATATCAATATCAAATAAAAGGTCATTGAAATTAGCTCATAGAAAAACTGATTAAACTGACAACTCTATGTTTTGTGCAAAAAGTAACATTCAAGAAGAAAATTAAGAGGGTCTCAAAAAGGCAAAGAGCATAATCCTTTGTTATCGCTAATAATTTTATTTGATTGCTAGTAAAAATAGAGTATCATTCAAGGAAATTTCTTGAAACGCAGTTTCTTGAAAGATTATCCCTTATTGCAATTTTCAAGCCACTGCTGTTGAACATAGTAAAGCTCTGACTTGGCAAAACTTTACAGTTTGCACAAATCATCCACGTTCCATGTATTATACATAAACATGATGCTAGTTTATTTCGGCACCTGAGATAATAAATATTACCATACACACGTGTGTGGCTGTTGGTAAGCTAAACAAAGGAACAAAGAATGATGGACGATCGGTTGACAGGTAATGTGAATGTTCCTAGTAAAGGAAATTGGATGCTTCTACATAAACAAATTGTAAATCGTAAATTTCGATATCACTTACTTGTGCAATAATCCCGAAACCAGTGCTGTGAAATACAAAGAAAAGCGGATTAAGAAACACGATATTTCAGCATGATATTGCAATAAATACACACAACTGACCTTGTGATGCAGTGCTGAAAAGCAATCAAAAAGACGAGCATAGAAAGAGAAAAGTAATTGCAAAATTGCTTAAAATAAACAAGCATGGCTGTAGTTACCTAAGCCAATTATGAACAATCCATAGCCTATATTTTTTCTGTTTAGGAGAGGGTGCGAGTTGAAGTCCTTCTTATCTTTGGTTTCGGCCCCTCGGTGCTTTTTCCCTTTGGCGGTCTTCCCATTTTTATGGCTAACTGAGCTACCTGTTTTATTCCTTCCTCCCATCGTTGAGTTTTGGTAATGACAAATTGTCCAGATCCAAGTTGGCTGAAAATTTCATGAGATGATACAGCCAAGAAAGCAGAATTCTCAAAATATAATTCAAACAGGCACTGAGTTTGCAATGTTGTCCTTATCGCTACGTCGATGATACCTGATTGGATTACATTTGAACAAGGGAATCACCTGTGATTAGAAACGAGGCACCATACAACACGAAAATGAGGTGATTCGGCCTAGCCAACATTTGTGTCAACAAAGTCGTTTTCTGTTGAAAATTGTCTGCAGATATGAAAGTTCAATTGTAAATCAAATAAAATGTTTCAAGAAATTCACAAAATAGAAAATAACCAAGCTTGAAAATTGTTCAAAATTGATGAACTAGCAGGAAGCGGGTGAAACAACATCATGATACAAATAAGGGTTGTGAAATTTTTTACCAGAAGCAGAAAGCATTTTTGACGGAGAACTATGAGCAACAGCTTCAGTTCTAAGAGGCGACACCACGAGCAAAGCAAATTTTGTTATAAAAGGCCTGCATATCGTGAAGCAAAATGGGAAAGAGCCGTTAAAGTATGCCTTACTGTACCTTCTTTACTTTTTACGTTGTTTTCTTGAGGAGGTCAGGATGAACTGGAATGTAAAGCTATCACAGTTCCTTTTTACAAGCGGCCAAAATAGCACAAAAGCATTCAAGATCAATCGCGCTAAATTTCAGAATCTTTATTAAACCTAGTTTACAGCCCAAAATTTTAATAAATGCTACAAGCATAGAATTGAAAGTAATAATTTGCAATGAAAGTTTTAGTTCTCTGTCTATATTTTCCATGAGGTATGGCTTTTCCATATCTGCAAAATCATTTTCATACAAGTGCTATGAAATCTCACTTTTATGATATAGTTTGATTATTGTTTGATATAAGAAAATTATATAAAGAAAGACTTGTTGATTTTGTATGTAAACTGTGTTATTTCTATGGTACATTTAGGGAAATTGTAGCAAATCAAACTACCCTTACCTAGAAAAAATTTTTTTTTTTTCTAAGTTGAGTTTATATTTAAAGTTGATTAAAATTTTTATTTCTCTTAAAATGATTTTATCATTTGTTTCGAAATAATTTGACTTTAATACTTATTACCAAACTTACAATATAGCAGGGTTTTCAAACAAATGTGAATTAGGAGATCATACACAAATTACCAATAAGAGCAAATATTTATTGTCCTGGATCCATTATCTTGGAATAATTTGAAATTATGCCTTAATGCATGCTTGTGTCAGCAAGAAGTCTAGACACAGTAACTTGCCTTTGTCAGCCCAAAGTTACATGAAATTTAACTTACCTATCTATATGCACTTAGTTATGGATTATTTATGATGTCACAGGAACACCTGAAGTTTTTCTGTATTTTTGATATCATTTTTTTCTGGCTTGTATTTTTGTTAATTTTCAGGTTTATACAATTAGCCAAGAATCCAAATATTTGTTAGTGCAAGGTGTTCCTAGTGTTGGAGTCACTAAAGAACTCATTGAATTGTTTGCCATCTATGGAGCTGTGGAAGAGTAAGTGCTGAAGCTATGATAAAGTTTAGACAAGCAATGAAATTTACATCTTATTAAATCAAATTGGGTCTAAATTTGTTGTAATTGCAAGTATCAATTTTTGCGAATTTCATCTGAAGTACTCTTTAGGGCAATTACCACTTGGATTTACCAGGAGATGCTAGAGGTGCCATACCCCCTTGATATTTTTGTTTCCTTCTGTAAGTTTTTCTTTGATTCAGTATACATTCTATGAATTAAACAGTTAAACATAAATGTTTTGTGTTGTTTGGGGGAGGGGTGATATTATTCAGCTCTTGCTATAAAATAGCTTTGCAGTGAATAGGTTGTTATGCCTAGTAAAATGATCCAAGATCCAGTTGGGGAATCTAGGTATTTTGAGCTCTTGATAACTTTGACTGGAATTCAAAGGGTGTGTCTTCTGCAGTAAAACAATAAACATTTAGGAATTTTTCATCAAAGTAAGGCATGAAATGTATATTGCATTATCTGACAATATATTGTATCATTAGCCATGTAACAGGATAAAAGTGCTATATTTTCAAATTTTAGAAGAGACACCCCAATTTCAGAATATTGTAGTAACATACCCCTCTAAACATATTTTATAGAGCATTTGCTTACATTCCTTACATTTCAACAATTTTCAAGTTTTGTTGTATATAGATTTTTCATATATTGTAATGAATGTGGTATGATTTCAAAATCAAAAGTATCAAATTCCAAGAAAGTCGATAGGTTGAGGTGGAAATAGGGTTCAATTGAAAATATTTAGTTTTCTAGTGAATCCTAACTTATATCTATTTCTAACTTAGTATTCATTTCTCTTTGTTCATTTTTTCATTTATAGATATAGGTACTTAGATGAGTATCCTGGAGAAGAGTTCACAGATGTTTATTGGATTAAATTCCAAAAGATTCAATCAGCTCGGTGTGTAGACTATATTGAGACAGTTTCTTCTTTAGTTTGTTGATATCTCTATTAATCTTTTTGAATGAAATTGGCTTCATTTGATTCTCACACAACAAGCAAAGCAAGCTGGTTTTAAAGTCTTTAAATTTCAAGTCCCTTTGTGATCATTAGATTGCTGGTAACTATATGTTACTTATGACAATCCATATTGTTTCTGTTTTTTACAGTGCCTTGTGTTGTATATATAATCCTGAATTGATCTGTTAATCAAGGCATTTGAATCTATTTGAAACTTCATTTTTCCACCTGACTCTGTTGGCCCTGTTTGTTTTTGAAGAGCTATACTCGGAGTCTGGGATGATGTGGGATGTATTTGAAATGCTGGCATCTTTTTCAGGAAACATGTTTTAGGTTGTTTCTGAATAATAAATACATTTGTTTAAATGAATCTCCTTTCTTGTAATTTGAAAATAGGGATATTTATAATCAAATTTTTACATTTTTTTTGCTGCTTGCACCTGTCTTGTTTCTTATCATGCTGATTGTCTTTTGGTATTTTCTTATAAAACAATATCTGCATTTTTATCCTGTTAGCTGTTTTATTTCTATTATTTTTCACGATTCGTCTCATCGTCTGGTGATTGTTTCTGTAGATGAGAATAACATTTTTAATCCTGAGTGTTGAAATGATTGCCTTAATCTTTTTACATGACAAAACTGAGGAAAAAATGGAATACAATAACAATTAATTGTAGGTAGAAAAACGGATTAAAAACAAAAAAATGAAATTAGAAAGTAGCTTTTTTTCAAAAAAATTGTTATCAACAAGTCATACCAAGTACAATATTATTCTCCTTTCAGCAACAAATTATGAAAACAAAATCAATGTTTAAAAACAGCTGGACTCATTCATTCCGTTTTTTAATAGAGATACTTTGAAATTCCCCTTTGTGAAAGTCAACATGATCATTGCTGAATTTTCTGAGTATAGAATTATAATTATTCATGCATTCAAGTATTAAATCTTATTTCTTATTGTAGGTTCGCCAAAAAGAAGCTTGATATGAGGTCTTTCTATGGCGGAGTACTTCACGTTTGCTACGCTCCAGAATTTGAAACAGTAGATGATACTAGAGAGAAGCTTAGAGAAAGAAGGCAACAGGTGGCAAGGAAGTGTAGAGGTTAGCTTTTTTGGTTAAAAACATTTGTTGTTGATCTCCTAGGGTTATAGGTAGGCAGGATGAATAAAGTAACAATATGAAAAGTCTTAAACAATTAACGCGATAACAGATGCATTCTAATCAACATTTCTCAACGAGTCAATGACAAGGAAGGGTGTATTCTACCTTGCAGTGATTTTAGAATATCTAAGTGTGCAGCAAATAATGTACAGTCCAGTAGTTTTTTGCTTTTTCAAAACCATTTTTGAATTCTGTACCACCAAAAAATTGTTTCCAAATTTTGTTTGAGAACCCCTAACAAAAGTATGGCAGCAGATTGATCTCCGAAAGTTTTGCAAAAATTTGTGCATTACATTCTTTGCAGAGTACTACCCTGATCAGTACAGTTCTCGAACTGAAAATAAAGAACACAAACAAGCAGTCAATGCAGAAACATCGACAAACTCTTTTCAAAGCCAGGAGGAACCCGGTGGTGCTTCATCGCAAGTGTTGGCGAAAGAATCCTCAAGCATTGCACAGACATTTGATACGAATCAAAATTCATCAATAGAGATGTCCCCTTACCCCCAGTTACCTCTACCGCCTATGCACCTCCCACCTTTTCTGTATCCTCCACCGCCCCCACCACCCCCTCCAGAATTTCCTAGATTACCAACGAAAGATGCTAGTCTGCCATATGATGTTAAGGTCAATGCAATGACGTCAGTAAATGTTGAAATGAGCAGCCATTCAGCCTCCGTTAGTAGCAAACCGAAAGGCGAATGCCATGGGCATTCAACAAGTACTTCCAATTCAGATCGAAACTCCTCGAATTCAAGGTCAAATATTGATGGACCTCAGAAGTCGAGAAGGATTGTTTGGCACAAACCTCCCTCCGTTCCAAAACCAATTCAAAGTGCTGACCGTCGGCCTTTACCTGAACCAGGAGCTTGGTATTTATGTTAATTTATCTTTGTAACAAATTATTCTGTTTCAAACTATTAAGACCTCCTTTATTTAACAGCAATTTATTCCCTTTCAAAATATCGTAAAGTTGAAGATATAAATCGTGAATGACATTTGCTAACTAAATGTGAACAGCATGTGGTTACAGAGAAAAGTGATTTCAGAAGGGCATACATTGTGATCTTCCCAAAACATTTTGTCTTCTTTTCAACCTTTTTTTAAAAAAATGTCTTAGAAAGTAATTGGAAGGGCTGTTTCTTTTTTCTGCCTTTTTAATTGCTTCTTAATCCCAATGATGAATTGCGAAACCTGCAAGGTACTCTATTTTAACGCTAATATTACTACATATTGCGTTTACTTAAACTGACCTAATCCTTTTAGGTGAATGAAGTAATAGCAAACTTGTAATGTTAAGTATTAAATGGTTTATAACTAAGAATAAAGCCAATAATATATTCTGAACTCGTCCTGCAAATTTGTCAGAATATCGTCAGAATTTCCCGCAGGACATGTCAAAGTTTCCCGCAAATTTTCAAAATCATCAGGACATTAAAAGTATCGGTAACACAAATCGCAAGATTTTTTCCATCTTATTTATACTCGTTGTCTCATTTTTTATATAACATCATACGTAACCTTCCTCTTTGAAATATGTTTTTCAATTCTTTGTTTTTCTATTATAATTTCAATTTTTTTCCAGTTCAGTATATGCATTTATTTTTAGCTAACAAAAAGGAGTTTCCAACTTAAATATAATCATTCATGGTTTATGCATGGTTTCTGAGGTTTTATTCTAATTCATTACTTGTAATTCTCAAGGGACCCCCATGCTCATGAAAGAAAGCAGTTGAAATCACTTGTAAGTATTAGGGACTGTTAATTAGTCCATTTGTTACTTTCATTTTTTAATGAGAAATCGCTTGTTTGTGTTTTAATAATATTTTCTCCTGGTGCTTTATCCATACTCAGCTTTATCCATACTCAGTTCATTGCATGTGGCGAGGAACTAGCTTCCTGTTTTAGTTGATTTTTATGTAGAGCATACTTACGGGGTTTGTCAGTTTTCTTACGTGCTCCTGACGTCTTCTGACTGGCGAGGTATGGTGGAATCAGCTTAATATCTAAAGATTGTAGCTAGAATATGGCAGTTGCCTATTGACATCATTTGTAAAGGTATTGTCGTCAAATTTGAGCTTATAGGCGCAACTTTTTTTCGGGTTTGAAAATTTTTAAAATTTTTAAAATCTATTTATATTGATGAATCTTTTTATTCATTTATTCTTATTCATTTATTTTCTTGTTTGTTTCTGCACTTCGATATTGTTGCAGCAACTAAAGTTGTTTTAGTTTTTTTCTTCTTTTTAAATAAAAAAGTTACCTTTGCAGACTGGCGACCATCACCTTGATGAAGTAGCCTTACAAATACGGGAAAAACTGAGTAAGGTATGTCTTTTATTTCACGCATTGTTGCCTAAAATCCTTTGGCATCATATCATCGTTAAATTTACATGCATGTGTCACCAAGTGCAATAAAACTTGTATTGATTTTAAAAGTAAAGCTTCTAGCAAATTTTCCATCTTTTGTTGCCTACAGTCATCACTTAGGACCCAGAGAGAACCAATGTTAGATAACAATGATACAGTTAAGTGGTTCGCAAAATGCTGCCCAGGGTTTTGATTAAACAGGGTGAATAAAATAACAAGTTGCCCAGCTGTCCCCTATTTTGACAATTAATGAGGCAACTGATGCACCCTGGTCATCTTCGATCTATCCTCGTTACCTTTCATTTCAAATTTACCTTTGCTTTTTATACTGATTTTCTGATTAATTGATTGCTTTGACTTCATACTCATCCTGACCTTCTCATGATTGCAGGCTATTTCGTCTAATCATGTAAAAGAAGACAATGCACCTGAGGTTGTTTGTTGTTCCTAGTTTTGTCCATTTCGGTATATTTATTTCGATACAATTTTTATCTCTTTTGACGTTCTTGATGTTTTAGTTTTCAAAATACAAAATATGGAGCAAATATTCTTATCTAATTTCACTTTTGGTTTCCTATAGTACCGTTCCAGGGCAGGGCATTCGTTGTTTCTGTGCATCGATTTTTTGTCCTGTGTATTTCTAACACGAGATGGTTTAAAACAAAGCAATCTATTTTCCACTTTTAGACGAAGCAAGCGCCAGATTTGCAACCAGTGAAAAAGAAGACTAGAAAGAGAATCTGACCATTTTACTTCTTTCAGAAGAAATAAATATTTTTGGTTGGTAATTCAAAAACAGTGGCAGAAACAACGCCAATAATGCTGCCCGATCAAGAAAATGAAAAATAAGTCTTCAAAGCAAGTTATCTTTTCATGAGAGAAGGGCAATTGGCTACAAAATCATTTTCCAAGAAACTTGGACGCTTGTTTACACATGGTTCATTTATAGTGCGGCATTACAGAGATGCCAGGACACTTGAAATTCGCTGTTATTTTCCTGCAAGCGAGTGCTGCTGAAAAGTGACATTAACCTTTCCCTTATTTTTATTCATGTCTTTTCTCCAACCTACCATTTTAAATTTGGGAACACTGCTCACGAAACCTTCCCTGGACACCACGATTGACTTTTAACCTGAGTGTTGTTTTTGTTTAAATAAAAACTTACATTTGAAAACTTGAGTTCTTTAAAGAAATTTATTGTTCGGGAATGCTTAATAGTGTTCTTAATGTTCTGTGACTTGAGGTGGTGCTAGGGATAAGCATCCCATCCATCAAGGTTTATTTTCTAAACAACATCCAAATGAATGGAAATTACTGTTTATCTGGTCTGTCATTTAGGCTTTGAAGAACAGAACTAGAGGGTTCTAACAAATTTGTAAAATATAAGCGATAGAAAAAGTGGAGGAAATTAAGTTTTTTGTGTAGCTGTAAATTTTCCGAGTCATTTGTTGTCTTTCATTTCCTATGCAAAAAATTGATTCACGAGGGTTTTGTAGACAACGAGGGATCCAACACTTGAATAGTGCGCGGAGTTTGCTTGAATAGCAGCCAGTTATTTGGAACACGGATAAAGACTCTTTTTTTGGACTGGATCTTATTATACTCAAGATTATATATACATTCAACTTACTCGCATTATTCATATATCTTATTCAAGTACTTACACTTGGTGAGCAAAAGTACTGCACAGGCTAGGCTAAAAAAGAAATGACAACACTGCAGCAAAATTTTTTAGCAAACCAAAATTCAAGTGGCCATAGCAAGTGTCATAAAAAGTTACAAGATGACTCTTTAGTTGGAATATATTGGAAAATTTATCAAAGTTTGATGCTGAAAATAGTAAATGCAAAAATATTCTTGATTTTTGCCTATTTCTAAACAATATCGACATTTGCAAAATCGCAAAAATTGAGCAATAATGATTGAAGTACCTGTCAAACATATGCAATAAAAAAGTTCATCTTTGCACCAACTTGCGATATCTTATTTCAATGAACTTGGGGGTACTTACTTTATGCTTGGGTATCTAGATCTGCTCATTTTCCTCACTTTAGTTGGAGAATATGCTAAACGTTTTGCTCGGAAATTTTTGGAGCCGCAATGGGCCTAATCGCAGCGGCCGCTACGTGGTATGTTGCAGCAGAATTTAATCACTAAAATGTGTCACAAATCGTCAAGTCCATTCTTTCCAACCGATTCATATTGTAATGGGAACAAATAGCGCTGCAAATTGCGTAAACCAACATCTCTCTTTTAAGCCCCCATCTTGGACTGAAAAAATAAATAAGCCCCCCGGGTGCTTAATAGAGCTCTTACTGTAGCTGTTTGAAATCATTTGCGTATTATGACGTAATCCGATTTAGCTTTAGCACTTCCTCATTGGATGGTCTCGTTTCCATAAATTGCAAACAACGACACTAATCTGGGAATAGTTGACAAAATCGTTGTTGGCAATCATTTCTCTCAAAAATAAAGAAAGTATCGTTGAGAATGTCATATCCAAAACAAACCTCTCATGGTAAGATAACAAATATTTTTGTGATTTGAATTTTATGTTTTTCAAATCAAAGCACGGTTGATTTATTTGGATTTGCAGCGTTTAACTAGGCCTTAAAAGTAATTTAGTCTTCTGACCTGGAGCTCAGCTACAGGAAATGATCTTGTCGAATTTAGCAGCTGCTTAATTGATTTAACGAAGAGGAGTTTTTAGCTACTGCATCAGCCCATACTTAGGAAGGATGTTTAATGGTTGCATATAAATATGGCATTTGCAGACTGTCAACTTTCTAGCTTTGTGTGAAAACAGCTTTTACTCTTATAACTTTATTTTTCATCAAGGGCAACAGTCAGAAGAGGGGTATCCAGGAAAGCAATGTGGCCCTCCCCCACAAAGCTATCCTGCAGTACCCCAAGGATATCCACAAATGCCACCTCAATATGGACAAGCTGCTCCCCCTCCATACTCTGCATATCCTCCTCAGCCCCAAGCTTATCCTCCTCAGCCACAAGCATATACTTATCAGCCACAAGCATATCCTCAAGTGAGTATAATTTTGTGAAAATATTGATTTAATCAGAAGTTTGAAATCGAATCCTTATTTCCACTATTCCGTTTTCGTATGTCTCCGTTTTCCGATCATTCAGTTTCTGTTATTCTTGGGCTGTTCTCATTGCTGGCTTTTTTAAATAGTTGGCTTTTATTAGCTGTGCTTGTAAATATTTTATCTTATACATGTATAGCTTTTTTATACCTTTTTTATGCCAACATTGTAAATAATGAGTTAACAATAATGATAATAAATAATTGCTCCAGCCCACACCATTTTGGCCAAAATGAAAACGAAGGTTTTCCCATCACTCTGTTTTGTCCTTTTTCATATTCTTTTTGAAACTCATCTTGAAACTGAAGATGAAGGATTTCGTTTTTAATTGACTCCGTTTTTGATTGTCTTATTCAAACAATTCGTTTTTAAAAGGCTCTGTTCTCCAATGACTTTATTTTCATTGTTCCCATTATAACAATTCATATTCAAACAACACTGTTTTCGGTTGATAACTTTTAACATCATTATCAAAGTCTCCATTTTTGAACGTATCAATGGGAACCCATAAACAATTAATTTAATAAATAGTTTCCTACGAAAGCGGATTAATGGGAACAGGGCCTGATTTCTAACAGACTTACCAATTATTAATTGCCCCTTTGCCATTTGTTGGTTATGTGGCATGCACATTGATTTCTGATTGTGAAAGCCCTGAGTTTGACGACAAGAAGAGATGTAATTCAACTGATGACTGATCAGGTTTTAAAAATCAGTGTGAGATAATCAATATATGAATTCTCCCGTAAGTTAACCAGTATGACATAATAACTATGACATAATCAGTAAGTTGTAAAAATTTAAATACAAGCTAGAGCCATTTTCAGTAGTGTGTGTAAAAAGGCAAAAATTTTGCTAACAAGTAGGGAGAAAACAAACAAATAAGATCATAAATCATGTAACTTAACAGTACACTGGAGAAACTATCAGGACGTGAAAAAGGACATCAGAAAGTTATAAACAACCTACAGGAAACCTGCGGGAAGTGGAAATAAAGATATGACACAGGGAGATTTAAAAAATGATTGGAGGAGAAAGAAAATCAAGACAAATGAATTGGAATCAAATACTTTTAGAAATTAAGTGAAAGTTTATCCCTGTCTATGAGGAGGCTTTCAAAGATGAGTAGGTCAAAAAAGTTGTATGTTTTCAAGAAATAAATAAATTTTCTAAAGAAGCTATGTGTTTAGGTGAACAAGATGTCACTCTTTGTCTTCCTACTGGTTATTTTAAGCTGTACGTTCTATGATCAGAATTTATTGAAAGCAATCAGTGTTTAAGATAACATTTTTTCAAAACACCTATGATTTAACAATTTCTAAAATGTCATGATTATTTTATATGCATGTTTCAGCAAACTGTAACTTACCTGACTCACCAGCCAATGGCCAGTGGAACATATGATTCTGGGGCACGTTTTGATGGGATTTCAAGACCAAATGTTCCTGTAAGTGTATTTTCAGACAATTTTTTCCTATATTGAAATGTTGATAAAACCAAATCCTGTGAACATAGAACCCTTGAGTATTGAACTATATCAAGAGGGCCCTCTAAAATAAGCACAAGTCATCCATTACTTACATGGCAGTGTTATCTATCTGCTTTCCAGATTTAGTAATTTAATCTCATTGTAATACTTCATCCATAAAGATTATAGGAATACTTGTAAGGAAGATGATTGTGTCATGTTTCAATTATGGTAGACAAGATGTAAATTTGTCTGAAATTATGAAAACTGAAAAATTTTAAGAAAAGTTGTAGGAGCTTCATTAAGCCATAGCATGAGATTTTCAACATGCACCGAAAGCTTGTAAATAAGTTTTCCCTTTCATAATAAGAAATATAAAAAAAAGACAATTTTCATTTCACTGATTCCAAACTTTGTCTGAAAATCTTTTCAACTGAGGGAGTAAGGCCAAGTCAGTTTGCGGGAAAAGCTTTTACTATATTCTTGTCTTTGTAGCATTTGCATCAATATCTGCTAAAAGTTATCAACTGTTTTCAAGTCTAGTTGATTAATTTATTCCATGAAAGAATAAATTAATTTGATAAGTTACATTTCCTCTATAATACTTTTTACTACACAGGTTTTAGACAACATTAAATACCATTTAATTCAAATGCAGACTGGATTTTTATAGTGAAGCTGCACATTCAAAATTGATTTGAATCATCACTCTAAGCAAAGTATAAATCTTAAGCAAGGCTGTAGCTATAAATTTATTAGGTCACAAATTTGACTGACCTTAACACAGTGTTTTTATGAATTATTAGCCTCTTCGCTCAAAATTTGATTTTCTCTGTTGCAGCCACCACCCCCAGGAGTTGCTCCAAATGCAGCTCAAGTTGCTGCTTCACAGGGACAGCCAGCCCTACTCCAACAAAGGCAAAGTGGGTGGCTTGAAGGTGGTTCTGGTGCTGGGTACACATTTTGGTGAAACTAACAGTTATAACTAGAAAGTAATTTGTGTTATTTAAAGTATGCAGTTAGCTGTACCTTAAGAGCTGTGGATTGTTTATGGATAAAGGTAAATGGCCCAGAAAATGGTTTATAAAACCATCTAAGCAGTTCCTGTATCAAAGGGGCCTTTTTTATAACTAGATAGACATATATAGTAAGATAAATAAACAGAAATCCACAATCAAAACAGCTACAGCGTAATTTCAACAAAAAATTATTATTACAGCTTCCGCTCTTAATTTATGATTAATATCTAGTTGAAATTTAGATTCAGGCTTCAATTTCTTTGTCTCCAACACAAAAAATTGGACCTTTTTCTCTGTTGATATAATGCTTTAGATGAAACAGCTTTTGCATACACTTGAAGTTGATACAGGAAAATGGACACTATATCAAGCTAATTGCAATTTTCAAGTTTTTTTCACTTTGCCAATCTTCTTGCCAAATGCTTATTTACTCCTTTATGAAAAACGTCTGTTTCTCTATGTGATTCATCTTGGTAGTATTTTTGCATTACAACCTTGACGGATGGGTGTGAATAGCCATTGATACTGTGATATATAATTGTGTTGCTTACATTTTGCTGCTGGGTTATCGTTATATTCCTTTAATATGTCAAGCATTACTCTGTTGAGCAATAGCAATATTAGAATGTTCACCTTCTCTCAGCTCTATCACCAAACATTTCACTTTAGTTTTTTTATTCATGAGGATCATTGCCCTTTAGTACAAACCATAAGTGTAAAAGACAGGGTTCTAGGGAACTGGAGCCTCCAGGAGTCAATTAATTTTCTCAAAATTAACACTTACTTTGCAGTGGCGGCTGGCACGAAAATGAGATGGTACTAGTAAAGCAAAAACTTTTAGCAGAGAGAACCAGCTAGAGGAAGGGTGGTGCAGGGGCGTAGTCCCTGGAAAATATTTGTTTTTATAGATAAAATGACCAAATTGTCTCTTAATGGCGGGTCAGAAGTTTTCATACAATACCTCGGTTTGTTTGACGTCATGGTATATTGCCAGCTGCAGGGGTAATATGGCCTTGCAGCATTTTATCACTAGAAAGAGGACTCTAGCTAGTACTGCAAACGATTTTTTCATTGTTGGATTGTCAAAAGACAAACGGTCTTACGTCACGTCGTCACAAGTGACAATTAGAAAGACTTCTGCAGTACTGGATGAATGAGGTCTAGTTCTGTGGTGTGTATAAAGGGCTTATTCAATGCCAATCTTTCAATGAGGATTAAGATATGGTTTATTCCCCTGCTCTTCCCTTTTTGCCATTAATTAATCATAAAAAAAAGTAGTACTAGACTGGTACCACTAGCACCGCTGCAAGCCGCCACTGCTACTTTGAAATCATGATACTCGCTCAACACTTTCTCTGAGAAGGGACTGAAAACACAGTAAGTTCAAACATCAAATTTTTGAATTACTTATCTATCAAAGAAATATAAGAACAAGAAGTTAGAAAAAAGCTTAGCTATATTTCTAGTGATAATGATAAAGGCTTACAGTTGAAAACAAGAGTTCACTCTTGAACCAAAGTCTTAGAAGATGATAGGTAAGATGCGTGGACTCAACTGCACCAATGTTCAATTACTACTCTGTTCTGAAGGCAAGAAATCCTTTTGTCCAATTGCTGATTTATCAGAGCTCGCTTTTAATACGTTTGGGAATTCTGAAGTGGTGAACTGAAGAAAACTGGTATCATCAGTATCAGGGTAGCCAAGAGGTTTAGGTGGTCCTTGGGCAAACCCGAAAGATATTACCCTCTGCGAGGGAAGCGAGCAGAAATTTTTGCAATTACGCGGTCTTTTTCTTTCAATCGTTTAAAACGTATTAATATTTTCTAGGCAGTTATATTTTCCTACAATTATGCAAAACAAAGTAATAAAAACATGTATCAATTTTTAATCCACGTAATATAAGACAATCTTTGATATTCACATTGAAAACTTACATATATCAATAATTTTTGGCAAATCTAAAAAATATTAATGATGTAAATTCGTATAAATATAGGGTTAAAAATTTCCTAAGAAAAAATAATAAAGTTAGCAGATAAATTGAATACCAGAATTAAATAGATTAATTTGATAGTTAAAAACGCAGAATTTCCTATCACGTACCTCTCCCAAAAGACTGTCAAACGATTAAGACTCCCAAATAGAAGAATAGTTTTACATTTGCCACTTGATAGGGGGCTATGGTCGAAACGTCGTTAATGAGTGTGCTACTTTTTCCTAGTACAATTTTAATTTAAGTTTAGTGTCACATTATATTGTACAGCTCGCATTTATGGATACTTTTGTTACATTTGATCAATTCAGTTTTAAAAATTGAATTCTTTACTTTATCAGATCCACTAGACCTCAAGGCCCTAGGACAGTTTGCTTCCCTGGCCCCCCTGTCAGAGGCTCTGATCTGTATAGATGAAGGTACCCTATTATGAGACTAGGCAGTAGTTCATTTAACAAAGTAATAGGCCTAGTTACGAGTCTTTCAATTTCAATTTTGATTTAACTGATATCTTAATTTATATTGTTATTTTAAAAACTGTGCACAGAAGAAAAAACACTAAACATTCAAAGAAAATTACTATTCAGAGGCGAACAGCACAAGAAATATTTATAAATTTAATGAAACGAGATCAAAGAAAGATCAGGACGAAGAGAAAGCTTGCCTGTGCGCAGTCTTTTGTTGCTGTCGCTGAACATTTCCAAGACCGCAACAGCAAAAATACTGCGCGCAGGCTAAGAGAAAGCTGGGATCGTTGTTGAGAAATGCTATAAATGTGTATTGGAGGAAGCAATTGTCAATTGTTGCTATGAAAAGCTAAGCAAAATCTGAATTTGGAAAGGTAAATTAAAACAAGCACTGAGAATCAAGTTGTAGAAGCCTTTACTCAAAACAATCCTTGTTTATAGCTAACAAAGAAAAGAGGAAAAGTTTGAATTCGTTTCACAGAAAACAACTAATGAGGGTACTTTTTTAAATACCCAGTAGGCATCGACAATACAAAATTGTATAAGAAAATATACAAAGATGGTTTATTTTTCAAAATATCCCCAAAAAATAGAAACTAATTCGACATATTTTAAGATCACACCAAGAAACCCCGCATAGACCATTTTGAGATATGTTCAAAACTACAAAGGAACACTACATAAATGCTGAGAATTTATTTTTCACTATTATTATGGTACAGTAACTTGACAGAGAAATTCTTGGTCTACTGAAATTTCAGAATATTCAAGTTACTAAATCCATAGCTTGTTTGTAGATTGGAGTCCGAAGCATCTTCGAAATGAACTTAAACATAGAACAAAATAAGTGACCAAACATTTGGCCAAAGGTCATTGTGTGAGATTAGCTGAGATCTATCCTATGTATTTTTCTTTTCACCAGCTTGTGTTGAGTTTCGCCATTGCACATGCCTATTCTGCTCACTTCTCAGTTCATTGCAGACAAGGTTCGGCCAAGGTGGTCTCCAAATGTCTCTGTTGATTGTCTTCAGCATGTTTAAAACTACCTTCCTGTCGTCCAAATCCCTTTCCATAATTTCAATTAGAGATATTTAAACCTCTCTCTTTTCAACTTTTCGACAGAGCCTGAACGCAGCCCAGGCCCGTAGCCAAGGAGTGGCATGGGGTGGCAATGCCACCCATGGAGCACGGGAGTACCAGCTGTTTGCTACCCCAAGAATTTTGTCTCTACATATTTTAATGGAGATTTTCTTCGTTGTCATTGGATTGCCGTGACAATTTGATTCAAGCTAATACTGGCGGAAGGAAAATTGTTTATTAGGGTCTCTTATTACCCATGTAGGAAGATTGTGCCTGACCCTCAAAAAACTAATTCGCTGCTAAGCAAAAGCTTGGCGCTACTTGGGCGCTTTTCAGAAAATTTCTGAAACAACTGCCTGCAACACAGCGCTCAGGGCATTTCAAATCACAAGTTATGTGAACAAGAAATTTTTGGACAATATACTAAAGTATAGACATCCAATGGTTTAATCAGTGGTCAGCAACATTCAGCGAAACGGGGTCTTTGTTCCCAAGCACTTTGATGATTTTCTCAGTATTGACAGTGATATTGTCAGTGTCAGTAGTTGTTTCCACTAACTCTAGCCACCGCCCCCAACCCCTCCAAAAACTTCACTTTAAACTTCGCCTGCATTGAACACGGGGAGTCTGCCACCCCTACTCCACAGGCCTGGCTACGGGCTTGACGCAGCCTACTGCCTCACAATTCTCTACCAGATCATTCGCCGCAAATGGCAAAGATATCCGAGTTCTTTACGAAGATCAAATACAAGAATAGAAGAATGAAAGCGACATAAATAGACAATTAACAGGGGTGCAGCTAGCCGGGGAGTGTAGGGGATATGACAGTTCCCAAATTCTTTATGGGATAGTCGTAATTCTTCAGTTGGTCCACAAAGCCTTCTGTTGCTCTGTAAAATCCTATCAATAAGTAAAATGGTCCTAAAGTTTTTTCATCTATGTCTTCAGCGACGTAAACACTGACATACTGACCCAGCGCTGAAACACAAGAATGGGTAGATGCCTTTCTAATTCGTACATGACCTTCTTACATTTCTCATTAAGTTAGTTGATTCATTTATATATTGAACAGTTTTGACAAGAAAACAGGACTGAATTCATCTGCAGAAATCTAAATCCTTAGTTAGCCTGCACCAAATCAAGTTTTCAAGTTACCATTTTGCCTATTTTGCAAGCTGCTTGTTTATATCTCCCAAAAATAGACTTTTGAAGTTGTGATGTCACGTGAGTGAGTATTTTGGATCACTTGTTTTATTTTCTTGCTTAATAACATAAAAGTTTCTTAATCAATAAATATTTTTCGCGTCTTGAAAAGGAAATGGTGTGCAAAGTCATCATGATCTATCTGCTTACCTTTACACTCGCTTATATCTTCAAATTTTTCCAATCTGTAAAGTCAAAACTCCTCTTTCCTTCTTTGCAAGGTTCTGCGCAAAGATTGCATCTGGCAACATCATATCTTTCGCTTTGTTTTGCGTGGGAGCCTGATATTTAAGCTCCAAGGACTTGCTTTTTTGCTCTAGACGCTTAGTTTACCTTCCTCTCTTCCAGGGTGCAGGCGTGATATCTTGAAGATGAGTCTTTTTTCGAGCCAAAACAAAGTTGAGCTTTTGTCTCTGTGGAGGAGCTTGAAACAAAATAGTCGCTGTAATTCCATTTGCACCGGATTTATATATTCTTGATTAACAAAACAATCCTTGACATCCATTACGCCATTACAGCGTAAATGATGTGATTTGCCCTTGTCTTTGTTAAAACAGCCTCGAAATGAGCATTTGACGCTTTTTAAGCCGCAGCCCTCTATTTGCGCCTATGCGGAGGTGTTCCTGGCATTTTCAAAAGAGGGACCCACTATTCTCTTTTGATCCTTTATATGTTCTGATGTGTCAAAAAAATCCCCGCAATTCGGTCACGAATCCTAAGAAATTTTCCCTTACTAATTAATTGTTCCCATTGTTGCTACAAAAAGAACGTTATTTGCTAAATGTTTATATTTTTGAAATTTTCCTCATATTCGTTGGAGACTGGGTACGGGTAAGTCTTTGATTTCCGGTTGAATGATCGAACTCGCAGTAATTAATGAACTCAAAATGGAAGGAGAACAAACTTGTTGTTAGTATCGCGAGAATAAGGATTACGATAATGATGTTTCCAAAGAAAGAGTAAAGACACTTCCACACTTGACTGTTTCTCCCGCGGCACAATCAATAGAACTTCAATCATTAATTCCTAACTCCTCAGGAAGGTTGCGAAATCACAACGGCTTGATGAGGCAGGCCTAAATTTTTAGGCCAAACAACATCAAAATTGATTTCGAATTATAGACACTTTTGAAATATTTGTATATTTTCAAGCACTTCTACTGGCCACGCAAAGGTATGGGCCTGTTGATGACAAAGTTATGGTACTCGTTATTTGGTAGCAAAGGTAAGACAACTCTATATACCCGTACGTTATAAGTTATGCAAACATCGCGTTTTTGGTTCCATTTGCCATGAAGCTCGATTGCGACGAAATTTATTGATGATTTATTTGCAGACAGTAAGCTAAATAGGTATAAAATGAAGAGAGGTGACTGGCTCATAACATTGAGTGCAAGTAAGATCGACTTGTAACCGCATACTTTTCAGAAAAATTGCGTTAATAAATAATCGTTGATAATCGATAACAAAAACATCTTATCATCGTTATTTTAAAACTATCAACTCTACTGTTGTAAGCGACCTCATCACAGTATCTTTCAGCAGTAATTATTTCTTGTATTAGAGCGATCCTCTAGAATCATAATCGCAATCTGTCTTTCTGACCCACCAGTTTTGCAGCTGTTCAATTTTTGCGCTCATAGCAAAGAGACTGATTTCTATTAGGAAACAATAAGCAATTCTTTTCGAAAGAGCTATTCATTTCAGCTAGTAAACTATACAGTGAATTAGGGGCTGTACGCTTTTTTGTGTAAAAGAATAATATTTGCTTTCCATCATAGCTATGCCTATTTTTAAATACGGGTTTTTTTCTTGTTGTTTCTGCCAATAAACAACACAAGCCATTTTTCTTTATATATATATATGCTATGTTTTCTTAAGCAGCAAATATAATTTTTGAGCCACTTTCAAAATTATATTAAGGTGGAAATTGGTTATGCTTAACTGGTACTGGACTTGTCCTCCAGGCTGTTATACTTGCTTGAGAAGAGCCCAAAATGATTTTTTGGCACAGGCTCTCTAGAGACTGCGGGCTAGGGGGCTGTAGCTCCCACTTTTTTGCTGGAGTATGGTATCAAGGTTGTGGCATCAAATATAATAAGTGGTAAACTACGATGGGAGTCTTCCAACTTGTCCAAAGCCTTCCTCTCCTTCCCCCCTACTAAACTCCAAAATGTTTATAGGCAATTCTGTGGTATAATGATGCAAAAATTTCTATTTCACATCTGTTCGTCCCAGTCTGCATAAGAAAATCAGGTTTCACCTGAAATCGCAAATCATTATTTATGAAGTTATATGATAAACACATCCTATAATAAGCACTTCGCACAGTGCACCCTATAGGTGAGCATTTGTTACTCATTAGAAAATATCTTTTTCCAACCTGTTTGCGTCTATTGACCAGGCATTGTGAGGAGCAAAAAGCAGGCGCTTGACAATTTGAGCGCCTTCAACTTTCTAGGTGCTCGATTGAGCATCATCAAATATCATAGATAACAAAATTTGGTTTTTCACATTTTGTTTTTACACAGCATAAACAGGCTAGGTCCTTGATCAATCAAGCTCCTATAACTTTCTAGGCACAAGCAGCGCTTGGTCGAGCTTGAGCACCTCACGCTACAAGGCCTGTCTTTGATATCAAACTTCTTCACTTCTTGAAATTAATTTCAAAACTTGGCAAACCTTTTCTTCTGTTCTGTCCTGTAGTTTTTTGAGTATATTCTGCCCATGCTAGTGTATGCTCTTACAAAAATACATCTTGTCTGCAAGAGATGCATAAGCCTCTGAACATTTAAAGAGGGCATTATTCATGGAAATGTACTTTTGTTGAATTTGAAATCTGTCCAACTAAAGAATTGAAATACTAATACTGAAAACATTGAAAATTGATTACAAATTCTTTCTTTAGGAATTAAAAGTAATTATCCAGGAGAGGAGTATTCATTATGACAATCTTTACAAAATAGATAAGCTAATGCTCAAATATGATATATATGGATATATGCTACTTTTCCCATGAGTATATTCCCTGATGACCCCTTTTCCAGAAACCTGCCAGACTGATTTTATGCCAAAGTTACTTTATTGGTTGCAAGTTTTGAATCTTTTCTAATCATGACATGCTTTTTCCTTGATCAATATATTTGTTGTGTCCATTTTTGTTAAAAATGCAATGGTGTTTATTCTGTGAAATCAAGCAGCTTAGCAGATCTCGAAGACTTCTCTTTGATCATTGATAACAAAAATCCTCCACATGGTTAACTTTCTGATACGTAATTTGTTAAATTGGTTCACACATTCTACCCATACTTCCCTATGGGGTACTTCATATGTGTCAATGCAAATCCTGTATTACACATGTTTTATAGGTTAACAAAGATAACCGTTCATATTATGCCTTTTTGTTGGCATGTTTTGAAATCCTTTGAAACTCTGTATCACAACACTTGTAACTGATTTTTGACATTTTTGTTATAATAGATACAGGAAGCTATGAATGTATCATTATTCTCTTTATCATTTTCCACCATTTGTTTTTGTTTTTCAAACAAATTTTGTTCTACTTTAAAGATCAGTTGACAAAATTGTCAAAATATTTAAACACACTTCCCACAAAAATTCAAGGTCATTCATTCCTTTTTTCATAACAAATAATTTTGCTTGCATTTCTTACATAAATGTTGTCTCTTTCAGAGATTGATGCATACTTTATCTTTTAAGAACACAAAGTTATCATAGTTGGATTGGATAATGTTGGAAAAACAACAATTTTGTACCAGTTGTAAGTTGAATGTAATTCATTTCCAATTTTTGTGGTGCTTTTTGAAAGATAGTTTATCAACATTTATTTAGAACCTAAAATTACTTGCTTTGACAAATTAATCTTTCATAAGTTCTCATTTATCTGGCAGAGCATTGCTTTGAACCTTCTCATGTACCTCTCTTTGAACCAAAATAAAATGCTCAGTCCATGAAATACTTTAGGTGCCTCTGAGAGTCCTTAATTTTTTCTTTCCTTGCAGCCTTATGAACGAAGTGGTCCATACATCACCAACAATTGGAAGTAATTTTGAGGAGGTATGTATTTTCATTACAGTAAAACTTTATTGCTGAACTTCAAATGATGGTAACTCTGTCATTCTAGTTTTGCTTGTATGAAACTGGATTGTTGCTTTTCAAAGAAATTATTTCAGGCCTAATAAAAGTAATAAATGACATGATCTTGACAAATATTTGCAGTATGTTGTTTTGCAATACCCCATTAATTATAATTATAATTATTGCCATTTCTAGTACTACGTGATCATGTGTTTATGAATGCAGTCTATTAGAAATGTCTCTTTTTCCTGCAATGTACATTTGTTTGTTGACATGTTTAAATGTATTGAGTTACAATAGTGCAAAGTTGGACAAATTTCAGGTGACATGGAAAAATATACACTTTTTAATGTGGGATATTGGAGGACAGGAGTCACTTAGGGCATCATGGCCAACATATTATACAAATACTGAAGTAAGTAAAAGTATGCATTCTGAATCTAAGACAGTTGGGATGAAACCAATAGTAGCATATTCAAAATGAACATTAACTGAAAAAGTTATGTTATATTATGTTATGTTATCTTATGTTATGTTATGCCATGTCATCTTATGTTATGTTATGATATGTCATGTCATGCCATGTCATGTCATGTCATGTCATGTCATGTCATGTTATGTTATGTTATGTATGTTATGTTATGTTATGTTATGTTATGTTATGTTATGTTATGTTATGTTATGTTATGTTAAAGTTATGTTAAAGTCGTGTTAAAGTTATATTATTATGTCTTTTGATTCCCTTTATATCCAGATTTATGTTTGAGATATAAGAAATAAAGATGAAGTGATGAACAGTTAATTCTTTTTGTCCTTAATGACTCCTTTTTGTTGTTTTGCATAGCTTATTCAAAGTATTTTTGACATTTCAAGTATCTTTTATGTGCTCTAGTAAAGATCAGATATCATTGCATCAAAATGGAATGGGATTGAATTGAATTCTGTGTCCTACAACTTATATTTTGGTTTCTTTTGCAGTTCCTAATATTTGTAATAGATAGCACAGACAGAGAGAGACTACATATATCAAAATCAGAATTATATAATATGTTATCTCAAGAGGTAAGATTGCCAGTTATTGGGCATCAGACATAAAACTTTTTTGAGTAGTATAATAATACTTTCTAGGCTTGTTTGTTTTTGAACAACCATTCTTTGTTTTTATTCTAGGTTCTAATGTCCACTTACTTAGATATATAGTGAAAATTATTGCTTACCAGTCTGTCATAAAGTATCTGATACTCTATAGGCAGAGCTGTACACTCTCTTTGGTGTATAGAACTGGAAGGTTATAAGTTGCAATTCCCAGTTTCACACCTCCAGGTTAATGTCATTTTCAGGCAACTGTTATTAATCTGGAACAGTTGCCGGATGACTGCATTAAGCGTAAAACTCAAAGTGGCAACCAAGAACCATCCTATTCTATATATACACCAAATAGCCTACTTAGATATATAGTTTTCGAATTAATATCAGCACTCAACCCCTAATTATTTCTATCACTAAGCGGATTTGTACTCTATCAATGGATATGGACCATCAATGTTGCTTTGTGTGAAAAGAAGTAAGCATGAGTCTTAGAGACTCGACAGTCTCTTTAAACAATATCACCAGGCAATAGTGTTGCTTTGCCCCATCTCAAACTAGACAACTGTCACAGATTTTGATAAGATCTGCTTTTACAAGGAATTTAGCTCGTTTAAATGGATAGAACTATCAAACTTTTCATGCTGATTCTACTGTGGTATTTTGGCAGCCTCTCAAATCTTTGAAGTTAAAACAATAGGAATATACTTTCTAACCTTTCCCAGAGCATTACAGTGAACTTTTGCCAATAATTACCAAGTGAACACTTGACAAGCCTGTTATACATTCAGCTGATTATCTTGTTAAAAGAAGAATTTCAAAAACAAAATCTGAAATCTTGTTTTACAGAAATGAATTCCATTTTCTTTCTATTGTAGGATTTGAAACATGTAAATGTTTTAGTTTTTGCAAATAAACAGGACATTAAGGTAAGTTTAAGCCCATAATGGCTGATTTTATTCTTTGTATCACTTGCTTCTGATGTAGTAATTGTACTGGTTAAGTTCAGGAAAATTATAGATGTATTATTATTATAATATTTATCCATAGATTATTTATCAAGCTTTGTTTCCTATTAATTACCATGGACTTTTCTGAGCAGATATAGCAATGTTGAAAGTCTGAAAATGTTGAAAGTAGTATATTTCAGTAGATATCATACATCAGCAGGCTGTGAAAACTTTTTTGTGTGGTCTGAACTTGTTTCGTATAAAATATCAGATACACCAAGGTGACATTTTGATGATTAGTTGGTTATCTGTGAGTAATTTCTCATTTGTTGATGTATTACATAGTAGCATGTAAGTTGCCAGTAGCCTTGGCATATGAATGTTCCTGTTCCCTTTGGTAAAATTAAGACCATTCAAATAGCTTAACATGATAAATTATTATTCCAGGGCTCAATGCCAGTATCGGAGTTGTCTGAGCAATTAAACCTTACATCAATCAGAGACCATCCCTGGCATATACAGGTATTCCCATTGAAGTACTTGCTTACGGAAATTTTATTATAGTTTTTTTTTTGTTTTTTTTATATTCTCATAAAATTTACAATGACAATCAATTACAATACAAAAGCCTAGGGAGCATGGAAATGCATAACAACCCTAAGACTTACACTTAACATAGAGACACAAATATTTATTATTGCAAATATTATATATACTTTTGTAGCTTGTTATTGTATTACAGTTGGCGTGTAAAGCAGCAAGGTACCACAAGTTATAACTCTGACATTCACGGTGGTTTTAGATATATATAGCCATTTTACACTCTGCAACAGGCAGGCGAACAGTTTAGGTGTGAGGATAGCTGAGTGCTTTAGATCGCGGAATAATGATCCGAGGGTCTGTAGTTCTAGACTGTGACATGACCAAACTGTGACTCAAAATGAAGAGAGTCATCAGCAAGCTAAAATTACAGGTGTAGGAATCACAGGGTGTGGTTAAATCGAGAGGAAGGACCAGGAGACTGTTCAATACGCCTAGTCTCTCAGTTTCCTTCGGAAGCGAGGTTATAACAACTACAAATATAATACAAAATCTAATAGATGCCTTCGATTTTTCCCGAGCGCACAATTTCCCTTTCCTATCTGCTTAATCGAATTCTTGCATCGTTTTTGTTATTGATTTTGGCTCGATATGATTTTATTAGGCCAGGAGTGTATTGATAATATTTTTTGATACCTCTTTAGCCATTTACTGGACAAAATTTTAAAGTTTTGATTTTTCAAGAGATAAAATTTTTCAAACCAACTTGAGTTTTCCTGAAATGAATCAACAGGAAGATAAATCAATGGATCAAAGAGCAGCTGGTGCTAATCAATGCATAAAATAGATAACTATCTATAAATATATAAAGACATTAACCCGTGTGGTCAAGTTGGTAACATTGGCTACCAAATAGTATTCAATTGAGTTCCGGGAGGCTGCATCTTTAAAGATTCTTGTAATGTTTTTCACCAGATTCAAGATATTTAGTGTTAAACCAAAACACTGCATAACATTGTCCATAGAGTACGGATGGTATTAAAATAGCGATAAATAACGGTACTTAAATAATGTAATGATCACACATTTTTGTGTTAATGTATTTTTCTTTAGTTTAGACTACTAAAGTTGTAGATGGTATAATTTTTAGCACCATTCGCAGTGGAAACTCGATGACATGTCTTTTCCCGCTACGAATGTTGCAGGTAAAAGCAGAATCGTGATTTTAACTGAAAAAAATAATATCGGCTATGGACACTTAGGTGCATCTTTTAAGACTACTGAATGATTTTACGCAGGTTTATTTCCTTTCATTGCCATAACCCATCTCTTATAGTTTGTTAGACATTTATACTCATAACGTATTTTTTTCAATCTGCAGGCTTGCTGTGCACTATCTGGTGAAGGGTAAGTTGAATTGCTAAGAAACATCGATATAATCATGATGACAGGTTGTGACAATCCTCTTTCATTAACTTCGTAATGATAGATTTATTTCAGTGTTTGTAGTTTAGAAACAGTCTCCCTCTTCCTTTATAAGGGACACTTTCAAGTGTCCCTTATAGCTTCCACACTTTTCACAGATTCTTTAGCTTCCACACTTGTCAAGTGTCCTGTACGAATTTTCAGCACAATCCTCCCAAATTTACCTCCACCCAGGTCCTGTTTGACTCAATATTGCTTTATCTCATTCTTTCGATACTCATGTTCTATAGCTTTTCACACAATCTTCTTAAATTTGAAACTAGCCCTGAGGGTCTTTGCTTTATAAAGCTCGTTCTTTAAACTTTGAAAACTCAATCCACAATCTCCCATGTGTAAGCCATTCTTGAAGGCTTTTTGTCTTATAATTTTCCTCATGCTTTAAACTCCCTTTAGGAAGCTCATTCGGAAATCTTCCTCGATTTGTGAAGCATTTTAAGGATCTCTCAGGGTATATTGCAGTAATAAAATGTATTTAAACACCCGCATTATGCTGCATATGTTTAAAGCTTTCAGTTTTTCCTCTGTCCAAAGTTTGTATTATTGTATTCAAAGACAAGCAATTAATTTGAAGCTGTTAAGTTTAGAAGGCAGGAAAGTACAATATCCAAACTTAAAGTAACTATCAAAAAGTCACATTTAAAAGCTCGTGGTAAATCTGAAAACAGTATTGTTTCTGAATATGCAGTTGTTGCTGCCATTTTAAGATATCTTGAATGTAAAAATAGATTTTGTCTTTGTATGTAAAGCTAAATATTTGCTTGTTTCTTTTTCAGACTTTATCAAGGACTTGAATGGCTTGTAAGTCAGGCAAATAGATAAAAAAGAAAATTCTTTAAAATAGTAGTTCTCAATACGTAGTCCCCTGTATTATCCATTTCAATTTTAATTAAACATAGATTTCTAGCTTCCTTTGTGGATTGAAACTTAAGCAAAGACGTTTTTTGCTATTTCTCTAATTTGTCTATGTTTGTTTCGGTATCAACATCGTTTTTGCCTTGTATGAAGACTTAGGCCTTTAGTTCGTCATAGTGGCTAGAGCCAGTCGTACGTTCTAGAATTCGTGTAAATCTGACTCACCTTTATTGTTATGTTGTCAATTTTTTTCTAATCGTTCATTGTTCTGAACTTTGAGATTGAAAGAATAAAATGCTGCTAAAATACCGCCATCATGTAAAGAAATAATTAACAGTGTCAAAATGTTACATGGTTTTTAGAACCATGTTTCGTCGTTAATATAATATGTCTTCATGTTGATAAATAAGTCTTGTGTAATGTATATAACAACCCTAAAGTCGTCAACTGCCCTTGTCCAAGATTTTTGATTATCCTTAAATGCCTACTAGCCATTATTATCATTATGTTTCAGTATGTATCATTATCTAACAGTTTTTGCAGTAATTCCATGTTTTTGATAATACTACAGCTCCTCCAATAGAAGTGATTCAAAACATGGTGACTTGTGCGTTTCTATTTTACGTTGACTCGTCGTAAAAGATGGCTTTGTCCTAGCAGTTCTTACTGTGATCCGCGCGCTTATGTTGTCAAATAACCTCTACGATGAGAATCGTTTTGTAAATTTGATAAACTGTATCTAATACGATTAGCCAAACAAAATGAATTCTTAATTTTTTAACAGGTAGATATGCGTCGTACTTAGTATATTTTATTGTCACTTTTGTTTGTCCAAGTCTACTTCTGTTTAAATTCCAAAACCCTGTCAAAGGGATGATTCTGCTTGTATATATTTTCTCTCACTCATTCAGGCGCTGACTTGTACTTTTCTTTATTCAACGGTGCTGTCACACTTGTTATTTATAGAATCTCCCAAGCACGGTGATTGAGGCCAATCCAAGTTATTACACTGTCTTTACACTCTCAATTTTCATCCCGGTTTTTTGGACTAACCTTGTCTGTTGTGAACTGAAGTTGTCCCCTTTCAGAAACCCGTCTGCACGAAGGCTTGTTTATTCAAGGCCAAGTCCCGCAGCTATGACTTCTGAACTTTGTGCGCCCGGAGAAAGGTGACGTCTTCCTGTATTTCCATACATATAAGATCGACTTTTTGTTCCCGAGAGCGAGTGATAGGGCTTATTCCGTATACACGCTTTTTTTTTTATAAGGAACCTAGCTCGGGCCTAGTTCTTTAAATTCCTTATTTTGAGACCTGTTTTGACCACTTTGTAGTTCTAAAAGTTCCTTAATAGTTCCTTAATTTTAAGTTGGCATTTAGTGGACAATAATTAGTACAGACGCAAGAAAAACAATCAAATTCAGCGTTTTGCTATAAACTTAAGAAAAGATAACAAGTTAAAACACAAAGAAGCTTCATATAATATAAAATTAATAATAATAGTCATTAAAGAAGTTGCATATCCACTCCATTGATGTCGTCTGACACAATGTAGTCTTCAGTACCGTCTTCGAAAAGAACTCTAAACTCTCCCAGCTTGGTGTTGAACCACTTCACTTGTCCAGTGTGCCATTCGTCGTAGAATGCGCGTATTTTTTTATTAATCAACTCATGTTCGTAGACACGATCTTTTACATGGTCTACTCTTTCATGCTCAAGCTCGTCAGGCTCAAGTTCTTCATCCCCTTCATCTTCTTCATCACTTACATCTTCCTCACAGGCTGCTGAGGCCTCTGGTATTTGTACAGACAGTGGATTTTCGGGGCCAGTCACAGGCAATGGTGGTGGTATTGAGTACCCAATCAGACCTTCAGGCTGAATTTTCTTGTCCTCCGACCCATCAGCCGTTATTAAGCAGCCTGTCTTTTCAAAGCATCTGTACCGTGATGAGGCATAGCTCTCACTGGAAAGCCTATTGTATGCCTCACCAACCCAGTGTGTAATTAGAATTCTTCGCTTCTTGACATCCAGTTTTTCAACACTGTTCCCAAGCCAAAGATCTATATTTTCGTCACTTTGCAGCCACTCATCTTGGAGGGTTCGAACCAAAGACTTCAGCATGTTTCCAAAGCCACAATCTACAGGTTGCCAGATGTCTGTCGCACTGGCCAAACCGAACCAAACAACACCATTTAATTTTCTGACCTCACTCAGAAACAGATCATTAGTTTGCGCACTTAAGTTGTCGCAGAAAAGAACGAATTCTTCATTTTCACCTGTTTCGGAAGAATTTTGGACAGCTGGTTTCAGAGTTCTCTTCACCCAGTCGATGCTGAAATTGATGTCTGCCCAGGCGTTTGTCTGCCAGTAAACATCCACGTCTTTGTGGTATGCCTGTATTTCATCCTGGCTGATTCTTTTCCCTGTTCCACGGAAAATAATTGCAATTTTGACTGGCGGTCCTTCGGCTGCAAAGCAGATTTGTAACGTGCACTGCCGCTTATCAAGTCCCGGTCCCGGTGTGCTGAAAAAGAATTAAAGATAGCAATTTTAGAAGGAGTGGACAAATGAGCAGCCCCCCAATTTTTATAATATTTCCAAATTAATTTTTTAAAAGGCCCAGTCTGGAAAGAGTTTAAACAAAAAGCAGAAAGCGGTTTACCTGACCCAGGTTCGATGGTTTCTTTGTTCTCCGCGCGGAAAGTGTTTTTCGTATGTTGTTTTACAATCGACCGCAAACGGCATAGGAACTTGGTCAACGTTGAAGCGTTTAGATGGTCGGAATCTCCCCCATTTGCTGTCATAGGAAGGCTTTGCGTTTCCTGTCTTGATCAAGCCTTCGCGCAAAGTTGTGTGCCAACCAATCATGCCTGGCAAGAAGCTCGTTTTCTCAGCCCTTTTCTTACGCTGAATTCTCCTCAACTTGATTTTGTACTTCCTGATAAAGTTGAAGACTGCAGATTTCGGGATAGCTTTAATATCTGATTGGGCACTTTGGTCGAATTCGGGGTTAATCTTCCTAGCATTTGCGTACAGCCATGCAAAAGATATTCGCATCCCCTTTGATCTTGCTTGTAGGAACTTTTCGTGAAGCATCACGAAGACTTGCTTATGCCTTGTGCTGGGTCTGATCTTTTTCATCATTTTCCTGTGGCTATCGGCGGCTGCATCAGTAATTTTCTTCTCATTTTTAACCCAGGTCGATACCATCGATTTAGAGATGTTGTATTTGAATGCAACGTCATTCTTTTGGTTTTTCTTTGCTTCCTCGATAACTTTTAGCTTAAATTCGGTGTCATAAGATAGTCTGTTCTTCTTCTCTCGATGGTGCTGACTGCTTTCTCCTGCTTCTGACGCTCTAGCACTTTTCTCTATCTCTTGACATTCCTCTACAGTTTCTTCGATGTTCTCATCCACATCAATAGCAGTTGGTTCTTTTTGTGGCTCAACAGCCTCGGCGCTACTTTCCAAGATCAATGGAATTTCATCGATTTTTTTAGTTGGTTGTTCTTTTTCTCTCTCACTGTCTTTTTTCGAAGTGCACCAAGACACGTGCATCGTAAGGCCAGACTTACTTTTGAAATGCTTGTTGCATGTGTCACAACGATACAAACTTACATCATCATCCTCAACAAACGAACGACCAGGGACTTCTTGTAACTCATTTCGATGAGGTATCTTTTTAGAAAAACCGAACTTGAACAACGTTGACTGCTTTTTCTTATCTCCCATATTGCAACTACTGTAATACTCAGCCACACACACAGAATAAGAATTCTATTTTGTTGTGACTAACCTATTTGACTAAAACTAAAACACCTAAAGTGTGAATTCACAACAAAGCACAGCTGCATGTGAGGTGAGTTAAAACGGAAATTTCTCATGTTGATTCTTGGCCCCATGAGCATGGCCGGTTTTACTGAAAATCAATGGAACCGGCTTCCTAATTGTAAATTGTGCGGAAATATAAATATATTCAAAATTAAAAAGTTCCTTAGGGATTTGGCCTTTAGTAGTAAAAGTTCCTTAAGTTTTTTGACCTTCTACATGTAGGTTCCTTATAAACGGTTCCTTATAAAAAAAAAGCGTGTAGCTAAGTTCATAAGCGTTCATGGGCAGAATTTCTCTCTGTCCCTAATTTTGTTGACCATCCTTTGCTTTATTCAAATGAAGTGATAATGTAATTTAAAACATGGCACACTTTTTGCCAAAAATAAATTGACGAATTGACCTCTAGTGAAGCCTCTCTTTATTAGGTTTAAGCCCCTCCCCATTTTTCTGAGCATTCTGCGGTGCTAGGTATTGTGTCATCATCACGGGGGCTAACCAGAGCAAGAACGGTCATGTTTTCATTCATGGAAGAAATTCCCTGCCTACCTAAATGTAATAGGTTTCGAGAGACGATACTCAATCTTGGAAAGCTTCCAGAACATTTTTTGGCAGCAAAATAGATGGGGTCGAGTCTGTGATCTTTTTTTATATTCTTGAAGATGGTAATAATAAATGATTAGTACAAACTTTGTTTTAGTCAGTTATGTCATTTGCAAGTGCTAGTTAATTGTCAAATCTCGAACAGGGCTCGCCTAGTGAAGGAGAGACGACAGGTCAATTTGTCGTGAGTTTCCCATACAATTGGGTCATTTGATAGAGAACACGCAGCCCATCAGAATAGGAATCGTCCACCAGTAATGAGAAATCGTGGTATAACAGCTAGTGGTGCACCTTGATAAAAATTATCGACGAAAGATAATTTTAAGACAATTTTCATATCATGCACTGTCAGGTGATATGTATCGGTATTATCGTTCATCTATCGATTTCATCGAGCAGTTCAAATAAAAGTTGGCGGTGCTACAATCCCTTACACCCATCGTCAGAAAAACACTTGACAAAGAAATCGTTTGAATGAGATAGATTAATGTAATAAAGTAAGCTGGAAAAGCTGCTAGAAACTGCAAGGAAAGAAAAAGCAAGGGTTCTGAAGCAAATGAAAACCAGTAGTGCACGAATGCAAGGCGACAGGAAAAGGGAAGTCCCTGAAGAGAGATTTTTCTCTGAAAAATGATACTTTTGCGGAAATTTTCTTCCATTCATTGATTCCATTCATTTTTTCGCTGTGCCATTAACTTAGCAACATATTTTGTCGAAGTAAAGCCCCTGTCTGCTAGTCAGGAAACGTGCATCAGTTTAAAAATGGGGGGCGGAGCTAGGGGCTCGAAAAGAGATATATCTTACCAAGTTAAAAGAAATGACTTGTTGATTAAACATCATAAAACACCAAAAAAAGAACAAGAAAAGACTTCCAGTCAAGGTAAACTGTTACTTCTTAAGATCCGTTACAACAAACGTCCCAAAGCTGCGATGCCTGTTTTCATTTCGAACAAAAAGGTTAGAAACATCCGCAAAAACTGAACATTTTTCGAACGTAACATCAGGCCAATGGAACTGAAATGAATAAGCAAATAAACTCTTGTCACTCATAAAAAATTAAGTTTCATTATTCATCCTGCAAAATCACAGAGACCAGTGTGCAAAATACTTTCCTAGTCTTCTCCTTTGAGTAAATCAAAATCAAATCAAAACCTTTCTTCAGCAACAAATCAATTAATTACAAAGGAATAAGATATTTTATCATTTTTGGTAACAGTTTTCTGTTAATAGAGATGCACCCAAGGTTCGAAAAGCATCAAATATATTATCTTGACTCTCAAAACGATGAATCTTTGAGAATATTCCTTTGTAGTGTTTGAAATGTAACTCTTTGATTTTGATACAAAAACAGAAACCATCGATTGATTTCCGACAAATTGGCAGTCTAGCATTACAAAGTTCCATATATGAAAGTTCTTTTTAATCTATTATTGCAAAAAGTGGGGGAGGGGGCTAAAGCCCCTGCTAGCCCAATGGCTGTGCGGTATCTTCGGCGAGAGCAGAAAGAAAGCCATTTTGGTAACTTGGTCGAAGAAAGCCTCGATTGCTCGGTGCTCGAAGAAAGGAAACAGCATCAACAATAACAGCAGCAACAACTACAACATCGGGCAGCAAATTTAGAACATGGCAGATCATGTTGGAAAAAGTTGTGACACTATCTACAGTGATGACACGAAATATACTGCCGATTCAGTCGAAAAGAATCCTACAAAAAATGTATTTGCCTGCGCTACCTACCAGCTAGTACAGAAAGAGAAATCCCTGACTGGTTTGGATGATGGAGACAATCAAACATACAGTGAAAATTCCACCAGAATCGGTTCGATACGACTCTACAACATTGAGCACCACGATGATTCAGAAGAACAAAAGAAGAATGGTAAAAGCGTAGAAAGAACGTGTCATAATATAAGATTGACTGGAGTTGTTAACTCAAGTGGGATTTTAGACATGAAGTGGTCTGCAAATGGCGATTTTCTCTTCACCGCCAATTCAAACGGTGGCCTTTCAAGGTACTTGTATGATAAAAGTGGTGATCTTTTATTGCAGGAAAGTTTTGTGATTGACGAATCATTAATCTGCATGTCGTTAGATGTGATCGAAAGACGTGATTCTATGCAATCAAATTTGTTATTATCAAGTTTCACATCGGGTATGCTTGCAGTGGTGGATGTTTGTACTTCCACTGTGACTGAAAAGTGGAAAGGACACGATTATGATGCATGGATTGTAGCAAAAGATGTATGGTCTCAAAATGTCATTTACTCAGGAGGGGATGATTCCAAGTTTAAAACCTGGGACATGAGAATGATAGATGCGCCAGTGCATACCTCCAAAGCACATTCAATGGGTGTTTGTAGCATAGAGAGCTCCAAAACGAGAGAACATGTTTTACTGAGTGGCAGTTATGATGAGCATGTGTTAGTATGGGATACAAGAAACAGGAAAATTCCAGTTTGTGATATAGAAACAGGAGGTGGTGTTTGGAGACTCAAATGGCACCCAGAATCTGAAAATATATTTTTAGCAGCATGTATGCATGATGGATTCAAAATTTTTAAAACTTGTGACTTTTCTTCATTTGTATCAACACATAGTTACAAAGAGCACCAGTCATTAGCCTATGGGTGTGCCTGGATAACATTCAATGATAATATTGGCGATATAAACAATTCACTAGTTGCTACGTGTAGCTTTTATGACAATCTTTTGAAAGTTTGGAGACCATTAAATTTGGGCAACTAGTAGTCTTAGAATTTTTCCTGAATTTTTTATTAATAATTGCAATTTCTGTATCATTTATAGCATCTTATAGCATCTGTTAAATTGAGAAGGGTAGGTAGTAAATCTTGAAGAAGTAAATCTTGCAAAAGAAATGGAATAATTGAGAGGGCCGTGTAATTTTTATGACAAATTTTGCAAAAACAATTGGAGAAAAAATTTAATAATTGCTTTAAATGATTTCCTATTTCAATATGTTTGATTGAAGTATTGAATCAGACTAATTGAATGCTAATTAGAAATCTTTGCATCGCCTTTGTTTCTTTCAATCTTCCCAGATCCTCAAATTTTATTCAACTGTAGCGACCTGATTTGCTGCATTTGGTTGGATATTTGGTTGACTTTTTGATGTATTCGACTTGTCTGGAGCTGGAGCTCAACTTTTCTTGGATTATTTCTGAAAATTATTGTTTACCAGTCTGGTACTGAGTACTTGATCCAGTTCCAAGGCTGCTACTCATAGTTTCTGGCTTAATGTAATCATTGGGACACTGTCATCTCCAGGCAATACAATCAATAGTTACTTCATATCGGGTTTTGACAATTTTTTGGACATTGTCATGAAAGTACATATCAACTTTATTGATATTTTATGGGGAAATTATACTTTAATTAACCATAAGGTTTTGGACATTCATTTTAAGTTTGCTTGGCTATAAATTGAATGAAGATGACATGATGTCACTATTCATAACGAGGAAGAAGAAGAAAGGATGGCATAGAAAGGGAAAAAGTTACAAAGAATTTTCTGAGTTCCTCAAAAAATCATCAAAAGAACACCAAAGTCCACTAAATCAAAGATTCACTTGATGACCATCAATAAAGTTACACAGTGCCTGGAGTGTAAATAAAAGAGGTTTCACTAAACAATTCTATTCTCCTCAACTTGTCCAAGTTAGCCTGTCTGCCGACTTTACAAATAGAGGGAATTGTTCTATAATTTCCTCTATTTGTAAAGTCTGTATGCAGGCTAGTTCAAGCAGGCTTTTAAGAACAGCACTGTTTCGGTCTTTAGATAGCATCTGTCTCACTGTTGCAGCACTGTCGCAAACTCTCCAGAAATCATTTGTCTAACAGATACCTCAAGACCAAGGCTGACTGCAATTACACAGGGACAATGATATCAGGGGTGCTAAGGGGGCATAGTTTTCCCAAATGTACTAAATAAAGCTATTTGATAAATACATAGGACTTAGCTTTTAACAGTTTTCGCCCCTTTCCTCTGAGATAAAAAAGATTATTCAGCAACTTATTTAAAACGAATCAGCCCTTGTAGTGGTTGTAAAAAGGAACATTATACCCATGGGAGATTTCTAACAAATTTTAAAATTCAAATGCCAGGGGCATGCTGGGGGTGAGATCGCAAAGAAAGTTCAAGAGTTTAGTGAGCCATGGTTGCCGCCGAAGGGGATAGCTTTTGAATTTTGATGCTTCCAGTTTGCTGGAAAATGCACTTTTTGAAGCACTTTTTCAATAACGCAAGCTTTCTCTTCAGTAAATATCCACAGGCTGAAAGCTACTTGATGGTTTACATTGATTTTCTGGTGTCGTTGTTAAATATTTTAGCTTATGTAACACAATTTTCTTCAGATTGGGACATAATCTCGCAGCTTTTTCTCCCTAGAATTTCTTTTCATTAAAAACTCCTTGCACCCTCTCTGGCTAATCTGAACTTTTACCGCCAAGCAAAAATTATTGACGGGTTCCTCAAAAACACCCTCACACCCTACCTCTATTCGCCCGTAGTAACTGTTTTGTGCAAAAATAATTTAGATTTAGCGTGAGATCTTGAGATGGTGTTTAACAATCGTGGTTCAGCGCATCAAAGTTAGTAAGAAAAAAGAAGTGGTATGTTGCAAGGTGATGTGATTCTTGTTCTTTTTCAAGCTATTTATCGCAGATTGTTATACAGTGTCCGTCATTAGTCTTCAGCGCCCCTATAACGTGAAAATTTATTTTGGCGCCCCTGGTATTTGATCGGCAGGGGGGAATTTCCCCCTTGTCCCCCTTGCCTGCCAGCACGCCAGTGCAAAAAGGGTGCTGTTGCTCATAACTACACCCATATTTTCATAGATGCAAATACAATAGCCAAACTGTATAGGCAATTCTCAATAACCATGGAAACTTGCAAGATATCATAGTATCAAAACTAGAAAACAATACACGATAAGGCAAGCATCGGACATTTCATTATAGCTTTACGATCGTCATGAAAAATCTTTGAGAATAAGCATAGACCATTAAAGGAAAAGAAAAACTTTGAAAAGCAAGATCAATGCAGAATTTGTCTTGACTTTGAACCCCCCCCCCCCCCAAATTCCGTTTACTTTTATTGGAAAGAAAGTCATGCTTGTTACAGTGCGATTACAGTCTCTAGGACTGACATTCTAAAAATCTTCTGTAGCATAGGTAAAATTCTTTTGTTTTTGAAAATATGGCTTTTGTTACAATTATTTACAAGGGCTTCCCCCCAGTGCCCCCCCCACAAAAAAGTTGTGTTGTCTAGGGGAATAAATCATGTACCTGACACCCTGTGTTCCTCGAAGGAGATCGATGATTGCACCACTGGGAGGCAATATTGCCTAAAATAATTCACAGAATAATTGTTGCACCACACTTACACAGACGACGATGACATAAAAGCAGGTTGAAGGAACGACTCTGCATTCTCAGAGCTTGCATCATATTGATGTGGTGAATTCGCCGAAGGAAGGACTACGATACGAAGTAAAGTATCATGGAGTTTGTTGAATACGAGAAGATGTCCCCTACTATGGATAGGTTTCAATCTGACATTGAAATGCTGAAGAAAGAAAAATGGGTAGTATTAGAAAAGGTTCATGGTGCAAATTTTGGTTGCTATACAGATGGAGAAGAATGCAAATTTGCCCGAAGAAGAGATTTCCTCAAAGAGAGCGAAGGTTTTTATAATTATAGGCAGGCTGAGTTCATGAAAGATTTGCAAGAAAAGATGATTGAAATTTACAGACGCGTACAGGCAATGGTTGATGGCAAAGAAATTGCTCAAGTGATAGTTTTTGGGGAAGTTTTTGGTGGTATGTTTTTGCGTTTCAGTGAATGCATCTTGCTCTTGTTATCTCAATGTTACCACTTTGTGGGGGGCTCCACAGGGTTCTGTACTTGGTCCCCTCCTTTTCTTAATTTACATTAATGACTTACTTCTCTCATCCTCAAAACTAGCCTTCTACTTAATTGCTGATGATACTAATATCTTTTGTGAATGTGAAGTCTTGATGGGCTTCAAAGTGTGGTTAATAAGGAACTAAAAAAAGTGATTTTAATGTCCCCTCAACATTATTCATCTGAAACTGCCAGTATCACAATTGGAAAGTTCACTATCCAATAATCTGTTATGTAAAATTTCTAGGTGTTTTTCTTGATCAAAAAAATTGGCTAGAACTTGTTGTTTATTTTTCAAAGTGAGACATTTCTTACCCATCAGTATTTTAGCCTGTCTCTACAAATCTGTATTTTCACCCTTTCTGCAGTTTGGCATTTTAGTTTGGGGTCTTATATATGAATCAATCCAGTGTTCTTGTCACTTTTGTATATGACTGTGTAAATAAGATCTCCCCTGGTTATTAATAATATCTTTGATTTAGTTCATTCTGTACATCATGATGGCGCACATCAAGCTACTCAAAATGATGTTTTTCTAGCACAAAGAAATACTGCTCAATATGGTCTTAGATTAGTCTGTTACTTTGAAACTAGATGCTAGAATAGCATTCCCATTGATATAAATAATTTACCCTCTGCTTTTAGCTTTCGTCCAAAACTCAAAGCTTTCCTTTTGAAAGTAGTTTCCAAAGTTGATCTTAGGATAATTGATACCAAAAGGTCACAATCGACACTAGACATCATCTCAGGGGCGGCTGGGAGTAGAAAAGTATTGGTATTAGCCTCCGAAGTTAAGACAGAAGAAGGTCCCCACGCAAGGTCCTGAAACTATTTAACAGGGGGGGAGCTTATATGTTTTTATTTAAGAAGATGGGCAAAATGACCTTTTCGATATGATGGTTTAAAATAGCTTTTGGCAATACCATATCTTACAAAATTATTTGAAGGCACTGGCCCCTGTTGTCTCCCCCCAGACACTAATGACCCTTTGGTAATGTAGTTCATCCTACTAGTTTTGAGTGAAGGATGGGTCCTACGAAATACCAATGAATTATGGCTGCGGCAAACTACTCGAGCGAAATCGTATTTTGATACAGCAGTTTGCTACCCAGTAATGGAGCCCCAAGGTATTAGCCCATTAATTCTAATACCATGAGGCTTTTGGCCCGCTAATGAGATTCTATTACGATAAAGCGAGCAATTTACTTTAGAGTAATGCAGCACAAAAACGTAAGATGTATCATTTGATTTGAGAAACCGAGAGAAATAATGTGAGAATGTTGCCTGTGACTCTACAGTCATAAAGAATCAAAGTTTCATACAAAACAACTTTTGCAACTGCCTTTAGCTCAAACAAATTATTTCATGACTATTGCTCTTTATATTCAGTGTCTAAATTTTGCCAATCAAATTATCCATCCAAAGGCATTGCTAGCAAAAGTACAGCTACATTTTGTAAATTCATAGAGTTAATTTCCAGAAATATTTTTTCTATCAGCTGGGGCCTTAGAATAAAGCTGGGGCTCTGTCCACCGTCCCTTCCACTGACAGTGGCCCTCATAGTATTAGAAATGAAAAACTAATACCTTACTGCTGCTCACCCATTATTCTATCATGGCTCAACAAGATAAATTTACCATTTAGCATGCAGACCACAACAGACAAAGGAATTTCTGGGCAGTTGTATTAGTTTTTGGAGGCTAATATCATGGCCAGGGCTGCTGATTACAGCATGGATTATACTATTCAAAGATTTAAATGAGGATTAGGAAAGTTTATATTCAATGAACAGAAAAGCAAATATAGCTTGGCTATATGAATAGAGCTGGTCCCATCGATAAAATTGTTGTGAAAAAGTGGCAGCGTACGAAAAGCAAAATAAATTTCCTGCAATCTCAGAGACCCAAAGTCGCCTTCCATTAAAAATAAAATGGTATTAGACTAATACCTTTAATACCACCCCACGCCGCCCCTGCATCATTTACTCAATGTTAGAAATCAAATTTACATGAAATACTATTGAAATATGGAGTGCTCTCTCCTTGATTAGTTTGACTCCTGAGAGAGCTCCTCTTTAAGAAATTCCCTCCACACAATTTAACTCATTTTGTTTGTTTCGCTGAATGTATATGGTAATAATTTCACTTGCCGATGTATGATTTTTCTGTAACACAGTCTGATTTTCTTGTGGCTTAGCTATTTATTTGTTGAATAATTTGGATAAATTGTTTATAGTGGAATTTAAAAAACTGAAAGTGAAACTGTTTAAAATTGCTAGGTCATGTGCTATCCTTCAAATGATTTTAGTTTTTTTCAATTCTTTCAGAGCTTTTGAAAAGGCCCAGATATTCAGATTGAGAAGTGCAGTTCTTATCTTGTAGAACCCGTTTTAATATTCTGTAGTTGCTGAATACAATATTTTCAATTTAAGGAAAGTATGATCATCAAGATGTCCCAAAACAAAAGAAAATGAAGCCAGTACAAGCTGAAATCCAATATTCTCCAGATATTAGACTCTACTGTTATGACATTGCTTACATAAAAAAACTTGACAATGGAGATGCAGCTGGGCCAGGTTTGAGTCTTTTAGTGTTATTATCACAAACTGATCTGAAAAATATTTAAAAAATCTCAATAGAAACACCTGGGGATTAGCTTGACACAGCAACCTTTCCAACTGCACATCAAATTTGCATGTGACCATTTGGATGAAAGCTTTTTATGTAAACTATAACACAAACAAGACCAAGGAGGATATTGCAACTTCAAAAGCTTGAACATTTCCACTGACAAAGCTTTAGAGCAGTAAAACCAATTAATGAGACTCAGAAATACCCTTCCCTGTTTTAACTTGGCATCCAGTGAGTGTTCACTGTATGTGCACCAATGTAAGAGGGTAAGCAAATTGAAGAATTGACAGGCTTGCACAAATTAACAATATTTGGAAAAGTGAATGCTAGCTGATTAGCTGGTGGTCCCAATCTTACCATTTTTTTATTTAATCAACAACTTGTTGGAAATGTTGAATGGAAGAAGGACCACAGAAACATAGGCCACTTCAGCGAAAAAGAACAGAACAAGTTATATTGAACAACAACAACATAAGCTACTACGCAGCGGTAAATAAGCAGTAATCATAACAGAACATGAATAATAAGTTCTTAACACTCCCACTTGATGATTATGCGATATAAAAATTTAAACAAAACAAGTCAATGAGTCAATGAATCTCTTTAACTCCCAAACTGTTTCGGAATCGTTCAAAAGCAGGTTTTGCAAGACCTTTTGTCATAATGTCTGCCAGCATATCTTCTGTAGGACAATACTTAACAGTAATAGCTTTCAAATTGACTTGTTCTCTTATAAAATGGAATGAAACATCTATATGTTTCGTACGCTTATGAAATTTCGGGTTCTTGGCAAGTTCTATGGCACCTTGATTGTCTTCCATTATAGTGGTTGATCCTTTCTGTTCAATTCCAATGTCTGCAAGTAAACTTCTAAGCCATATTGCTTCTTGACAAGCTCCACTTAGTGCAATGTATTCGGCTTCAGTTGATGACTTTGAAACTGATTGTTGTCTTTTGCTGCACCAACTTACAGTGTTACCTTGAATTTGAAACACATACCCTGAGGTAGAACGTCGAGTATCCAAATCACCTGCCCAATCAGCATCAGAAAAACCAACTAATGCGTGATTGTCATCATCTGCAGAAAAGACTAGACCATAGTTGAGAGTCCCTTTGATATATCGCAAAATTCTTTTCACACCTGTCCAGTGATCATTTCCAGGTTTCGACATGTATTTTGCAAGAATACCAACTGCTGCAGCAAGATCTGGGCGTGTGGCTGTTGTTACATAGGTTAAACAACCAATAATCATTTGATAGACTTGAACATCAACAGGCTTTTCATTCTCTGACAGCTGTTGAAATTTCCTTCCTTGTTCTAGTGGTGTAGAAACAGGTTTGGAATTCTCCATGTTAAATCTCTTCAGAATTCCTTCTAAATACTTTGGTTGATTAATAGAGAGTAATCTTGACTTGCGATCTCGCTTCACAGAAATACCAAGTACATAATGCACTTCTCCTTGATCTTCAACTTTGAATCTCTTTCCAAGTGACATCTTCTCTTTCATCAGCATATCAGTGTTGTTTGAAAACAACAGAATATCATCAACATATAGAGCAAGAATAGTAAAATCAACCTCACCATTGCTCTGCTTAACAGATTTGATGTACAAACAGGAATCTGCACTGCTGTTTTTGTAACCATTGGACTTCAAGAAAGTGTCAATTGCAATGTTCCAACAACGTGCTGCTTGCTTAAGACCATATATGCTTTTCTTGAGCTTACAGACATGATTTGGCTTGTCCTTATCAATGTAGCCATCAGGTTGCTTCATGTAAATCTCTTCATCAAGGTCACCTTGTAGAAACGCTGTCTTAACATCCATTTGATGTACTTCCCAATCACGAACATTTGCTAGGGCTAACAAAGCTCTAATTGAGCTGTAGCGTACAACAGGTGAAAAAACCTCTTGATAGTCTACTCCTTGTGACTGTGAATATCCTTGAGCAACAAGGCGTGCCTTAAATCTTTCAACAGTACCATCAGCATTATGCTTTACCTTGAACACCCAACGACTGCCAACAACATTCTTTCCTTCAGGCAATTCAACAAGGTCCCAAGTGTGATTGCTCAATAATGAATCATACTCAGAGTCTGTTGCCTCTTTCCAATCAATAGAGTGATCACCTCTCCATGCTTCAAATATATTACTTGGCTCATCAATGTCAGCTGTAATAGCATCTGCAATGTAGACGTCTGCTTCAATCAGTCTACTAGGTGGTTTACGCTGTCTTTGTGGAGGCAAATTTGCAACATCCCTCATGAAGTTATCTTCATACGTTGCTCCCACTTGTTTGTTATCCACAATAGGTTGATCTTCTTCAGCAGGTGAGATTTGCGAGTTATCATCAACTGGATACAAGAATTGCAAGTCCAGTTTCTTTGAATGGGCACTTTCAAAATCATGAAACTCATTTTCAGCAAATATGACATCTCTGCTGCGAATAAAACGATTAGTTGACAAGTCATACAGCTTGTATCCTTTGGTCCCATCAGGATATCCAACAAATACAGCTTTCTTCGACTTTTCATCAAATTTGCTTCGTTGATTCTTTGGAATGTGAGCAAATGCTAAACATCCAAATACTTTCAAATTTGAAACATCTGGCTTTTGGCCAAACAAACATTCAAATGGTGTAACACCTTTGAGTGAAGTGGTAGGACTGCGATTTCGTAAGTATACAGCAGTATTCACAGCTTCTGCCCAAAATTCCATTGGCATTTTGGAATGCGACATCATTGATCGAGCAGTTTCCACAATTGTACGGTTCATCCTTTCTGCGACTCCGTTTTGAGCTGGGTTGTAGGGAACCGTTTTTTGATGGAAAATCCCTTTCTCTTTCATGTATGCATCAAATAATTTGGAGCCATACTCTCCACCATTGTCAGAACGCAATGATTTTACCAGATTATCCGTTACCAGTGTTTCCATTTGGTTTCCAGTGAGATTTGTCGTGAGATTTACAAACTCTTTGAACTTTTCCAACACTTCATGTTTGTGTTTGATGAAGTAAACATGAGTGTAGCGTGAATAGTCATCAATGAAGGTTACAAAATATTGAGAACCCGCATGAGAACTGACAGGCATAGGTCCACAAACATCAGTGTGAACTACTTCAAAAGGCATGGTGGCACGAGTTGAAATTCCTTTAGGATAAGGGGTGCGATGTTGTTTCCCCATAATACATGGTTGACATACAGAGTTTCTTTCAACTTGAACATCACAGTTCATTCCCTCAACCATTTTGCCTTTGACTAACTTTGATACATTATCAATACCCAAATGACCAAATCGACAATGCCACAGTTGCATATCAGAGTTTTCTCTTGCAATATTGACATTTATATCTTGACAACATTTCAAGACATACAGTTTTTGTTGCATTTCACCAATAGCCAACAATTTAGAATTTCTTGTGATTTTGCATTGGTTGCCAACAAAATCCACAGTGGCACCAAGTTTTGTCATTGCTTGAACAGACAATAAATTCTTCCCAATATCAGGTAAGTACAGAACATCTTGAAGTGCAATAGGTCGTATACTATTCTTCAGATCAGCAACAATATGGTAGGTACCTTTTCCATATGCAAAAATTGCCCCATTGTCACCAAGATTAACAATACATGGTTGCTTGAATTCCACATAATCAGACAGAGAATCTTTGTCAAATGTCATGTGTTGTGTTGCTCCAGAGTCAATAATCCAACCAGAATTTTTCATATGATCAGAGGAGAGTAAAGCGTCCTCATAAATCAATTGGTTAGAATCATCATTTTCAGCATATTGAGCATATGCCTTACCTTTTACTGTACCTCGTTGAGCATTCTTTGATTTACGTTTTGGACAGTCTCTTGCAAAGTGTCCTTGTTCATGACAGTAATGACATGTTCCACGGAAAGTTTTGGTATACTGCATCTCATGACTCAAATGTCCACCAGGATGATGCCCTTGTTTTCCTTTTCTACTTTGTGCAATCGAACGTCTGGCAGAAAAGGCATCTTCAGACTTCTTAGCATTGAAGGAATCAACATTGCGATCCGCATCATTTAATAGCATCCCTTTCACTTTCTCAAATGAAAGATTATCTTCACCCACAGCATCCAGAGCAGTGATTAATGGCTTAAAGTCTTCAGGCAAACTAGCAAGTAGTGTCATTGCCAACTCTTTGTCGTCGATAGCACATCCCATTTCTTTCAATTGATCATGCAGCGATCTCAAATACGTTATGTGTTCTAACATATTACCGCTACTCGCAAATCGACAAGAATAATACTGCTGCCGCAGACGAACTTTTTGTAGGATTGATTCCCGAGCAAACTGGCTTTTCAGGGCATCCCACGCTTCCTTTGCAGTAATGGTGTCTCGGACATGAATTTGCTGCTCAGGCTCTACGGCCAAACAAATGTATGTCCACGCCTTCTTCTTTCGTGAATTGAAAGCTCTTATAGCTACATCGGTAGCATCGCCAACAGGAGCTTCAGCAGATCCATCTACGTGCTCGAAAAGATCCATGCTCTCCAAATATAACCGCATGTTGAACGCCCATGTTCGATAATTTGAGCCGTTCAGCTTCCCAAACTTCAGTGCGTTGTTCATCGTTTCTTCAGATGACGAAGCCATCTTTCAGAGACAGAAACGCTAACAAAAATTTTTTCGCCTGGCTATTACATGTTTCTATAACGTTCTGGGCCCATAACCTGTTGGAAATGTTGAATGGAAGAAGGACCACAGAAACATAGGCCACTTCAGCGAAAAAGAACAGAACAAGTTATATTGAACAACAACAACATAAGCTACTACGCAGCGGTAAATAAGCAGTAATCATAACAGAACATGAATAATAAGTTCTTAACAAAACTTACACGTTTTGAATCGAATCTTTTCTTGTCAATCATTTAAATGGGCCAAAACAAACCAAGAGTTGATATTAATTACAAGATGGCGCAGCATTTAGTTTTCTGGGCAATAGAGATCCAAGAGTCTTGGGTTTGAGTCTCTGACCTGTCCAAACTCTCACCCAGGAAAAGGGGAGTCTTCAGCTCTCTGTAATTCTTGGTGAAGGAATCACAAGGTGTTGTGTGAGCACAGCTTCTCAGTGCCCTACCATTACCTTTGGATGCTAGGTAGAATCAAATGCAAATTTAAAGCTTTAAAACTTTCATAGGCCAAATTGAATTTGGTTGCCTGCCAGGGTTTGTCAATTCCCTTCTTTACAATCTATCTGTTTCTTTCATGAAAACAGTTTGGAATCATGTCATGTGTGCACTTTAAAATAATTATACTCACATTTAAGAATGAAACCTGTTATTCTCCATGGAGTTGTTTTAATTGCTGGTTTTACATCATTTTAATTGTCCTAGATCCTAACTGTGACATTTTTGCTAACTGTGACATCTTCCCTAACTGTGACATTTTAAAACTTTCAAAGGAGTTTTCATGTTTTTGAGATCAGATTGTGTTAGAAAGTTGTAGATTGCTTGCTAGAGAAGTTGTATTTAGCAGTGAATGTAGTTGATGGACTTTTTTCTTTGTAGAATTCTTAGACTTCACAGATGTCATGCAAATATTTGATGATCTCAGCATTTTTTATGGGAAACCACTTTTTGTTGGTAAGATGAACGAAGCATTGAATTACTCACTAGCTTTTGACTCAACATTGCCTGGCCTGATTGGACTACCACCACTACCAAAAGGCAAGTTGTTGATGTTGTAGATTTTTGATGTAGAATATGAAAATGGTTGTATGGACAGTTATATTATTTTTATGTACGAAGAATGAGTACACTGTGTGGTGGGTCGAGGGGAAGGCATGGATGTATATCTGTATATATAGACACCTTTCCATAACTTTTTTGATATGCAAGGCATGCCCATTTTCCTGTAATTAGTGTGCCGATTTCTATTGCTTGCAGCCACAAAATGATGATGACCCAATGTCATCAGCGAGCCAACAATCCAAGAAATTATTGTCTCATTGCCAAGAGGGGAGTTGGCACAGCTTTTAACAAAAACAATTGATCCTTTGTAATTTTTAATGTGTAATTTTTTAATACAGATATAGTGGTAATAAATTTTTATTGGTAAAAATGTATTGCTATTGTAAATAATGACATTGTTTTTCTTTGCATATCAGGACTCTGTGCTCCTACTTTGAAGTTACCTTCACAAGCACACTACTTAATGAACATCCAAACACAATCCAGGCAATACTATAAAAGTTTAAATAGCACTAAAATAAAGCCAAATTATCCAACTTTTATGATTTTGACTTCAAAAAGCAGCAGCCTGGCAAAAGAGTTTCACAGCCAACATATCTGAAACTCAGGCTAATAACTTAACCAACTGACAAATAACCAGCAGAAAATTGATTAATTGAAAGAATGCTGACTATAGCACATTAAACGGAGTGGTCAGCGATGCTGGAGTCAAGGGAGGTATGCGTTTCAATGCTTCAACTTCCCTGGCTGGGGGGTTTAGTGAGCATGAAACTTTCATTAAAAAATTAGCTAAATGTTTTTCAATTATTTTGTATATTGTTACTTATAAAGGCAAGCTATCTCAAAATCATATCAAGGGTAACAAGTCCTTTGATAGTAAACAGATTTATGTGAATTTTCCTTTTTTGGTTTTTAAAAGCTTAAGGTCTTCACCCCTTAAGAATAGGGTCTTCACCAAGCAGCTTAAAGTAGAATCTGTCTTTGACTATTAACCAATCTCTGTCATTGTTTTTAGGCTCAAATAGGGCAGAAGGTATAGTCATCAAACCCATGAAGAATATTGTAGTTGAAACAGCATTTGGTGAAAAAGAGCGAGTGATCCTTAAAATAAAGGGTCCCGAGTTTGATGAAACAAGAAATCAGAAAGGGACTAAGAAAAAGGGTGCAGGTAAGATTCAGAGAATAGTACCTAAAATGTTTTGTATATGTTTATCAAAATTTTGTAATGATTCCTTTTTTATAACTATTCAACATGCATACCCACTGCTCTAATGTTATGCAAAACATTTTTTTGGGGGGGGGGTGCAGTTTTTGATACAAAAAATATAAAATTGGATTAAAATTTCCAATAAACCTAGAGAGGTAAAAATTCTTTATTTTCGGTTTAATACAGAACAGAAATTAAAGGCATAGAAAAAATGGAAAATTTGTAAAAATGCCATATTGAAAACAGTAATGATGCTCCTTAGTAATGGATATTTTTCTCTCAGTTGTTCTAGTAGATAAAGACTAAAAGCATTTCATCACAAATATCATTGTTCTATATTATTTAGTTGTAGATAATTCAGTCAGACCAGACAAAGCTTTTATTCCACTTATGCTGCGTTATGTGACTGATAATCGTATGGTCAGTGCTGTTAGCAAAATAGGGCCCCCTGAAAGTGATGATTTAAAGAAAGCTGTGGAGGAGGAATTCATGGAGGATGTTTTTACTGACATGTTGGAAGATGAAAAGAACAATACCCTTTGGGAATCATGCGATGACAAGCAAAAGGAGGTTGTGAAGAAGTGCCTGAAAGGAAAAACCGCTGCTCTTCTAAAAAAGTATATTGAAAAAATGGGGATATCTTGAGAATTATCTTGGATGTTTGTATCTAGTATAAATATGATTTAATCTAGCTATGAACTTGAAATATCTGATATTTCATCAAATCTTCAAATCTGGACTGATTTTATATGTAATTTTTATTTATTGACTTGGTAATGTATAAATATAATGAGTATTTTTAATTTATTAATGGCTTGGAATAAGATTTGGAATAAGATGTTTCATTGAACGTTGTAAACAGATCTAATTAAAGGCATAATTTATAATTCTGATTATTTCATAATTACCAACTACCTTACATGTAGTAGGTTTAAATGCTAATTTTTTTCCAATCTGTAACAGTTACTGCACATGCACACATGTAGGTTTGTTTTATTTGCATAAGCATGAAGGGGAAGAGAGGAAATAGACCACATTTTTATTGTGTGCAGGGATGTATGAAGAAAATGGGCAATGTGACAGTGATGTGTTCCTCAGGTCCAATTTCTTAGACTATGTGACAGGGTTGACACAGAGTATTATCTACAGAATGAGACATTATTTGTCACTCGTAACGACACAGGAAATGGGTACCAATCCCAGGACTTTACCCTTTTTCCATCAGTACGCTGTTTTGAAAATGCAAAGAACATCAGCCCCTGGTTAACCCTTTTTTTTAATTTTCTATAGATGCTCAAAAATTACAATTTTTACAGTGAATTGAAGATAAAGGATAAAATACTTTCGCTATATTGTCCCATAGGTGTTTCCTTTGGCTAATATGGTGTAGTTTTATGTTTCTTTTAGGATGAATCAATTTTTAAACTAATTTATTGGATATTTTTATATTGTAGAAATTGTATCGTTAAAATTTCGTGTAACGAATTCAACCGAATGTCGAATAAATACTCCCATTGTTTTTGCAAATCTTTTTCACTGTTACTATAATCATATTACTGTTTTCACTTAAATTTAGGGGGTTGGGCTCGAAAACCGTTTCGGTTCCTCCCAACATCCTAGGCAATGTTATTGGTAAAATTTTAATTATTGTTAAATTGTTGATTGTCTTTATCAACACTTTATTGACTTTTAATGTTGTGGAATGATTGCTGAATATTAAAGGAATTTTGAATTTGAACTCTTAAATCCCACTGTTTCCATTAATGTATATATATTTAATAGGTCTGTATGTCCATTTAAAATGCCTCAACTCCTTATGTATTAGATGAAATGATACGTATCAAGACAGTATCTAGTTTTGGATCTCTCTTTTGGCTTGTTCCATGAGAAAGAGCTCAGATATAAGGGCCCTTAGGAAACTGAAAAGCATGCAAATCGCTGTAGCCAAAATAACGTGGACAGGTAACTGGTCACTAAGTCACTGACACAAGTCGCTTGCGTTTTTGACATATTCATACGTCATTTTTCATTGTTCACAACAATTTTGACCGTATTTGTTGTTCCTTTTTTATTCATTGTCTCTTCTCAAAGTATTTGTTTATCATATGTTTTTTTCCTTTTTTTCTCATTAAGTTAATTCATTTTTTTCAAAGAACTCCTGAAGCATGCCCAAGTTTTACCCACCGTCGATTCACGATTCAAATCATCAATTAGGGTGATAGTCCGATTAAAATCACTACTTTAAAACTATTGGTCGTGCACTATGTTATTTGAGAAGTCAATGAAGAAGTACTAAAAGATTGGAAGAAAGAGAACATTACACCAGCTTTTAAGAAAGAAAAGAAGAAAATGCATGAGACTTATCAGCCAGTTTGAATAGCGTTATGTGCAAGGTGATGGAGAAAATAATTCCTGAGCAAGGTATCAAGACTTATGATTAAAGTTGTATATGGGTAAGGCTTTGACAGATACTTTAATTTCATTCTCATGTCAAGAATATTTAAAGTAAACGAAATCAGCTATGTGTAATTATAAGATGATCTTCTTTTAAGTACACAAATGAAGATATGTTTTTATCAGTTTGGTGATATCCGTATTCCTGAAAGTGAAAAATCGAAATAATGAATTTTCAACATGGCACGTCAAGGAATCGAAGGCCTTAACATTTAGATTATGATGAGCTTTTAAGACAACTCTAGCTGCCACGTCTTCTGAACAGAGAACTACGTCATGTCCTTATGCCTGCAAATACATGCATGACTTTTTCAACACTGAAAACCTGTCTCATATTGAGGAAGCAAATAGAACTTGTGGCCATATTGTTGAAGAGCACTCATGAAAAGATAAAATGAAGATATATTTCAGTTTGTGGATCAATACAGGGGCAGATCCAAAGTAAATTTGAAGGAGGGGCAGTAAGTAGTGGGGGCGCTGAAAAATTTTCAGAATTTGGTGATGAGCCTTACTACTTATAGAAGGCTCTTTATTCACTTTGAAGGAAATTTTAACATTAATTGTTGTATACTTTAAGGTAATCCTTGAAGTAAATTAACCTTCAAATCTCCAAAATCTTTGTCACCTGATTCTCATTCATCGAAAGGGGTGCACAATTTCCAAAAAAGGGCGCCAGACTTGCTTCAAATCGGCCAAGGAGGGGCAACTGCGCCCCTAGTTGCCCCCCTCTTGAATCCGCCACTGGATCAATATGGAATGGGTATGTATTTAACAATTACCATGTAGTTATTAAATTTGAAGACACTGAATTGATTCAATAACGAGCTAGACAATTTATTTCAAGAAAAGAAAGGTTCATGTGGCAACGATCAATGTGTTCAAAAGTTTGAAATACAAAAAATTTTTCTAGCTTGTATATGATCATTAGTGGAATTGTTTTTTCCAGGGACATACTGTTTTTTTTCTCAGAACATTTTCAGAGCTTATCATGCCTTCTTATAATAATTTCTGCACATGAATGGTCTATCGATTCCAACGATTAAAGTCAGTTTCGGATGAGTTGCACCACAGAGCTATGACATGCTCTTGCCGTACAAGAAATAGTGTCTGTTATGGTAACAACATGGCTGTGAAATTTGTTGAAAATGCGGGCGAGTTTCCTCTATACCTAATTACGAAACAAATCTGTTTCTGTTCCAGAAAACTAAGCCTGTTTTGCCTGATTTAGTATAATCGCATTTTTGCGGCTTATCGAACAACGCATTCAGCCAATTAATATTTCATTTCAATAAATTTTTAATAATGAGCAGTAAGATATTTCTCGTTCTTCGCAAATCCTAGTCTTGGTCGCCATCACAAGGATCAAACAAACAGCAACATGCACGATTGTGAACGGGCGGGTATACGGGGGCTGGATGAATGTTAAGAACTTGTGCAAGTATTCGTTCGTTGCAGCTGCCTAGATAATCCTTGATATTCTTCACTACCCTGGGTACCAGTCTCTGCTTGGCATTCTGTTTACGTGCTCGAAAATCTGTGGCCCTGGTACCCAGAGTAATTCTTTGCATGCAATTGTTTAAATTCGCAAAGGGTTGATGAACAAATTCCCAAGTCATATTATGACATCAAACTAGAAGATTCAGACCTGTTTTCTTTTACTGGTCCATTTAACTTAAGTTCTTGTTTTTTACCCCCTCTAAACTATCAAGGTAGATTTAGAAAAATCTTGATTCATTCTTTTTCTAAAACCGTTCATTATCACTGGCTAAGTACAAAATACTAGGAATCAATTCAGGATAGCCTTTGCTACACAGTATCAATTCAACTAGGGATCTTCTCTTTTGGTAACCAGCAATCGATATAGGCTGTTTACTGTGTTACATTTTCGGAATAGTTTGAATTGTCATTTCAATTTATAACATTATTACTTTTTTCGATTTCTGTATCAGCAAAATCATACTGCAAAGAAAGTGACATCAAGCACTGTTTTGGTAGACAAAAAGCCCTTCAAAGCGTGCTTAAGATGGAGTTCTTGGCTGACCATATAAGCTTCTTATTGACTCTGATCCACCGGTTTGTTGAAGATATTTTTAATGAGTTGATTCATGTGATCTTCATGACTAGCACGCGGTAAACTGGCAGTTTTAAGAGATTCTAAAACAACATGGCTAAAGAACAGAACGAATCATGCCATCTTGCCCTTTGATTAGTTGTATATGCTGAGCCTATACACACACACACACACACACAACCTATACAACCATTAAATGGAGAATTGTCAAGAGAATAAAAAGCACAGCTAGAAGCAACTTTTGTAAATTATGCCTGACAGAAAAATTTTATATAATTCAATCTTTAGGGGACAATAAAATACTTAATAATAGAACAGAATTTATAAGCCAATGTAGACACCAAAACAAACTTTTGATTAGCAATTTTCGATCTTAGAATGTAGTTGTTATGATTTATCACTCTGCACAATTAACTTCGTTTGATTGTGTTCGATTATTCGTTTTCACCGTTATATCTTGCTTGCCGTTAGCTTGTGTTCTTTTATACACCTGATGATTGTTTACACATGAAACTCAGAGTT